CTCGGCCGGAGCAAACCAGTGCAGCAAGGGTAAGATATTGCTCTCGGTAAAGAGGCTTGACAAGAATAATCCAACTGACTCTCCATCTACAGCTGGCTGTCAATTGGGTTTCGATCGGACCAAGCTGGACTGAATCGGATTGGCTTTTCTCGGATCGCTCAGCCATGATGATTCCCTCCCCCCCTCCATCAGCCGTCGTCATCGTCTCTCGTCAGTCTCACTCGCACTCGCTTGACAGCTCAGATCAGCTTCGCTTGGCTCGGGGGCTTTGCTACTGATTTCGAAGTTGATTTGATAGCAAACTCCAGAAAACAAGGGAGACGGCTCGCAAGGAAATGGCCAATGCGTGCAATCCTACAAAGGGGGACGATCCGGCCTGACCGGATCTGCTTCTCCCATTGCATTGAGCCCTTGTTGGGCTTGGCTGTTTCCCTTGCTTGCCGGATTGCTTTGGACAATTTTGTTATTCGCAATACTTGGTGTATTGCACACTCCCAAACTCCGAAGGGGAAGGGGGAGCTCTTTGATTGATCAGCAGCCGAGCGGCTCTCTCAGGAAGCGACCAAGCAGCAAAACCCGACAAAAGAAGAGCCGCCACCCCTGCTCCCCATCAAACCCCAACTAGTGTCCACATCTGGGCCCTGCCGTTCCATCACACTTGCTGCTAGTTCCCAGGCCTAGTGTACCTGTATTTCAGCGATTATCCCGCGGCAGCCCGCGCATGACACCCCAAATCGCATTCTGGAGGGGGGAGGGGAGAATGGAGAGAAGAGAAAGAGAAGAGAAAGAGAAGAGAAAGAAGCGCGTAGATCCTGTCGCACAAGACGCGCGCCATCTCGCTCAAACATGGCGAGGTGAGGCGCCCATCCAATTGGATCTTTTGAGCTGCAAGTACAGTATCAACGCTTCTTTTCTTCTCAAGTGAGGGCTCAATACGGGCCGCTTCGGCGCCTTGACATGATATACCTAGAACATGCCCTCCCGCGACGCCTCTCCGCCCTTGGGGCTTGCCTTTGTCCTGTTGCTACAGATGCTGGCTCTAGCTCCACGGGAAGCTTATCTCCAGATAAAAGATGTCTAGTGGAGGGAAACAAGATGGATGGGGGTTGCTACAATGCGACATCGTGACAGTGACGGGTGATGGGCTCAAACAGATCACGGGCTCGTCGTCGTCGCCCGTCAAGCATCAAGCACTTGCGTCATTGCCTCGATTATTTCTCTCGTTTTTCTTCAACTCACGCCCCTCCCTCAAAATCTTTCTCTCTTCTTCTTATGTGTACAGTATGTTTCGTCCTCGTTCGTTTCGGCTCCGACGTTTTGGCATCTGCTGCGAGATTTGCGATCCCCCCCCTCCCTCTCACCCCCCGTTTTCGTTCCCAGCTTAGCTTGCCCGTAGAGTAGCACATGGGCATCTCTAGTCTGTCTGCAGACCTGAGCGAAATGCAGTAGATAACTCCGTAGCTTCTCAACAGACGCGAGAGACTCCCCTCCCTCTCGCTCTCCTAGTCTTGTAAGTGTGTGTGATTTTCCCCCACCTACGGCTCTTCCCACTGCGTTTTTTGCGGAATTTCCCTCGGTCTTTAGGGGGGCGTGTTTGAAAACAACCCCCCCGCTGCTTTTCTGCTATCTACGGCTACTACGGCTGCAGTTCGACGTCGTGCTCCCGCTCCTTTTGCTCTTGTGCCCCTTGCGAGGAGAGCAGCACCAGCAGGGGGATTGCGAGCGAGCAGAGAACGCGCCATGCAACTATTTTGCATAACGCCCATCTACATGTACTTTGTATGCAACAGGGAATCGTCCCATGTGGCCGGAGAGAGGGCCCTTGCGGATCAGCGTGCTTGTCACTGTTAACTCGCATTAATTAAGGCACAGGGCAGATCCAGGGTGCGCTGTGCTTCTGTTCTATGCAGAAACGGTATAAGATGGACGGAGGAGCGCGGCAGTTGAATTAGCCTGTATTGTGTCGATGAAGCACATTGCCCAATGAGGGCTACCAGGACGTTTCCTTCATTTATGACCAAGGGATTGAATATGCCATTGATATAGAGGCATGTTTTTGAATTTAATATATCGCATCGTAGTTAAAAGTCGTCATACTAGACTGTCTGTATGAACAAGAGCAGCTGGGCATTGGATAGCACCTATAAGAAAAGACTTTAGCGACCGCAAGCGTTAAAAATAGCAGCGACGCCTGCTACCCCACCCACTAATTCCAAGATCATCTTTCGCGAATAGTACAGAAAAGCAAAGGCAAAAAAGAATAGGAAAAATGTTTAAGAACAATAATGTTTCTTGATTTACTAGCTAATTTCAATTCCAGTTCGATAACTGTTTCCATTCCGTTTGAATCGCATCATATCGCGGCATATAGCAGCCCACTTGTTTGAAATTCGATCAAGGTATACTTTGAAAAATCACAATCTCTGTCGCCATCTTACTTCCTTCAGACCTTGGCAACATTTCCATCAAAGTACCCTTCCAAATAAAGAGAAAATAAAAGAGAAAAAATCAATCTGACAGCTGAGGCTCGCACTCTCTCAGGATCATCAAAGCCGCAAAATCTGCACCACTACCGCTGAATTCGCAAATCTGCTTCAGCACGTTGCATCTCTTCTTCACCCCGACCGAGAATTGGCCCACAATCACCCCCAGGATCTTGGTAGAGAGCTCCCGTGCCGACCAGCCATTCTTCATGTTACGAGTTCCCCAGAGGCCGATGCCGAGATACTCAGCACGCTGAGCATAATCGTAGCAGTCGGACCACGCGGGGATAATGACTTGAGGGATGCCGGCACTGTGATTTTGTGTTAAACCCTGTTAGCGAACTATAATATCTTGGAAGGCGTGGAAGGAAAAACTTACACAATGGCCTCATTGTAAGAGTTTGCTCCTCCATGATGAATAGAGCAGACGACAGAGCCGGTTCGAAATACAGCAAGAGGGTCGGCTTGGATCCATTCTTTGACTCGGATTCGGTCCTGCTGGAATGCTTGGCAGAGAACTTGCTCGATTCTGCATCCGGGCAGAAACACAGAGTATGCGCCATACTTTCTGAGCTTCCAAAGCACCTGGATACGACCCTTTTTGACATCTTTATCAAGCTCGTTGATGACAATCTTCAAGGCTTTCGCTAGCTCTACAGCCTGGTCCTCAGTCATCTTGACGAGGGTTCCCATGTTGATATAGATGGTTCGTCCCTCTGCGAGCCACTCAGCCAAGTCAGGCTCGGAGACCCAAACAGAGACCGGATGGCGAATGATGGGGCCACAGGCAACAACATGAGCGGGGATTTTGAGCGGGAAATCCAGTTGGGGGAGAGAAGCCACCAGAATCTTGACGTTGTCAGGGCGACGTCGGATAAGATCCATGGGAGTTTTGAGAACTGTGTGGGCGGTCAGGTATGACTGAACATCCTTTCTCTGGGGATCCTTCTTGAATGCCTTGGTAGTGAAATTGACATAGTATGCGTTCAAGAGGACCTTGTGCCAGGGGACGGGATACGGGAATCCGGAGAAGAGCCTTTAAAACAATTTTAAACAAACGTTAGCATAGTTTAACACTGATAGAGGAGAGAAAGGATGGGTACAGAGGCCGATAGAGAAAAGAAATTTGGACTTTACTTACGCAGGAAACTTCCAAAGTGTAGCTCCTCGAGGCTGTTCCAATGCTGCAAACTCCTTGATGGATTTAGGGCTCAAGCAAATGAACTTGACATCCAAATGATAACAAGCCGTCAAGCCAGCTGCCATGCAGCTGTTCACCACAATCAGAGTAGGGTCAACACTTCTGATGATGTTGACAATAGAGGCAAAGAGATCAACCATCTGGCGTCCCGTGTACGGCATGTGGACCGCAGCAGCATCTTTGATCGCTTTGCGAGTGTTTCTAAAACCAGGAGGTTGGATGAAAGACAGCGGGTAGGTAGGGCCGCTTTGCTTGCTGTTGAAGTGGTCTTGGACTGCCTGCATCAGCGGCAAGCCGTTGATCTGGTGATAGGTAGCACCTGCAGGAACATCATCATCGAAGCCAGGAGGAGTAGCGAGGTGGATTTCAACAGTGTAGTCTGCATCGCGGACAGACTGGGCGGTAGCGAGGAAGACGTTGAGCTCGCCGGGCTCAACATCCGTGACGAACAGGACTCTCTTTGGTTGAATTGCCATTGCGAGAGAGGCTTGAAGAGAGAGGAAGAAGAAAAGGAAGAAGAAGAAGAGGGGAGGGAAGAAGAGGGGAGAATGGGAAGGAAGGATAGGCGGTAGGGGATTTTGCCAGTCATTGTGCGCACCGCCTTGCCAGCTGCCAGCTGCCAGCAGTCACTCACCAGTCACTCACCCATCACTTTTTGCTCACTTTTCACTCACCTTTGCTAAGGCCTTTAAGCAGAGGGCTTTTAGACGAGCGGTGCAACATTTGCGTCTAAATTATAGTGCGAATCCGTCTACTGTATCTAGATGCTATTGTCCTGGGAAGCCGGTAGCAGATGTGCCGTACCACCAATTTATGCCTTGGGTGTACATATTGGCCGCCATCGAGTTTTAAATAATATACAAAGCTTGAAAATTCAATTTTATTAGAAGACGAAAGCGACTTGCATGCTTTCAGCGCTATGAACATGCAAGAACGGATAAATAAACGACGTTGTGGTTGGAGTTTTTGAATATAGCTGAAACCGCTTTTGGAGGCTTCCTCCTCCCTGCTATAGACATTTGCGGGTAAGACATCGTTTCCGGCCAACACTACCAAAAATTGCATCGGCTTTAATACAATTAAAAAAAGTATTTATTTGAAAATATACTATGCAGTAAAATACCAATGCGCAAAAGCAAGAAAAGGCCCTTTGGTGGTGCTGTCTTTAAATCAGCGCTTACTATCTGACGCGCTGTGATCAACACTCAGAAGCCGAAAAATAGCAGTCAAGTGTATTTCTTTGGCATAATTACATGCTTCTGGCTCCCATCTTTGATTCTCATCCGTCCAAATATGCTCTAATTCCATCACCAGCATCATGCCGCCTGCGCAAAAGTCCTCTCAATCGCCTCCGAAAGCTCCTTCACGGTCACTTCGTCTCTAGGAACCGTGTGGCCCTTTCCATGATCAAACAAAATGGCCGTGTCCTCGTCACATATCCCATAAAGCGCCACTGCACCGTGGATATACGGATCGCTGCAGCCGACTACGTGGCATGTCGGGATATCAATCATCACATCGTGCTCATCTGCGAGGAGCGTCTGGACACGCCCGTCGACGATCTGGACAGGGGGCCAGCCGGCAAAGAAGATGGCGCTCTAACAGGCAGTTAGCATGATGCCGACATCTCTATTGTATAAATAAAGGGGAAAGGGTTTCGAGAAGAGGGAAGAGGAGATGGGGCCTCGAACCTTGATGCGTCGAGGACGGCCTTGCTCTCTGAAGAGGCGCTGCTCTTCGAGAATCAACGTCGCTGCCGTCGTTGCTCCTTCAGAGTAACCAAGGATGCTCTTATTTTGGCCCACATCCCGTCAGCAAATCACATTCACAACTTACAGAAAGCGGCCAGAACTCACATCAATTTCCGGATCGTCATCCAGAAGCTGCAACAGCCGATTCATGCTGTCAATCACAGCTGGGGCAGCAAACTGCTCTTTATTTGCCACAAGCTTCCGCATCGTGTCTTCGGGCGAGCTTCCTTGAGGCATGTCTCTAATCTTAACAATCAGCTGCTCCAGCTCGCTCATGCCGTCAATGTCCATGAATCGGTACAGCGGCGGAGCGCCAAAGTAGTCGTCAAAGCCAGGCGGTGGCGTCGCTTTTGTAAACCCGTTGATCCATTTGAACTCGACGCCAGTTCGCGTTGTGGCATCGGTAAATATGCCAAGCTGGACTTTGAAGTTCTAGGTGTGTACAGGATAAAAAGTAATTAGCAACATGAACGGAGCCCGTATTTGGTGTTTCAAAACTCACAGAAGCACTGCCAAAGGCTCCGTGCAGACAGAGTACTTTCATGCTGGCCAAACCGATACCAGGTAAAAAATGATATGAATCGGACAAGCTGCTAGCTCAATTAAAGAGACAGAAGATGAGAGAAAATGTCTCCCTTTCAAACGCGTTTATCGCAGAGTGAAGCTTATCTTCTCGCAAGTATTTTGGGAATCTGTGCACTACGTCAATAATTAAGATCATCCATCCCCTGATTTGCCTTTGATTACGAATTGCATAACTAGTGTCGCCTTGCTTTCAAGGGATGAAATCGCGGTTGCCCGACGGCGGTGAAGTCGCGTCTAGTCTGAGACACTCTCGTGCCGTGTCGCTTTCCAACCAAGGTTTTGACGGGTTCGACTGCGAAGGGTAATAATCTGTACTTTTTGGCTGTAATAATGGTAGTATTACTACTATTTCCCTCATTCAACGTATTTTTTCGAGCAAAACGCGTCAGATACTGAGACTTGATCAGAAGAAAAAGAAGGAGGTGATCAACATCCAAGGCATGAATTTGTATCATACAGCAAGACAACATCCCATGGTAGCAACAGCAGCAGAAATTTGAGACAAAGCTCCAATTTTTGAAGACATCAAATGAGATTGTTACACAGACTGACGCCGTTTATTGTCCGAGCTGTCATCGTATTAGTAGGATAAGTGAATCTCTGGACAGCGGGTGCTCCCGTGACACTGAACTAAATTTTCATTCCTGGAGGCTCTTTTTAGACAGCTCTCACAATTTCACCAAAACACCATCTGCTCTTTTTTCATTTTCCTATATGGCAATAGCAAAAAAAAAGACCGCCAGCACTGTTCTCAAGCTTACCTTGGATGTAACTAGATATGACCTCCATTCAGACTCATGGACAGAATAGAGCGCCTGTGCGCTTCACAAAATTCGGCGATCGGTGAGCCCCAAAATAGAACTTACTAAGATAGGTATAATACAGACGTGAGCTATGACTAAGGTAGCTTTGAGTCGCCGCAAGTATATGCGTCCTATATGTAACCGTAATTTCGCTGATGTTGTACTGCATCATCGTAGTAGGAGCTCGGACATGAAATATAGGAGCATACCGTTTTCAGCTTTGCTCCCACCACACGTGTATGCCGAAATAGCTGGATTGATAGCTCGCACAACATGCAAACGCCTGAACGTCTGATGCTCCAATACTCCAAGCTCTCCAGCTTCACACTAGAAGTAATCCAGAGTCCCTCAGCTCAAGTCTTGCAGCCAACGCAGAAAGGAATTTAAAAGGCATCCATATATCCCTATACCAAAACTCCCTTGCAGCACGGAGACACGGCTTCAGGATTGGTGAGACATTTCAATCGCGGGATGAATCCAGGGCCACCTCTATTGTTGTACAATAAAACTGGTAATATACATGTTCAAAAACATGACATTGGCATTGGCATTGGCACTGGCTGGCAAACTGTAAGCTAAAGTTCTTGTAATACCGTCAGGGTAATTAATGGCGTTATTAGAAGCTCGAGCACCACAAACCTTGGATGCCAAAACGCCACGTCAATCCTGGTCAATATTTTCAACCTTAACATGTACGGTGAAACATGTTAAATGAATAGTGTCTCTCAGTGACCCCCTTTAAATGGTTATCCTTATTAAACCATGCGGTATAACAAAAGTCAATTCCGTAAAGCACCATGTCGAGTTAAATAATCTCCTCCCCGCCATTGTCGCTCCTCCCCTTTGGCATTGTTTTGTATCGCAATGTGAAAAGAGCCCTAGGCAAAACCTCGATTTGTTTTTTCTCGAGATCTCGAAAGAGACGCTCACCCACAGCCTCATCATGGCGTCTTCCAACGGGGACGCGCCCTCAAAGGCTCCTATGCCTCTCGCCATTGTCGGCATGTCTTGCCGCCTATCAGGTGGTGTGTCGACGCTTGACGACTTTTGGACCATGTTATCGCGTTCTCGTGACGGCTGGAGGCCGATTCCTGAAGAACGATACTCAGCCAAGGCATATTATCACCCCGATCCGCACAAAAAGGGCTGCTTCAACCAAAAAGGCGGATACTTCATGACAGGCGATATGTCAACGTTTGACGCACCATTTTTTAACATCACAAGGCAGGAAGCTGAAGCAATGGGTATGTGTATACGGATAGGTGTGCGCATATGTGAACTACAGTTGGCTCACTCTTATTGTTAGATCCACAACAGAGACACCTCTTGGAGTGCACGTATGAAGCTCTAGAGAATGCCGGTATTCCCAAGCACGACATTGCCGGCAGCAATATGGGCGTTTTCATCGGCGGCACCGCCTCGAATTATCATCTCGGTACCTTGAAAGAGGTAGATCAGATTCCAATGTATGATGCCACGGGTAACCACCAGTCCATCCAGGCTGGGCGCATCTCATACTACTTCAACTTGCACGGCCCTTCCTTTACAGCAGACACGGCCTGCTCATCCGGTTTATACGCATTGCATTTGGCAGTTCAGAGCATTCGTTCGGGAGACTCAGACTCTGCCATCGTCGCAGCGTCTAGCTTGCATCTTCAGCCTCATTATATGATTTCCATGTCCGGATTAGGGTGAGTTCGCGTTGTTTGATCGCATACAATACAGCCCTCTCTTGGACTGCTGAATAGATGCTAACGTTGCCAAGCCTTTTCAATGAACACGGAAAGACATTTGCTTTCGACCACAGGGCAAACTCAGGTTTCGCTCGAGGCGAAGGCACAGGCTGCCTCATTCTCAAACCACTTCACAAAGCGCTGGCCGACAACGACAAGATATACTCGGTCATTGTCAACACTGGTGTCAACCAAGATGGCAAAACCTCAGGATTGACGTATCCGAGCGGCGATGCGCAAGAACAGCTGATGCGCGATGTTTACGCCAGAGCTGGTATTTCACCACAAGATACTGGATACGTCGAAGCCCATGGAACGGGTACGCGGGCTGGTGATCCTATAGAGGCCAATTCCGTCCATCGTGTCTTTGGAGACGGGCGTACAAAGCGTGCTCCATTATACATGGGCTCCGTGAAGTCAAACGTCGGCCATTTAGAAAACGCAAGCGGGATAATTTCCATAATCAAAGCGTCAATGATGCTAGACAGGGGTTTTGTTCTTCCCAACGTCAACTTCGAAAAGGCAAACGAAGCGATCCCCCTTGATGAGTGGAACATCAAAGTTCCAACCAGTATCCGACCGTGGCCAAGGAACAAGCGTTTCATCAGCGTGAACAGCTTTGGATTTGGAGGCTCTAATGCACACGCCGTGCTTGAGAGAGTTCCAACGGCCCTTGCGGATCTTCCTCAAGACAATCAGAATACCACTCCAAGGTTATTTGTATTATCCGCTCATGACGAAAGTGCCGCCAAGAGAAAGGCTGAAAATCTCGGCATCTACATCGAGCAACACCCCGAAGTCTTCCAGAAGCGACTCGTCAACGACATGGCATATACACTTGGAGAAAGGAGGACGCATCTGCAGTGGCGCATCGCGATTGCAGCGTCTTCGTGTAGTGAGCTTGCAAATGCTCTCAACAGCATCAGCGCCACTCCTGGAGTAGTGGCCTCCAAAGAGCCAAAAGTGGCATTTGTATATACCGGCCAGGGAGCTCAGTGGGCGGAGATGGGCAAAGAGCTCATGGAAAGCCATCCAATTTTTGCCAGAGCCGTCGAGACTTGCAGCAACCATCTGCAATCAATTGGTGCCGAGTTCTCTCTGCTGGAAGAGCTCGCCAAGAGCAGCAAAGAGACGCTGGTCAACGAAGCACACATTTCGCAACCTGCATGCACGGCTATACAGATTGGCCTCACAAAGCTTTTGAACGCCTGGGGAGTTTCACCCTCGGCAGTCGTCGGCCACTCCAGTGGTGAAATTGGTGCTGCCTTTGCTGCTGGTGCCATCACCCTTGAGGACGCCATGTCTGTGGCCTATTGGCGCGGTAAGGTTTCCTCGGAAATGAAAGTCAAGCATCCCGATCTTCGAGGTGCCATGCTTGCTGTCGGAGCCAAAGCCGAAGACATTAGAGTCATTATTAAGACTCTGGGGCTTAAAAGGGTCGGTGTAGCCTGCGAAAACTCTCCAAATTCGATTACTGCTTCAGGAGACGAAGAAGATGTCGACAGATTGGCTGCTGAACTAGAGAGTCGAAGCATCTTCAACCGCAAACTGCGAGTGGCGATGGCATACCACTCTGCTCATATGCAACTAGTTGCTGATGACTACAAGGCTGCCATTAAATACGTGACATCCAAGTCCTCTTCGAATGCCGAGTTTTATTCATCATTATTCGGGAACAAGATTGGCTCGACATCATTACTCGATCCATCATATTGGGTCGAGAACTTGACAAAACCCGTCCTCTTCTCTTCGGCTTTCAAAGAGCTTTATCTTGGCACAGAGCCGGATATCGTCATTGAGATTGGCCCGCACTCGGCCCTTGAGGGTCCAATCAAGCAGATCCTGAAAACTATCAGCCCTCAGGTTGCTTTGGGGGTCAAATATTTGCCTTCTCTCGTTCGTAAACAGCACGCTACCTCATCCATCTTGAATTGCGCGGGTAGCTTATTTGTCAAGGGGCACCCCATCAACTTGCGTGAAATCAATCGCCCCAATAAAGGCGTCCGAGCCCCTACTCTTGTCGCAGACTTTCATCCGTATGGCTGGTCAGAGCACAAGTACTGGTTTGAGCCTCGGTCAGCTAAGCAGATGCGCCAGAAGCCATTTGGTCGCCATGATCTCCTAGGCCTCTTGGAGGACTCATATAGCGATGTTGAGCCTAGGTGGAAAAATGTCATCTCCACAGACGATGTGCCTTGGGTCAAGGATCATCGCATGCAGTCTCTAGCCACGTTTCCTTTGGCGGGCTATATCTGCATGGCTGTAGAAGCTGCATCACAGCGAGCACAGCTGCGAGGTATTCCAACTGCGCAAATCGAAAGCTTCCGTCTCCGAGAGGTTCAAGTGTCGAAAGCTCTCATATTAGACGACGGCGTTCCATATGAGACGGTGTTTTCTCTGAAGCCTTATGCCGAGGGTACCAGATCCTACTCCAGTGAGTGGGATGAGTTTCAAATTTTGTCGTGGAACTCAGCCAGAGGCTGGCTGGAGCATTGCAGAGGGTTGGTTGGCATCAAAAAGATGGCCCCAGCCAATCCAGTCAACAGTGCTTTGCTCCAAGCCGCCTCTACTCGCCGCCAGCACATCAAGGTAATGGACCGCCATCGAGTTTCCATTGATGATTTCTACTCCGAACTGGAGGCACGAGGAGCCGGATACAGCGGAGTCTTTAAAATTTCACCAGATGCTGACTTGAGGCTCGGTGAGAAATATACCACTGCCTCTTTAACAATTCCTGACACCGCAGCTACCATGCCGCTATCTTATGAAACAGCATCTATTGCGCCATCGGCATTCATCGATCTATTCTTTCAGCTCACATTTCCGATACTTGGTGCTGGCAGTGGCAAGATGCCTTCCCTTTTCATGCCCTCCGCCGTTAAAGAGATCGATATAAGCAGCGCGTTGCCAAACAAACCAGGCGATCGGGTGCAAGTCGTTGTTAACGGATACCTAGATTTTGAAGCCCCCGGACCCGTTGACTTTTTCATTGATTCCTGGCATCAAGATTCTACTACGCCCGTTGTAAAAATGAGTGGATTTAGGGTGACGCCAGTAAATGGCGATATCGTTGAGAGTATAAGTCCGCGATCTATCTGTTACAAGGTGGAATGGGAACCACTTGACAAGAGAGACAAGAAGCCGACTAAGGAAGACATAAAGAACGGCGCTACCAAAAACGGCCATAAGAGCAAGAACTCTGTTGAACAAACATCAGCCATCGGCAACGGGCAAAAGAACCACACCAATAGTAACCATCAAGCCTCCAATGGGACCAATGGCACCAATGGGACTAAAGCCCATTCAAACGGTCACCAAAGGCTTGAAAAGCCTCTTGAGAAAGTCAACGGAAATGGCGTGGAAATTGGCAACACCAAAAGATTGAATGGCCATTTTGCAGAGGACAGCGCGAATGATGGCTTCAATGATGTTGATTTCATCGTAATCTCCCACCACAATGAAAACCATCAGCTGGAAAGGGCTCTCTTGGATCTGCTAGCATTGCGCACTGCAAAGACTCCACGCCTAGTTGCCTTGTCCGATGTCGTTCCTGAGCCGACCGCTTGTTATATCTGCCTGTCTGAAATAGACAAGCCAATATTTGCCAACATGGGCGCTAAAATCTTTGACAAGTTGCAGAATCTGTTCACCGTCTGTCATTCCATGCTTTGGGTGACGTCTGGGGCATATCGATTTGCAGAGAGCCCAGAGAACAATATTGCGCAAGGTTTCTTGCGCACAGTTCGTTCCGAGGCAAACAAAGCCGTGGCGTCTCTGGATCTAGATCCCCATTCTAAACTCGATGCCCGTGATACAGCCGAGCTGATTCTTCGTGCAATCAAAGTCTCAGTTTCAACAGCCGAGGATGATGCTCCCATAAACTATGAGTTTGCGGAAGAAGGAGGCAAACTGATGGTGCCCCGCATTGTCAAGCAAGACGACATGAATCTTGCAATTTTCCATGATACAGAGACTTCAAATTCCCCACCTTATTTACAGCCATTTGATCAGGCTGGACGGCGTCTCACTGTGGCTGTCGGTACCTACGGTGCTCTAGACTCTCTGTACTGGAAAGACGAGCGTGAAATGGCTTTGGGTCCTGAGGAGGTCGAGATCAAGGTGGCGTGCACAGGAATGAACTTTAAAGATGTTGTCATTGCCATGGGTCAAGTATCCAGCCCGTATCTCGGCGTCGAATGCAGTGGCACCATATCTCGCATCGGTTCTCGTGTAAATTCTCTGAGAGTCGGCGACCGAGTCTGTGCCATGTCTCTGGGGGCATATGGCACATACTCTCGATGTCTCGCCTCTAGCGCGGCTGTTATTCCCAGTGACATGAGCTTTGTGGTGGCGGCGTCAATCCCCGTGGTATACTGCACCGCATATTACGGCATCGTGGATCTCGCCAGGCTAGAATATGGCGAGAAGATACTGATTCACGCTGCATCTGGCGGCGTCGGCCAAGCAGCTATCCAGCTAGCCCAGATGGTAGGGGCTGATATTTATGCCACTGTTGGCAGTGCAGACAAAAAGCAATTCATCATGGATAAATATGGCATCCCAGAGAGCCGCATCTTCTACAGTCGAGATACTGCATTCGGGCCAGCCCTTCGAGAGGCTACAGGCGGCTGCGGAGTCGATGTCGTGCTCAACTCGCTTGCAGGCGACCTTCTTCGCGAAACGTGGAACTGCCTTGCACCTTTTGGGCGCTTCATTGAGCTGGGAAAGCGAGACATCACGAACAACACAAGACTTGAGATGGCTAAGCTCGAGTATAACTGTACCTTCAGCTCGGTTGATTTGACTCTTGTTGCTGCACAGCGGCCCAAGATCTTGGAACGTGCTTTTGCGTCAGTCATGCGACTCCTCGAGAGCAAGACAATCAGGCCCATTGAGCCCATCACTTCCGTCAGCATTCAAGATGTCGAAGGAGCACTTCGTAAACTGCAAAGTGGCAAGACGGTGGGAAAGCTCGTGGTGACACATGGTGGCTACTGCCAAGTCAGGGCTACACATCCCCCGCCTCGCTCGGACATGCTGGAGCGCGATGCGACGTACATAATTATTGGTGGAACTGGAGGCTTGGGGCGCTCCATCACGCGACGAATGGTCCGCCGGGGTGCTCGACACATTGTTTTGCTCTCTCGAGGTGGTAAGATGACAAATGATGTGAATAAGCTGATGAAGGAGAGTCGAAAGTTGGGTGCCTCGATATACGTGGTGCCTTGCGATGTTGCCAATGAGAAGAATGTTTTGGAGCTGGTGGAGCAATTGGAGGATGATCTTCCGCCCATTAGGGGCATTATTCATGCCGCCATGGTTCTAAGAGTATGTCCTCCTCTCAAAGCCCCTGTGTAGTCCAGCCACTAACAAATTTCTTAGGACGTCCTTTTTGAGAAGATGACTTTTGAAGATTATGAAGCTGTTGTCCAAAGTAAAATATCAGGAGCGTGGAACTTCCACAAGGCCCTCATGAAAACTCGGCTCCAGTTCTTCATTGTCCTCTCTTCCGTTGCTGGTATAGTGGGCAACCGAGGCCAAGCACATTATTCTGCGGCAAACACGTATCTGGATGCTCTCGTCCAATATCGGCGCCGCCATGGCCTGACAGCCGCATCTATAGATCTTGCTGCTGTAGAAGGCGTTGGTTATTTGGCTGAGAATGGAGCCAAGATGTCACAAGTAATGAGGAACTTGTCGGACAACACCCTGGGCGAGGCAGAAGTTCTGGCATTGATTGAATCTGCAATGACAGGAAAAGTCGACGCTTTCTGTCAAGGCCAAGTCATCACCGGGCTAGGCTTTGATAATGCGTCGTCGATGCCATTCTATGCATCGGATGCCAAATTCTCTCATCTGCGTGAGGCCTTGCTCGCCGCATCAGCCGGTGCCGAAGTTTCTTCGGGATCCGAGAGCTTGTCCATTTCTCAGCAGCTCCGCAGATGCAAGGCTGTGGAGGAGGCACAGGATATCGTGACGCTTGGCCTTCGCGACAAGCTCGGCGCCATTCTGATGCTGTCGGAAGAGGTGATGGCGGCACGACAAGGAAACACGTCCATCACTGCCTTTGGGCTGGATTCTCTCAATGCGATTGAGCTTCGGAATTGGATTGGAAAAGAGCTTCAGGCTCACTTGCAGGTTTTGGAGCTGCTGACTAGTGGGCGAGTTGCGGATTTGGCTGGTTTGGTGCTGCGAAAGTCGAGAATCGAAGGAGTTTGGACCAAGAAGTAAGACGGATTTATGATTATCTGGCCAAGGCAAGATTGTTAGCTGCTGCATGGGCAAAGCGAATTATAGATTAATAATTTCAATTGATCATTACCAACCATTTGAATCTTTTGGTAGAATAAAATATCTTCTTTTTCTTTCTTTGTTTGATGGTGGTGATGGTTCCCCGCCAAAAAAGTTACAGTGACGTGCATAGACTGCTGCTTCCTCAGGAACCGCGGGCGCAATCGATAACGCAAATCTTCTTATCTAAGCGAATTCTACGCGACTTTACCCAGATAGGCAATTATCTTTTCATACAGAAAGCGCACCTCGGTAATCAAAAGGCATCAAACTATTGCTCACGCCGCAAAATAGTCGCTTACAACACAACATTTTGTGGCGACAGGACGCATCTTAAAAAAGCAGCGAGGCTTGCGGCATCTTCCGTAGGGCGCTAAACCCCTGCTGAACAATTTTGCCAGAAGAGGAAATGGGGATGCACTGGCCCGCCACTCGCCCTATTCCGCCCTTGGAAAAGGCCGGTGGAGATGCTTCAGCAGCTGAGATCGCGGTGGTGACATCAACGGCGCAAACCTACCCTGAGAGACTGGAATTGCCAAAAAGGGAAATGGAAGAGAGGCACGGGATCGACGATAGTTTGTAATGTGGGGAGGCCCTGATGCGAAATAGGTTTTGCTCGTGCTATTGAGATTTGAAATTCGAGATTCTGATGCGCATCTTGCACAATTCGAAAAGGTATATATAGATGCGATGGATTCTCGGAAAGTTGGTTTATCCCATCCAGCATCACAGCATCAGCACAACAAGCAAAAACCATCAACGCACCATCAAACCGACTACCAACCACCAGCAAAATACCTTGCAATCCCTCCACAAAGCATACATACCATCATTCACCATGAGCAACAACGTTCAATCCAACAATCTCCCTCTTTCTGGCGTTGCCCGAGATGGCTGGTCAACCGAGACCGAAGCCACAGCCACCTGCTTCTGCGGAGCTGTGCAAGTGGTAGTTGTATGTTGCCTACCCTTCTACATCATTTATATTACTACATTGAATACGGAAACTAACACCTTGACAGCCCATTGTAGCTCCAGGCCTGGTCAACACCTTTGTCTGCAACTGCTTCGACTGCCGCAAAGTCACCGCGTCCATGTTCGCCTCCAACTTCACCATCGACAACTCCTACCTCAAGTTTGTTCGTGGCGAGGACAACCTCACTCGCTGGGGCAACAACAAGACGCCCACTTCTAGAACCGAAATGACCAACGGCTTTTGCAAGACCTGCGGCACGCTCATGTACCGCAGGAGCGAGGTTTTCCCCAACCAGAGCTACATGAGAATCGGCACCGTTGACGACTTCAACCTGCACGAAACCAAGCTCAAGCCCGAGGTCGAAATCTTCACTGATAACCGTGTGGGCTGGTGGCACGGAGTGGATGGAGCCAAGGCCATATCAGGTGCTCTCACGAGTGCCTCCAAGTGACTGCGCGAGAGGAAGACGAGATTGTAAATAAGTATTGGCCTAAGCATGTACTATACTATACATATACAATAGAGGTGTTGGCGGGGGGTGTTCTAGATTGGTGAATAGACTTTTCTTCTTCTATTACTCCGTATTACTATATGCATCCTTCTCCTGCCTGACGTGTCAGAAATGTGGCTGCTTACCGTACAGCCGCATTGCATACCTAGATATTTAAGCATAGCTACATGCTTCGTATATGTGCTAATTACCCACCAGCATCTAGTAAGACAAAGACGCATCCAGGTACTCAATACGAAGTAGAGGGCCTCCCTTCAGCTGTTCCTTGGGCTCGTGTGGTAAATCATGCGTGGTGCCGAGAACATGATTGGTGCAACCATGGCCAAGAAAAAGAAGCTCTTCCCGTGTCTCGCGGTGAGTTATCCGACTCGAAGCGGTGGTTCCGTCATACATTCCGCCGTCACACAACACCATGATGCCACCTTTTCCGCAGCGTTGCATTTCAGGTGCCGACGTGGCACACGGCTTAGCTTCTTAGTGGCCTAATGCAGCGGAATATTTTCTCCAGATGGGCGGGATGGAGCGGGTGCAGCACTGCAGCCATGTGCCGATGACACCCTATGGGCTGATGCCGAGGCCGAGATGCGACTTTTCAACCTTCAGCTCTGATGAGGCAGCTTGAGCTCAAGGGAACATTGTGCTGCTGATACTCTGATTTTTTTCTGTTTCCTCGAATCCTTCCCAAGGCTGAGCCCTTGGCACGAGAATTGTCCAAGAGTGAAGCCCCGCATCTCAAAATACGATGCTTGGCGCGTCGATCCCGTCCAAGAGCTGCTCCGTTAGCGACTGGCTCTGCCTCACTTACAGCCGACGCCTTATTGTGCTCTCTCGTCAACCTGCAGTAGTCGATACATTACGCAATAGAAAGATCGAGACATCATCCTTCGGCCCTCGTATTTGTTGTACGACTATTTCATGCGCTTTAGGCCGCTGACTCGAAGGCTTCACCGCTAGGTAGATGCTCTTTTGGGAAACGCGGTGTTCGTATTCTAAGAGGCCTTAAGCTTAACCTGGAAACTTGGGTAGCGCAGATCCCCCGGGATGTCGGTCGTTGGGGTGGGGAGACGGCCGCTTCTGTCAAAAATAATCCGTCTTGGCCGTAAAGAGAACATCGACTGAGCGGATTGCTCGGTTAAGGCTCGAGTGAAGCGTCATGAGTGAAGCGTCATGAGTGAAGCGTCATGAGTGAAGCGTAGTATTGAGGCTCAATACAGCCTGACGCTGTGAATCTCTAGAGGTATAAAAAGGGCAGACGTTTCCTGTTGAGATGATGTTTAGAACCACCATTCCAAGCTCTCAAGCCCTCAAGACTCACAGCAAATCTTCTTAACAATCTCAACAACACCTTAAAATATTCTCAAAAAGAAAATTCCACATCAATCAACATGAAGTTCACCACCACTGCCGTTGTAGCAATTGCTGCTTTCGTTGAGTCGGCTTCTGCCCTCGGCAAAGCCCGCGTTGTCAACAAGTGCCCCTACAGCGTCACTCTCTGGTCCGTTGGCAGCGCCATCTCTGCGCCAACAACCCTCGCTCAGGGTGGTTCATATGGCGAGACCTTTTCTCGCGATCCTGTCACCGGCGGCCGTGCCATCAAGGTCACGATTCAGTCCGATGGCCTCTACACCGGCAAGCCAGAGACCATTTTCGCCACAAATCTCCAGGACAACACCATCTGGTATGACCTTTCGGATGTCTTCGGTGACGCCTTCAACGGAAAGAAGGTGACTGTTTCAAGCGCAAACACTGCGTGCCCTACAATCACTTGGTCAAACGGTGTTCCTCCTGCGGGAAGCCAAGTCAAGAACTGCGGCGCGGATAAGGATGTGACTCTGACGCTGTGTGCTTAAAACAACACACTAGCTAAAGAAAGAGTATAAGTGGGATCATGGTGTAATCATAGAGTTGAGCCTGGTCAGGCGTATGTTAGTAACGAATAATGACATGAATTATGAAACTTCTCATCCGTCGCATATTTGGTGAAGACTCCACCTGCATTCTCCAATCTCAAAAGTTGAGAATAATTCACAAAGTCGCTCAACTAGTATCATTGTGAATTAAGTTATGAATCGGAAAAACGAGTGTAGAAAAGAAGAAGAAAACTCACTGCTTTGACCACGTGTAGCGACTCGTTATATGCAGATATGGAACTTGTATAACCAGCCCTCCGAAAGATCGCCCACAGCTGCCATAGCGAGACTATCTAATAACACTCATCGGGCTCTGTTTCAATGCGATATAGAACCAGTGTACCGGTTGCTGCGGCTATGGTGGTACACAAGTAAGCCCATTGCTGGATTCGCCCAGTTGCCGCTAGGCTCGATCATATAGCCTGAGGTAGTTGTAGATGACATTTTAGTTTGAATTATGGATTGAGACTCGCATTTTCCTGACAATAGCAAAAAAAAAAAAGTGTGCCGTCGATTTCGATAAAAAAAGAATTCTCCGATACTGGGAATCGAACCCAGGGCTGCTCGGCACTCCAAGAATGAGAGCGAGCGATGTTAGCCACTACACCATATCGGATGTGTCTCATGGAGGTTGTCGTACTATTTCTCTTTATGCAGCGTCAGCAAGTCAGCTTTTTCGATGGCTTCTCGTCTCTCGTCGTTTTGTCCTTCTTTTCGACCCATTCTATATATAGAGGAAACCGTTTTGCGCGCCTTGACTTCATGGTACGCTGACAATAGGCTATGACATTTCTCGTGCCTTGCGAAATATCGTATACGCCAAGGGATGTTAAGCTTGAGCCGTTCATTGCTGCTTTCCTTTGATCTTCGACAACATTGATGCAGCCGTATTTCGACGTCTTTTATCGTATAACCTGAGTTGGCGCGTTTTCCAAGGCCAATAACCAGGAAAAAAGCACGGGATAACAAGCGACAAATGGTTGTTAAATCGAAGGCTTGTTCGTCGTAAATGTAGGAGTTGGTGTTCAAAATTCACGGGTACAGTGGTGCGGTTCTAACAGTTTAATGCCGAGTCACCTAGATTTCGGTCATGTTGGTTCGTTTCTTTGACTATTTGGTGCTTTCGAGAGGAGATATTGCTTAACTCTGCCGTAGAGAAACTCCAGCGCCATGCTTGCCCAGCTCTATTGTGGTTTCTTCTTGTAAAAACCAACCAGATCGCAGAAAAATCATTGATCACAGCTGAAGTAGACTCGGTAGGGATCTCCGAAATTAGGAAGCCCTTGGGTTGATAGTATGTGAAGAATGTATAGGTAAAGAACCAGGTGGACTGCCAGCGTGGCATTGGTGATGATGTATGCAGGTTATAATCACGTGAGTGGATTCGTTTGCATCAGATCTTCAGTACCTACCCATACAACGCTTTAGCAGCTGGCTAATTATATAAATATCTTGTAATAAGATCCATAAGATCCATAAATTCCGTTTAATTCGCGGAGGCTGATATTGATGGTATTTACTTTTATATAACGAATTTGTGTCGCAAGTACTCCAAAGTGCCGAGGAAAGTATACGTTTAAAATCACAACTATATTGAACGTTGAGCATTCCTACATGTACCTATATACAACCATTAAACTCTACTTCAAAGCTTCTTATCTATTTACATTTCTCTCTCTTCAAGAAAAGTCCAATCCAACTATACCATCCACTCTCACCTCGATGTTGCATCAGCCGTCCAGTTGTATGCCATGTTAAATGGCTGAGTGAGCATACTCTCGAAATCCTTGGGATTGTTCACATCACCATAGACCTTTGCCGCACGAACCAAAAATTGATAAGTTCCCGCAGGAGTGGCGATGCCTTCTTGAGTCATGCCAGTGTATGCAACAATCCATTCTCCCTTTGGAGCAAACGGAATAGGGAAGCCGGGCAGGGTGCCAACGATATCAGCACCAAGCACACTCGTTGTGTTCACCTTGGCCTTTGTATCGCCAACAGCGACGAGGTCGACTCGAAACAAGGGAGATCCAGCATCAATCTGAAGAAGAATTGCCGGATAATCGGGCAAAGGCACAAGAGTCTCGTTCCACACCGTCGAAGTTGGAACTGGTACGACATATGTATAGTTTGCAGGGACTGGGTCCAACACGAACACAGTTTCTCGAATCATGTAGTTGAAGTCTGTATCCAGTACGGGGAGCTTGGCCAGGCTGCCTACGACACCCAAGTATGGAATAGCAAGATTCTCGCCGCTCGTAGCGTTGAGGGTGATGAATCCGCTATAAACAGGTATTTCCGTCGCATTCAATCCATGAGGAGGGGTTGCAACGACAGTGACAGCGGCTGAGCCTCCTGCTGGGACTGTGATCTTCTTTTGCGAAAAGGCAAGGCTGGCTGCAGCGCCATCGGCGATGGGATTCGGGAAAGGCGCAGAGTAGTGGCCAGTAGAGCCGTCTCCAAATGTGTACATGGTGAGAGTTGGGTTGTGGCCGATTGTGTACGTGACACTCCTCTTTCCTGTGTTCTTGATCTCGAAATTTGTCTTCTTGACGAAATTGTCTGTGTCGTTGAAAGAAATGCTTGAAACGCTAAGTAGAGTTGTTGCGTGAGCAGCATCATAGGCCTGAGCCAGCCCACCGCCCTGTTGCGCAACGGGGGCAAGCTCATTATACAGCGTTGTTCCGTCATAAAATGGCAGCTGAAGCGCTGTCGATGACAGCACATTCAAAAGAGTCTTGGGGTCTTTGGTACCCCGTGCCTCCATCAGCAAGGCATAAATCGATGCCATCAGCGGCGTAGCCATGGAAGTGCCACTGTCAACGGCGTAGCTACCTGCCCATACTGGATACGTGGAAAGAATAGAGCCTCCTACCGTGGAGATTGAGGGGTTGACATCTGCTTGCCATGTTGGGCCCCAACTAGTGAAGGTATCAATGGTGTTGGGATTGGTGGGATTGGGGAGGAAGCTTGAGCCGGTGGGTGCAGATTCCGAGTCGAAAAAGGTCAGGTAAAGCTCTTTGCCGCCATCTAGTTGATCAATCCAGATTTGACCTTGCAGTTGTGTAGTCATTCCGAAGCCTGCGGCGTCCGAGCCAGGAGCATAAGTGCTGCAATCAGGATCTATTAGCTCTATTCTACAGCTAGGAAAAGGCAGACATTGACTTACTGTCCTGGCGCGTCAAGCCAGTACAAGATATTCTTCGCATTGTTATTCTTTGCCAGGAACTCTGCAACAGTCCAGGTATCGCAAGGGCCAAGAGTATACTGAACAAGAACAATGTATCCACTGAGGTCGGCCGGCGCATTGCTATTGAGAGGGTTGCAGGAGGCAAAAGTGCCATCTGTGGTGACATTGGGGGTGATTGCGAACAGTGGCAGAGTGGTATTCGGGAGTGGATTTGCTCCATTTGCATAAACAAACGGAAGCTGGCCGGCTGTGGAAGTTTTATCCGTGTTCACATATCCAATGGTGCCGTAATACGGTGTCATGGTATTCTCGACAGACGATACTGCTGTCACTCCTTTGCCGTTGGCCGGAGTGCCTGCAGTAAACAGTCCTGCCGAGCCGGAATTGCCGTTGGCAACCGCAACTGGGACGCCGGCATCTACGATTCGTTGCAAGAGAACCGAGAATGAATCTTCCGTCCAGCCGGAGGCTCCACCAAGAGAAAGTGAGAGAATGTCTGATCCGTCCTCGAAAGCCTGAGTGGCTCCAGCCATGGCAACATCGGCTCCAACATCACCAGTGCAGCCAAAGACTCTGTACATGCCAATCTCTGCTCCAGGGGCAGCGCCAATAATTCCCACAGGGTTTGATAGAGCGCCAATGATGCCAGTGACGTGTGTTCCATGGCCAGTACAGTTCGCATATGGCTCAGGTCCAGGAACAGGAGTATTGGAGCCATCGTAGTCATCACCAACCAAGTCTGTTCCGTAAGTGACTACACAGCCTTTGCCAAAGCATCCACCCAGAGCAGGGTGGTTGAAATCAACTCCAGTATCGATGATGCCGATCTTGATACCCTTGCCCGTTATTCCTGCATTGTGAAGTTTATCGATCTGAACTGCAACATGGGGCGAATAGGTGTCGTTGGCGGACTTTGCTCGGCGGATGATGTTTGCAACTTCATCTGAGTGGCTAGAATCGCTACTTGGAGCAGTAAGCGTTGCGTTATCAGGGCGCTTCAGCAGATGAACAGGCCAAGCTTGCTTCACAGAAGGGACTGATGCAATCCTGGCAGCCGTCGAGAATGGATCAAGATTAATGGAATCCAGCTGGAAAGAAGCTCCCTTAAAAATTGTGGAGTTGATGCTCAATCGCTTGGTTGCAGAAAAGCCGTGTCGATGAAGATCACCAAACAAAGCATTTTCATCCTGCCCGAAGACGTATGTCAGAAATCGAACCACCACATCATGAACCGGACGAATAGGATACTCAGAAATGGTAGCGCATTGAGTAGAAATTGGGGTAGAAACTTACATTCTCATCTTCAAATTCAACAATGTAGGCGCCCGGAACGAAAAAAGATTGACTCTCTTTTGTCCACTTTTGTCCTTTGGATACTCCTTGGACACCTTGAGCAGCTACACCAGTTACATCTGCCAGAAGCAGGCCCAAGAAGGGCAGCAAGCGTAGATATGCCACCATTCTGTCTTTGCAACAGTCGCAAGCTTTGGATCAGCAATCATATGCTACCTTGGCTAGCTTGAGAGAATGGTAGAGAGTGAGCCACTTTCAAAGCTTATATACTTGCATAAGTGGCGATCCAAAAGTAGAGCCATACCTGATGCCTACCAGCGCCCGTAACGTCCCATTTGCGTCCTCATTCATGCTTAACAGTGAACACCCTCTTAGACATGGTGAGCTGCCGTTTACGATAGGTTTGTGGGGTCTTGGTTTTCCAGTAGTTGGCCGAATAGCGACTGGACTTCCGATGCTACCGCAAAATCGTACATATATGTACCTGGAGTAACAGTGGTGGGTTATAGTTATCTACCATCGCCGGTCCTGCGGATTCAGGTACAGCCTATCCGCGGTGTGACACGGCAAATGTAAATAGGCCTCCAGTAAGCTCATCACGATTCAAAGAGGAAGGTCGGATTGGATCCGATAGCTGTGCCAACATCTATTGTGAACAGTATCTGCGTGTATTCCGGCGTTCCCAGTCAGCACTCAGGGACCTGCTAAATAGGGACGTAGAAAGCTTACCTTGACCAGGCATAGGGCTTAGCTTTGCCTGCTTCAGATCACGGAATTCTTCGTCTCTCTGACATGAGTTCATCCTACGGGTATTAATCTCAAAATTGCTTCGTAGTATCGTTTATATTGTGGGGCAGAAAGACCCCGGCTCCCGGTCCAAGATGATGCGATTTGCGAACCAAGCGGGCGTGCTGGCGTACCGGGACGAGTTGCGCAATATTTGGCATTCAACTTGTGGACTGTTACCGAATCGAGATGGCTAGCGAAAATCACGAAAAATAGACGTGTTCCTGATCCTTGGCAGAGCCCTAGTCTATCAAAGACTAGAAGAAACATTGAAGTTTGTACCTATTCCAATCCTGTTGTCAATAATATTGCATGAAATATTTTACACAGCATTGTAGAAGATAGTTTACTATATCCCGATATAGTCTTCAACGTCGTATTTGAGCAGTAATAGTTCCTTCAAAAGACAAGTCGCAAGTATTGTCTTTTAACGGATGGCGCCACTGCGTTGCCTGAGTGCCATGCGTGTAAGATGACGCTAATACATTCCTAAAGCAGCAGTTGCATGTCCAAGAGATCATTTCTGTGATCCAATTATGGGGAAAATTATCTGTCAAGGCCTGTATTCGGCGGGTAGCATGCTCATATGCGTTCGTCTATGCAAGAGGCGATTGGGAAGCTTTGAATCCGAAAAAACGCTTGGGGGGACCAAGTCCATGCGAGCCAGATTTCATCCCTGATTGTAAGTCTTGACTCGTGCTTGCGCAGTGAAAACATCCTGGCTGTGCCATTCGTCATATAATTCAGCTCCGGCTCTTTCAAGCAAATCGCTTGTTAGAAAGGCCCATAAACCTTTGAACGTTTTCAAGTACAGATCCCGTTTGCCAACCGATTGACGGCAGCGTTGGGCTAAAAATAAGTCATAGAGCTTCAGCAATGGATCATCTTCGAGCTGACTACTTTGTCTTGGATTCTTTAGGCATTATGGGTCTTGGCCAGCCATCTTTGCAGGGTATATCAGAGTCAACATTTCTCCGCCATCCAGGATTAATCGACAGAACATTTCTCAAGGAGGAGAAAAGCAGTTGCCGTGATTAGTCTGTCTTGTACGCTGGACTCCAAATATAAGTCCTCGCAAGGTGAGGCTGTTGTCGTCGGAATCTGTGAGATGGTATCCGGAAATTGGCAAACTCATATTTGTGCAGTATTCTTTGCCAAATTGGGCTGATGTTGGCTCTAAAATGCGAGAATCGAAATCAAGCACGCAACAAAGAGTGTGAGCTCAACCAATCCGCAGTCAAAGCCATCGATCATCAGCCATAGGCGCTGTCTCTGCACAAACACCGTCTTTTCTAGCTGCCAAACATGCTGCACGCAGGCAACAATTTCTTCAAATGTGGCACAGAAGCTCGTTCGGACTCGGCGCATCTAGGTAGGCCTCTTGATATCGAAGTAGGGGGCGACTTGTGGCGATAGAAGGAACGCCATGGAGTGCCATTACGAGACTCTGTTATCGTCTTTGGATCTTGAGAACTGGAGTGTAGTTTATTGCAGTCGATTGTCGGCGTTCTCTGCTTCTAAAGTAGCCGGGTCGCCAAGAGCACATTGTTTCTTCGACGATCGTAAAGAATCGGATGTTGGCTCACGGGGTACAAGCTGCAGATATATTTTGATAGTCAGAGAATGTAAGAATTCAGTCCTGAGGAAAAGACATACCAAGTTGATACAGCATCAGACAAAGATCGAGGACGAAGCGGATATTCGGGCTACTCGACTTTTGCTCCTCAAGATGCTGGTAAAACAAAATTTGCCCATGATCAGGCTCTTGAAGCACTTGCTCTCGATTAAACAGAAGTTCTTCCTATCGGGTCGTTCTCCGGCTCGAGTTGCAAGAAAACGTCATGGGCAGTCGGGGAATTGCGCCTTCAGTGACGAAACGAAGCGATAAATGCTAGAGTTGTCCATTTGCAGCCACAGGCATCGAGTAGACGGGAGGTGGTGATGGAGAGAAATAAAGACGACCATGAAGAAGCATGAAGGACAAATTAAAAAGCAGCTGTTTGAGGTTCGTGCGTATGGCAGGCACAGCCAAGGCCTCCGGTTGACAGCTGACTTAACGACTGTCAACTGCAAAAGTGTACCTACTAGTAGTAGTGCCCCAATACAAGGCATCTGGTACATCTCCAACTCCCACGCTTGTTTTCTCCATCTTCAGCTCACAAAGTAGCCCAGTCTAAAACAAAAATCCTTCGACGTTACATTCACCAGCCTCAGTTTGGCAGCTTCTCAACTACAGCTCTCATCTCGGCTATACGGCTGCCGATAGCTTCAAGCCCAGTGTCGACTTCGTACTAGCCTGCCGAAACAATAGAGCGATCCGGAAGCCGATCTGGATATGTGACCCCCACTTCACTAATACGTAAACTGGGCTGGTTCCTCTCAAATTTGGTGTTCCAACAGGAGGACTAACCTGAGCCGTGTTAACGATCTTCTATCAAGGTAAATCACAAGTTGCCTGTGCATTCGATGTCATTGGTGGAATTGACTGACACATTGACAGACTGCATCTCTTATCTATCGCGGTGCTCTTCGCGCTTAATTCGTCGTCAATCCCGGCTAAAGCTCCGCTTCAACCCGGTCGTTTATCCCCATGGGGTTGTTAACTGTAACGTTACGCGGTTTGATAGAAGATCGGTGAAGATGATGGCCAAATTGAGAGCATCATGGCATTTCTATTTATGGATTGTGACGGCCTTTTTTTGGCATCAAGGGCATTGCTTGAAGAGGTCGATGCTTGGTGGAAGAGAAGCATTGTTGCAGCAATGAGGTTCCTCCTAGTAGCCGTGGGATTGGCTTCCCTAGGTAGTATCCCAAATCAAATATTCAAGTCTAGAGTTTCGTCGAGTTCTAACAAAGGAGATAGCTCGCTCGCAACTTCTTGGAATACCGACTGTGCCATTCACCATCACCTCTGACAAGACATATGATTTGAGGAATCTGCATACCATCATTGTTGACCTCTCGCATTCTTCTACACGTGACCAAGATGGCCTCACCTTGATTCCCCCTTCTCTGTGGGAGTTTGCAGAGACTTTTCAGGGTGATCTTGCCGGCATTGGAGTCAACGCAGTGGTGCTTCCAGGCATCAAGGCCGTTTCAAATGCAATTTACCTTACACTCGATAATGACAAATCGCAATTCGTCAATGCCGCGGGAAACAAGACTTCAGAAGGCTACCGTCTCTCCGTCACTTCTTCGGGAATCACCATTAGCGGCGCAAGTCCTCTTGGAGCATGGTGGGGAACGCGAACAGTCCTGCAGCAAGCGTTGATCAATGATAAGAAGCTGAAGATTGGGACGGGCATTGATTCTCCAGGATGGTCCGAGAGAGGCATGATGGTAAGCAGCTCACATGAAAAATCCAGAGAGTAACTCATCTTGAGAAAAGATGGCTAACTATTTGCCATGATTCGCTTGCTCAGTTGGACGTTGGTCGTCATTATTACCCAGCAGACTTCCTCGCAGAGCTGTGCTCTTACTTGTCATTCTTCAAGCAAAACGTCCTTCATCTCCATCTCAGTGACCATGTCTGGGATCCCGCCAAGCTCGGTAGCCATCAACTTGCTCTCGAGCTCTACGCAGGTTTCCGCATCGCCTCCACAGACCCAGCAGTTGCTGGTCTCGCACGCCCAACAAACGAAACATACAGCCCTTCTGTATTCGACAACTTGCAGCAGAAATGTGCAAGCCGCGGCGTAACCATCTTGCCAGAGTTTGAATCGCCAGGCCACTCGATGGCAACCACAGACTGGAGGCCCGAGATTGCTCTCTCCGACTTTAGTATGCTGAACTTGAGCCATCCGGAGACGCTTCCCACGGTCAAGTCTTACTGGAAGGCTGCTATTAACAACTTCCACTCCAAGATTGTGCACATCGGAGCGGACGAATACGACAGCAACTTTATCAACGAGTACAGCACTTTTGTCAATGATATGAGCGAGTACATCCAATCCATCTCGGGCAAAAGCACTCGTATCTGGGGCACTTTTCCTCCTTCGCATGCACCAGGCTCCATCAATGTCAACAAGGACGTGACGGTTCAGCACTGGCAGATTGGCCAGGATAACGGACTGTTCGACTTTATCGACAACGGCTACACCATTGTCAACAGCGATGATTACTTTTACTTGGATCTCAAATACTCAGACGGCAACCAATATCCTAAAGAGCTCGACATCCAGCGCGTCTTCCACGGATCTCCCGACGGCAGTGCGTTCGCTCCCAACATTCTCGACGCCGCCAACGCAACCAACAACCCTCCTCGAGACAGCCCCAACGTACTAGGGCACTTGGCTGTTGTGTGGAATGACTGGGGCCCAAATGCCAGCACTTACCACGAGGCCTACTACATGGTTCGCAATGGTTTGCCAGCTCTGGCTGACAAGCAATGGGGCGGCTCGCTGCAAGAACAGGACTATGCTGGTCTATTTGCCACTCTCCAGCCTGCAGTGCCGGATCAAAATCTCGATCAGCGGATTCCCTCCAAGGGTCCAACAATCCTGTCTTACGCCTTTGGCAGCAACATTGTATCGTCTTTAACAGCCACTGTCCGAGATGGCTCCGGGAATGGCTACCACGGCAGCCTCGAAAACGGCGCCTATGTGAGCGGCGGCGCTCTCCAGCTCAACGGACGCAGCGCCCATCTCAAGACGCCTCTAACAAGCAAGGGACGAAACTACACGCTTTCTTTTTCGGTGCTTCCAAAATCCCACGGCGGAGCGCTCTTCTCAGGCCCCGACAGCAGCTTCCTCAACGGCAACGGCACGTCAACCAACCTCATGCTCGTCGCTGACAATATTGCGTACCCAGTCAATCTGACGCTGGCGCTGAACAAATGGAGCGACGTCAAAGTCGAGGCAATCGGGCCTCAAACGTTTATCTCGGTCGGCACTCAACGCCAAGAAGTGACCATCTTGATGGGCATCTGGGGAGGATACATGGAGGAGGGGCCGATGGCAATTGAGGCGCCACTTGCGGCGATTGGGCAGGGGATCAACGGGCAGATGAAGAATATCAAGCTGTCTAGTGACGTATTATAAAACGGCCAACTTAAAAATATAATTGCAATATCTCCAGCGAGTGCAATTTGGTCGGTGAAATATAAAGTCATGCCATATAGGTGAGTGAGGCTGACGCCACAAATGATTCATTGGTTCTTCTTCACACAAAGAGAGCTCTTTTTCACGTGTTTCGAAAGCATGATGTATCGATGTTATCATCACCGTACAAATCATACTTTATGATTGAAGAATAGAAGTAATCTGTCATTTCTGTCCCGTTATTCTCACCATTTTGGTGGAGAGCGCATGATGTAATGCACTGGCAACAACACAACACTATGAGCTCATCGACTCGCCTCCGATGTGAATATATATATTCCAGACAAGCAAACAATGAAGAAAAGTTCAAATTACAATTGAAGAATTGACAATCACAATCACATCAATTTCTCACAACATCACAGAATTAAAAGAATCGACTGAAAAAACACAATTATCATGTCTGAACATCCTGCGCACTACTCGGGCGAATTCCATGCTCGCAAGCCGGGATCCAAACCCATGATGAAAGGAGGCGTAAGTCATATCTAAAAGCTTCATTATACTCAATCCTCCTACTGACAAAAAGAAACCTATTACAGCACCAACCCGGCATCAAAGTCGGCAACGACCGCTTCCCAGAATCTCACGTTGAGCTTCATCCCCCCGGAACCGCCCCAGCCGAAGCATCCTTCCGCCCAAACTCCTACTCAGAAGTCCCCGGCCAGGCCAACAACCCCGAAGTCGACCCTTCTGGGCGGTCAGACCCCCTAGACTTTCCCGGCGCCACTTCAAAGGACGTGAATGCGGGCTACGGCCGTCCATTGCAAGGTCAAGAAGGCCGAGAGGTGGCTTCACAATTACCAGGAAAGAAACACACTGGCACAAAGATGCACGGCCACGATCATAAGAAGGGAGGTGGGCTGGGTGCCGTGGCTGCCAATGTTAATGCTAGCGATCCTGTGAGAGAGCACGGATGGGATCTGCCAGAGGGCGTGGAGAAGGGCACGAGAGGGAAGGGAAATGCGGATTATCCTGGAGCAGAGGAGAGGGAACCTGCAAAGGCGGATGAGGTTGCTGCAGAGAGGTTTTAAGAAATGAATGGGTGTAACAAATATTCAAGAGAAAAGATGTCACAAAAGCGTTGAGTTTGCCCATGAGATCCGTCATGTATTCTCCAAGCCGTGACATACAAAACGCCTATGAGATTCGTATTCACCCAAGCCAAGCCGTGAGACAAAATCTTTGTCCTCTTCCCCAGTCGGACCAATTAATAACAAAATATTCGGAATCGGCGCAACAATTGTATATATTGTTCAAAACACCTCACTCACTTTGTCATGTTTCTCTGCGGATGAATGTCATATAATCAATTCTGGAATCCTACGCCATCTTTGCCCGTCTCAAATACATTGGTACCACACCCTCAAATATCCCACACCAAAAAACTATTTCTCACGCTCACAAAATAGCATTCCAAAGGAATGCATACCCTTGCTATCCAATGCTAGCCACCGCCAACAGCAGTAATACATGCGAGCTCTCTTTCAGCTCCTGCCCCCTCCCTCTCACGTCAAATGTTTCCCACCATGAATTTAAACCCCCGCCAATTTCTTTACAGCAGGGTACACTCATGTTTCATAAGCTTGTCGCGTATCAATCTACAGAGTCGCATCGGGGCGCCGCGGCACGTCTAGCAGGGATGCAAAACGAGCGACAGCCGGCTGGTTCTCTATTGTGTTTGAGGGTAAGCAAAGGCAAAATCTAGAATGCTTATTGTTGCATCGAACGGGATTTCATCCGACGGCCGTGCGCGGAGGCCGGCAAACATGCGTAAAAATAAACATCTAGGAGATGAGATTTGAAAATGACATGTTCGTTATTGGCTTGAGACGTCGCATGTGTTGAGAGAAGGCAGGTCTGACGATGGATGAAGACAAAACTTCAAAATAGATTGGGACAAGACACTAAAAATATGTCTTATTGCATTTGAGAAACCACATTCAAAGAAAGAAGACTACAACAGAATTCATGAGTTTCCTCACTGCAGTAGCACCATCCCTCATCACGCGATGAATGCAGTCTTCAATAGATACCAAAGAAATAAGAACACTGCCAGATTTATGAAAAGATGGAATACCTCTGTAAATAGCTAAAACGAGCTCGCCTGCCAAATATTCCCAAACCAAAATGCATTTGCCATCTTAATCGCATCCAAATCACCCATCCAAATAAAATAAAAAAATCATTCCTTTTTTTCAACCCATCCAAGGCTATACATGCCATTTTAATCTGTTCCCTCAACATGTCAAGATTCAAGTGAAATCATACGTGACCAAGCTCTCCCTCCCGTCCGACGTCTGTCGAAGAACAGTCACCCTCTGGTTGTCAGTCCCAACCCAGTTTCGCCTCGGTTCGGCATCCTCTGATGCGGCAGCGTCTTGGGCATCGCCAGAGCTCCTATTCACCCGGGGCCTGACCTCGACACTCGCGCTATCGTGGTGCCCATCCAGATCCCAGACTCTAATCTCATCGCCACGCTCACTGACGCTGACAGCCGTGCCCGCCGGGGTGATGTCGGCGTCTGCAATGCCCGAAGTGTGGCCATAGAGCTTCATGGCATTGGAAATGGCAAACGACTTTTCCGTGGCAGTGACAACAAAGAGCACAAGGGTGTTGTCGTGCATGGTGGCAAGGAGATACGGATGGCTGTAGCAGAGCTTGGCCGGTCCACCCTCGTCGTCATCCAGGAACAGATCTGGAAAGTTGGAGCAGGTAGGGCACTTTGGCCGGTACTGGGTCGAGGTGACAAAGTGGCCAGTCTCGGCAGGCAGCGTGTAGGCAACGCGAGACGTGATGACATCGGGCTTGGAGCTGCCCGAAGGCCGAATGTCAAAGTTCTGGATGCCAATGGCCCAGCCACCAGCAGTGTCGAAGGAGTAGGCGATGGAGGCAACGGCCGACGACTTGAGCTTGCGGAGAGACAGGACGAGAGGCTGTCGCGAGTAATCAGACTTGAGCGACGAGAGCACCTGCGGGTGAGCGAGAGTTCTGCTCTTGACAACCTCGCCGTACACCTGGAATATGGATGGCTGTTCTTCTTCGGCTGCATCGCCATCTTCATTGCCGCCATGATGTTTGGCAGCCTCTTCAACAGACACAGAAGAAGCACCTGCGTCAGCTGCAGCAGAGGCCAACTCAGTCTCGGGCTCTGCTCTGGGCCGCTCAAATGAATACAGCGAGATAAAGCCCAGTTCTGCAGCCGTCAGGGCATAAGGATACGAGTAGGCAACCGATACAAGTCTGCCCACATAGCTCTTGTCCTGGCGGTACAAGACAGACAACCGCCCCTCAGAGACAATCAGGCGCCAGATGCCAAAGGTGCCGTCGTTGAAGCCAAGCATAATGTCCAGCACATCGGCAGAGAGCCTCCCCCCGTCCAGGGCCAGCGCCGTGGGCACCAGACAGATGCCATCGTCCGTCTCGGTGGTTGTCTGCGCAATAGACTCCTGAGTGCGCAAGTCCCAGGCGCGCAGCCCGGCCTGCATGTCCACCGTCACGGCGAGGCCATCCACGACCTTGACCAGCGTGCGGCGCTCCTCGATGGGCGTCAAGGCAAAGTTGACGGGACTGACCTGGACGTGGCGCACCTCGCAGAGGCCGCGGGCCCAGTTGTGCCGCAGCCTGTACTGCTGCTTCCAGTCGACGTCTGAGGCTTCCCGTGCCTTGCCCGACGGGTCTACCGGACTAAAGGGCGGCTTGATGGAGTCGATTTCAAACTCGGCTGCCTCAGCTTCGGCCAACGACGACGACACGCCGAGGCTGCTGCGGTTGGCGATGCTGCTGCTGCTGCTGCCCGGTCCCGATTCGGCCCCCACAGACGCTGAGGCTGAGACCAGGCCTCGGCTCTCTTGCTGCTTCTGTCCCTGCCCCTGGCCGGGAGCCTCGCGTATGCTGGGGACGCGGGCGTACGAGCGGTTGGCGACCTTGAGGCCCGGAATGCGGTTGGCGCGCGGCAGGATGAACCTGCGGTAGTAGTGCTGGCGCCACAGCTGCGGATCAGACGAGACTCTGTAGAACTGCCGCGACACGGCCGCCAGGTGCAGCAGCGTCTGCTCGTCGGCATAGGAGAAGATGCGCAGCAGCAGCTCGTCGGACACGCCTCGGGTGACGTCGCACGCGGGCTTGGCGAGGCGCTGCCGCTTGGACGAGGCATCGCCGCGGCCGGGATGGGGCAGAGGATCAGCGTTGCCGGGGTCGCTGTGCGACGCCTTTCTCTTCATGTTGTGGGAAGACATGGCCGTGTGTGAGGCAAGTAAGTCTGTCTGCGTGGAAGAGCCGGTAAGAATGCGAGAATATGAGATGGGAAAGGAGAGGAACAGGGACCAAGAGAGAGCGAGCACGTACGTGATTATATACAGAGCATGTGTTTGCGTGTATGGATATGTGCTGTTGTGTGTTTGTAATGGTGACGAGGGGACAACAAGCACAGGTGCAGGGAGTCCCTATGCGCTACAGACAGGCCTCTCTCCAAGCAAGTGTGAATAAGAGAAGGACACCATCAATATATGCCTCCCAACGTCGTAGCTATCTCGGTCTTCGGCCTGCTGCTCTTGGCCCGCCCTTCGGACAACAGGCAAAAAAAAAAAAAAAAAAAAAGCCCACAAGCGAAGCCTCGGAGGGAATTGCGGTGGAGAAAGGTGTGATGAACAGAGTATGTGAGGGATGGCAAAAGTGGCTTTCAATAATAAGAAAAAGAAAAGGATGATGAATTCTAGCGAGGCGGGAAAAGAGAAAAGAGAAAAGGAAGGGGGGAGAAGAGAGGAAACGACCGGATGGCCTGCTTCTCTCTCGAAGGGAGGCAGAGACAGAAAAAAAAAAGAGTAAGACCAGGGTCTAAACAAGAAGAAGAGAAATTGGAAAAGACTTGCTTTTCGGTGACACGCAACGTGGGAATTTGGTGTTTTTGGAAGGGATTGAAATTCTGGGGTTCCAGATAAGCCACTTTTGTCTCAGGCACCGAAAGGGAAATGGGAAACCGCTAAAACGGCTGGACGCAAATCGCAAAAAAAGACAAGTTGAGCACGGCCACTAAAACGGTATGTCACTGTAAAACGGCACGGGCTCGAGTGCGCTAAAAAAAAAAAAAAAAAAAAAAAAAAAATCAAAAAAATCAAAAAAATCAAAAAAATCAAAAAAAATCCAATCGCTAGAGAGGCCGCTGCGGTCGAGGTTCCCAGGTTCTGAATCAGGGCGCTGGAAATTGAACTCGGGTCTCGCCGGGCTCTTTATATAGAAGGGCGGCCCTTCCCGTGGAGAGCTGGAGGCTCTTTGCAGCGCTCCAGTAGCTTTTCGAGGCTCTCAATTTGTCGGGGTTTGCGGGACTGCGTCTGAAGCTGGTTGGGGGTATTTATTCAATGTATTGATTTATTTGATTTGATTTTTATTATTTTAATGCAATTTATTTTATGTCATTATTTCGTTGCTTTTTTTCCTCCCCTTCTCCCCCTCTGCTCGAGCTATTATTTTTTCTCCTCTTACATGGGCCCCTCACCTCCCTCAGACTCTCTTGCCCGGCATCCATTCCACATCCCGGCCAATCGCTAATGCAGCCGCTATCCAATCCCACTGCAAAATGCTACATGCACCTCATGTTGATGGCACCGAACCCCCAGCACCAGGTACATCTGATATGGCGTTCCCCGCAAGCAGGTACACGTAGCCACTGAGTAATTGCACTGCAGTAGTGTGTATCTACCGTCTGTACGGAGGTCCTTGATAACTCTCCATCTAAAACACCAAAAGAGAACCATCACAAGACCGTTTCTTATCGTCCTAATCGTCGTCTTTTCGATCCAGAATTCTCCTCCTAGTTCACATTCGTCGTAAAAAAAAAAATGATAGTCTTTGCAGCTGAGAAATCCAAGACTTGTCTATTTGTCTAGTCCAACGGTAGGCTCTGCGTCGGCTTTGCCCCTCCCTGCTCAGAGGTCACTTCTAAAAGGAGACGCCTGCAGGTACGCTTGTATCAGCCGCGGAGGCCAGAGCCAATAGACGGCCATACAGGCAGCCCAAGCCGTGATTCAAGGTGCAAATTACACGCATGCTAGTAGCAGTAGTAGAAAAAGAAGGAAAAAGAAAAGAAACAAGACAGCGACCAGCATTCCATACCGCCTCCTGGCAGTCTGGGCGAGCGCAGAACAAATCAGCAGCCCCTCCCCTTGTTTATGCAGCTCAGCTCTCGGAGTTTTCTGGCTGAGGGCCGTCGAGCTCAGCTCTGGTTTTAGTCTCTTTTTCTTTTTTTCTTTTCTTTTTTCCCTTTTTTTCCTTCTTTTCCTTTCCGGCGAGATTCCGCCCATGCTGGCCACCGTGGTGTTTTGCCTCCTCCCTCTCTCTCCCTCCCATTCTCTGTTAGGATACTCTCGCCGGCCTTCTCCAATTTGCCCCCCTCGTCTCCGCCTCTTCTCGCACTCACTCCCCATCCACACGTTCGGAGTTATGCCGAAATGAAATTTATAAATAAATAGTAGATGGAAAAAATCATCCGCTTGGAGTAGTATCCTCCCGGTGCTTCGGATAGGCCTTGCCTGTTCCCCTAGCGCAGATCATCCGCATATTGCCGTGCTAAGCCGTATTCACGACTCATATTGAACCCTCCTCGAAATGCGCTCCCATGCCCATGCCCATGCCCATGCCCAACGCGGTGCTTGTACGTACGTGATGCTCGTATAAAGGTCGTGTGTATTCGTTCGTCGTCATTGTCGTCATTGCTTGGCGTAGCTGTCAACCCCTGGCCGGTGCTGCTTCCACCGTCCAATACCAGGGCCCCGATCCTCAGAGATGGACGTGAGCAAACAGATCGTCGTACAACTTCCCAACCCATCCTTCGGACGCTCCAGCTCGCGCAACAACCCCGAGCCCTCCCACCGCCCACAATGCAGCCGCGGCCACTACTGCAGCCTGAATCGCCAGCCAACGCCGCCTGCGCTGGCGTTTGGTCTTCTTATCAACCGCGACTGCTTGGCTCCCCCACCAGCCGCTGGTCGAGGGCGCAATTCCGAACCACTTGGCCAGTCCCCAAACCATATGGCCGCATCCGATTCCAATCAGGCCCCGGTAGGCAGTGGCCGCAATTATAGGGTGCTTGGCGAAGCCGTGGGAGACATAGGCCAGACCGATATTGGAGCTGTCTCCCTCCACGACCAGGGGCAGGATTCTGTTCATAAAGACATGGGCGCCGTAAAAGGCCGTGTAGATGTAGCCAGACCAAGAGATCCAGCTCACCTGCGGCCAGAGTCGAACCGAAGAGCGAGAAGAGGACGTCGTGCTGTCGGTTCGTGAACTTATCAAAGAAAACATGCCCGGTGTCGACCCTCCATATCGTCGTATGTTTTCCGATCTCCTCAGCAGGCGTAGAGCAATTCCCGAGCCGATGTGCATCAGCACCGGCAAGCCAACCAGCAACGGCTCCGTAATAGACGTCTGGTAGAGCTCCCGGCCCATGAGGAGGTAGGTTTCCGAGCCGGCCACGCTTCGTGTAATCGCCGGAAGGAGAGATACATTGGCCAGGTGCATGGTGGTGAACACGGACACAGCATAGCTGGAATACTTTTGCATCCGGGTGACTATTGACAATGCATCATCAGAGGCAGGTTAGCAGAAGAACACTCCGAATACAACATACACACCCCATACGCCACCACCCAAGCCAAGGATACAATGTATGAAACCAAGCCAGGCAAAACCAATAAAAGGTTGCAAAAAGCAAAGCAAAAGCGGAACGCAGAGGAGGCCAATCAGGGGTCATCCAGGGCAAAACGAACGGTAGTAGATGGCGCCGTGGCCGCTGCCACTCAGCCCCGGGGCCATGGTCGAGCCAGACTTGATGCTGCCCACACTTCGCTCAACAGAGGCGCCATCCGGAGCCAGGGAGTCCATTGGATTCTGCTTTTCAGTCGGCGTATCCCCGTCAGAGTCCATGGGCGCAGGGTCGAGCTGGAGCAGCGAAATAAACGTCGAGTTCGAGTCCCTCCGATCTCGCCGCGAGCGCAGGCTCTCGGCGTCCCAATCGCTCTCCATGGCGATTGGCAGGTGGTTTTGAGGCTTCTTTCGGTGTTTTTTTCCTCCTTGCCTGATTTTTTTTGAAATTCCCTCTTTCGAATTTAGACTGTGGAAAGATTCCGAATTAAAGACGAAAATGTCCGAGTAAGACTTGCATATGTGATCAGTCCGAGCAACAGGCCATTACCACCTCGTGTTGGGAAAAAAAAAATCAAGGTACCAAATAGCCAAGGCTGGGGGGGACCAATAGCGATGACTGCAATAGTATCATGGAGGGGTGAGTCTATGCCTATTGGGGAAATGGGCTGTTGGAGCTGTCCGCCAACTTGACCTAGAGAGAAAATCAAAATGCACCACAACTCCATGCAAAAAGACAGAGCAGAAGCTGGAGAGAAAATGTTAATCAGTCGCAACCGGCTTCTTTGCCTCTTGCTTCGTATCTTAAAAGTCTATTAAAGGCCTGAATTTCAAATGAATTTGTTCTTCTCTAATCGGGCCACTCGGACTCTCGTTTGGCAACATCTCGGCTACTCGAATTGCTAGTTGACCGCCGTCTCCATCTTTACTCAAAACACAGCTCTGTCTGTCCAGATCAGAATATCCTACCCTATTAGTTCTAGCATATCATTCAATCCAGCATAGCTTCAACCACTCGGTGTAGCATCTTGGGCATCCGGCAGCTTGAAGCAGCTACTAAAGCATGTATGAACACGTATTTACACAACTTACAGCTTGCACATGCGAGTCTATGGAGTCTCTCCATGCAAGCCACACCCACTTGACGCTATATCCTGTCCTATTGCCGTCCTCTTCTCCCTTGCATACCACCGCCATAGCGAAATGAGCTGTCTAATTTGCCAAATCCAATCACATCATCTACCATCAAAGCCACTCCGAGCCCGAAGCTGAAGCGCGTAATCCTAACTCTTCTGCCTCTAGCAGTGTTTGGTAGCTCGGCCGTAGCGCTGCAAGGGAGCTCTCCCGCTGAAGCTGACCGCTAACGTGCCGTCAAGACAGCGGCCCTCGCCCTTTGACCTTGCCGGTACCCCGCACTCTTGCGCTCCCAGTAGCGATCCGGCCAGTATCCGCCAAGTACAGGGTACTAACGGCACGTCCCCCACCATAGCTTCCACGGAGCTCCGGGCTCCGAACTTCCGACAGCCACGCCGTTTGCTCTCCAATCGTTATCGCCATCGTCATCACCAAAAAGTTGCCAATCGCCAGCTTCACGGCAGCGCATCCGCAAAAGCTGCGCCTCGCCCAAGCGACATACAACACTCTTTACCTCTCAGTCAATCGCATTCAATCGCATTCGATTCCAAATCTCGAGCAGCAGCCACAATGCCTCCTGTACGTGCAATTGCCCTCTCCCAATCTCGCCAATGCGACATCGCCAAAACTAACGCGTCGCTCTCGCCAGAGACACCAAACCCTCCCTCCGGCGCAGACCACCTCTGCCAAAGAGGCCCAAAAGTCCTTCTACTGCAGCCTCTGCTCCAAGGGCTACTCCCGCATGAACGACTATGAGGCCCATCTCAGCAGCTACGACCACAGCCACAAGCAGCGCCTCAAGGACATGAAGGCCATGGTGCGCGATCCCAACGCCGGCGCCAAGGCGAGAAAGGCCGAGGCCAAGGCAGACGGCATCGTCAGCATCAAGCTCAGCGACCAGGATGCGCTCTCTTCGAGCGCTGGTAATGCCGGCGGTGGCAGCGGTGGCGGTTTCAAAAAGGGCGGCTTCAAGAAGACTGGCTTCAAGAGCGCATTTGCTCCCGCAGAGCCAGCAGCTTCGGCCGATGCGCAACAAACAGATACAACCCATACACTGGCAGACCAACGTTCTGGAGGGCTGATGGAAACAGGGGAGACGGCTTCAACTCTGCCATTGGCGTATAAGAGCTCGCTGGTGGAGAGTGACACAGAAGACGAGGGATACGAGCTGTACGACCCGAGATTTCCCACTGATTGACTCAGTGAGAATCACTCTGGATGCCGTTTTCTATTAATGGGTATGAAAATAACTACAAACCCGATGGTGCCTGACAATATCGTCTCCTTCAATCTCGCCCCAGTCCACAAGCCCTACATCTCATCAGGCTGCATCCACCTATGGGAGTCTATCTGAGAGAGGTCCTCTTCCAATAAGCCAATCATGTTACGACTGCCAAAGAACCAATCTGCCAACTGCGATACCTGCCCACTGCCTTGCGCCGGCACACCAGCATCGTTGGTGCTGGCATTGGCCATGACCTGATCCTCATTAGGGATGAAACCCAGTTGGCTTAGGTACATCTCAAACTCGTCTCCAATAAAGATGGAGTTTTCGTCTTGCTGCTGCTGAGTCTTGGCTTCCACGTACAGCTTGGCGATATCAAACATGACTTTGCAAAGCAGGTAGAGCTTGTCAATGGGCTCTGAGAGCCCTCTTCCCCCTTCGAGTGAGTCGACAAAGTCTTGGAGAACTTTAAGATCTGCAAGTGAAGATGTTTCGATAACATAGCAGAATAAGACAAAAAATGGGGCAAAGGGTGTAAGAAGAAGGTTCCTGTGACCATTACGATATAATATTAGCATCCGGCAACGAAAGAACTTGTGTACCCTTGGGGGTCCAAGGGCCTTGTTTCCATGGAGAAGGGTGCCTTACCAGTGGATATACATGGATCGCATATAAGTGCTGATATCCATGAACACAACGCATTCTTGGTGCGTCTTCATGGCATGGCGTGCCGCATCCAGACACTCGTCACAAAATCGAGTAATGGACCCTTCTGGAGCCGGTATAACTCGATAGATGAGCGTCTTGGTGACGTAGAATTGCACTTCGTCGCCTTTGATAAAGACATCTACAACTTCCGAAGTTCCTATCGATTTCAGAAGCGTGTAGACCTTTTCGCGCGTCTCGTCCGTCTCAATCTCCAGCTTGCTGCTTTCGGCAGCCAGAGCCTGGGCACGTTGGACCAAATCAGCCTGAGGACTTGCTAGGGCAACCGGGCTGTATCTGTACGAGCTCCATTAGCACTTGTAGCATAAGATGAGAACTAAGAGAAGAAGAGAAGGGAAGAAGGGAAGGGAAGAAGAGAAGAAGAGAAGGGAAGAAGAGAAGAAGAGAAGAGAAGAGAAGAAAGAGAAGAGTCTCCTTACAGCTGTTCGTAAATCCGGCTCTGTAAGCTGCTTATCTTGACCCACAAGGTCGGGAACGTAGTCGAGGTTAGATGATCAAAGCCATTCACTTCAAACTCGCGTGGAATATCAATGTCACATTCTGCAATCACCGACGCTCGTCCAAGTCTCAGGCCCAAGCCCTTGTCCAAGGTGTAGACGTGCCAGAAGACAATCTTCTTTTGCCGCGCAACCAGCGGAGGGTCGTTTCTAAGCGACTCTGTTCGATGGTAACCGCCTGCTTGGCATAGCCAGGCTGCCATTGTGATGAGATGCCAGGCCACAGAGGGTCTGGAGACGTCGATGGCATAGAGGCACTATATGCAGTACATGTTAGTATAGGGAACTCGTACAACTCTCTACACGAGAGAGATGATTTTAGCATAGCAAGCATAGAACTTACCCCAAGAAGCAATGCCTGCACATTCTCAATCTTTGGCGACAAGAACAGCGGAAAGTTGGCCAGCGTCGTCTCCAGATTTGTCTTGCAGATGATGACGTACTTGCTGTACTCTTCACGCACCGCTTCCTCTTTCGCCAGCGAGTGTTGCTCTACGAAGAGGTTATACAACATGGCATTGACCACGGCAAAAGTTGCGTCGGGGTAGTCCTCGGTAGGGAAATAGACGGCGCTGCAGAGCTCTGAAAAGTCCTTTATGCCGACTAGAGTGCAGAGGATGGTAAAAAAGGTGGGAGGTGCGGCTGAAGGTGTTGTCGAGTCAGATTAGCATCTTCTTTCTTTTCACTTGTTGGTAATAACAAACTTACTCTTGACATGTCTCAGAAGAGCAGCCACAGTTGCCTGCGGTGGCATCGCCAGCTTGCTCACGCCCCCTGGAGGAACAGGCTGCTGCAACGGGAAGCGAGGCCCATGGCTTATCGAACGCTTCTTTTGCATCTCGACGAGCTGGCGGAGATTGGCGAGAGCACTTTCCATCTTAGGGTCCAGAGCTCTAAGAGGCGCTCTCTTAACGGCACGCTCGAGGAACTCGCTTGCAAAGGCGGTGTGCACGGTGAGCCCCGAGTCGCCGCCAAGGGCCGATTCTTCACTGGCACTGTCATAGTCGGCGTTGGACGAGGTGGTTTGGATGTTGAAGTCTGTTGCTGTTGTTGCCGGCGTATGTATAAACTTGGAGGCATCTGTGGCTAGAGAACTTAAAACGTTCTTGAGGATACCTTCGATGCTGCCCAGGCGTGTTTCGATCTGGTCAATCTTTCTCTCGCTGAGAAGGAAAGAGAGCAAACTAGTCAGCAACAATGATTTGAAAGAATGGCAAAGGTAGCCAGGGTAGCAATGGACATCAATATGAGAGCAAGGTTCCAAGCATGTATCCTAGATGGACATGGACGTACTATTGTGATGATATTAGAACACGTTGTCGCGGCTCCTTTGGTCGTTGCCCAGCACCAGTAGACGTGCAGGTACGGTTCGCTGTTCTGCAGTTGGAACACGGCCACTCTTTGTCACAGCGAATCTATTGTTGCAATTCAGAAGCAAATTCAGAAGCCCGGTTCCCAGAGAGGAGGGACGATATGCTGTATATCGTGACAGCATCTTCGTCAGACTCTCGACTCACCTTTCTAAGACGGCATTGGTCGCACTGAGGCGCAGTCGTCAGCAACAAAGTCATGTTTGAAATTCAACCAACATCACACTATAAGCTCCCTCAACACCCTCTCAGGGCACCTATCGTAGCATTGCAGGCGATGCAGGGCATGGTCTGCAGCCCGGGCAAGGGATCATAATCATTGGCATGGACTTACAGCTCTGCGAGCGGATGGATCATCGGCGGCCGCGGACGGCGTGAGGTTCTGCATCGTGGATCTTGGCTGGGATATTGGCGTTTAAGCTAATGCTCGGCAAAAGATATGCTGGTGGTGGCTGGAACATAGATTGTGGTAACGGTACTTTGAATCTGGACGATTCGAGATGTGTGGTGGTTTGATGCAACCACTGCTCCTTTGGTTCGATCTGCTCTTTTTCATGGAGGGAGTGAAGAGAAGGTGAGCATGTCGTTCCTTCCTACCTACAACATCCTTTACCAGGTACCAGTGTTAGGGCCTGTACGGAGCATGTTAGTGGCATATGGCCAATTCCGCAGCAGTTTCACCAGCTTGGCTGAGAGAGAAGCGTTTGCTGAGGAAAGCAAAGAATAGAATTGCTGGAATACTGATTGAATTCAGATCAAATTTGTTGGGCGCAATTCGTTGACGCGAGTCGCTGCGGTGACAAAGATGGATGAGTTGAAAGTATCGCTAATACTGCTGCCTCGTAGGCATCGAGAAGCTTCATGTACCTTTACGCACTCAATGTGAGGCAAGGTACTTGCGGAGTCATCGCACATCCGCGGGGTCCGGCAATTTCAGTGGCTGAGGCGGGTTACGTATGAGCTGAAGATGTTGGACCATACTGAATTTCAAGGAGAAGTGAAGTAATAAAAGAGAAAAATAGGTACCTTCTTATTTAGTAATAAAGCACATTGGTTTGGTTACTTGAGTTGAGCTCTATATACAGCAGAGGTATAATAGCGCCATGGTTAGGTTGCCATTATCCGTAAAGCAGCTATCCTTTGTCAAACTATTACGTGAAATCTGTTTGCCGATCTTCATGGATATCTAGGTATTTGAGATGTACATTATAAAAATCGGATTTGAGGTGGTGATGAGCATCTAGGCGAAACGGAACATGGCCTGTATCTGCAATCTCAAGAGCACCTTGTCAAGGGCGTTCACTCCAATCAATCACTCTTTTGCAGACTCAAAGTTTCCCAGCTCCCGCACATTGTCCCAAGATGTAGCCTTTCTATCTAGAAAAAATGACTGTGTTTGGAATAAATGTCAAGCCGAAAGAGCTCCGTCAAGCTCAACCGCCCATGACCACCGTAAAACAGCCAGATACCTATGATGTGAAAGATTCGATAAATTAGCGAAATCATTGATGCTCATCTCATTATCAATCTTTATCAACTATGCCGTTTCAGCAGATTGAAGAAAAGAGTTCATCTTTAAAAGAATAAATTAGAAAAGTGTAGCAGAGTCTACCTCTTTGCTATCGCCATTAATTACATATGCAATACATAAAGTGTTATTTGCCATCCCTTTTTACCGCGCGCGCATTGCCATCATGCCATTTCAAATAAAAGCCATTGTTTGCTTTCGATGCCGCTCATATATAGCACGCATCTTTTTTGTTTCGCCTTTCCCATTCGTGTTGGGGAATTCTTCACTCATTACTCCATGTCAATTCAATGGTATCAAAAATACAACATCCCTTTCGCTTTCCATCTTAGAAGTCAAGGCTTCGTTTAAGCCTCGGGCTTGCGGCCAACCATGAGGTACATGGGTGTGAAGAGCTTCTCGCGACCACCAGCAACCAGGCAGTCAGCCGCGAGAGCCAAGCTGTCGGCAGTCTTCTTGGTGCCGGCAGGCGCAATTCCCACCGTCTCCAGCAGACCAGCCAGGTTGTGGGCAATGGCGCGTCCCCACTTGGTCATGCGGACAATGGTGAAGACATCGCCAAGAGTCTGGATGTACTTGAGCTCGCCGGACAGGGGCCAGTACCAGGGCGAGTGGTCCTCGCGGTCAGCCAGATCCTCGTGCCTCAGCAGCTCGAAGCCGGCGGCGTGCATGGCGTCCAGGGCCTCGGAGACCTTGCACATGTTGGAGATGCCGTCGCCCTGCTCGATTCCGAGACGGATCTCGCGGTGGTGCAGGTTGGCGTTGTCGTACTCGTCAGTCATGAGCCACTCGTAGACGCCAAAGACACCGCCGGGCTTGAGCACGCGGAAGATTTGGCTGTAGATGCCCTCCAGGGTGGGGGCGTGGACGGTAGCCTCAATGGCGTAGACGGCGTCGAAGGTGTTTTCAGGGAAGGACATTTGCTGTGGCACTTGGCGTTAGTAACTTGTCAAGACTCGCCTTGTTTGAAATTTGGCGGGCCACAACATACCATAAAGTCGCCCTTGACAAAGGCCAGCTGCTTGGAGAGACCCTCCTTCTCGGCATAGTGCGTGGCTCGGTCGATCTGGTAGTCGTTGTTGTTCAGGCCGGTGACGTGGCATCCGGTGAACTTTGCAATCTCACGGGCCGGGCCGCCAACACCGCAGCCCACGTCGAGCACCTTCATGCCCTCCTTGATGCCAATGCTGTGTGCCAGGTAGTGCTCGTGGCGGGCAATGGCCTGGTAAAAGGGCTCGCCGGCGGAGAAGCGGCAGAAGTGGAAGGACTGGCCCCAGCCGTACTCGTACAGATCGGTGGCCAGGTTGTAGTAGTGCCTCGTCAGAGTGGCATACTCGGCTGTTCGTGCCTGTAGTCATGATTGTCAGTGTCTGAATTCATCTGGCTGGCTTTCTGTTCTTTTCATCTCCTCGTCTTCCTCTGGGCGGAAATCACTCACGGCACGCTCCTCGGCAGTCTCGTTCTCGGCGGGCTTGTTGTCCCAGTGCTTGAAGTACTCATCCACAGCGGCCTTTTTCGCATCAGAGCCCTTGGAGAACATGGCGGCAATGCCTCCCTTGGCCTTGGCCGAGTTGCCGTGCAGGGCCTTGTTGAAGGCGGCATCTCGGGCCTTGTCCTCCTTCTCGAGAGTAGCGGGAGCCATGTTGAAGTGGAAAATTGAATTAAAAGATTAATTTAGAAAAATAAAATCTCTCTATTACTAGTAGTAATTGTTTAAAAAAAAAAAAGATAGTGGTTAAAGAGGGAAGAGGAATGTATCAGAAGAGAAGGGGGAGAGAGAGATTCAAGGACAGAACTAAAAAGACACGCAGAGCGAATCAATGGCGGGAAAAGGAAACGGTGATGTGGCGCCGCCAGGAATTGGGCGGAGCTGTTGGACCTTTTTATGCGTTGTCCTCTGGTATCGCAACAATTTCACAGGCTCCCTGCGTCCGCCGCTTTTTTTTTCTTTTACCCCTGACGAGCTGCGCTGAGAAAACGCCAATCTCCAATTTCTGGGCTTGTGATATCGCACTAGAAACGGAATTTGGCGATCTGGTTGGCTGGATCGCGGATGGAGGGTCCTGGGGTTGGGCTAGATAGGCCGTGATAGGCAGGCGGTGAAGGCCCCCCACCTCGTGCGAATACGAACGCGAACTCGCTTTGCGAGAAATACGCGTATTTGATTTGGCGCTGCTGCTGTGGCTGTTTGTACGGAGCAATTCGCATGGCCGAGCGATGAATTAGAAGCTAGCTCCAATGTTGCAATACAATCTTCCATCCGAGGCCTGCAATTATGTGCTATTTGAGGTAATTACCTAGGAAATGGCAACCCAGGGCAGAGTTGAGCCTGTATTCAGCGTTAAACCCAGCCTTTCAGGCCCCTGTTTCTAGAACCCAATTCCGAGCCTAACAAGTGGTGCCTGAGTAATATTGCAACACTTTTTAGTCTAACTGGAATTGCCTCGAATCCACCGTTTCTTCTCTTTTCGGTTGCTTTGCAATCCATCTCCCATCTTATCGATAGCCGATAAGATTCCACATCATGATTATGTAACTGCGTCGGGTGGCGGGACTAGCGGCAGGTCTCCACCAAGATTTCTCTGCGTGCCGCGATCTTGGATTTGCTTGCTTGCAACTCTTATCCTTTCCTTTCCTTTCCAAAGATACGGCAAAATCAACATCACTCGCCAATTCATCACAGCCGCAGCATCGCCTCACAGAAGCTGCGCCCGCCATGCCTCCCCAGATCAAGCAGGACCTGAACCGGTCGGGATGGGAGACGACCGACTTTCCGTCCGTCTGCGAAAACTGCCTGCCCGAGAACCCGTTTGTCAAGATGCTCAAGGAAGATTATGGAGCCGAATGCAAATTGGTATGTTTTGTCTACCATCTTCTTCTTTCAATCTATGCATCTACAGTCGACCCTGATTCAATCAAAACAAATCATACGCTAACATAAATCTCCAGTGCACGCGACCCTTTACCGTCTTCAGCTGGGCTGCCGAGCGCGCGCAGGGCCGCAAGAGGCGAACCAACGTCTGCCTGACGTGCGCGCGACTCAAAAACTGCTGCCAGAGCTGCATGCTGGATCTCAGCTTCGGCCTGCCCATCACCGTCCGCGACGCCGCGCTCAAGATGATCGCGCCGGGCCCCCAGTCCGAAATCAACCGAGAATACTTTGCGCAGAACAACGAGAAGCTGATTGAGGATGGCAAGGCTGGGACTGAGGAGTACGACAAGACGGACGAGAAGGCGCGCGATCTCCTGCGGCGCCTGGCTGCCAGCAAGCCGTACTTTCGAAAGGGGCGGACCGTGGACGAGGCAGAGCTTGCTGCCGCGAGAACCGGTGGCAACGCTGCTGTTGGCGCCGGTGTTGGAGGCGCTGGGCCTATCCGAACTCGAGACTCAAGGGCTGCTGCGGCCGCCGGTGCTGGTCCGCGATCCGGTGGGCGAGGAAAAGGCCGGCCTGCGTTTCCCAGCGCGGCACAACTTCCGCCGAGCCCAAAGGACTGGCTGCCGCCGGATGATGCCAACGTCATGTCACTCTTCGTCACGGGCGTCGAGGATGATCTGCCCGAGTACAAGCTCCGCGATTTCTTCAAGGCGCACGGCAAGATCAAGAGCCTGGTGTGCTCACACATGTCTCACTGCGCATTCATCAACTACGAGACGAGAGAGGGTGCCGAGAAGGCTGCGGCCGCGTGTCAGGGCCGGGCAGTGATTGCGGGATGCCCGCTGCGGATTCGCTGGGGACAGCCAAAGGCGATTGGAACGATGGATCGCGAGCAACGCTACCAGATGCTCCAGGACGCCCGTATCAGGCGCAACAACTCACAGCAGCAACAGAACGCCATCGAGGGAGGGCAGCAGTCAGGCGCATCAGGCGTCAAGGCTATTGCGGCAGCACCTCCTGGTGGGGAAGAGACACCTGCTTATGCCAGTCTGGCTGGAGAGTAGAGCAATTCGATGCTCTGATTCGATTTATTCATCTTTACATCATATTCCGGCGTTTTTGGGCGTGTTTTAGGGAAACTATAGCGGGGAAATGCAGCAGTTTTAGATGCTTGAGGAACCAAAGAAACAATGACAAGGTAGAAATGTCGATATATTGCGTTGGCTGATGTTATGTTTGACAGGATTGGATTGGAGGGTATCATGACGAGGTTCTATAGTTACATATTTCTTTCCTTTCTCTTCTTCATACAATGATAATACACACGAGGCTTGCCTTGGTCATTTGCAGCCACAGCCGCCACCGCTCTGTTTGCCGCTGCCTGCCGTTAATACGCTGTCGTTGTCGCCTCGCTCGGTGTGTTCGTGTATCCGGAGCTCTGAAGGGCATTGATTAGTATAAGATTCCCGGTCTTCGTCTCCCTTGTTCCTTTTCCCCCTTTGCTTCTTCTGCTTCTCCGGGCACAAGACTCACTAAAAGTATGGGTGTCGCCCTTGCTCTCCATCTTCTGTCCCTGCACCACGTTTTCGCGCAGAATCGTGGCCACGTCCTCGGCATGCCGGATTGCGGCCTGGATGCCGGAGGACTCGAGACTGCGGTTCTCGTGAAAGGTCTGTCGGATCTGGTTCTGGGCGGCTGAGAGCACATGGACGTCGCCTGGATTCCAAACAAGGATTCAATCAGCATCTGTTCCTTGAAGATGACAAATTTTGGAGTATTGAGATGTCTGATTTACCTTGGAAGGCGATGCGCGCAGAGCGCAGGAGGTGTCTGTAAGCGGCCAATGACATGGTTTCTCTTGTATGATATAATAAATGTAGAATCAAGAAGAAATCAAAACAAATCAAAAAGTACAAACTCCAATTGTATAATCCGCTACTATCAAGCCAAGGCTATGAAGACGAAGCTCGATTTCTTCTGCATCCAATGGCTTCCGGCAGCAAATCACGGAGCCCCGGTTCTGCCGTCTTCCGCCAGCCCATCCCACTAAAGCCTCCCCTGTCCCGAAAAAATCCTGACCCCACCATTGAATTTTCTGGCGGGCGGGAAAAAAAAAGAAAAAAACTGGAGATGAGATAGGCCGGCCTCACCTCTCTCTTCTCTTTTCTCTTCTTCCTCATAACCACCAAAACACCAAAAAACACCCACAATGGCTTCCATCTCGCAGGTCGTCACCCTCCCGCTGCCGGCTCTCCCCGAGGGCTGGAGCGCCGAAAAGGACTTCAAGGCCGTCGGAAAGCTCTCGGGCGCCGTGCAGCGCAGCATCGAGCCCGTTGGACCGCATTTCCTGGCCCACGCCCGCCGAGCTCGTCACAAGCGCACCTTTTCCGAGGACGACCGGATCCAGGCCCAGGAGAGCGCCAAGAAGGTGGAGGATCTGGACGATGGCGAGGAGAGCGAGGCCGAGGACCCGATGCTGCTGCAGCTGCAGGCCAAGGACTGGAAGGTGAGGACACACGATGCTATGGCTACAATTACACGATGGACTGCCATTGAGCCGCGAGATGCTAACGAGACTCTTCCCACAGACCCAAGATCACTACAAGGTGCTCGGCCTGTCCAAGTACCGCCACAGGGCCACCGAGGACCAGATCAAGAAAGCCCACCGCAAGAAGGTCCTCAAGCACCACCCCGACAAAAAGGCCGCCCAGGGCCGCACCGAGGACGACCAGTTCTTCAAGTGCATCCAAAAGGCCACCGACATCCTGCTCGACCCCACCCGCCGCCGCCAGTTCGATTCCGTCGACGAGGAGGCCGACGTCGAGCCGCCGTCCAAGAAGCAGCTGCAAAAGGGCGACTTCTACAAGCTGTGGAGCAAGGTCTTCAAGTCCGAGGCGCGCTTCTCCAAGACGCACCCCGTGCCGACCTTTGGCGACGCCAACGCCTCCAAGGAGCAGGTCGAGGAGTTTTACAACTTCTGGTACAACTTTGACAGCTGGAGGAGCTTCGAGTACCTCGACGAGGACGTGCCCGACGACGGCGAGAGCCGCGACCACAAGCGCCACGTCGAGCGCAAGAACCAGAACTCGCGCAAGAAGAAGAAGGCCGAGGACAATGCTCGTCTGCGTAAGCTGCTAGACGACGCGTCCGCCGGCGACGAGCGCATCAAGCGCTTCCGACAGGAGGCCAACGCCGCCAAGAACAAGAAGAAGTTTGAAAAGGAGGCCGCCGAGAAGAAGGCCGCCGAGGAGGCTGCCGCCAAAAAGGCCGCCGAGGAAAAGGCAAAGGCCGACGCCGAGGTTGCGGCCAAGGCTGACCGCGAGGCCGGCAAGAAGGCCAAGGAGGCGGCCAAGAACGCGCTCAAGAAGAACAAGCGTGTGCTCAAGGGCTCCGTCAAGGACGCAAACTACTTTGCCGCCGGCGGCGATGCCTCTGCCGCCCAGATCGACGCCGTGCTGGGCGACGTCGAGCTGGTCCAGGGCAAGATTGAGGCCGAGGAGATTGCTGCTCTTGCCGGCAAGCTCAACGGCCTGACGGTGGCCGACGAGATCAAGGGAGTGTGGAGCGCCGAGGTCAAGAGGCTGGTTGATGCCGGCAAGCTGAAGGAGGGCGATGCCAAGAGCCTGGCGTAAAATGTTGGTTTGAGAAAGGGGTGTTTGTGTTTGTGTTTGATAAAAGAGCAATCAGTGGTATAGACGGCTTCATGATGGACGAATAGACATGAGTTTTGATGGGCAATTTATATGGATCTGTGTGATGAAAGTGAAGATGGTGTATAAACATGTTTCTGTCTAGCAATTTCAGCTACTGGCATTGGTGTGATTTCATGTCCAATATATCCCACAATCCTCCAAGACCTATATCAGATTAGCCAAGGATAAACAGCATCCTATCAACAGGGGCGTCAATCTTTGCCTTTATCTGCCATTGTGCCCTGGAACCAGCATCAATCGTAACTTGACATGTCTAATTCCATTCATACCAAGACAATCATCCAAATCATCCACATCATCCCAATCAAAGCCCATCCATTCCCCATCTTCTCGCCGTATCTACGACGCCAGCGCCAGCAATCGGACCGTCCCCAAATCTCCGGCAGCGGCGCCCTTAGTCAGCCGCATCCTCTCAACTGAAGCCCAATTTTAGCCCCTCCCCAACAAAGACAACCAGCAAGACGCCCCCTGTTTGGAGGGGCTCGCAGCGCTGTAGAGGCCTGAACCGCTAGCTGCGAGCTTTTGCACCAGCGCAAAAAAAAAACTGGCTGGCCGCTCCAATTGGCTGGCAGCACCCAAGCTTGGGAATTTTTTTGCCCCGGCGCCGGAAATTCCCTCTGAGAAAGATAATTCCCAAAACACCAAGAGCCAACCTCAACACTCTCTAATCCACCACATCGTCCCTCTCTCGTCTCTTTGATTTTTTCCTTTCTGCTTGATTCTCCCCGCGAGCAGCAAAGGACGGCCAGCTTGTGGAAAAGCCCGTCGACAAGCAGAAAAGCACAAAGAATCAGCGAGCATTATTCTTTCCTCTCCCGCCATGTCCCGATTCCTCCGACCCGCAGCCCGCCTGGCTGTCTCGACACGGGCTGCCGCCATCACCAGAAAGGCCTCGCCGTCCTTTTCACAGGCCATTGCCCGCCCCGCCTACTTTGGCGGCTCGTCGCAGAACCGATCCTACGCCGAGGGCGCGGGCGTCAAGGAGTACACGGTGCGAGATGCCCTGAACGAGGCGCTGGCCGAGGAGCTGGAGAGCAACCCCAAGGTCTTTATCCTGGGCGAGGAGGTTGCGCAGTACAACGGCGCCTACAAGGTCACCAAGGGCCTGCTGGACCGGTTCGGCGAGAAGCGCGTCATTGACACGCCCATTACCGAGATGGGCTTTACCGGCCTGGCGGTGGGAGCTGCGCTGAGCGGCCTGCACCCGGTGGTGAGTTTGATATAAACACATCATATTTGTGAATACATGTATATAACTAACATTTCTTGCAGTGCGAGTTCATGACCTTCAACTTCGCCATGCAGGCCATTGACCACGTCGTCAACTCGGCCGCAAAGACGCTCTACATGTCCGGCGGCATCCAGCCCTGCAACATCACCTTCCGCGGCCCCAACGGCTTCGCCGCCGGTGTTGCTGCCCAGCACTCGCAGGACTACTCGGCCTGGTACGGCAGCATCCCCGGCCTCAAGGTCGTCTCGCCCTGGAGCGCCGAGGACGCAAAGGGCCTGCTCAAGGCCGCCATCCGCGACCCCAACCCCGTCGTCGTGCTCGAGAACGAGCTCATGTACGGCCAGAGCTTCCCCATGTCCGAGGCCGCCCAAAAGTCCGACTTTGTGCTGCCGTTTGGCAAGGCCAAGATTGAGCGCGCCGGCAAGGACATCACCATTGTGTCCATGTCCCGCTGCGTCGGCCAGGCCCTGACGGCCGCCGAGACGCTCAAGAAGAGCTACGGCGTCGACGCCGAGGTCATCAACCTGCGGTCCATCAAGCCCCTGGATCTCGACTCCATTGTCCAGTCCATCAAGAAGACGCACCACCTGCTCGTCGTCGAGTCTGGCTACCCTGCCTTTGGCGTCAGCGCCGAGATCCTGGCCCTGGCCATGGAGTACGCCTTTGACTACCTTGACGGCCCTGCCCAGCGAGTGACGGGTGCCGAGGTGCCCACTCCCTACGCCGCTGGCCTCGAGGAGATGTCCTTCCCTACCGAGCAGCTGATTGCCGACTTTGCCGCCAAGATGCTGCGAGTGTAAATACCCTAGACGATATGAAGGGTGGAGAGAAGAAGAAATGAAGGGGAGCAATAAAGGAGAGAGTTGCAATGATGATGTACTCTTTTCACAAGTTATATCTACGGATATGAACATGAATTCATATAAGAAGCAGGAGAAGAGAGAAAGAAAAAGAAGAGGAAGAGGAATCATCCACACAGGCGAATGTAATATCTCAAAATACGAAAAGGATAGTTGGAAATCCCGAGGGAGAGAGCCTTTAGGAGAAACAAGGCAATCGGGATGAGTAGTGGTAGTTTAAACAAAAAAAAAACTCTTGATAGACGGGGCGGCAGAGGCATAATGGACTTGTACTTGTAATTACCTATGCGCTTCTTTTACGGATAAACTCCCTTTTTTTTGATACTTTTTTTTTTATTCTTGTGGGTTATTAAAGCCAACCTTTATGATTCTCTACAAGACTTGAAGGGGATTAAGCGATACGTTTTGATAGTCTCTTGGAGATTGAGCAGAAACTGAAATTATAGGATAAGTGTATAGACGGCCAATAAACAGCCTCACATCTCGATTCAGCAGTCTACATGAAATCCTAAGAAATATCAATCAGCCATCTAGAAACCTTTTTGTTTCCTATTACCATCAAATAAGCCCAAATCCCATTCTTGTAACCATCTTTAACCAAGTTTCCCAAAGCCTCAAAAGCAAGTTCCATCCCCATCCCAAGCTCACATATACAAACTCGCCACCGCCGTGATATCCCTCTTAATCATCTCCTGCGCCGTCTGCATCTTCTGATACAGCTCCGGGTCGCCAATGATCCTCGCCGCATTCTTCACCTCGCGGCACGTCTCGTCCAGCCTGGTAATGGTCCGCACAATCGTGCCCTCGAGCACGTCCGTCAGCCCCGTAATGTTCTTGAAGCTCATGCCCCTCGCCCACTCGTACACGACTTCCATCAGGCCGAAACGGCGTTGCGACGTAAAGTCGTTGGAGTCTTCGCTCGACTGAATCACCTGCAGGCGCGTCTGCACGTCATTGACCTTTTCGGAAATGGCAATAATGGTGTCGCGGCCCTTCTCCAGATTGCCCGTCAGAGTAGGCTCAATGTCTGTCTTTTCCTGAAAGACAAAGGAGGAGAGCAGGGCGGCGATTTCGGCGGGTTCGAAATCGGCCAGGACGTTGTCGAGGATGAGCTCAGTGAGGACGAGCTCGTCGCCCGAGTGGACTTCGCAGGCGACCTTGCCCTTGAGCTGGATGCGGGTTGCGTCGTCAATAAAATCGAGCTCTTTAAGAACTTGAACGCGCTGCTCGTAGTCGGGGAGCAGTTGGAGGTTTTGGTCGGAAAGAGACTGCTTTAGCTGGGCAATGTGCTCCTTGATGAGCCACTCGTCATGGCACATGGCGAACTAATATGATGATTGTCAGTAAACTGCGTAAGATTATAATCAAACAAACAATGAAAAAGAGAACAAGGTAAAAAGGGGTAAAAGGATATAGAGAAAATCAAAAAAAAGTCAACTCACATGCTTCAAAAACGACGGGCACTTGGCCGCCGCAGAATTCGCCATCGTCTTGGCCAACTGCACCCTCTTCTCCATCATCTCCTGCAGCGGCAAGCTCTTCACCTTGCCCATGTCCATCTCGTCCCACCGATCGTCCCAGGTTGCGCACATCTCCTGGATCTTGTCCCGCGCGTCCTCGGCGCCGCTGCCGCCCTTGAAGATCTCGGGCACGACTCCCTTGAGCACCCACCGCGTGAGGCACTCGACGTCGCTCAGGGGGACAAACATGTTCTTAGTCGTCAGCCGCTTCTTGCCCTGGGGCAGTCGGGGGAGGTATTTGCGAAAGGCCGGGATAAAGGGCAGCTGGTCCGTGGCGTCGCGGCGCTCTCTCAGGGGCTTGATGGCGCAGACGTGCAGGATGGGGTCGTCGAAGCTGCCCTTGGGGCTCATGCCTTCGGCAAGCAGGATGCCGGCGGTGCGGATGCCCTCCCAGTTGAAGACGATGAGTCTCTGCGGCGTAAACATGCGTCTTCCAAAGGCAATCCGCAGCAGGCTCTTGTATAGCTCTGTCGTCAGGCGCTTATAGTCTTGGGCAGCCTGATGGCACTCGTCCACCACGCCGTCGCAGATGCCGCAAGGCTCTCTCTTGACCTTGGCAAGATCGGCCTGGGCCAGTTTGACGTCTTTCTCGTGCTCCGGCAGCAGCTGTTGCGTAGCATGCTCAGAAAAACTCCGCTTAATCATCTCCTCAATCTTGAGCGCCTCCACTCGTAGCAGGTTGAGAATCATGTTGTACGTCAGCCTGAACTGAGACCTGAGCTTGGAAGGCTCTCCCAGAATCATGTTGCGCAGCTCAGCAACGGGGGGCGCGTCGTCTCCGCCAGGCGGCACGATAATGACCGAACCGACTTTATCCAGACCTCGACGACCAGCTCGACCAGCCATCTGGGTGTATTCGCCAGGCAAAAGGTTGCGGAACGAGTGGCCATCGTGCTTGCGGTATCCGGAAAACACCACAGTTCTCGTAGGCAGGTTGAGTCCCATGGCAAAGGTCTCGGTGGCAAACAAGACCTTGACGAGGGTCCTGGCGAAGAGAATCTCCACCAGCTCCTTGACAATGGGCAACAGGCCACCGTGATGCACCGCAATACCCCTGCTGAGGAGTTCACGCAGTCTGATAATCTGCGGAAGGACTCGGTCCTCGGGCTTGAGACGAGCAATTGATTTTTCAATCACCATGTAGATGGCGCTCTTTTCAGTAGCCGTGCAGAAATCCTGGTTGCTCAGAGCATCCGCATTTTCCTCGCATCGCTTCTTGGAAAAGACAAAGATACAAGCCGGCAGCAGCGTCTGCTTCTTCAAAAACTGAACCAAATGAACCCACAAGTTCTTGTCTTGAGCAGCGCTTGATCGCCCACCAGGGTTTCCGGCTCGTCCCATGTGTCCAGGGTTGTGGCTGGCTCGAGGAAGTCCTCCTCGTCCTCTCTGCTGGCCACCACCACCTCCACCACCACCGCCGCCTCTGCCTCCTCGTTGCTGTGGACCGCCTCGTTGGTTGCCACCTCTTCCACCTCGTTGATTGCCTCCTTGACTGCCTCCCCTGGTGGCAATCGCATTGCCAGCAGCGGGTGCCTTGTCTTTGCTTTGCGTAGCCTTGTGTGCGTCTTTCCAGCCGTTTTCGAGAAACTTCTTGTCCGAATCCACAATCTTGTGAATATCCTTGCCGGCCCATAGGTAGTGTTCCAAGGGCACCGGTCTCTTGGCCGTGGAAATCACGTAAATGTCTCTCTGCTTGGTTCTACCAACCCAAGAGGCGAACTCGTGCGTGTTGGGCACAGTGGCTGAAAGCAAGATGAGCGAAATGTGCTCTGGCAGCATGATGATGACCTCTTCCCAAACGACACCACGTTCATAGTCGTTTACGTAGTGGACCTCGTCAAAAATGACAAACTCGACGTCGCGAATCAAGTCTGCTCCGCGGTACAGCATGCTTCGCAGAATCTCCGTCGTCATGATGAGACAGCTGGCCTCGGGGTTGATCTGCACATCACCCGTCAAGATGCCGACCTCGTCAAACTCTTGTCTAAAATCACGAAACTTTTGATTGCTGAGAGCCTTGATGGGCGATGTGTAGATGGCCTTGGTCATGTGCTTGGCCGCCAGTGCAATGGCGTATTCAGCTACGACAGTCTTGCCGGCAGACGTATGTGCTGCAACAAAGACCGAGTCGCCGTTTTCGAGGTGGTACACGGCTTCCTTTTGGAATGTATCCAGCTCAAAGGGCCATTCTCGAGCCATGTCGGGAACGAGCTCTCTGAAATTGGGCATGTCGTGCTTGATATCGACCATGTGTGCCCACTCTCGACCAGCTCGTTTGGCACTCGAAGCTGCGAGAATGCCATGTGGTTCGAGAGACGGAAACTCCACAGGCAGCAGGTCGTCGATGTCGTCTCCATCTTCCTCTCCATCCTCTGGGGAATCACCAGACGCGCCATTGGGTGACGATGAGTCCTCGGCCTCTGCGTTGGCATCTCTTGCCTCTTCTGGATCCTCTTCGAGCTCCTGCTTGATCGCTTCAGCAGCGTCCGTGTCCTTGTCTGCCCTTTTTATGCTGAAATCGATGCCACGAGGCATTCCAGGGGCAGTTTGCAGTAACCCTCCCTCGCCGCCAAGTTGAATCACCTTCTCCAGCTTGTTCCCACCAGCAGCATCGTCAACAGCAGCTGTTCCAGCATGGATCTGGTCCTCCAAAGCCGCCGTCGCCTCGATGCCCTCCAGTCCACCAGGGGCAAAGGGAAAGAATCCAGCAGCACCTCTGACGAAATCCGCCCTGTTAGCCGGTTTACGCAGAAGACTGGTCGAGTTCTTTGCAGTGGCCCCGCTGATGGGAACCGTCACGTTCTTGTATCCCGTAACGCGGCCTTCCAGTCCGTGACGCAAAAACCTCGTCAGAGTTCGGGTCTGTGGCGGTGCAATCTTGAACAGCGACGTGTAATCTGTCTCAAAGTCCCATCTCTGCTGAAGACGATCCAGCCACTCGACAGAGAACTGGGAAGAGGGCATCAGCAGCTCATCTTCCAGACGTCGCTTTAGCTCTTCGGGGTCCTGGAGGCGCCGCTTCTTGGAGCTGGAGCTGGGGACGAAGTCTTGTGCATCCTGAGAGATGAGAAGAGCGTCGATGCCAGCCATGGCTCTAAACAGCTGAGGGTGTGATAAGTTTTGATTTTTCTTTTTTTTTTCCTGAGGAATCAATCTCAAGCAATGATTTTGTTTTGTTTAGAAACACCTTGTGATGAAAGCTAATATGAGGTGCAACTTTAGGTTGGAGGTTAGAGCCGCCTGGGCCCCGCCACATAGGATGGAAATGCGGGTCTGGGCACATGCATCTATTCGTGGATTTGAACGTTTTTGCAAGTCAGGTTGTACATGCTGCGTTTTCAAAGAGCAAAAGCAGTTTATAAGGAGAGAAATTCAAACAATATCAATAGGTTATAGAGAGAATCAGTTGTAAAATATATAGATGTAAATACTTGTATGTGTGTAGCAAGATATGTATAGAAGCTCCACCAGGACCTCGCGTCAGGCTATCGCTGCAGCAGGAATCAATAAGTAAAAGCTGCAGCTCTAATAATGGTAGCAATTCAACAGTTCTTGATCCAGTCAATCATTATCAGTCAAAAACCCAGCCCTTGTGCATTTGCCCTCTCAGAACGCCGATGAACGATAAAAGCCCTCATGTCCCAAACAAAGAAGAAACCTAGCAAATCAAATCAATATCCCGGTTGATTCATACACATGCATATCAACCCAGGGAGTAACGCAGCAAGCACAAAAAATCAAAAAGATAGTCCGCTATGAAATTCACTCCTGCAAATCTAAGCCCGCAAAGCCCTCAGTCTCTGCTGCAGCTTGTCCTCCTCCTCGGCCGTCGGCTCCGCGGTCTGGGGCTCGGCCGTCGCAGGCGTGGCCTTGTTGAGCTCGAAGCTGACTTCCAGGCCAGCATCGTCGGCCAGTTTGCCCAGCAGCTCGTGGACGGCGTCCTCGCCGACCTGGACGGAGGTGGACTGCGTGATGGCGTCCTGGTAGATGCCGTTGGTCATGGCGTATTCCTCGTTTTGCTGCTTGAACTGCTCCAGGGTAACGAGGGTCTGCATGGCCAGTCAGTCAGTCTTGAACAGCTGTGAACAAGGATAGCGAGGCAACACACCTTTTCCGGATTCGTATTCTTCTGCGCCAGGTTCATCGTCCGCGACGACGAGGCCATCATGTGCGTCATGCGGTTCATCGAGTTGTTGGCCTGGATCTGCGCCGCCGACAGCTCGGCCATGTCGGCCATCTGGTCCATCTGCTGCGCCAGCGCCTGCTTGGACAGCAGCATCTTGGCCTTTTGGTACGCCTTTTGCGTCTCGCCCTTCTTCAGCAGGTCCTGGATCTGCTTCTTGAGGACGGGGTCCTGCTTGGCGGCCTTTTGGGCCTCGCGCCGGGCCTGTTTGGCCTGGAAGCGCGCCTGGAACTCGACTTGCATGTCGCGGGCGAGCTGGCGGTTGGACATTTTGGCTGGAGGCGGTTTAGGCGGTTTAGGAGGGGATTGGGAGTGTTGCGAGGCGTTTTGTCGAGATGGAAATGAGGGCCGTTTGAGGAAAAGAGTTTCAAAAGGCGAACTTTCGGCGACTTGGACGAGTGGCGGATAAGGCGGGGTGACGCAACAGGAATCGGGCGCGCACCAGCCACAATCGTCGCTCTTGCCGACGGCGCACCAGCCACACTTTGTCTTCAGCCATGCTCTATCCAATGATCTCATTGTAAGTCGAGCAAAGGGACCTTGAAGAATTGATGGTTTTCAACACTTGTCTTTCTTATTCACAAAGATTTCAACTCGAGCTTTGAGTATGAAATGCTCTCTTTCAAAGCCGTCAGAAGAGCCTCACACCCCAAGATGAACGTCCAGACTTTTCCGCGGCCGCCACGGCTGGACAAGATCTCGCGGCACCTCCGCATCACATACAAGGATGTCGAGATTGCAGAGACCAGCGATGCGTACTGGGTGTTGGAAACGCATCATCCTCCAAGTGCGTGAGCCGCGTACATTTCAGAGTCAAGTATATGGCGTCTAGCATTTGAAATTCTGATTTGATCCATCATTGAATTCCTGATGAAAATGGCCGTGTCATCAAGTGGTGCTTACATCTTCCTGAGCCTCCAGGCTACATCTATACAATACTCTCACAAGCAACTTTGTATAAACTAACCGTCATCAGCATACTATCTCCCCCCATCCAGCATCAGAACCCCCCTCGAGCCCACGTCCCGCTCCAGCTGGTGCGAGTGGAAAGGCGCCGCAACGTACTACAGCATCGCCCTCCCCGACGGCACCGTCTCCAACCGCATCTGGTCGTACGACAGCCCGTCGGCCGGCTTCGAGCCCATTCGCGGGTACCTGAGCTTCTACGCCGGCCCGTGGGACTGTTTCGTCGACGGCGAGCGGGTGGAGCCGCAGCCGGGCGATTTCTACGGCGGGTGGGTGACGTCTGAGATTGAGGGCATCGTCAAGGGCAAGACGGGCAATCTGGATCCCGTCGTGTGAGACGGGCTTGAAGGTTACCGTGTCTCTGTTTTGATTGCCGACTTTGTATCTGAAACTGTGTCCTGATTGATAATCAGGATGCCATGGAGTGATTATCTGGCATGGAGGACTCGACGCAATATTCGTGGCCGCGTGGCAGGGTCCAGGCAGACACTCACTTGAAATTGCGATGCGTGGCAACGGCGAGGCTTAGGCTGCCAAGATGCTTGATTAGCTAGATGTGTCCTGAAGCACAAGGCAGTGCTGCGAGATTTGGTAAACACTAAATGAAATTGTCTCGATACGAGTTTCAGATCAAAATTGAGTTTTTCGCATGCGATGTAGGGTAGCTTTGGCTCTAGAGCTTGGCTGGGAATACATCAACATTATTCGCGAAATTGAAAATGCAGTATGATACTAGATTAAATTCTTATTCATCGTTCAATCGATATATGTATTTCGGGGAATCAATTGAGTTGGTTCATGGTCCCTGAACGACGTACTCTTCGATGGTGCAGGTTTAAAGCTATGTTTCAATTCACCACTACACGCTGGGATCTACAATTTTGAGGACTCCGTGCCCAATAGATACGCGCTAAGGTCATATTAATGATCCTGCGTCCTAGCAAAGATGACATCCAACCTAGGAGATACGGAATTATCTTGCCGATAACATGCATCTCTTTATTGGGCAATTCATGGATAGCTCTCCGCGGACACCGAGCCGCCCGGTTTTATACATGGGAAGGTACTTGACCGTAGCCATCATGTCCGCCAAAGGAAGAAGAAGATAAATAAAATACTAGTAGTAAATAAAAACCAAAATGAAAACAACTATAAACATTCACGCGAAGAAGAAGTCGATTTAGCCATTGATAGATGGTTAGACCCAGCTGCTCCGATATTTGTTACGATGAACTGTCGAAAACACAATCGTTGAACCGTGCCATAGAACCTCAACTGACAGACTCTATTACCAAATCAAATCAAATCAAATCAACTCGCAAACACAGATTCATCGAGTCAGTTGACTGCATCAAATCACACCAGCCATCTCCACCTGGAACGTGATAGAAATCTCTCTTCCTGCATGCATGCATTCATCTCTCTACGTGCAACAAGCGGTCTGCAAAAACGCAGATACTCGGCCAGGGCATCCGCTTCCAGGATACCTTGCAGCACGCATAAACTTTTTTTTGTTGGGCTCTACTGTATCAATTCCCTGAGTTGGTGTATGCAATTCCTCAGGATGCTTGCCTTGCCTGCTTGCAATTATGTGGCGGCCCCCAAACAAGCTCGATTGTCCGCGCCAATGCATTGAGCATCCGACGTGGCAAGCCTCAATTACTATCTCGCGAGCTCCCCACAGCCACCGTAAAAGCTTAGGTACGCTTGGCACCCAACTTTCGGAGACAAACTTTTTTGCATGTGAACTGGGGGGGACCTTGGAGGTTCGTAGCTGGACGGAGTAGCTGTATGGTCGATCAATGTTCACCGACTACATGTTGGAGTATGCACATGCATGTAGACTGGACGTGGAAACGCCCAACAAAGACATCGTACGACGTTTGCTTCATCACCTGCGAAGCCTTAACGGTGCTCCTCACAGCGAAAGCTTCTCGATACTCCACCGTATGCACATGCGCCTAGAAAGCTTCACAAGACGCGAGACCCGCCGTTGCTATGCTCATGTATGTATGTGTATGTGTATGTTGTCGAGAAGCGCGTTTCGCGTTACCCCGCGGGCGATCGAAAGGCTCGATGATGGCAGTGGCAAAGATTGGGCTGCAAGCGGTGCAAGGTTTGAGCTACTGCTTCTCGTCTTCTCCCTGCTTATAGATGGTCTGTCGTGTGATGACTTCTCTGGCATTGAGTTTGTTCTTGTAAGCAATCGCATGCGAGTGAGTTGTTGGAGTGAGGGGCAACGGAAGAAGCTCAGAGCAACTCCCCCGCATGCTCGCTCCAGTGTCAAAGTACATGCTTGGAGATGGGCATTTCGTACTCGTATGGGGACTGTATGGCAGAATCAATGTTGCACTGGCAGAATCAATGCACGCAGCTTCTGCATGGTCCGATAATGGAGGCCTAGAGCTTGAGCTGCCCACTTGGGCGCCACTGCAGGAGATGGAGCTGAAGAGTATCCTCTGTACATGCACGCCCGTCACAGGTGGTTGAAGGCAATAGCGGCGATGATGGCAAAAATGGCATTGAATATAGCAGCAACATGAATCATTTGAAATTGGCATGGCAGACAAGATGTAATTCCCGGGTAAAGTGCCAGTCAAAAGTAGAACCCGGCAGAATGAAAGGGTTACATGGACGACTGCCCTCTTTAAACGTTCAAGAGCCGGAACATAAACAGGCACAAGGCGTAGCGGAAAAAAAGGCAAGGGCAGCGAAAATCTGGGGTCTCGCCAGAAAGAGGGGGAAAGCAGATCGGCCTAATCAAGGAGAAAATTGGGAGAAGAGAGGGAGGGTCTCTAGTCCACCGTAAACCGTTCCGGAACTATTGCTAGAAAGTCCAAGTAAAGTAGCATTCTGATCCATCCATTGGCGGAGGTTGCATCTGAGCATGGGTATGCGATTTGATGAGCAGCCGCATGGAACGGAATGCCTTGCCGGCCCTGAACCAGCGTTGATTCAGAATGTGAAGCAATTCCAGCGATTCCAACCGTGTACCATTGATCAGCTACCAGTAGCAGCTTCAGCTACGAGGATCCTGAAACCGCTCGTCTTCCAAGCCATAAACACTAGAAAAAAGGGGCGGCGCCAACGGCCCGCACTCCGAGATGAGATGCTACTAAGTAGTATTGAGGGACGGCTGCCACACCAAACGACTAGGCGCAGCAGCTTGGTGCGGCACTCTTCTGGAGTTTTGACTTTGCCTGAGGAGATAGGGCCGAAAGTTGGAGAAGACGCGACCCCGCCTCCTCTCCTATTGATTTCCTGGTATCAATCAGCAGCGGGCTGGGAAATATTGCGTGCTTTTGGGCGATTCGATTGGCTCCGGTTGCAGACACGAAGAAGAGAGCATTGGACGGCCGTTCTGATGAAGCAATTGGTAAAATATCTCCGGCCATACCTGACGGCACAGCACACGGTAATGCAGTAGTGGAATAGGGAAGCATACCCAGCTGCTCCTTTCGGAGTATTTTGCCTCCCCCTCCTCTATACTGTACAGGCAATTCCTTTGCTCGCAAGGGTGCTGCCTCTTTTGGCATGTATGTTTACAATCAAACGGAGAAATGTCTGGGGTCCTGTCTCTCCAGGGCCCTCTTCAGGGTTCTCTCCAGGGCTGTCTTCAAATGTCTGCGCAACATCCGCCCTTGTCAGCAGCATTTGCCCGCCCGTTCGATCGATGTGATTCTTGTCGCTTCTTCTCCTTCCCTCTTCAAACCCTTGCCAGAACCCTTTCTGACCGAGAGTGAGACAAAAGAGTGTAAGCGTTTGGCGAGTTGGTGAGACTTTTCTCCCAAAGAGAGCAGCTGCAGAACGCCTATTACGGGGATTCCAAACAGGGCGATGTAGCACATGTATTTTGTAAGATGAGATAAGAGAGAACCCTTTGAGCCATGCAGTTGGGAGTCTCAACAGCAAGGGGGCCCATGAAGAGGGCGATGGAGCCATCCATTGTTTGAACCCGATGCGCTGGAGTGAGTTTCCTATAATTACAACTGCGATTACTGCTTATAGCAGCGCTGTCGCCCATCAGGCAGGCATGTAACCTGCCATCCCGCTGCGAGCCCTCTAGGCAAGTGAGCCGTCAATCCGGGACTTTTTTTGTTCCCTTCTGGCGATGCCGGAGGTGGGGAGAGGACCGGACGGATGCTGCGTCTCAAGGGCTTACTGTGCCTGCTGTGCTATCATTAGCCTCGACGAGAAGGCCGTTAGTGATTACGTGCGCAGCAGCTAGAAGCAGTGGATGGGGACGAGGACGACGGACTTGCTTGGAGGCAAACGGCTGCTGTAGCACGGCCTGTTGATGCTCACCACGTGTTGCTACATGGCGCTACATGCCCGAGTATGTAGAGCTAATGTGAATGCGCGTAGATGCATGTACATGTAGACGATGGTGTTGGCCGCCATCTTTGGTGGCGCCGATCAATAAGGATGAGAATAGCAGCACAAGAATGCATTACGAAGCACACCGTCTCTTGTTCCGCAGATCGTATCAGCCTCTCTGGTGGCTTGGGAGACAAGAGTGGGAATCGAGAGGAGACGATCCATCGATCCGGCTCGTCTTGTCCAACCAACCAGATCAAGCCCCCCTTTCCTTCGGCCTCCTTCTCCTGAGCTCCTTTCCTTTCCATTGTTTGGCATTGAAGCCCAATGACGTTTGGATGTTCTAATTCTTTGTGCACAAGGCCGCAAACAAGAAGAGGCTTTTTCTCAACAAAAATTGCAAATGCACGTTTCTGTCTGCTGCATGCCGTAATATCTGATGTATGTACATGTAAGGTATATGCAGGTATGTCATGTTTTGGGCGTGTAAGCAGACATGAAATCAAATGTTTCCCTGCCCATGTTCATGTTCATGTCCTCGTCCCTGTCCCTGTCCCTGCACTGAGACCGGCGCCGCTGCACGTGTCTCGGTAGTACTTGTGCATTTCGATACAGTTGAGACGAGAGCATCGAAGGCTCCAGAAAATGAGGGGATTGACGCCAATGGCACAGACATTGACAATACGATACTGTATGGAGAGTGCTGCCACTGCCACACGCTTGTAGTCTGCAATCAGCAAAATCAAACCACCATTTCTCGTATAATTTCAATTTCAATACAGCACCCAATTCACCAGTAGTGCAATCTTTCATTGCCTATTTCCGGCTTCTCTTGTATCCTCCGGTTCAGCCGACATTTCCCTTTTATCCTTCCCCAGAGCCAGCCTTTGTCTCTTCTGCCGGGATGCAACCAGCCCTTCTGGAGCGCCCTCGGAGGATTTGGAGGGGCATCCAGCACGTCCCAACTGTGCTGTAGCTGCGCTGTGCGTGCCTCTGCAGCAGCCGAATTCCAGCGCCCAGCACCCACTGCGCCCCCTGCAGCAGCGCTAAGGCAGCCCCCCTGAAGCCCCGAGCCTGGCGCCTGATTCGAGGCTCTGCCGCCCCCACCGCGATCCACCGCCACTGCTTAATGGCCTGCCTGGTTCGATTCGATCCGAAGCCACCCCTTTCCCTGGTCTGTCTCGCGGCCTCAGGCACCAATGATGCCTGCCGTCGAGGCCAGCGTGGCCTCAAGATAAAGAGACGGGCATCGCCGCCAACCAGCCCGACTCGACCGCATCCCTCACCAAGAAGCCACGCTGTCCTCTGCTCTGTCCCTACTCTGTCCTTTCCACTCCTATAGGCTCTGACTCATCCAACTTGGGCATAGCCACGCACGCAACTCTCTGGCTGACTCATTCGTTTGATTGGGTCGTCGGCTGCCTGCCATGAAGTGGGCGCCTCTGCACCAATAAGAGACTGCTGGAACGAACCATTGCTTTGACAAGCAAACACGCCGTTTGGCATCTGACGCTTTGATCTCGCTCTCTTCATCTCCACAGCGCGCCGTTTTCCTTAAGAGAGAAACAGCCGCTAACGTCTGTTCACGTCACTTTGCATACATCACTGCACATCCAACTCTTACACGGCGTGAACAAGAGAAGAAACAGGCACAGATTCAACTCCAGATACTCACAACATGGCGTTCCAGCAGTCGTCTCCGCTCATCAAGTTCGAGGCGTCTCCCGCCGAGTCCTTCCTGTCAGCGCCCGGCGACAACTTCTCCTCGCTCTTCGCCGTCTCAACACCGTCCTCAGCCACCACCATGGATCCCATGGAGATGATGACGCCACAGTCATACGCCGATGAGAAGCTCGAGCGCCTGTCGGTGATTCCCGAGCAGGACGACATGGACGACGACAGAGACGACGACGCAGACGCAGCCCCCACAGATTCCTCATCAGATAAGAAGCCTGCCAAGAAGAGGAAATCATGGGGCCAGGTGCTCCCCGAGCCCAAGACCAACCTCCCTCCCAGGTATGTCGAAACTATAACTCTTGTCAAAAGCTTCGTGTATGCTAACCGCCCTGGGCCATCAGAAAACGAGCCAAGACTGAAGATGAAAAGGAACAGCGTCGCGTAGAGCGTGTTCTCCGGAACCGTCGCGCCGCTCAGTCATCGCGCGAGAGGAAGAGGCTCGAGGTCGAGGCCCTCGAGAAGCGCAACCAGGAGCTGGAGACGCTTCTGATCAACGCCCAAAAGACCAACCTGATGCTCGTCGAGGAGCTCAACCGCTTCCGACGAAGCTCAGGTGTCGTCACCCGTTCCTCCTCCCCCCTAGACTCTCTCCAAGACAGCATCACATTGTCACAACAGCTCTTTGGCCCCCAAGACGGCCAAAAGATGGACTCTACCAAGCAGTCCTTGATGGACCAGATGATGAGGTCCGCGACAAACCCCACCGTGAACCCCGCCTCTCTCTCCCCCGAACTCAACCCCATCCCCGACTCGGCCAACCAAGACTTGTCTGAAGACTTTGCCTCGGAAGAGACAAAGGAGGAAGAGATGACGGAACAAATCGAGCAGACCAGCCAACAGCTGACTGTCGGCCTCTCCACTGATTCGACACAACGTCCTGCAGAGATGTTGTGCGACCTGCCGTGTCAATCGGTGGAGACGCCTCAGTCCTCGGCGGCCTCTCAGACTCCGACGCCCACTGCCTTGGCCTGGGCTCTGTACCTCAGGATGATGGTCCTTTCAGCCTCGGCTCTTCTTTCAGCATGTCAGCGGCCCTTGATGCAGATCGCTATGTCCTCGAAAGCGGGCTTCTCGCTTCTCCCAACCCCTCAACTCTTGACGACGATTATCTGGCTGGTGACTCTGCCGCCTGCTTCCAGGATCAACCTCCCTACGACTTCTTCGACATCAACGACTTCCTCAACGACGACGCAAACAACGTCGCCTCCGACATTGTGGCAGCGAGCAACTATGCCGCTGCGGACCACGAGCTCGACCTCGAGATCCACGACCCTGAGACTCAAATCTCTTCGGACTATCCTATCCAGCAGCCCCAGTCTGGCGCGTCCTCTTTTGGATGCGACGATGGCGGCATTGCGGTTGGTGTCTGAGGGACGCGACGATCGGGACGGGAGCTCAGACAACGAGTCTTGTGCGACGCGCGGCGACCCTTGCGAGCTGACTCAATCTCCACGCAGCGTTAACTTGCCGTCTAGGGAAGCTCTCCTCACACTCCTGTGGGCCCTGAGGGTCGAGGAGAGGAAGATTCAGCAAAAGCAGGCCGCGCTTCTCGTCTCCGAGAGAAGCGCCTCAGCAGACCAACAACAACAACCATCAGTATCAGATTCCATTGTCCTTAAAGTAGCGGGTGTTAAGCGAACCAAGCCTTCTCGACTTGACTATGGCGGTGGCTCCAAGCGGTCACGGCTGTCGAGGTAATTCATTTTATGTCTTTTCAATTTCTTTTTCTGTGTATTTAAAATATCAATTTTTATGTTTCATTGTCTTCACCTATGGGAAAAAAAGAAATCCCTGGCTTTAGGGTGGCATGGGATGGTGGCATATCTTCCAATGGTGGTTTAAGGATATGTGTGGAAACGGCGCAACGCGGGAACAACCTTCTCTCTATGGAAGAGGGATAGAAACAGAATAGCCATCATGACCTGGCTTCACTTGACGATGGGCTGTACACTATTTATAATTGAACAAGCGATGCAGATTTCTCTACACTGATGAATCCCATGACTGTGACTGTATTTCTCTTATTGATATCATGTTCATAGTGTTTTATATCTAGTAGAAACGAAACATCGTCTACTTGCTATTAACGTGGTCTACTTGCTATTTATCCGTTGATACCACCCTCGTACTTTTAGCAATCTGATTTTAAAAATGATGCAGATTAAAAATCCCCAAACGCCTGCTAAGTAGATGTGCCCTTTGCAGGCCCCATCCCAAAATCCATTGTCCTACCATTATCATTCACTGTTCTTTGTGATTTCACCACAAACCGTCCATCTCCCGCATAGCTTCCTCTTCGTCCGCAAAGTCGTGTCCCCTGTCTCCTGAAGCTGAGCCATTGCCCGTATTCTGTGTAGGCTGCTGCTGATCTTGTGCTTCAGCTTCTGCAATGAGGGAGTTTAGATAGTCGTCGTCGTCGTCTTCTGGGCCATTTGCACTGGCAGCAGCAGCACTAGTATTTTGGGCTGTGGTAGTGGTAGTAGCAGTATTTGTCGTGGGGAAAAGGAGCCTCCGACTACCCAGGCCCCCTGCCTCCGCCATGAGCGCTTCCAAATCATCATCATCAGGCATATCGTCATTCGTCTTCGCCGCCGCCGCTGCTGCTGGCACATCATCACGAAGCATATTCACAAATCTTGTCGCCCCTCGAGGTGTGGCATCGTATAAATCGTCCTCGTCATGGATAGTGACGGCTCCAATGCCCAGCTCGCCGTCATCATCGTTGCTCGCCTTGGGCCGCCCTTCGTTGATCCATCCGTCTCGTGCCGCCACGAGGGCCTTTTTGTGGCCGGCCTTTTCGACCATGGCGAGGGCGTCGAGGAAGCGGGCTTTGGGGTAGAGGTCGTCGAGCCATAGCTGGTAGAGGAAGAGGAGGCGAGCTGTGTCTCTGTACTGCGCCAACAAGTCTAGTCAGTGGGGTGTAAAAAGGATAGAAATAGAGAAGCTTTTGGGGGTGAGTTGCATTACCTCATGGCCTTTGCCTTTGAATCTGAGCATTTCTCCTCTTTTTCTTAGCGTGGGGATTCCATCTGGGCCTAAGAGTCTATAGATTGATGATTAGGTTAATTGCCATTCCGTATGTATGAATAATTCATGGGTAGGTACTTTTCTTCGTCAAGCTTCACATTTGGCACCCGCACACGCTTCTGCACCGAGACTTCCTCTTCGATTCCCAGCCCAGACGGTGGCTCTTTTCTCTTCTTGCTTGATGATGCTGGCGGGGGGGTTGGAGATGCAAAAGGGTTGTCCAAGTCCTCGTCGCCCCCTTCCGGACCATAATCGTCTAAATCATCGCGATGTGATCTCACGTAATCTGCCAGGACCGATAGCTTTGAACGATGTGGCATGATGTCAGTATGATTTTTGAAAAACAAGGTCCGTTTGGTATAACAAGCAATAAATTGTCAAAACGACCACCGCCTGCTCTTTAGACGCGTCTCTCTACCTTGATGATTGCGGGGACCGCGTCGTGGCTTAAAGCACCCCACCAAGACCTTTAATTGATTCACGTGATGCAGACGCCCAGAAGCGTCCCCACGTGATTTCTCGCATCCTCAGGCACTAGCAATCGCAAGTTGCAAGCTCCGGGACATCAGATCTCTCGATCCAGTTCGAGCTGCTGCCGCATTTCGGGGGTCGCAAATCTAATTCACAAAATGGCCTCAACAACGACCAAGCAGTCCTACGTCGGGACGAGCAAGGTCGTCGAGACCAAGTATCCGGTATGTTTTGCCTCTTGTATATGGCGCAATTTGGGCGTCTCGTTGGAGGAGAAAATCGGCATGGCGACGTGAGATAGACTGACGGTTTTGGGGTTTTAGCTCATCGACAACGACCCGTACGTTATTCACTCTTCTCGGTTTTACGATTTTTTGAAATTTGAATGGATCTGCAAACGATAGAGGTGGAATTGGTCAAATGCTGATGCTGCATCGTGGACAGTCACTTTAAGCGAGTTGTCGGATATGCGCGAACCTCAGACTACGTAGCTGGAGCAGCTGCCGCGGCTTTTGCTCCCGCCGGACTCTACGCCCTCGAGAGACTCGCTCCTTCACATGTTGGCAGAGGCGGTCTTGCCAAGGCCATGCGCCTGGCCGGCTTCATCGGTTTGGCCGGCGGTTTCCTCTACTTTTACCAGCGATCAGCCCGTACGTTTTTGATATTCGACCCCTCACTTTGGCATATGGAGGGCCAGTTGGAACAAGTCCCGTGAAGCTGATACAGTATAACGCAAACAGTCCGATTCTACGGCGCCACCGAAAACGCAAGAGAAGTCGACCTGGACATGCGGGAAATGGTCGCCAAGGTCAAGGCCGGCGAGCCCCTCTACGGCGAGAGCAGGCTGAACTCGCACCTCCAGGGCGTTGCCGCCCGCCAGAGCAGATACTCGGCCCTCTTCTTCAGCACGGTGCCCTGGTTCAACTTTGTCAACCACAACCAGCACGGCGTGGACACGGCAAAGTACTACCAGCAGGCGGAGAGGGAGCTGGAGGCGGAGCGAAAGTAGACGCGAAGGGGGAAGGAAGAAAGAAAAGAGACGAAGAAGACATACTTGTGTATATTTTAGCGAGAATATCTACCAGTTCTTGCGGAGAACGAAATAAAGAACAAAAAAAAAATGTTTCGAAATACGGGCCCCCCTTTGGATTTACATATGACCAAGGTTTGAAATGCTTCATGATTGTGTCAATCGACTCCCTTATGCTCTGCTCTGTTATTTAGTTTACAGATATTCTGTGCTTCCGATACTAGCAATCATAGGAACAAATCTCCGGCTACGAGTGTAAAGATTGGCAACGTTACACAGCATCGAACATTTTACGTTATTATTTCAACGATAATGACAGGTGCCATTGCCCAGCATCTACCCATCCTCATGCCCCAGCAATCTGCGTTTCAACCTCCAAGCTTGATACGTCTGCGACGGGTATCTTGCCGGAGTTACCTCTGCCAACTCTTCAATCCTCCGATTTTCAGATCCTACAATAGAAGCATCAGTGTCCAGGTACTTGTAGACGTGCGCATCTGGATCGGCAATCAGACGATCCCGCAGCGCAAAGAAGAGCTGGAAAATCTGATTCGTCTGCCACCTCGTGCCGAAAAGCTCCGTCAACAAGCCCACAATCGCGCTGCCAAAGGGGGCATATGCGACAATGTTTCGGTACACATCTCCATCACCAATCTGCCGGTCTTCAGAGACCATTCTCTGGTCCGCCGCCGCAATCTCCTCGTCAATCTTTTCAGTAGGCATGACCTGCCCATCTGGATCGTTCATCTTGATAGCCTCGAGCATCCACTTCAACACGAGATCGGAAAGTACTTGGTTTGGCTCAATCACTTTGCTTGCCCAGCTCCATCTGGCCAACAGTCGTTCCAGCCGCCCGCCGCCAAACATGCGCAAGAACTTGAAGCGTTGCCGTCCCAAGTCATAATGCACGCCTGGAAACCACTTCTGGGTGATTCCAAAGTCATCCGTTCTCCCCGAATGACTCCCCCTTGTGGCAAGACAAGGGGGGAAGATGTAAAAGTCATCGTGCAAGGACATGGCGTGATATACAAGCTCGACGACGGATGAAACCTGCTGGTCACGGAATTTGGGCCAGTCTAGCCCAACGCCACCTACAAAGTCTGGAATCCCAAGGCTGCCTACCGTGTCGAAAAGGCCCAAGAATTTCACAGGCGGCTGGAGCTGAGCTTCTCCGTCTGCCTCGTCACCAATCAGGGGCCAGCTTGCGTGTTGACGGAACTGCTCAGATTGGCTCGAGTGCGGGTTATTGATGGGGTCTTTGGAACGGTAGATTCTGTAGACCTGACGGCACAGAAGATTCGTCTCGGCGCAGTCAATGGTGCCGTCCGCTTTTAGCACGGGCTTGACGATTCCGCAATTGTTAATCATGCCAGCAACCGATCGCACCATGTATGCGCCCCTCGAAAGGCCAAACATCCATATTTGGCGATCCGGGTAACTGTAGTGATCAACGATAAATCTGTAGGCTTCCACGCATTGGTCCGCAATGTCTTGAGCTGTTACTCCGTTGAAGACGTAGCTGGATTATATTAGCCATTAGCCATCACATCATATATTGATTTCTACGACGCACTCGAGAAACGTGCTTCCCAGCCCAACGCCGTGGATGTACCACGCCTTATTGCCGTTTGTGCCAGTGTCGTCCACGTCATCTATATCGATGCCAACCATCTTGGCTAACAGATAGATGTTGGACCGCGTATCGGCCTCTCGACCACACCAACTGCCATCGGCGAGGATGATGAGAGGTCTTGGCTCAGCCGCCGGTGAGGATTCCGATGTGCCAGACTTGGAACTGGACATGGTAAACAGACGAGATATGGACTATAATTTACGCCGAACCGTAAATATGTGTTGCATCTACGAGATGGGTAACGAGGCCAGGCTGTGCCGTCTCAAAAAAGCTACTTTATATACAGACATCACCTGTGAGTCGTCTTGATCCCTGGGCTGTAAGCTGGAATAATCAACAGAGCTGAGCTGCTTTCTACATATCATATGTATGAACTGTAGGCCCCAGAGCATAAAGTCTCACCAACATAAACTTTGATAGTTCTTACCTGCATACCTTCGAAACCGTACTATGTAGCCAAGGGGTTGCTCAGCTGGTCACAAGCCAAGAACAAGGGCAGACATACAAGTTACATGTAAATGCTGCAAGGTAAAAAACCAGGCATCATCAGATCTCACCTGCATGCCCTGCTGCTTCGACACATCACGCGGCTTGAATTCACTGTAAATAAGGTTCATGTTCGGATGAAGCCGGCGTCTTTGAGATTCTCTTTGGCCAATGGGAAGCGGCAGCTCTTTCCGCGGGGCTGACGAAGAGCTGAAGGTGCCATTCAGCCAAGAATAGACTAGAACTGTGAGGCTGGCAAAGCTGGAGAAACGAACTTTGTGTTTGGTGCGTATCTGGCAAATCCAAGAGTAGCCACCACAGCAGACGCCATTGACCAGAGCCAACAGCAGCTGAGAGATCAGCCCGCAACACCAGGCCAACTAGCCCCGAAGATTTGCACTGTTTGAAGAACTGACAATAGACCAAGCAATACACAAACCATTGAATGGTCCGTGGACACAGTCTTCTAGAATTCGCTTACAGTGCCTGTGTGTGTGGATACATGTATGCATTTGTATTGTCGCCTAGCAGAGACCATCTTGCGATCGACGTAATCTGGGAACAAACTTTACATGTTTCTTCACGTGAATGCCCAGCTTTGCACTTTATTGCCGCAACTTGACTCCGAACCTTCATTTTGTGTACGTACATGTACTGTACTGTACTCCAAGGCATCTGTTCAGACACATGAAGCCCGAATTCCATCACTGGCAGCGCGAGGCTATGCTGCATCATGGCGACTTGTCTGATACACGGCGATTGAATCTTACATCTGTTTGCAGGTCCAGCTGGGTCTATATTCTTCGAGCTATTTAGGCCGCAACGCTTTTGGAATCCTACACTCTGACTCACAGTCAAGTGGTTGCTCGGATATCTAGATACATTTTCGATCAAAACCTGCCCTATTCTCTTTGACTAGCCCCATCAGACGGTCGTATGCTCTCTGGTCATCACCCTGGTGAAATCGCTCCACATCAACTTCATCGTCCATACAAGAGCTACCGTAATCAGTATCCAGAAACATGTGCCTAAATGCAATAAGATCGGAGTCCGCTTCCAGTTGTTGCAGAGAATGATCAACTGCGTCGTCTGTCCCCTCATCGTATTCTTCTCTAATGAACGGTGCCTTGCTGCCTCCTGCGATTAACTGGGTAAGCCGTGGCCTCGCTTCGTATATCTTATCAAAGAAGTCAGCCCAGGACAGATTTTCGCTGTAGTACTCGGGCGCATATCTGCAGAGGCATTCATTGACATCGAGAGACTCGAGAATTTGGGCATGGCTTTGTAAAAATAACACCAACTCCGAGCAGATGAAGCAGTTTTCTAGTGTGAGTGATTGTAACAGAGGGAGGTCTCCAGGCTTCAAAGCCAGCGGAATATAAGGTGGATAATCTTCGAGGCCGAGAGGATCTGAAGCCCGGATATGTAAACGCTTGAGGCCCGTCATGTAGCGGAAAAACGAAGCATCCAAGTTGCGGAGAAAGGAATTGGTACCAGGCGCCGAATTAGTCCGATATCCTATATAATCTTCAAAGCCAAAGAGGTTCAATGTTGCAGATTCAAGTTGGCCAAGAAACTGGCGAAATGCATCCGTATAATACGTAGACGTCCACTTTGGCGGAAGTTGATCAAGGACAAGCTCCCTTACAAAAATGTTGGCCGCAACAGCCTCCCAAGTCTCATTCATAAGCGCCCGCCATTCATGTTGTAGTTCTTCCGTACGAGTGGCAATCACATCTTCTTCATCCCAAAAGTGAAAATAAACATCGTCATAGTCATTATCTAGGCCAAAGTTATACTTGAGGGTGATCGTTTGTAGGTTTGGCGTCAGGGACCCATTTAACAGTCTGCAAGCTGCCGGTAATAGAGATGGTGCCGTTGGCGTATCATCCAGGTTGCATTGGCAGGTGAACTCAATTCCTTTTACATACTGGCCGTGAGCCTCCACGGCAATCAGTGCAGATGCTGCTGAGATGTCGTTATTGGTGAATCGTATGGTGTTGAAAATCTCCGGCAACAGTTGGGCTCTGAATGACTTGCATGTTGCGCTTATGTTGATTTTGTCGCGAATTCCAAGCAATCTGGTTATCTGAAGGGATAATTCGCATGGGAGAGCTAAAAGAAACGCCATTCTGAGCTTATTTGAGGGCGATTCCAACTTGGAAATAACCAGAAGCGTGGTCTGAAAGGAGACAATCTACGAGTAACTACCTAGGTACATGTAGGTACTGGACGTTAAGGCTGAATTTTGGTCACGTTTTTTTTTTCTTGAAGGCATGACCAGACCAGAACGACTCTATAACCAGCAGCTAGCAAACAATTGACCATTGCTTGGAGTCAAGCAGGGTCAAAAACACGTAGGCAAGGGGTATGAAGAAAAAAAGGGAAATCTTGAATAATCAGCGTACACTTCTTAATTTTACACGCCGTAATAACACTAAAGTATTAATAGGTACTTACTGCTGCTGCTGCTGCTGCTGCTGCTACAGCTGCTACAGCCACTTTTGAATGTAAATAATTAAATATTTTTACACGTGGACTAATTACATGCACTTGGTGAGCTACAGCTGGGGTGGTGGATAACAGGACCGAGGTACTGGATAACTTTCCCTTCAAAAAGCGCTGCCGCTCCAAATAGCTCAAACAGTGTAGACTCAGCTGGAACTGGCAAACAAATGCAAGAGAGCCTCCAAGCCAGGCTCTTCTGCGAGCTGGAAGATGAAGTGTCTGTTCGCCACTGTGTATGTATTGTTGTTAACACTTACTTTCCCTATTCTAATCCCAAGGTGGAGATTGCAGACCAGACCAACAACACAGACCTCCCACCAACAACGAGGCTTTTCTATTGTCCTAGCATCCACTATCAACATTTGGATAAACTAGTGGCTTGGAGATGTCGAAGCATCTAAAATCTGCAATGGGACTGTTGTCTTCCGAAGAGGTCGGCCAACACGTTCTGGGCATAGCGATATGGGCATGCTTGACAATGACTAAAAATACACCGTTATGCCGAGGCAGGCTTATAGCAGAGGGTGTCTGGAAATGGCTTTGAGACTCTTTCGGCTAGATTATATCGATATATCCTGTTTAACATGCTCTGCCTATTTGACGATTAGCCAGGAGTTTCAACCACAAAGCAAATGTATCCCACACCACCGGCAACTGCCTCTTCCTCATCTGTAGATGGCGATATCCTTGACGATTTCGCCCATCATGAGGACCATCCCATGATTGAAAACGATGGCAAGACTCCCTTTCCACGGATTTCCAAGCCCATAGAACATATACGAGATTCGTACGACTGTGTTGTCATCGGTTCTGGTTATGGAGGCTCCATAGCTGCGTCGCGCATGGCTCGAGCAGGCGAGTCTGTCTGCCTGCTAGAGAGAGGGGAAGAGAGATGGCCAGGAGAGTATCCCACGGGGACGATTGACACGATGAAACAGTATCGCGTTACTGGAGACTTGATTCCAAGTTCTTTAGGTGGCGTCGGCGTCAACATGGGCAATCCAACGGGCATGTTCCATCTCATTCTTGGCCACGATCAGAATGTTATTGCTGGAAATGGTAAGTATCAGCCTTCCAAAGCTATACTGCAAGTGTCTTTAGTCATCTCTTTACTTACTCTGCATCACTTCTCGCAGGCTTGGGTGGCGGAAGCCTGGTCAACGCGAATGTATTTCTCGAAACAGAACATGACATTCTCAAAATGGGATATTGGCCACCAGAGATTCGAGACAACCCGGCGGGCCTTGGTAAATGTAAAACATACTGGCCCTTGTCGCAGCTGTCGATGGAAGCTCGTTTGGACTAACAATCTCTCCACCTCCAGATTACCAAAAGGTTCGAGACGTGCTTGAGCCAGAGCCGTATCCCGAAAACTGGCCGAGCCTCAAGAAGATGGAAGTATTCAACGATCAGGCAAAAACTCTTGGACTGCAAGACAAATTCCGCAGAGTTCCCTTGACAACCCGCTTCCGAAACGGCCCCAACAGTTGCGGCGTCAACATGTCAGCGACAACACTTGCTGGACAAGAAACCACTGGTGTCAACGATGGCTCGAAAACTTCGACGTTGGTGACATACATCGCCGATGCCTGGAACTGGGGTGCCGAAATGTTCTGCAAATGCGAAGTGCGGTATATCGAAAAGGTCCAGGACGATCGCGGCGGCTACTTGATCTACTTTGCCTGCCACGGCAAAGGCCGGAGTCGTTTCGCAGCAGGCAATGTCTATGGCGACTTGATGTGGGTGCATGCAAAAAGGGCCCTCTTCCTCGGTGCTGGATCCATCGGCACAACAGAAATCCTGCTTCGGAGCAAGCACATGGGCCTGAGTATGAGCGATTGGGTTGGTCGTTCAATGAGCGGTAATGGCGACGTTTTGGCTTTTGGGTAAGCATCAACATCAAATGCTTCTGGTACCGTGATCGTGATGTCCTAATGACACGACGCGTTGTATAGACACAACTGCGACGTGGAAGTAAACGCTCTCGGAAACCCAGACCAAGATCCTTCAAATCCCGTCGGTCCAACGATAACGAGCGCTATTGACAATAGAAAAGGCCATGACAACCCACTAAATGGCTATGTTATCCAAGACGGCGCCATGCCGCAAGCATTCAAAGAGATAATGCCTTGTATACTGGACATGATGCCTGGAAGCCGAGCCTACGAGATGTCGCTCCTTCAGCGAACTTGGGCTTTCATGGGCCATTGTAAGAAGGCTCTATTCGGCTCGAATCCGGAAAGTGGTCCTCTGGGAAACACTCAAGTCTTTTTAATCATGTCGCATGATGGTACGCATATGTTTCATCTCTCGAGAAGAAAGCATTCATCATTAGTGCTGTATTGCTAACCAAGGCCCAAATGAAACAGGGAACCAAGCAACTTTGTGTCTGAAAGACGACAAGCCGTATTTGGAATTCCAAGGAGTCGGGAAAAGCGACCGAGTTAAGAAGCTCAACGATCTTTTGGAAAGGGCCACGGCTTCTGTTGGCGGTACGCTGTCGCTGACTCCTTTTTACAACTTTATGAGCGAACAACTGATTACCGCACATCCTCTTGGGTAAGAGACAAAATCCTGAGCTTGAGATTAATCCGTATTGATACTGATATGTGCTTTGTTTAGGGGAGCACCAATGTCTCGGGACAACACTGGAGCCCATGGCGCGACAAATCACCTAGGCCAAGTTTTCATTGGCAACGATACCGCAGAGACTCATGCCGGCCTCATCGTAATTGATGGTGCGCTCGTTCCTGGATCTATTGGTGTGAATCCGTTTGCTACCATTGCTGCTCTCGCCGAACGCACTATCGAGGCGTATGCTAGAGACAATAATCTTGTGATTAGCGAGGAGAAGAATGGCATTTTGGATCTCTTTGGGAAGCCGGCGCATCAGCCAAGGGGTCGGTGCCCTTTAACCACTCTCCATGGCAAGGTTCCCAAAAAGACGACAGGCAGAGCCAAAATGTCCAGATCAAAAACCGTCGAGTTTGCAGAACTCATGTCTGGATTCATCCACAGGACCCAGCTGGATGTGGCAGCTGATAAGAAGGCGGCGTATGAATCGGCATTTCGAGCAGGAAAGGGCAAAGGCGAGATTGGTAGATTGTTGGTCAGCGCAACTGTCTTTGAGGGCCATGATATGAGAGATGAAACCCGGCCTAGCGGCATTTTTACAGGCACCTTTGTCTGCCCATCTATCCAAGGTTCCCCATTCATGATCCCTCAGGGTGATTTGGGATTGTTCAAGAAGGATCGAGAAATCACAGGAACCAGCAGATTGACGTATGAAGGCGACATGGTTGGCGGCAACGGCAGACGGCTTCACTTTTCTGGATATAAGCTGGTTGATGCCTCTGTCTCTCTGAGCCCTCTTCAGATGTGGCGCTCCACGACGACCTTGTACGTTACAATAACAGAAAGAGTCGCCCATGGAGCAACAAAGATTGCAAATCATCATCAGGATGCCTTCGACGACAATCTCAGCATGTATCAGGGGACTCCTAATTCAGCCGATGAGAAACTCGTTGCAAATGGCATCTTGCGTTTGCGCCCAAAGGATCTCGTCTCCGAGATGATGACACTCTCTGCCTCGGGCAAAGATGTCCTGAGCAAAGCGAAAAATATGACAAACTTCTTGACCTTCTTCGCCTCCAAATCCGCATCACACCTGTTGACGCCACTTGCTCCCCTTGAGTATACGGATGAGGGAGCCGTGTTGTACGAGAATCATACATCGCCGACCCAGACATTTAGAGTCGTCTCTGAAGACGGCGTCGAAACGCAGCTGCACATGTGGGAGCCAAATCCGAACGCTGTTGCCACCGACTCAAACGGAGTGCCCGTAAAGATTGAGAATCTCTTCATGATTCCAGGCGCATCTGTTGACCATCAAATATTTGCATTACCCACTATTCCGTTCAATGCTGTTAATTACTTTGTTAGAGCCGGTTACCGTGTTTGGGTAACGGTTCATCGCATATGCCAGCTGGAATCAACGCATAGACAGCCCTGGACGACATACGACTCGAGGCTCGATATCAAGGCCTGCTACGAGCATATCCGGAGAACCCATGGAACCGGCAAAGTCTATACCATTGCTCACTGCATGGGATCAGTCGCGTATTCTTGTGGCCTCCTCGACGGTACTATCCCATCTGAGTGGGTTTCGGGAATCACTTGCAGCCAAGTATTTATGAACCCTATATGGGCCACTCTGAACATGATCAAGGCCACGTCGCCACTGGCGTTGGACAAGGTATACAAGTCTGTTTTTGGAGACTGGTTCGAGATTGGGTCGTCTGTCCAAGATCCCTGGTCCCAGAAGCTTTTGAACCAGCTGTTGCGGCTTCACCCCGAAAGAAAGGAAGAAATGTGCAAGAATGCCGCCTGTCATCGCACAACATTGGTGTACGGCCGTTGTTGGAGCCATAACAACCTCAACGAGGCGACTCATCGAAACGTTGACCGCTTTTTCGGCGGATGCAGCATGCATTTAACTAGTCTCCTGAAACGGATGGGAAGTCGAGGAGAAGTCAGCACCAATGAGCCCGAGTATACAGAGCTCACGACACCAGAAAACATCGAGCGCCTACGCGGTCTCCCATTCCTGTTCTTTGTTGGCGGAGACAGCGCCGTTCTCTCCCCAAGAGCTACAGAGACGACGTATGAGCGCTTGATTGATACATTTGGCATGTCCGCTGGCCTTCCTGGAGGAGACATCCAGTATCGCCGGAGAGTCGTGCCCGGCTATGGGCATTTGGACTGCTGGATGGGGCGCAATGCCTGGAGAGACGTATATCCGTTTGTACGTGAGGAGATTGATCGAGTTGTCCGAGGCGAGTCGTATAGATTTCGGGAACCGAATGATAGGTTCAAACAATTTGCCGAGGGGAGGTGAATCGCAATTAATGGGTAGGGTTCCCCTTCTTCCTTTCCTTGTTGTTTTTAAGAATCGACATATACTATGAGCATATGAAGAATATTGCATGATATGGAGAATCGTTATTGCGGCCTACTAGAAGCGTCTCTGAATAAATATAAACTGTTGATGCCTTTCCACTTGTGTTGTTTACCCTTCAGTTGTTGAAGATTCCACTGGCTTTTGAGCGATTTCGACAGTATTCTTATCGGCGCTGCCGAGAAATCCGTATGAAACACACCAAAAGAAAGGAAACCTGCTGCTCCAACTTGGTCGATCCCTTGTATTGTGGGGGATTAGACAGTATCTGGTGGCGGTATAGGCGTATCTTGACCAAACCTCGCAACTGTATGTGAACAATCCAGTTTACCGGATTTGGTGATCGCAAATGTTCCAAATAGTCCTAGTCTCCATCATGTTGCATTACGAACCGGGCCAGGCTCAGGACAGCCAACCTGGCGTCACATCCTCTCTGGAAGACCGCGGCTCATTGAGCTGCAGAACCGTTATCAGTCTTCATTACGAAAACAGTAGCAGTACCTTCTGAGAATGCTCTTGGCCGAATAGGGCATTATAAGCCGACCATATAGTTGGAGTGGATCCGCTCTGGTCTGCGTGTTCAACATCGTAGCGTCCTGCGTTCCTGACCTGCTCTGCAAACGTCTTATGATCTTCTTTGGACAGTCATCTCAATGCAAGCTCCAAACTGGTCCTCGTGAAAGCAACACACAAGGGTTGTGCGTCCATGACAACATCTTCGCTCGGCTGGCAGCCCACCGCTCTCCGCCGTTTCTTCCTACAGCAAACAAAGTAAAAGGTCTGATAAACGCATCTGCACACTTTGCTTGCATGATGACAGATCAAACAACAATTTGCGACTAAGAAGACACGAGAGCTGCATACCTAGCGCTGTTTTGAGTATTGACTAATGTGGCGTCTGTCTCTGCTCTCAACATACATGTAGGTATGGATGCAAGGCTCTTTTCGAAAAAGGTTAATCTTGTGATTCGGCCAGGGCGTCATCGGCTGCGTCTGAAGGAATCGGACAGTCATATCCAGAGGAATCGGAATTAGAATGCATGCAAAGATTGACAACATTGACCTAGAGATCCTCATTCCTGCTGGCCCACATCTGATATTGTTGCTACCCATGACGATGAAAGCCAAGCTTGGTTAGACACATTAACTCTTCCCAGCCCTTTGACGTTGCTCCAGACCCTTGCTTGATCTGCACCTTGTATCGGAAATTTTCAGCCGTTCTGGCCAGGTCGGGACCGACAGCGAGGGCCGAGAGCGAGCGAGCAAGCAAGCAGAAAGTGTTAATAACCCTGGATATCTTTCTCCCCATATTTTCTAGGTTCTCGGCCATGCAAAGGATCGAAAATGGCAGCGTGGGTGGTATCCTTTGTGGAGTAAGGAAGAGGGATGGATGCTGCAGCTAGAGAGAATATTGCATACTTTCAGCTTGGTTTGTCTGGTGTATACGCAAACACATCGCGAATACCCCGGACGAGCGTAAACGCCGTACAGTGTATACGGCGTTTACACGGATGAAACGGAGTTCTAGTGAGAAACATGCCCAAGAGATCGCCAAGGAAAACTAGTCCTTCCCGCTGCGGATATCCATTTGCGAGATAACTCTGAAACTCCTAGTAGGTGCCGTCGTTGGTTCCCTGAGCGAGAAAATACTTTGCCCAGTGCAAATCAGCTCGTCGGCTATTTAGCTGCGACATACTCGGACGCTACTGCAATACGATCAAATGGGCATATGGGGCAGCCACATGGGAAAAAAAGGAGCGGCACGCCAAGTCCGTATGCCGCGACTGACCTGGTTGACGAATCCTTCCGCAACAACCGCAAGAAGAGATCGAGCCACTTGGAAGTAAAAGGAGCAAAGCCATGATTCAGTGTGATCCCGCCGTAACCTAAATATCCCTGCCGCAAAGCCGGTATCAGCCAAGCAGTTGGTGCTCCCTGTAGCCCATCGTCTTTGTCCAACATCCACTGGGCTGCATTTAGCATATTAGCCGTCGTGTTACTAATAGCCTGGTGGAGAGAGCCGCTTGTCCAGTATCGGGACGGAGCCGAGTTCGGGAACGTGTGGGGAATCATCGGTAGCGCGATTGCCAAAGAAGGAAATCGAGAGATACTGAGTTAGTATCTCCCAGTCTTCAGCCAGTCTCCATCTCGACTGGTTGATTGGATTGCGTAGTCTGTCAAGTTTGGTGGAAGAGGACGAGTAAAACGACTAGTCGGCTCACTAAACAAGCTATGGCTTGCGGTTCGACTCCGTCTTCGAAGTAGAACTCAAGTTTCATGTCGTTGAGGTGACCGCAATGCAATTGGAGCAGGGGCTCATTGCGAGTCAATGCTAGCGGCAACGGCTCGGCAGCACAGCTCAAGGCCGAGTGGTGATGAATGGTTCCACAATAACGTCTTGTTTGACGCCGATCTCCGGGTCCAACCGCCCGGAAAAGGAGAGTCTAGCAGAGACGAGGGCCATCAGGATGCCGAGGATTCGAAGCTTTCTTATCTTGTCTGCAAGGCCAATGCCATAGAAGACAGGAATGCGATTCAAGTCACACCATGAGTTGCTGTCAACACAAGTATTCTTCCGGATGATGTATAGGAGCTAGAGTGATAAACGGCAATGCATCTAGAAGCTTCAACTTTGACAGGTTTCGTGGGTCCAAAGGGGGGCTGTTTCGAGCCAAGGGATCGGTGGATTAGCGCTTTGCAAATCGTAAGCACCGTATTTCTGTAGCGGAGATTCCGCAGGGCGTCCACCAAGAAGAAGCGAGGGATAAGTTGATTTGGAGCTTGGCAGAATTCGATATTCCAAGTGCCTCATTGGGAGATTGACGTAGTATTTTCGCCACTATTCAGGGTTGCATTGATATTCAATCACCAAACGTTCATGCTGCATCTGATTCTTCTGTAGCAATACCGTCAAGGTGCTCGGGATCCTGTTCCTTAAAGCGTGAGAGGACGAATAGCTGTCTGGATTTCTATCCAATAAACTCGTCAGTGCCATGTTTGATGACTTGGTTGAAATGATGAACGAGTAAAATGTCAGTTACCAAGTGATTGATTTGCCGTCCGAGCAATATGAAATATTGGATATCTGAGGCATCTTGTTCGGCCATATTCCTTGACAGATTGAAGGTCAAGGTTTGGTTAGTTCCTCAGGCATCAATACGCCCTTGCCTGCATCGCATTAAACCAACACGACAAAAATGAGCATGGGCCAAATCCTGGCCCCCACCTGCGCTCTTACGGATACCTCTCCCGAAATAAATCCAATGACAAAGAATATATTTCACGCCATGGGGCTTTACAGCTGTCGTAAGTTTTGCCAATCATCACAACTTTCGGTATTACTCACTACGGAAATATCTTTTGCGTCAATGGCAAGGCCGAATTGCTGACTGTGGAACTCGGCCATAGAGAATTGCCGACACAAACGCCGAACGGACTCGAAGAAAGAGAAACGCAAACGCCGATAATCAGATCAACCACCGCATTTCCAGTTTGCACATATTTCTTCCATCGTTACGTTGCATTGGCAATCCACCACTGCCGAGGCAGAAACGGCCTGCGTACCGACTCCTATCGGGAATGTCCAAACAAGGAAAAAGTAACGATAGTGTAATCATTCTCAGCCCTTGAACAGTTACGCATCAGAGTCAGAGGCACATACATCTGCCATTCGAAAACTCAGCTCCACCAAGAGGTGTGTTGCTACGCAATTGCTAGCCGCTTCCAAGAGCCGCTTCGCCGTGGATCTTGCTCCAGAATCATGCGCCGATTCCATCGATTCCATGAACCCAACTTTTCTTCCTAGATGGGAAAGGGGATAGTAGAATGACATTCCTAGCGCAAATTCTACCGCAAGCTATCCAGTACTAGTCATATCCTTCGCCAGCGGGATAAGCGGAGATTCGCTTTGAGACCCCAGAAAAAAAGAGAGCTAGATGCCATGACCATTTGGCAGGGTGTAACTTCCATTTTGGGACAATGGACCCGGTAGGGATATATTGGACGATGCTGCTGTCCCAAGATCTTGGCCAAAGAATGGGGTGGAGCTGAAAAGCGTCATTCTATTCAAGTACCGGGCATTCCCCTTGTTTGTCGACTTTAAGGAGCTTCTCGGTTTTATTTCCTTCTTCCGTAAGTGCAAAGTAAAGCACCATTTGGTCTCACAGCAACTAAAGTTTATGAGACGTATTCGATTTAGTGGATATATCGTTTCAACATTAGTACGACCTATATATATACCTCCAACACCTATTTCTCTCCTCGACGCTATTCTTCTATTTCTTCAAACACGAGAATTCAGTCTTGACCTCCGAATACTCTATTTTTGCAAAGATGTGCGCCCAAAAAGCCAAAGTTGTCGAAAATCAAGCTTCAGGACCAACCGGCTTCGAATACTATCAATCACAGCTAGCGATACAGGCCGAGAAGACACACAACCAGCTGATAGAGCTGCTTGAACGCCTAGAAAACCAAAACTCTGGATATAGACCATCTCAAAGTGCGACGAGGCAACACAAGACGCAAAGCCAAGAGCTTAAGAGAGTCCCTTTCTGGATAACACCAATGTCTTCAACCTCCTCGTCATCGTCAACGCCATCATCATCATCATCATCACCATCATCGTCTTCTTCCTCTTCTTCTTCCATTTGAGACGCTACTGTTTGCGGAAGACGAGGATTCGTCTAAAGCTGCCGCAAACATGTAACAATACTTAGAGAGTGCGAAAGGCTATGCTTCTTTGATGTAATTTTGGATTTGAATTCGGCAAAAAAACACCCCATGAAGCCATCTGAGCAGGATACTCGGATATTGCGGGTCGGAGTTGAGGTGTCAAGGGCAAATGATAGATCAAAATTTTAGGGCAGATATATGCGGCAACATATTATCGTGATGATTCATCATTGTGCCCCTGCAGGCATAGGGCTTTGATATGATATGAACTAGGTAGTACACCAATGCAACAAAAAACAAAAACATGTCAATATCTTTGTGACTCCTGCTATTCGCCGTGATGTTAAAGAATAGAGTGACTTTGAATCTACTTAATAATAGAGGTCTAACCTCCGAAAGCAATCTCCTGAAGAACTTGTTCTTTACGCTTCTTCTCGAGTCGTATTACACATACCCCTCCTGAGGCCTCTTTCGAACAAGGCAGTGCTTTCACGCACTATCTGAAGCATTTTACGCCACTCCATATAAGCAATGTCTGACATCTCAGGGCGCAAGTGGGCAGGTAGTGTATGAGTAAACTTTGAGTAAGCATATAAAAATGTAGCACCGACGAGTTTGAACATGATTATTCAGCTTCAAATTATACAAAATGTACCTGGAATAGCAAATACCCACGTCGTCAAATAGGATACACAAGTTTCACTCCCGAAACTCTTCCCTCCCGCATCTCCTGCAATCCATCCAAAACGCCGCTCCAGCTCCCCCTTCTCACGCTCTGCGGATGTGGCCGAATCCGTCCCTGCCACAGCAACGCCTGCGCCAGCGAGACAAACTTGACGGCGAAATCGTAATTCTGAGGGTTTGCCGGAACTTGTTGGCCACCAAAGTCGAAGGCCTCTCCAAAGGCCGTGTACGCCATGATGGGAAGGTTTTCGACGTCCTTGCGAGGAAGCTCTTGTAGGCCACTGAGGCCGGCGTATTTGCCTCCTTGGCTGCTCATGGCGTTGCAGCATATCTCGGCCGTTTCGGGCGTGGAAACGGTATCGAATACATGTCCCAGCTGATCATTTGTAATTTCGCGGATGGCAGCGGCGCATTTCGGTGACTTGTAGTCGAAGACGTGATCTGCCCCTAGGCTACGAACGAGCCAGAAGTTTTTGGGGGAGCATGTTGTGACGACTTCTAAGCCAGACCTGAACCATGATATTAGTGAGCCATTACATCGTCCCCTTGCATCAAAGAATACTCACAACTTAGCAAATTGAATTGCCAGGGTGCCTGTTGCCGTGCTACCGCCATGTATCAAAACTGGAAACGGCTTCATTGGAGGGTCGTCGGGCCATGGCAAATCCAGTGACTCGTAAAGGCCTTTACCGACAGTAATCATGCCAGCGCCTAGTGTTGCGGCCTCTTCAAACGACATGTAGTCGGGTATCTTGAGCTGAAGGTCTCCTTTGGCAGCAATGTGTTCTGCAAACGCTCCGTCTTCGTGGTTCGAGTAGTTGCCTGCCACAAAGCATTAGGAGCACTTTTCAGGTAGATTAGGTAGCAGGCGTAGACGAGGTATACGTACTGCCATGAACCATGCCCATGACTCGATCACCAACATGAGGTCCATGCTTGACAGCAGGGCCAACTTGCTCAACAACACCACTGTAGTCACAACCCACAATCGCCCCGGGGCAGGCTAGGTCGTCAATCTGCTTCCAGTCCACCGGGTTCAAGGCCACAGCGACTGTTTTAACAATGATATAGTCATCGCGAAGTTTGGGCATGGGAGTATCGGTGACGATCTCGGCCTTGCCAGGGCCTTTCATTTGGATTGCGATTTGGGTAGCCATTGTCATCTGCGTATAGCAGAAGAAAGAAATGTCATGGGAATGCTATAGAAATTACGCACCATTTGTCTCATGCTTCCCCAATTTCAGCTTTGACAGATCAAACTACCCCGCAAAAGGCTTTTCCCGCGTTTGTTCCTCTGTCTCTCCACGTTGCGTTCATGTAGATTTCGCGACAGCAATACCTCGCAGCTACTCACAAGAGACTAACGCGATCGAGTGCCACTACGTAGTGACAAATGTCCATGGAATGTATTGAGTACCAAATTATTCGTCAATCCATCCCAAACCTTGTGTCGTTTTAGCTCAGCCCGGTGTATGAAGGATCGACGGCGGTAAATAGAGTTTGAGCCGCCATACGTCCTCGGTATCAGGCTCCAGTTAATACGTCACAATTTAATACAATGGAGATAGTCAGGTCTATCAGAGAAAAATCACAATAGCTTCAATTCCGTCTATCAAGTGGCAACCCGTCTACTTTAACGGAAACACTCGAGTATTCCAGTTGAACGCAGGCGGTTTGCTTGCTCGCTGTGGACTTCCGTCTCCTCCGTGAGGGCGCTTGAAAAGTTATACCGGGCAGTTCTTCCAGTTAGATGCAGGCAGTTCTTCCAGTTGGTTGCAGGCGGTTCTTCCAGTTGGTAGCAAGCGGTTCTTCCAGTTGGTAGCAGGCGGTTCTTCCAGTTGGTAGCAGGCGGTTCTTCCAGTTGGTAGCAGGCGGTTCTTTCAGTTAAACGCGGGCGGTCCTTCCAGTTGGTAGCAGGCGGTTCTTCCAGTTGGTTGCAGGCAGTTCTTCCAGTCAGACGTGGGCAGTTCTTCTAGTTGAACGCGGGCGGTTTGCTTGATCATTGTGGGCTTCCGTCTCCTCCATGAGGGCGCTTGAAAAGTCGTACTGGGCACTTCTTCCAGTTGAACGCAGGTGGTTTGCTCGCTCGTTGTGGGCTTCCGTCTCCTCCATGAGGGCGCTTGAAAAGATGTACTGGGCAGTTCTTCCAGTTGAACGTAGGCGGTTTGCTTGCTCGCTATGGACTTGCGTCTCCTGCTGCCACGGAAGTGCCAGGAAATCGATCCCGCACTGTGACGTTCTATGAGGCATCGTTAGAGAAGCTGAATGAAAACTGAAAGAAACTCGGCTGCAATTTTACCATGTAAATACCTTTTCCAAGAATCCTCTGACGGTGTCAGGGGGGAGGGAGAGGCAGCTGGAAGGTCCCAAACTGGTGATGTGGTGATCTGTAAGGGGCCGCTCGTCCAGTATGAAGAAGCCGTTTCAAAAAATCATGGGCGTCAAATTGAAGAACAAATCCCGGAATAGCGAATTTGGTTATGATTCAACGCACGGCCAAATTCTCCAAAGTGCGTTTGGATGTATGACTGTTTCTTCTTCTGTATTGGCCAGATAAGCAGCTGAACACACCCGCGTAAAGAAGATGGAGGATCCTTGCTCACACGAACACGCATCGACTGGCGAGCCATCATCCCAAGACAACGCTACCCATGGAGGAAACAAAGGTTCCGAATTCCGCGTATGTGTGAAGTCAAAAACGCTACAATATGCTGGGAAAATAAATTCTGGCCCGTTGCAAAATGGAAGCCCTGAATCTCCCTCGTGGCCTCTAATCCATTCATTCCGGGCAGCTGGATGTCCATCAGGACAAGATGGAAGCCGCCAGTCCTCCATTTCTTCACCGCGTCACGGCCATCCATGGCTGTCAAGGTGCCACAAGAAGCAAAGGGAAAAAAAGAAGAGGAGGGGGAAGAAGAACAGGAAAGCTGTGTGCCGGATAAATGGGGAGCTCTTAGAGAATGTCGAAGAAAAAGAAAGGAAAGGAAAGGAAAGAAAGAAAAGAAAGAAACCTTGCCACAGAAAAGAAAAAAGACATGTCAGCTGGACGGGCCTGGCAGCTGTGGGTCACCGCTGATATGTGGTGCTTCAGCTCTTCCTCCCATCGTTTCCTATGCTGAGCTCACTTTCCATCCCCAAATGCTGCAAAAGGAATCTACTGGCATCTTGACCGCCAAACCAGATGCGTAATTCTGCACGTTATCTGCTAATTGGATGCATTGAGACAGCAACGACCCCCTTTCTCCTCGCTAAATGGAGACGCTACAGCAGCAACAGCTAGCAACCACTCGCTTAAATGATGCCGGGAACAGGCGATAGGACGTCACAAGACATTAGTTTCCGCAAGGCAAAATAGCAAGTGCCGTGCGGAGCAAACAAACGGTGACCCTCTCGGAGAGATACTGCTCGGACCTCTCGTGCGAAGCAAATCATGGCACGGCTCGACAGTATCACAGCAGCAATCCAGCCACTTTTGGACTTTTGATGGCCTCTTTGGTCACTGGCACAAATAATTGTCAATGTTTGCTGATATGCAGTCTTCCATGTTTCCTTTTGACAACCAGGCAACAGGATGCTATTCGCGGCTGGCTTCTCACCCTCCCTGAAATCGCAACCATGGGATGTTGCTTCCCACTTCACCAAAACTCCATCGAACAGGCATCTACAGATTGTTTTACTCCTCATCTTCGCCAAGAAAGCTACTGTGGCGCTCCAACAAGCTCAGTCTTTTCTATCATGCCCTTCTGTGCTCACTCTAGCTCTTCAAGGCCATCTGGCCGAGTTCTTGGCCGGAATAATTGGCCTCAGCTAAGCTGGTGCAGGGTACCGCAGAATTTGGCTTGAATTACGCGATCTTTGATCACAGTCCGATTCACTCAATCTTTTGAAATGCCTGCTAAGATTCCCTTCAAAAACCCACGCGCATTTCACGCCGCTTCAGCATGGTAAACAAAGAACTTCCATCACCATAAACTCTCCCGCATTTCCTTCCTCTCGGGCACTACCAAAGGGTTGATATCTTCCTCGAACATCTCAAGACGGGCTCGCTTCAATCTGTGGAAAAAGAAAAACCCTGGCGACATAGATCGATACAGAAAGTACACCAACCGTCTGGATTACGATTGGGAAGAAGGGGTGACGCCAGAGGGGCTGTGCATCTCTCGCATCGTTTCCACAGCTTCAAGCGCTCTCCCAGCAGACGCTCAAAGAATATCCATCAACGTCTCCCGATTTCCCTTCCCTTCCATCGTCATAACCATGCGATGCAGCGGCCAAGACAGTCAGACCTACATCCCGGGGAAGCAAGAGAACAAGACGACAATATTTGCAGTGAGTATTGTGCATATTTTGTATTATTACAGAATACATGTATCAGCACTAACATTTGTATTACAAGCATAGCCTACTCAGAGTTTTATATACGCATCAGGTCCAACATGGCATGCTCTGATCCAATACTGGTAGGTTGTCATTCTCACCCCGTCAAAGCAACTAAATCTCTAACTCGGAAGCTAGGCTCTCCCAGAACGCACATCGACTCATTTGCGCCTGTGGGACAGCCTCAACAACTGTGTTGTTGTTGTTGACTACAATCCTCGACCCTCCTGCTTGTCCGTTCCACTGTGGCCACGATGGAGACCCGGAAAATGCAAACGTGTTTGGATTCAGTGACCGAACAAAGGAGATGTAATAGCCCTGCAGCTGATCAATGTTGGTCAGGTTGGAGTTGTCATAACCGCCTCCAAAGACTGCTCCCAGATCAAATCCATGGGGAACACCAACTCCGCTCTGAATATTGCTCTGTGTCAATACATTGAAGCGGTAGGCCCAGACGGGCTGCCCAGCCTGTATGAAATATTTGCCAAAGTTGAGCCCGTGGCAGGTTACGAGCACATCACCATAGGCAAGTTCCGCTGCTGGGAACCAGGCCGCATGGCCATTGAAAGCAGGCTCAATATTCTGGGGATACTGCGCAATAATTGCAGATGTGTTTTGGCTCGACAAACGAGGGTAGTTGTTTTGGAAGAATGTTTCAATCTCTTCAGGTGACGACGCGTTGGGGGCACCCAAAGTCGTCCCTTCATCCGTGACACTGCCGAAGAACATTGGAACTTTGACAAACTTGCCACTCTGGAAAGCCTCATAGGCGCCAGTCTGGAGAAACACGCCATCGACGCATGGCACATATGGGTAATTGGGAGAATTAGGTCGGCCCGGATAGACGATGGGAACGTTGAACTGCTGCAGCGCCGTGGTGCTGAGGCCACGAAGGCATGATAGCGAGTCGGAACTGGAACCGCATCCGGCATTGCTGACGAGGGCATCATATTGGAACTGAATCTCCGACACTTTGGGCTGAGTGATCTCTGGGAGCGACTCGAACATGGCTCCAACGAAAAGACCCTGATTTTGGCCTCCGTTGGCGAGAAGTTGCAACGACGCAGCCTCGGCACCTGCACTCTGTCCATGAATGATGACATGGGCAGGGTCGCCACCAAACTGAGCAATGTGCTGCTGCACCCACTTCAAGGCAGCCTGCTGGTCGTATAAGCCGGCATTGGGCACTCCGTTGGCCTGAATCTCTGAGCTGGCAAGGAAGCCAAAGATACCCACGCGATAGTTTAGTGTCACAAGCACAATTTTGTTTCCAGAGTTGGCCACCACGCCACTTCCATCCGTTCCTGCAGAAGCCAAGCTCTCAAAGCCTCCTCCCTGAATGAAAACCCAAACAGGGAGCTTGGAGTTGGCACCAGCACCCGAAGGGGCCCAAACGTTGACAAAAAGGCAGTCTTCACTTTCGCCTTGTGGATTTGTTCCAGCATTGGTAGCCATGCAAACATCTCCAAACTATAAGCCACGAAACAACACATCAGATACAAAGACTACAATGGCGGCGAGGCGGACTGACAATTCATACCTGGGTAGCGGACTGGACTCCAGAGACTGTGGGAGGGGCAGTTGGAGCCTTCCATCTCAAGCTTCCGGTTGGGGCTGCTCCATATCGCATGCCCAAGAACTTGTTGATTCCACCGGATGTTGAGCCTTGGTATGTGGCATATCCCAAGTTCACCTGTGGTGACTGAGCACTGACAACTGTGGCAGAGCACACCAGGGCACAAGCCAACTCCAAAGGCCGAGATACGCGCATTATGGCGAATGAAGATGGTGTTTTGGACTGCTTTCGACGCTCCAGAGTTGAATCTCTAGCCGAGACTGCCCTTCCCTATTCGCCAGTACTTATACTCTTGAACGGAAACATGTTGATGCCGGATAACACGGATTGATCATATTGATAATCCCGACGGGACGGGCTTGCATTCGATTCCGACCACCAGCTCTTACAGGCCCTCCCCTGGGACTACTGTACGATCAGGCACGATGATGAAGCTATTTATTACGTTTTACCGTACGACTCACGTATGGATTATATGCCAGACCCATCTTCACGCAGCCATGACAGTACCACTTGCCTTTTATACATTTGACGATTTGAAGCATGGGGCGGCTAAAATCGTATTGGCTACCGTTGTATTGGCCGACGGGTAACCCAGCTGCCTTTAGCGCAGAAAAGCCCTTGACGATTGGCGACCAGCAGGGGATAATACCTGTTTGGAGGCTTGCTGATGGAGAGTTTTGTGGGCAACTACGCTTACAATCCGCGCACGAGATTCTGAAAAGGAAACCTATTACTGAGTATGACTTGCTCAATGCAATTGTATCAAGGCTTTTACATGGAAGAATTATTCCAAAACAATCTGAACAATACTTGGGATAGGAGAATGGATCAAAGTAAGCGGACGGCTGGATATTCACGTGGAAGGAAAGTGGCTGCTGCGGACGTATACGATCGATCTATATGGGCTATACGCTTACTTCCGGAAGATATAAGCATAATCGAACAAGACACGAATGTTTACAGTCTGACCAGCTTACCCGCTGAACAAGAACAACAGGGTCATTTGTTACGTTTACATTGCGGTGCTCTCCTACGACATAACTTACACGACAAACCCAGCCAGCACATGGCCTCCCCTGACTTGACGAATTTCTACAGTGAGGGATGAAAAATGAAAAGCGGAAAAGGAAAAAGGTGAAGAAATGAACAAAGTACGAGTTATAGCTATGTTTTACGCTGGCGATATTTGTTCTCTATCCAAAACAGGCAGGTGTACAAACTTCAATCACTGTCACATTACCCATCACGATCAAGTTGAATCCCCTCGCTTTTGTTTTTCAGTTACGTCATATGGTGTCCATCACCAATAGCTCAGCAGTCGCAGCTAGCACATGAAAACGACACCGGCATCCATGTTGCTTACTATATACGACAGCGTGGACAATGGCGGTTGCCGCATGTGAGGCTGAGCTATCCTCAGCTACTAACCCTGCATAGGCGAGCACAGATGCCGAAATCGTTTAATCTAGCCAAAGAGAGGAAAGGATGTCACCATAGCTAATCATTGACCACGTCTATCAGGGCAGGCGTTTATTCGCCCGCTTTTCTCTGGCAGGTTTTGGGTGGCTTCATTGGTTCTTATTTCACAAGTTGAGGCAGAGACTAAATTTGGCCACGAGTATCAGGCCTCGATGCGTTGAGCTGTTGCATATACACGATATCTGAGCGATAAAAGGGGTTGCCTTGCCATGGCCAGACAAGGACAAGGACAAGACACGACAAACAAGACAACTCAGAGCAAGGCGCAGCAGGCTTGGCCGTGAGTGGCTCGAAGAGAATGTCGTGAGCTGGCACGTCTTATGCAGGTACGAGTTGCACGAAAGGAGAGCTCTCGAGTGGACCGCGGAAATACCCAGTCAATACTGGTTTGATGGGTCCCGCTTTTTGCGCATCAGGATTGCTGTACGGGCAAGACCAGCAGACCTGAGACTTCCGTCAAATCAGGGCCACGATCTTGGAGCAGTTTGTGCAGGATCGAGTAGCGCTTTCGGGGGGAGCTTTCGGAGAGAGCTTTCGGAGATTCCCTTGAGACGCTGGCGATGTGCCAACGTTGCCTGCCTGCCCGTGGTGTGCTCTGCAGGGAACATGCAGATACAAGGTATGCATCGTATATGCATTCCGCGGTGACAGCGAAGAGACAAGATGCTCTACCTACGCACACCCGAGTGCTGAGGGGAAGAGGATCCCCGGCATTTGACGTGACTACCTTGCATTGAATGGAGGACTACAGTACAGCTTGCTTGTGGCATGGTCGTACATGGTGCTGCACTAAGATGAAGCTATCAATCAATCACTGCAGGCTTTTGCACACCACACCACTCTGCCAGTTGCGTTGCTAGCAAGTCCCACGCCCAGAGCTGCTGTGGAGAAAGGGTTGCACGGCTACCACCCTGCTGGCGTCTATCCCAGAAGAATACATGTACTGTATGTACTCTATTCCGACTTGATAGCCGCCTGGGCAAGATTCAGCACACACACACGCACACACACATTGAGGAGTGGACGGGGGTCATGACCCCATCTTTGTCTTTTTCTTGCCTCTTTCTCCGTTTCTCCTATACTTGTCTGCTGCAGCGCAAAGAAGAGCAGTCGAAAGCCGAGAATGCGGAGAAGTAGAATGAGAGTGGCAACAAGACTGGAGGCAAAGAAGAGACAAGAAGTTCAACGTCTGCGGAGTGTTAGCTCCAGCCAAGCTCCCGCATCGTTGTGGAGGCCCCTAATATAAGCGGGCAGCCGCGTTCTCCCAGCGGCCATGGTAGCGATATTGGGACAATGTACCGGTACCTCGAGCTCCATGGGACGTTGAAATCTTCAAGAGGCTAGCCGTGGCTGCATGGCATCTGTAGCATGGCATGGCGAGCGCAACGGGCTTGGGAACGCATGGCTGACCTCGAGGGCGTTTATGATGCATCATATTTGCTTGTTGCAAATGCTTGTACTCTGTACAGGTACGAGGATTGCTCGCCCGTTCATGCTGGATGTCAGCCACCATGCTGTCTCTCCATGGAGTATCCCAAGCAGGATATGTACAAGTACATCGATACATGGCGGTCCACGTTGCAAGCAGATGCGGCCGGCCAATGCGAGGATTCATGTACAAGCATGTACAAGTATGTGCGCCGGCTGATAAACCGGATCCAAGTTACCGAGCACGCACCTCTCTGCTGGATGCATAACGACAGCCCGGACAGAGCCAACAGCTTCACGCGCGGGCTCCTTTTGTCGTACGATGCCTGCAGTAGCCAGTCATGGCCCGTGACGGCCCATGCGAGCATCAAACGCCCGTGAGCCGTGGCGCCTGCTGTGAGACTCGCACGGCTATTTTTATGTGCGAAGAGGGGTATCACAAGCATGTGTGCCGTGTACATGATATGATATACATGGACAGCGAGGCATGGACACCCCGAGCTGATTCCTCGTCTTCTTCAGGGGTGATGCCAGCAGTGGTGATGCTTGGAGCGAGCTGGCACCATGACTGGAGCCACAAGGACCAGCCGGCAGTTGACGGGGCTTTGACAGGCAAACGACGAAAAGGCAGATTCCATCGCTCTCGGTTTGATCGCATAGATGTGTGTGCTACAACGGGAGTAGCACTCACTGCCTTGCTGGCTTCAACATCAAAGTACATCTACCGATCCCCACCACGCATGATGGATAAGAAACGCCACCGGCGACGCGGCGCCTGCCATTGGAGAAGCGGCGCCCATCCTCTGGCTGTTGTGTGTGTGCGCAACAAGGAAGCCAGATGGCTGTTTCACCAGCGAACGTTCCTAATATCTGATGGCCCGTATCTGCTGGCAAATTCATGCATAAACAAGCTTTCAATTGGAAACATTTGGACGTTTGTGCAGCCTCAAATGAGATCAGAGAACAGCCCCCCCTGATGGACATCCAGGGCCCGGCAAAGGGCAAACCAGAATCGAGATTCCACGTTGTTATGCGTGAAACCAGATGTTTGGCCGACATGGATTGAGAGACAAGACCAGATTTGACGCCAAAAAGCCAGCGAGAAAAAAAGCAGCTGCGGAGCTTCCCCTCCAAGATCAAATTCAAGCTCCCCTCTTTGTCTGGTCTGTGCAAATCCCTGGCTGCAGGCGGGTGATTGCCCCCGGCGCATCCGCCTAGAGCGCCCAGCAAGGGATCCTCGTCAGCCTCAACTGGCTCCAGTCGCCGGCCTTGCTGCGGTGCCCTGCGCTGTGCCCTGCCGCTCCCCTGTCCGGACGCAGCATCTGGCGTGCACAAGGCATCGTGAATAGCTTCAGCAGATGTGCAGGCTGCAATTGTTGCCTTTACAGGTATCAAGATGCGATATCCAGGGTCTTGACAGCAGCACTACTAGTAGCTTTCAATGCTTGGATCCAATCTCACTTCATCTCCCTCCACGGGCCTGTATGCACGAAATACGGAGCAGCTACTGTAAGCTGCCCAATTTATGGAGTGCCGCTGCTAGTATCTGGATGGATGGATTGCTAGCACTTTAGCATCTGGCGAGCGTGGAGCTTCTGCCACTCTAGTGCGGGCAGACTCACGGGGATCGAGAAAAGAGATGGCGATCAAGGAATGAGATGCCCGAGCGAGAGACACACGCAAAGTCGTGCCATGCCGCCCAATGCGACATCGTCAAAGGCCAACTGCACTGGCCGCTCCCCTGCCACCCATTCGCTTGGCCATCCATCCCAGTGTCTTCAGTCCCCTTCAGTCCCCTTCAGTCCCCTTCAGTCCCAGGGACCGTGGCGTCCAGAATCTGCTGGCACAGCTACCGAGCGGTACTAGTGCTGCCGCCGAAGCCACCGAGCCACCAGTATCCGTCCATCCATCCACGACCCATGTCTGCGCGGCCATCCTGCTGGTGCCCCCCCCCCCCTGGCTTGTACCGGTACATGCGCAGAGCAACCACTGCAGCACGTCGGATTACAGTGAGGCGTGCAGTTACTGCCGCTGCTAAAGCTCGAGCTGTGCTGGAAAAACAAGGGCCTGCCTGCACGGCCTTGGACCCCGAGAAAGAGGAGGCTGCATCCCATCTGGCTCTGGCTCTGGCTCTGGTCCTGGTTCTGGCACAAGCACCAGCATCGCGCAGGCATATACATAGCAAGGCGAGGCAGGAGTGAAGCAAAGGAAAAGCGAAGCGAAGCGAGGCGAGGCGACAAAGACGCCGCAGCGGTTCAAGCACAGCTCCAGCTCCAGCTCAGCTCGTGGTTTCTGGTACCACCCATTCAAGTACCTGCCCTTCCGCGCGGCCAAACGCCTGGAGCCCATCACTCGCACAACAATCCATTCAACTGATTCATCCCATTCTTGCTCGCCTCTTCTCTCGCTTCACCTCGCCCACGAACCGCCAGCAGCAGCGGGAGAGAGTCCAAGCGCCCAGAGACTGCAGGCGACTGATCATGCGAGCTGCATGCGCTGTCGTGATGCCCTAACGGCCTCGGCGACTTCCAGTTCTCCTCCTTCTCTCCAGTCGCTTTCTCAGCCTGCCTGCCTCGACTCGACTCCGTCTTCCTTCTCTCACTCTCGCACACCTTCTCTCAATTTTGGGGGAATCCCGCTTCCTCTCCCACTTCCTCTCCCACTTCCTCTCCCACTTCCTCTTCCCCCGCCTCTCTTTATCCTCTCAATATCCTCTCCTTATTCTCCTCTGTTATTATTTGCCCTCTATTGTCTCGTCCCTCGTTCACCAACCCAGGCCTGCCTGGTCTGGCCAGCCGCCTTAATTTTTTTTTCCCTCTTTCATCCTGACTCGTTTTTTTTCCTATTCTGTTTTCTCGTTTTCAGCCAACCTGGTAGCCCCCCCCTTGCACTCTGTGCCTCCTCGGATAATCACCAGGACAGATCAGATCCCGCGGTTCCAATCTCCGGTCCCTCGCCATCTCTCTCTCTGGTCCCCTTGTCTCTCTTGCATGGCACACGTCCCGCCAACGCCATTTCCAAGTCCTGCTCCTGCTCCTGCTTCAGGGCAGCAAACGAGGCTGAAAGAGGATGGCGCCTGACATTGCTAACAAGCTCAAGGCTACGCTGTTTCGGCGGCGGCGACGCCAGTCCTCGGTCTCGACAACTGAGGACTTTGAGTCAATGTCCCCTCCGACAACCCCTGGTGTCGCCACAAGCTCGCGGAGACCCTCGTTTCCATTTCCACGTGAGCCCTCGTATCAGACTCTGTCGTTGTCTCAGGAGCTGATGACGGAAGATGCAGGCATTGGAATAGGAGGCTGCGGTGGTAGTGACGACCTCAGTGACGCTGGCGACTCTGCCCAGACAAGCAACGACGCCGACCAGCAGCAGCAGCAGCAGCAGCAGCGTCCGAAACAGCAAAAGCATCATCTGTGGAAAGGGAGAAGGTGGTCCAAGCAGGGATTGGATGTTGAGAAGCGACACAGCGTCCCCGAAGACGGCACTGTCGACCAAGATTTGACGCCGCTGGCTTCTCCAGACACGCCGGTATCACCAACATCAGAAGTGCCGCCAGCAGCCGCACTCTCGCCGCTCAAGGAAGACCACGACTTTGACACCAAACCCACTGAGAGCGAGAAAGAGGCCAAGGACGAGCACAGCAACGACAACGGCAAAGGCAACGACAACAGCGCCAGCAATGGCAACGTTGTGAGCAGCGGCAACAGTATCAGCCACGGTGATGGCAACGACAAGGACAACGGCAGTGAGCAGCAACAGCAAGACATCAATCGTCCCAGCCCGGCAGCCACCATAGACATGGACACGGCCTCTGTTTCTGCAGCTTCGGCAGCATCTGTTCTCACCACTGCCTCTGTCACATCTGCCTCGACTTCTGCCGTTCTGCAGCAGGCCATCGAAGCAGGAGAGCAGCCACAGGCATCGCCGCCAGCACTAGACCAGCAGCAGCTACAACGCCCGCACCAGCTCCCGGCCCTGGCAGGGGGTCGCGCTGAGGACCAGACGCCGAGCCGAAGCCTAGACGGCCACGAAGCGAGCCGCCATCAGCACCAGAGCAGCCAGAACCAGAACCAGGCCCAGCTCGACGGACAAGGTTTGTCGGTTATTAACAGCGACCAGGGAACCTCCCCCCAAGCTGGCACGCCAATTGCTGCCACCACGGCCGCTGCTGGCGCTGATGCCGGCGCTGATGCTGCTCGTATTACGGCGGCCTCTGCCGCTGCCGACGCCCCAAGTACAGGTACCACCAGCCCTGGCAGCGACACCAGCGCCAGCACCATTGTCTCTGCTGGCCCCGTTTCTGGCCATCTGCAGCAACAAAGACAGCAGCAGAAACAAGCGCAAAAGCGCCCACGCCAGCCAGCGCCACCGTTTCCGCCCTCTGCGCTTCCCACGACGTCGCCTCCTCTTTCGCAAGCGCTTCCGGCTGCGGCACACTTGAGCTTTCCTGTTCTTGCAACCCCCACGCCGCTTCCCAGTCTCGACAGCATCACCGAGGACGAGTCGCAATCGCATTCGCAGCATTCACAGCATTCGCAGCATCCGCCGTCGCAGTCACCATTGCAGCGACTGCCTCCATCGCAATCGCAATCGCCACCGCTGCAGCCACCCGGGTCCGAGACTCAGTCGCAGTCGCAGTCGCCGTCGCCGTCGCCATTCCAGCCGCGGCAGGAGCAACTGGTACCAGCCGAATCAGATCAACAACAGCAGCGGCAAGAGTCCACTGCAGCAGGAATTCCAGCAGCTAAGCATCTCGCCTCGGCAGTAGTTTCTGGTCGCGGCTCCCACGCTCCGTCCTCGCCTGACGCCGGTCATGGCCCGCTGAATCCGAATCCCGCATCGCCATTGCCGCCCATTGACGCTCAGCAATTGCCGTTTCAGTCGCCCGTCACGTCCTCGACAGCGCCCGAACCTTGCTCTGCGACTGCAATCTCTGCGACTTCGGTCTCGACCACGGCTGCTTCTGCTTCGACGCCCGCCGAAAAATCTTCTTCCCTCATCACAAACACATCCGCGCGACCTTCTGCACCGCCCCGTCGACCGAGCCGTGAATCAACCCAGACCGTCACCTTTGACGAATCTGTGCAGCAGTCCCCGTCTGCTAGGAGGAGAAGCATCAGCAACAAGTACAAAGTCCTCCGCAACAGCGACGATACTACGAGTTTTGCCGTTCCCTCAGCTGCCAACGCGCCCAGAACGCCAGGCACCGAAACCCCAGTTGCAGTCATCGTCACTCCAAGCTACCTCGCGCCCCCCGTTGTTTCTGCCAACGCGCCTCTACATCCCTCGCATCTCATCGAGGTGGAAACTACGTCATCGCTAGGCGACGACTTCGAGAGCAGCAGCATGGCCGAAGCTGCGCGCAAGATTTGGGTCACGAGGCCCAAAGCCTCTGCCACGCTCGTCACCATCAGTCCCAACGATCTCGTTGACGATGCACGCGACATGATTCTGCGAAAATACGCAAACTCGCTGGGCAAGACGTATGACTCGCCTGATCTTACTCTTTACCTCAAAACCCGCACCGGCTTCTCTCGTGTGATGGGCCCCGAGGAGCACATGGGCACCGTTTTGGAGGAGTTCTTCCCCAATGGACAAATGGTCGAAGAGGCCTTCATCATCGACATTCCTCGCAACGTCCCAACTCCTAGGCCCTCTCCACGGGCGCCGCTTCCTCCTGTTTCCGGTTCTGCCTCGGCAGCTTACTATGCCGACGATGTGCGTCCATCCGAGTCTGGCGAGGGATACTTTCCTCCAGTTGTTGGCACCGCGACGTCACCCCGTCTTCCCACCAAGCACCCCAACGCATCCATCCCGCATTCCATGGCCGTCATCAACTCTGGCCACCTTCCCAACATTCCATCTCCTGGCGCCTCCAAGCGCGCGCATAGGGATCGCGAGTCGCAGCGCCAGGACCACTCGCGAGGCGCTGGAAGAAACCATACTCCTTCGCCCGTCGTGCACAATGGAGGCGTTGCTCCCAATCCTGCCTCGTTCCACCCCACGCGACATTCTCACTCGCGAACGCACTCGAGCTCGTCCGAGCACATTGCGGTGCATCCGAACAGCACCATGCCCAGATCACCGGGCCATGAGATTGTCGCTGCGGCACGAATGGGTCCAGGCACTCCTCCTTCTCCTCCCCAGCGGCTGGTGTCTCCTCACTTACCCGCCGCGCGCCTCAAGAAGAGCAAGAGAGGCCAGACGCAGCAGCAGGAATACATTCAAAACCCTCCCCCGCCCGCGTTGAATGCCAAAGTACCTCCCATCAGTGTCCTTATTGTGGAAGACAACCCTATCAATTTGAAGCTGCTTGAAGCGTTTGTCAAAAGACTCAAGGTGCGCTGGCAAACGGCCATGAATGGCCGTGACGCGGTGAAGAAATGGAGGACTGGTGGCTTCCATCTTGTCCTGATGGACATCCAGCTGCCCGGGATGAATGGATTGGAGGCGACGAGGGAGATTCGCCGGCTGGAGCGGATCAATGGCATTGGCGTCTTTTCTAACGCGCCCGCTGAAGAGGCACTCCCCGAAGAGCCGACCGAAGAGGATCGCCTGGAGGGTCTGGCCAAGTTCAAGAGTCCCGTTATCATCGTGGCTCTGACGGCCAGCTCTCTCCAGAGTGACAGACACGAAGCTCTGGCGGCTGGTTGTAATGATTTCTTGACCAAGGTATGTACTCTCTCATTTCAACATTGTGTGTTTTCTCATTCATCTTCATTCTCGCACGATTTTCCCCCACTTGTCTCACCAGACAAAAGTACAAACTAACATGTCGTCTCTCAGCCTGTCAACTTTGTTTGGCTCGAGCGCAAGGTCATGGAATGGGGCTGCATGCAAGCACTCATTGACTATCAAGGCTGGCGAGAGTGGAAGCAATACTCCGCCAAGGCAGAGGCGATGGAGGCTGCCAACAAGCGAGCGCAGGCGTTTAAGAAACAGTCGAGAAAGAATCGCACTCAAATGTCGGAATCGTGAAGATGCAGTGGTTTATACCGGAGTCTAGGACTTGCTTTTCTCTTTCTTTTCCCTTTCCTTTTCTTCATACTGGACGAGGGGCAACCCGCGGGAAGAGGATTTTATTCAAATGCATGGTAAAAAAAAAAAGGAAGGCTCACAGGAGGGATGGATCTGCGCTGAATTTGCTAGCCCTTTGCTAATTCTTATTTTTTCTTTGTTCTGGAACGGACGGATGACGAACAACACTTTATACTTTTCTCATTTCATATTTTCCTCTCATGGTCGGCATGGCCCTGCCCATCAGCAATGATGGTGGAGCGGCAGAGCACCCTGAGTGCCAGATACACACAGTTACTTGCTTCTTCTTTTTTTTGGCGTCGTTGCACACGAGTGGCGGCGAGTTTAATATACGGGAATACCTTTTGTCTCCCTCTCTTTTCTTCTCCTTTTTTGCGACCCATCCTCTCATCTTATAGACTACGTGTGACCCCCGGCTCTGTTGCTCTCCTGACTGGCGATGACTGGCGATGACTGCCTAGAGGATCAAAACGCCTACCGAGTTGCCTGCAGCCTACCGCTAGTTTGGCCCAGACACAATGCAGCCAGCCGTCGATACGGAGCAGAGGATTTGTCCCGTCCGTGCCTTCCCCTCTTTTCTGTCTCGCAATGCCATCATCAATTCGTGTCCATGTCTCGTTGCATACAAAGTGTCCAATAGTGCCATTTTTCTGACAAGAGAGCTACCATCTAACAGTACCCAGGTCGTGCTTAGGTAATGGCTTCAATTCCCCTTGCGTCGTTGCTTGAAGTGTTCCAATTTCGAGCTGCGTCTGCCCCTCCTCTTTCGGAAGCGGGGGAACAAGACGCCGGGGCCGCAAAATTTGGCTGAGCTAAACCATTGGCCACCAAAGCTTTGCTTTTCTGGTTTTTGATAATTCCGCATACCCTCTTGAATCATACGACGAGACTTTTTGTATTGTCTTTGGGCCATTGATCTGATTCAATCCGGCCTCTGATGAGCAATTGGTTCATCTAGCTGAAAGCGTCTTCTCCCATCTCTAGATACCCCCCCTCACAGCCTCAAGAACAAAATGCCCCCCAGATTACCGGCGCCGCTGACCCCCGTGGTCGATGCGTGCGTCGTCCCCTCGTGCAAATCAGCGCCGTTCGTGCGGTCCTTTAGCTCGACGCCGTGCAAGCAGAAGATGAGCCGGGCTCGGCAGCAGATGTACCAGTGGCTCAAGGGCAGGGAAGGCTCCGAGCTGGCAGAGGCCAAGGGCGGGCCGCGGTACTTGGGGCCGCTGCAGGACCAGCCTTTCCCGCTGAACCCGCTGTTCCGGAGCCAGCCGGTGCTGGACGAGCAGACGAGGGAGCTGATCTGGGACAAGGTCATCATGAGGGGCGAGGCGCTGAAGGCGGTGTCGGCGGAGATGGGCGTTGATGTGAGGAGGGTTGCGGCTGTGGTGAGGCTGAAGGAGGTGGAGAAGCAGTGGGAGAGAGAGGTAAGCTTGATATTCCCTGTTGCCTTTTTTTTTTGTCTTGTTTTGTTGTGCTTTTGCTTTGTTTTGTGAGAGAGTTTGTGTGTTTTGCGTGATGAGACAAATTTCCAAAATTCGATTAGTCTTGAAGACTCTATTCATGGTTAGAAAAGATTTACCTGGTCTGATATTACACACCAACCTCACCTGTTTTTACTTGTTCACCTGGCGGCATCCTGAGTTGGAATACAGCTTTGCTGACTCTTTTTTTTTTTTTTTCCACGAAACAGGGCAAGAAACTGGCAATCCCCTATGCCAAAGCCGTCATGAACATGCTGCCCAAGACATCATACCGCGAGGGCGAGAAGAACCTGCCGCATGAGCCTGTAAACGAGATCCACGTCCACAAGCTGACGATGCAACAACTCTTTGTGCCTGTGTCCGAGTCACGGCACTTTACCCGACAAGACGCCGCAAAGGCCTTCCACGACACGATGCTCTCCGTCGATGCGCGATCACCGCAGCCAGAGCTCATCAAGATGGAGCGCGAGATATTACAGGGCAAGACCCGGCAGGACAGTCTGGCCAAGTTCAAAGAGGCGACGCAGAAGGAGGAGGACCGGGTAGCACAGCGCATCGCCCGCGAGGCGCAGCGGGAAGAGGAGGCGACGACGAGGGTGGCCACGGACCGCTACGAGTTTCGGTTCAAGGAGATTAATGCCGATGACGTGGGCCGCACTGGCCGGTCGAGAAAGGGCACTGGTTGGAGGTATGGTGCGCCGTTTGATGACCGCAAGCGCGGGCTGGTCAAGATTCCTACGTCTGTGCCGTAAGGATGGCTTGCTGGCTGCTGCTACAGGCTTGTACAACATGAGAAGAGACAAGGAAACGAAGTGAAGAATTCATGAGACCAAAGAAAAGAGAGGTCGACACAAAGCTGTATTACTACATACCTATACATTTCATGCATATACAAACCCGCCAAAAGAAGTCATGTACAACTAGCTGATGTATATATATATATATATCTTGCAACACGCAAACCCTGCCCGTTGATCATCGAACAAATACCTCTCATTGCATCATTCACATACTCAAACACACAAACACATGCACAAAAAGACCGTTTCTATAATGCATGCTGGGAAATCTGACATGTCTAGACTCTAGTTGCTGACAAGAAGCTTTTGTCGAACGCGGGTTATCGTCTCTGGCGAGATCTTGCTCTCTTTGAGGAAGAAGCCCTCGGCGGAGCCCCATTCCTTGCGGATCATGGCGAGTGTAGCCAACATGGATTCGGGTCTGTGGTTGCATCACCATTGTCAGCATTCAACAACGAGCATGGGGATGAGGGAAACCTACTTTGAGCTCAGCAACCTCTCGGCGGCCTCCTCGTCTCCCGCAAACGCCGGCGTCGCAACCAGATACTTGATCAAGCCCGGCTTGGCCGCCGCCATGCCCTGCGTCGTGAGGCCGTACTCCTCCGCCACAACCTCGTCCGGAACGTCGCACAGGCTCAGGATCAGGGCGCACAAGACGCCCGTGCGGTCCTTGCCGGCCGTGCAGTGCACCAGGATGGGCTTCTGGGCCGCGGGGTCGAAGCCGTCCGAGGCAATGTGGTTGAGCACCGTGGCAAACGCCGGCGCGCCCGCCACGGCAATGTCTCTGTACGCCGTGACGAAGCCCTCGGTCGGGTGCGAGTCTGCATACTTGCGGAAGCGGATGGCCACGGCCTCGGGCCCGTAGTCGACGCCCTCGAAGACGGGGGCGTGCACGCGGCGAGGACCGCCGGGCCACTGCTCGGGCGACTCTGGGTTGCCGACGTCGCCGGACGAGTTGGGCCGGGCGGCCTCGAGGGTCGAGCGCAGGTCGAAGACGGTGCTGATGTTGAGGGCCTCGAGATCGGCGCTGGCCACGGTGGGAGGGGCGGCCGAGCGGAGGATGAGGTTGGGGCGGACAATGGAGAGGGAGCCGCCGGCGAGGTCTCGGAGATTGGGGATGGGCGGCTTGGGGCTGGTGGCAGACATGGTGGTGGTGGTTGGAGTATGTAAATGATTTTTCTGATTCGCTGCCCGTGGAATTGGGGATTGGTTGATTGCGTTGTTAGCTTGGCTTTTGGCTTTGGATGGGCGGAATAGACTGAATGTGCTGCGGATTTTATAGGCGCTGTGGATGTTTATGCGGGTAACAGAGGCTCGCAACTGCACCCCTACAAGGTGCATGTATCATTTTTGACAGGTTCAGTTCCGCGGACAAGTTGACAATTCTCTATTTTTCTTCTTCTTCTATTTGTGGTTATTTTTGTCAGCAATTACGAAAAAAAAAAAAAAAAAAAGTGGAAGTATATAGCTACTCTACGCCATCACAATGTGCTTTACATCTGTACTAATGCCTCGATTCGGGACATGCGTGATGATGCGTTCTTGCGCGTAGTACTCTCTATATAAGATCAAAAATAAAATAAAATAAAATCGTGTTGGGCATTGACTCTTCTTTACTGCTTCCTCTTCCCTACCCCAAAAACCTTTCTTTGCAAATTAAGCGGTCGGGAAGGAGTCAAGGAGGGTCCCCGCCTGGCTTGTCAGCTTGTTTCAACACTTCTGACAAAATCTACTCTCCTTGTCTTTTTCTTCTCTTCTTCATCTTTCTCACAATCCACTCAAGCCTTTTATGCGTCCCCCGCAATTCCAATTCGACGCCACCGGCGCTTGAGCAAATCGCCAATAAATGTGCCGAGCATGGGTGGAGAGCAAGGGGGGGGGTGGTCACTCTCGGGATGTTTTGAGTCAGGGCCATTCAACGGGCTTTAAACGGGAGCCTAAATTAGACAAGAACATGTGAATCCTGGGTATGCACTCTATCTTCTTTCGAGCTTATTTGCTGGTTTTTTGGTTGGTTAGCTTCACACACAGCTCGCATCCCCTGCTTTCCCTGTTTTCATTTGCCTATTTTTTTTTGGAGTTTGAAAATCTTCCCCTGACTAACGATCGTCATCCCAGGAGTGGCTCTCTACCTCATACAAGCTATTTCGAAGACCAATATTCTACCCCCTTCTCCGACGATAGAGCCCTATGGTAATGGGCCGATGGGTTGCTTATTCGGCCCTTTGTCGGCCGGGGCATGCGTGTTTGACATGTTGAAGCTTGGGCAGATCTGGGATCGGCGTCACGGGATGCCTATAACAGGAGGTCTGTAAGTGGCTGTTTGGCCGCGGCAAGTTTTATTGCCGGAGCGAATATGGCGTCTCAATGCGCTACGGGATCTTGTTTTTGGTCTGTTTGGTGTCGTTTGGGCAAAGGGGGCATATGCGATATCTATGCCCTTGGGGATATATATATATGGCTTGCCGCTCTCTCTTCCTTGGATCAGCTTGCTGACCACAGACCTCTTGCAGACGCAGCCTGAACTCGAGCATCCCACAGCTGAAAGAAGAAGATGAAGCTTCGATCCGCCGTCCCGCTGCTGTTGCAGCTTTCTCTCCCGGCCGTCCTTGGCGCCGACACGGCAGACTGGAGGTCTCGTACCATCTACTTTGCCCTGACAGACCGGATTGCTCGCAGCTCAAGCGACACGGGAGGCTCTGCGTGTACAAATCTGAATGACTACTGCGGTGGCACGTTCCAGGGCTTGGAGAGCAAGTTGGACTACATCAAGGGCATGGGGTTTGATGCCATCTGGATCAACCCCGTCGTAACCAGTGAGTTGTCCATCTATCCCCAGCCTGGGATATCAATTATCCTCTTGGTTGGTGGCTAACATCTCTTGAAAGACAGTGATTTCGGCTTCCATGGCTACTGGGCACTGGACCTAAACACCATCAATTCCCACTATGGCACTGCGGATGATTTAAAGAGTCTCGTTGATGCTGCACATAGCAAGGTATATTCACACCATTCTCCCAACTCCTGTGGGTCAGGTCAGTGCTAAGAATAATCAAAAACAGGGCTTCTACATGATGGTCGATGTTGTGGCCAACCACATGGGAAACGCAAACATCACAGACGACTCCCCCTCCCCTCTGAACCAACAATCCTCTTACCACACAAAGTGTGACATTGACTTCAACAACCAGACCAGCGTCGAAAACTGTTGGCTCGCTGGCCTCCCAGACGTCGACACCCAGGACCCTACCATCAGGAGCCTCTACCAGGACTGGGTGTCCAACCTGGTATCTACATATGGCTTCGACGGCGTCCGCATCGACACCGTCAGGCACGTCGAGCAGGACTACTGGCCCGGCTTCGTCAATGCCAGCGGCGTGTACTGCATCGGCGAAGTCTTCAACGGAGACCCAGACTTTATGCAGCCCTACCAATCCCTCATGCCCGGCCTGCTCAACTACGCCATCTTCTACCCCCTCAACGCCTTTTATCAGCAGACGGGCTCCTCCCAAGCCCTGGTCGACATGCATGACCGTCTCAGCTCGTTCCCAGACCCGACGGCGCTGGGCACCTTTGTCGATAACCACGACAACCCCCGCTTCCTCAGCGTCAAGAACGACACGTCTCTCTTCAAGAATGCCCTGACCTACACCATTCTCGGCCGAGGCATCCCCATTGTCTACTACGGCTCCGAGCAAGCCTTTTCGGGAAGCAACGACCCCGCCAACAGAGAGGACCTCTGGCGCAGCGGCTACAACACCGAGACGGACATGTACAATGCCATCTCCAAGCTCACCTTTGCCAAGCACACGGCCGGCGGCCTCGCCGACAACGACCACAAGCACCTGTACGTCGAGCCCACGGCATACGCCTGGAGCCGCGCCGGCGGCAAGCTGGTGGCCTTTACCACCAACAGCGGCGGCGGCAGCTCGGCCCAGTTCTGCTTCGGCACGCAGGTCCCCAACGGGAGCTGGACGAATGTGTTTGATGGCGGCAATGGCCCGACGTACACTGCTGATGGCAATGGACAGCTCTGCTTGACCACGACGAATGGTGAGCCGATTGTGCTGCTGTCTTCATAAAACAATATGGCGACATATAATATACATGTATATCACCTAGTACATACTTGGATAGGTACGTGTTACTTACCCGGATAGAGCTTCATGTTGTTACTTTCAAGCTGTTGTTTCTTTCTTCTCTCTTTTGTGGACATACTGTACGATCATGAAGGGTACATATTTTAGTCGTAACAAAATTAGGCATTTACTACTACCTAGACTAGACTGTTTGTTGTTGATCATGTACCTAGAGCAAGCAATGAACCATGCCATGATTTCCTTCATCTCCCAGACCCGTATTTGAATTGCCTGTGGATAGATGTGCTTGAAAGACCTGCCATGCGCTCAAAGTAATTGTTATTGAATAGTCCGTCCCAAAATATTAACTGCAGTGCCGAGATATCTGTTGTTCCGTCAGGCCTGTTCAACCTGCGGGGATAGAAAATCTCCATGTGCTCATGAGTGCATAAATTCCGCACCGAATCCTCCGCTTCCAAAAAAAAAAAGAAGCAATATTATAAAAAGCAAAGTCGTCATGCCGTCAAATAGCCTTTATAGTCCCGTGTATGCTCGCAAGTCTTGTCCGTCGTCGTTAGCCTGTATTATTCACATGCGTGTGTCATCGATAGCCTTGTGTTTCTCGTGTCGCACGATTTGCTCTTGATATTGACCACATTCCTTCGGTACAATGAGCAAATATATATACCGTTGTGGTGGGTAATGAGTTTTTTTTTTTTTTTTTTTTTTTTTTTTTGGAGTTTGGGGGGTTTTTTTTTTGCTTGCTCGACCATGCATCCAGAGTTGTTGACCTCTGTCGAATGCGGGGGGAGATGAAAACTGTAACAGAAGCAGATAGAGAAGAGAGAAAAGAAAAGAAAAGAAAACCTTCCGGAACCCCGATTCCCTTTTTGTGTTCAGCCTGCGTGGCTTGTAACCTTTGTCTTTGTCCTTGGCACCCCCTGAAAAAAGAATTTCCTTTTTGTATGCCGGAAAAAAAGAGACGCAATAGTAAAGAAATCAACAATGAAGAGAAAAAGAAGATGCCGTCTCAATATCTGCAGATTGCAGTGTATAAGCTCTGAATCATTGAGATTCGTTTGACGTGCTGTGTACTTGTTTTTGGTGTTTCTTATTTTCTGGTTTGGCCACACTTGCGCAATCACGCTGCTCCCTGCAGCGAAGTCTGAGCTGAGATGTTGAAAAAATATGCGTGCCGAATTGCAAAACAAAATGCGAACTTGGAAAAAAAAAAAAAACATGAAAATGCGATCCGATGTGCTGAATGAAATACCATTCGCAATGTGAAGCTAATAGGAAATGGAAAATGGAAATGCAAACCGAAGAACAGAAAAAAAAAATGAATTCATGTAAGAAGATGCAAGTATGGGTATCATATGGGTGAGTATTAGGCAAGGTGTGTGCCATTCTTGGTCACCACAACCAGGGGCTCTTCAGGAAGCAGTCCTCTGGATCGAAGAATCATGCCCAGCTCCTTAAGCTTGACGGGCTTGGTCAGGAACAGATCCACGCCGCTGCCAAAGGCTTCTTGCTGCGCGCTCTCCGAGGCCAGGCCCGTGAGTGCAAAGATGACACAGGGCTTGAGCTGGTGTTCACGCTCGTAGGCACGAATGCGACGCGTGGCCTCGAAGCCGTCCATAACTGGCATCGAGACGTCCATGAAGATGTATTTGCAGTGGTTTGGATTCTCCCTGTAGGCTTCAACGGCCAAAGAGCCGTTAGTAGCGGTGTGGTAGGCCCGGCCAAGCTTCTTCATGTAGATGGCTAGAATGTCGAGATTAATGTTGTTGTCCTCTACGAGCAGAAACTCAGGCTCAGGCGTGGCCTCGTCTTCCTTTGCCGTTTCAAGCGTTGGCTCGCCCGTCTCTTCCCGCGCTGCAGACTTGGCATCGTTCTTATCAACACAAAGATTCTGCGTGGGCTGGACACTGGGAATCGGGATTGGCAGCTGCGTCTTGATGTCGCTTAGAAGCTCTGGGACAGCGGAAGCAAATTCCTCGCCTGGGCTGACGGGAGTGATAGGAATTGACTTCATCTCGTTGCCACGCCTGAAAGCCATGGCAACTGCTTTGGCGAGTTTACGGGGACCGACACTAGGTGGAAAGAAGCAAAAGGTTAGTCTGGGTCTGTGACGGGAGATGGACGAGCAGAGAGTATTTCAAACTTACGGCTGTGCAATAAATTCAAAGATGCGGTGCGCCTTGACGCGTTCAAACTGCGCTGCGCTCTTGAAAGCCACTAGAGTGTTTCTGCACAGGACAACGCACGGAGGTCCATGCATGATCTCGTCCGGCGGAGAGGCGGCAAGAGTATCCTCAACCCAGATGACGCAGTCGGGGGCCTTCTCGTTGGCTTCGGCCTCGGTAATGACCTTTAGACCAAGCCACTCGCGACAATTGCGATCAACCTCGACCTGGAGATCCGTATAGGATCCGTCCAACATACGCCGCCTGCCTCTTTTGCCAATATCGAAGCCCATCAGGCTGACACGCAGACCCGTTGCCTCTGCAACGTGCTTGTCAAAATCCCCTTCGTTCTCAGCAATTTGTGGAGTGCCATCAGGCGCATTCACCGTCTGCATAAGCGGCAAAGAAACACGAACAATGGTGCCCACGCTGACTCGGCTCTCCACATGAACGCGCCCTCTAAGCTGCGACGTGATTTGCTTTACAAAGCTCAGGCCCAATCCAGTTCCCGGGGCGAGATGGTCTTCCTGAGAGAATGGCTTGTACAGGTCATTGCGCAGGTAGTCTTCTCCAATGCCCTTTCCGGTGTCAGACACGACAATGTTGACAACAGCATCCGCCGAGGACTTTCGCTTCGGCTTGGATTGGCTGAGGCGCACCTTGATGGAGCCCCGTTGAGTGTATTTGAGCGAGTTGCCCAGCAGGTTCATCACGATGCGTCGGATTGCACCAGGCTGCGTGTAGAATCGCCAGTTGCAGTCGTGGTCAATTTCAAGGAAGACAGTCACCTCTCCCAGCGCAACCTTGCCGTTGGAGCCAAGCTCCTCCACAGCTTGCATGGCGTCGAGACGGCGCATTGCAGTGAAGTCTGTAGAGTGAGCAGAAGTCTTGTGCTTGGCGAGCTGCAGGGCCATGTGCATAAAATTGAAACCCGCATAGACGCCGTCCATGACTTCTTCAACAATACCATCGAGCCGAATGTGCTTGTACAAGCTCAGCATTCCCTCCTCGACCGATCGTGCAGTGCTCTGTCGTAGCCCTCTAGGCTCCGACGTCTGACCACCCGTTTTGCGGGCTTGGATGAATTTATTCACTTTGGAATAATCAAGGAGATGGTCCACGGTGTCCACCAGCGTGCGGCAGCAAATCTCAATGGTGTGGGCAATGTTGCCTTGGAAGACGGTCAGCTCAGTGTCACGAAGCAGCTCGATGCCGAGGACAGCACCATGCAGAGGTGATCGCAGTTCATGGGACAGAGAGCTCAGCGCATCCGACTTGGCCTGGTTTGCAGCAAATGTCTTGAGGCGAAGTGTCTCGGCAATAGCCAGGATGCTGACGGCCTTGAGGAAATTCAACTCTGCGCCCACTGTGAAGATTCTGGTCGGAGTCAGCGTGTAGATGAAGCCTCCAGCGCACCATCGCTGTTTTCTGGGATCCCAGACGGGGACAAAAGCCACGCTGCGGGCCTTTGGAAACATCTCTTGGATGATTCGTCCTTCGTTGTGCCGTGCCCAAGGACGCCTATGGCGCTTAGACTGGGACGCGTCGTCTGGCACTGGCTGCTGTGGTGCTGGCTGAACAGACTTCATGTTGTCAGAGTCCTTGGAGGGATCCGTCATCCAGCCGTCGTCGTCTGACGAGTCGCTGGACTGCAGTTCTCCATTGATTCCAAAGTTGAAGATGTGGCCCTTTGGATACCGCTGAAGGAGCTTGGCGAGGAATCGCTGTGCCATGTTGATTCTCGGCAGCGAGCCATCTTCCAAGTCCTTGCTGCGGCTTTCCGTTGTCGAATAGCCCAGCACTTGGCAGGCCGGCCACTTCTTGGACTCGGACTCGGCAGACGTACCATTAGTAGCATGAGCACTGGCGTCGTCACCACCGGGCTGTGAATGAACGTCTTCTTCCTCGTCAACGTCACTTCCGCTGTCGTCATCTTCATCCTCGCTGCTGCTCTCATCACCCCGAGACGGGGAATTGGAAGCGCGATTCTTTCGTGACCCCTTGGTACGACCGCCATATTCGCCAAAGGACCCCGCAGACGAGTCTAGGAAAAGGCAGCCGTCGGTCTCAAGAGACTCGCGGATTGTTTGTGCAGCCTCAGAGAATGTGTCAACCATTGGGTTGGGACCAGGGATAAAGGTATCGGCCCATTTTGTCTCTGCTACGGGCTTGGCTTGTTTGGCCTCGGGCTGTTTGACATCGGGCTCTTTACCATCGGGCTCTCTGGCATCAGGCTCTTTGGCATCAGGCCGTTTGGCCTCGGGCAGCTCGCCTTCAGGGAGCTTGCCCTCCGGCTGTTTGCCATTTGGCGAAAGAGACTGTTCAGTATTTGTGGTATTGTGGACAGTGACTTCTGGGAGAGGCTGCTTGCTGGGGGCTTCGCCGTCTTTCAAAAGTGCTTGCCGGGCCAGGCGTAACGCATCTGGAGTTTCTGTAAACGTCTCCCGGCCAGCAGCAGGACTCCGAGACGACGCTGTGGCTTTGCCTTCAACGAAGAAGCCCAGGCCTCTAATCATGCGCTCGCTGCGCTTGTTGGCTATCTTTGAAGAGTTGGCCTCCAAATGGTCCATGACGGCCAGAGAGAGTCTGCGCATCAGCGTCGAGAACTGGCCGTTCCATCTGCAGTTTGGCATGGAGCTGACAACGCACAGAGAGCCAATGTTGATGCCTCGCTGAGTGCGAATTGGGACAGAGGCATAGAAATGATTGCCACCCTCAGGCTGGCAATAGGGCTTTGTCTTGAAACGAGCATCTGTTGCCAGGTCTTTGACCACAAGAACTGGTAGTTGATCACCTTCATTCTCGCAGTGATCGAACTGAGTTGCGTCTCTCTCCAGAGAAGTGCTTCCAGACGATCGCTCAAGGCGGTGAGACTCGAGAAGAGTGTACTCACAAGTGCTGTGGGCGCGAGGAATGGCAGTGCCGCACATCCAGAGGCCGAGGCTGCTATCCTCTGCCGCTATGGGAAGCTCTCTAGTGGCTTCGGCGATGAAATACTGGTGCTCCACGTCAAAGAGCGAAATGAAGGCCCGCTCAGTGCCAGTTTGAAATAGAGCCAACTGAGCCAGGCCAGTCAAGACCAGATCTTGGGAAGGCGTCAGCTCAGAGCTTGGGCGAAGCTGGCCACTGTCGTTTACTTTGCTTGTAGACAGCAAAGTTGGATCATATCTGTTACCACGCGTTTTTGTTAGCAGGTTTCTCTCTCTAGCCCACATATCGACTCAATGTTGATTTTTTTTTACCCCAACGTCCATCTCTTGAGAAAGAGGAGAGAGCATAGAGCAGAGTGGCGAGGGCAAAGGCAAAGGGCAAAAACAGTAACAAATCTCATGGGAACAAACTGACTTGAAAGTCTCGCGCTGCCGCGTTGCTTCGGACACAGCCCGATAGGGCGGCACGGGACGCCCATCCATTGTCTGGCGCTGCACCTATCCGATGCGGTGATGGTGTTGTGTGGAGGAGACAAGAGAGAGCGAGAAGAGGCAAGGATGTTTCTTGGGGTAGGTTGTACGGGCTCTGTTCCGCGGTTAGAGTCATCGAATGAGAGTGCGCAGTCAGGTCTACTGCTTACGAAAATTCACTGAATGGATGCAGATTCAGATGGCCCTGCAAATAGTGCCGCCGCCACTGGGTCGAGGCCGGGATTCACCACCAAACAAAATCAGAGATGATGTTTTTTTGACAGTGCCCGACCTAGACGATGCTTTTCAGACTGGCCGCGTTGGCAGGTTGGATTCTAGGCAAGAGTTGGAGATGGATCACAGAAGTGGACGAAACGAGTGCAAGAGTATCGAAGAGCAAGGGTTGATGGGGACGAGTTGGAAGAGTTGGATGGAGACGGAGCTCGAGGGATGGAGAGGTTGAGATGCGGTTGCCAAGAGAAGAGGCGAGAAAGTGAGAAAGTTGCAGAAGGATAGAGGGCAAGGGTCAGGCGAGGTTGACGGAGCGGCAACTCAGAGCCAGTCAGTTGCGAGGGGAGCCGCTGTAGCAGGTCCCGCTAATCCGGGCGCGCAGCACCTGCAGTCGCTAAAAAGCTTCCAACGATGGGCTGCAGCGTTCGTTGAGCAGGGGCAGAGGGGAAAAAGTCACGGTCAGGTAGGCAAGGGGGGGGAAGCTGGAACATTGCAACATGATCAGAGGGCCGGGCTTCTAGCGGCCGCAATGGCCTAGAAGAGAGAAGAATCGTCGTCTCCGGACAGAGCAAGCGAGCAAACAGCAAACAAGCGGCTGCTACGGGTAGGGTGGGCTTTTTGCTGTATCGTGGCGTTGATGCCTTAGTCCACGGCCTGCCGCTACGACGGGACTATCACGGGGAGTGGATGCTGTGTCTTGGACCTCTGGGGAGGGGGACCCTGAAAAAAAGACCAGCCGAGAACGAAAAAGAAAAAAAAAAGGTAGCACAGCAGATAAAAATCCGAGGACCCTGAACAAGGCTGTGGTGGAGAGGCAGACCCTTCGATGGGCTCATGACAGGGCATCGTCGAATCAGAAGCCCACCGGTGCTGGTAAGACCTAAAGTGCGGAGACGGACGGCGCAGTGGCTAGCGAATGCCACCACGAGCCATAGTACTAGCCATCAATGCTGGCCCAGAATGGCCCGTCCGGCAGGTATTTGCTCGTACAGGGCTCGTATAGAGGCGGCTTTGAAGGCTCGAGTTTGCTGCTGGGACTCGCAGAAGGGCAGGACATGCACCTGAGGCAGATACTCCATATATACATGTACAGTAAACAACGCGAGACACGCCCCCTCCCTTGTATGCAGAGCAGTTCAAATTCGCCATGTTTGGACGGCCAAGACCGACAGTGGTGCGTAGAGCAGCAAAGGCCATTGGCTGGCGGCTGGGGGCCCTGCTGTGCCGGTGTAAGTTGTCGGGTGCTTTGATATGCAAGGCGGCCTATTGCGATGCGCTCAGCCTGCTCCACGTCAAGACAAGATTCCAATTCCAAACGCCGCACCTGTACTGCTACTTGGTGCCTGAGAGCGGTCTTGTGTCTCGCAGCTCTGGGTGGAGGAGAGACGCAGAGCAGCAGCTGGTACCGGTACACACACGCTCAGAGCTCAAAAACGCCGCGCCAGCCGCAGCAAATGCCGAGCAGCCAGCCCGTCTGCGGGCGCCCTCTGAGGTCTCGACCCGAGACAATGATCTGCCAAATTGCCGGGTAGGATCCGGACTGCCATGTAAACATGTTCAAGGATTCACGGGCACCGAGCAATATGCATGAACACCACAAGACCTGGTCCCTCGGCACTGATCCGATATTGGTGCAAAGGAGCTGACAGCTTTCCAGGTGAGAAATGCTCCTTACTCGTAGCACCAACGCACACTTGGACAAGGAACAGCAAGCAGCAAGATCCATGCTACGCCACTAGTAGTAAGATGGAATATGCAAGGGCCGATGTGATCTGCTCCCATCTGCTCTGTGTTTTTGTGGTGCTTTCTTCTTTTGCTTCCAGCCCAGCCTTTGAGCAACGCTGGCAGAGGAGACCGTGAGCTTCGCTGCATGCATGGCTCATCGGCATATGCTCCGTAAGACCCTTTTGCCATCAGCTGATACAATGTGCGAGTAATAGTGCATGCTGGCATCAGGCAGTGGAGCAAGATCTGGGCACTACTGACAGCAATCTGAGAGCACGTTCGGAGCTTTGCGAGGGCGGAGTCTCTAGATTTCTATGGGGCATCTCCAGCACTGCATCACCCGTTAAAGGGCACTAAAGGGCCGTTGAGACGTCTGCAAAAGACCTGAAGCTCCAGCAGACGGTGCTATCCGCACGCCCTGAAGCCCCCCGTAGGAGATGCCCTCGTAGACTCTATTCACAGCGCACCTGCCTCGTCTTTCCTCCTCGCTAATGTGTGCCGATGACGAAGCGAGGGCTGCTCTTGCCATGCCAGACTCTCCTTTATCCCGTGACCAATGGGCACAAGGCACACATTTCAAAATCTGAAAATCAAACTTGACCTTGTCTCCCCAGTCCTCACAGCTTTTCGACTCAAGTCAAGCTCTTCACCCACACACACAGTCCATCAGTGACTCCAGCTTCTCGAATCCACCAAGCTTCACTGATCCACCCGGAACACAAGGGCGGACAGGACACACTGACCTGCCAGAAACCAGCTAAAACAGCCTGTAAGCGCTCGGCCAGCCCCGCCAGCCATTCCGCACCCGCCCCTCCCAACCCATTCTGTCGATCTCACTAACTCGCTAGTCGTAGCTGTTTACCCACCCAGCGTTCAAGATGCCTGACTAGGAGCAGCTCTTCAATGAATGGGTTCAAGCCCAGGAGGCCCAGGAGGCCCGGCAAGCCCAGGAAGCCCAGCAAGCCCGGGAAGCCGAGGGCGAAGAGGAAGACCAAGTGGATGGGTTCGACATTGACCGCTGGCCTCAAGGACCACCCTGGGACACTCAGACCGACTCGGATGACAACTCCGACTCTGAGTTTGGCTGGGGCGACTGTGACGGCAATCACCCTGATGGCGAGCACTGTGAGATCTGTGCATCCTCCTTTGACTGTTACTGTGATGAGTGCTACGACAATGGCGCGTACGCTGGCGAGGAGAGTTACCACTACTACTACCGCTTGTTCTACTGGTACTACTACTTTTTCTACATGGACTACTACGGCGCTCACTACGCTGAGCGAGCTACTCGTGGATCTCAGTCCCGCCACGACCGCGATGACTACTTGTAGTCGCCCCAGATGCTTCCGAAGCATACGGGAGACCCAAGGTTGCACCAGGTGGCTTTTGTACGTTTGATCATGGCGAGATCTGGAAGGCAACATGGATGAGAAATGTCGGCTATGAATGAATGTATGTGGTTCAAGATGGAAGTCCAAATAGTATAGGCTCATCTGATAATGTATGATCAATTGTCGGGCAGGACGCCCTTGACTATAATGCAGAAAAGTTTGCTGCTTGCTTCTCAGTTTTCCTCTAGTCTTGTGCCTCAAGTTCCACGTCGAGCGTCAGCGATTCATTCAACACTCCACCTCCCTTCTCCCGCTCCTGTGGCAAATTCCCATCTCGAAACCAAGGAAAAGAAAATACCGGGTACCGACTGGGGTTTCACACTAATGGAACACAAAACATGGACAAGGGCTGGGACACAGCGGGAAGAAGATGGGGTAAGGTCTAATATTAGCTGTCGTATACGGGTACTACAGACCTCTTGTCTCTGTGCGGAAGTGCCACAAGAATCCCGAGCCCACGCAAGGAGAAGGGAAAAAAAGGAGAGTCAAACACACGCATTTCAAAAAAGAAGAATCATGCTAACACTAATCCAGAGTCCTATGCAGTGTATCAATTTGCCCTTGCCAAAAAATCTAAGGAGAGAGAGAGGAAGGAAAAAAAAAGAAAATATCAGCCTTCACCATTCGCTCAGTTCAGTGGTATGCTCCGTGTACCATCGGATTCAACCCAGCCATATCGGCAAAGTTGACAATGGTGTACTGCTGCTGAAGCCCGTCCAGCCTCTCCCGCAGGTAATCTTGCTGCTCCCGCTCCGCTCGCTCGAAACTAAACAGGAAACGCACCAGGAACACGAAATCGTGTATACGCCGCCTCACGTCGTCCTCGGTCTGGCCGTAGCTGAGCGGCAGCGCCAGCACGTCGGCCACGGTGCTGGTGATTTCAAAGACCTTGTGCACCAGCCCGATGCCGTGGGTAACGACGGTGGAGATGCTCTCGAGCTGGCTCACCAGGTTCCGCAGCTGCGCGGAGAGCCGATAGACCTGCAGATGGATGGCCAGATCCTCGCGCTGCGGCGCCGAGCGGAACAGCCGGTGCATCAGGCCGTACTGCCAGAGCAACGAGCGCATCCAGAGCCGCGTCACCAGCAGGTCGACGTGCTGCAGCTCCGTAAAGGTGCCGCGGCCGCTGTCAATCAGGCCCTGCTCGGCCTCTGAGGCGCCGGCCTCGTCCTGGTCCAGCTGGGCCTGCTTGCCCTCGATCCACTGCAGCGTCACGCCGGCCACGGGCTGCGCCGGGTTCTGCTGCGCGCTCCAGTACAGCAGCAGAGGCCCGTCCAGCAGCTGGAACAGGCGGATCAGGCGGCTGAAGCCGGCGTCGATGTGGGCGGGGATGGCCGCGTCCCTCGCCGGCAGGCCCGTGGGCAGCGGCGCCATGATGCTTGGGTAGCCGGCGAGGATCGTCAGGAGGCGCTCGAGGATGAAGACGTGCCAGTAGATGCGGTGGAACTTGGGCACGTCGCGCGGCTCCAGGGGCACGGCGCTGTGCGAGCACTGCTGGACCTGGATCATCTGCACCATCGTCATGGCCTCGCGCAGCATGGCGAAGCAGCGGTCCAGGCGGCCAAAGGCCATGACGGACACGGCCAGGAAGACGCACGTCATGATGCGGCGGAACGTGGTGCGCACGTCCATCGGCCGGGCGTTGTGGACGTCGTCGACGACCGATTGCGCCCGCCTGTACGCACTGAGGCTCTGCCGGATCAGCTCCGTCATCTTGGCTCCGGCCTCGCCCTGCACCGTGGGCGTCGTCAGATGGATCGTCACTGCCCCAACCGCATAGACAAAGGCGGCGTCGTCGGGGTCGACGTGCATGCTGCCAATGGACTGGCGGACCTCGTAGCTGGTGATGATGGGGCTGCCGGGATACACCTGCTCCTCATACTTGGCCAGCATGCCGATGAAGAAGCCCGTGGTGAAGGTGCGAGCGTCCCATGCGGGAGGCGGCGGCGTGTCTATACCAGCACCAGCACCAGCTCCAGCTCCAACTCCAACACCGGCTCCAATACCAGTGCCCAACGCATACCCACCACCGCCAGCAGCACCAACACCAGCTCCGGCAATGGCTATGGCCGCAATGCCGGCAGAGGGCACCCCGTCCTGGTCCGGGTTCACGATGCCGGCGATGGACGTGACCGCTGGCCCCGGCGGCCTCTCGGGATAGTCAGACGGCGACGCGGCAATGCTGATGCCATGGCTCGAGGCCGCTATGCTCGACTTGTTGCGGAGCTGCGTGACCAGCCGGTTGCGCACGCTGGGCTTGCGCTTCGTCGACGGCGAGTAGATGCACCCGAGGCCCAGGTGCGAGCACTGAGAGCACGGCTGCGTGCTATTGCATTTCACCTTTCGCACCCTGCATCCGTCGCAAGCTTGGGCTGCTCTGTTACTCATGGATGGAAAGCGGCATGGGGCAGAATCAGTCCGTCCTCAATGTCTCTTTGACGTGCAGTTTGGGCGCTGCGGCACTCTCTAGCTCATGGCGTCACTAATACCGAGACTAAAGGCACAAAATGGATCCAACAAGCAATGCGTCTTAGGCCCGTCGGATGCGAGAACAGACAAATAGTATAGGGAAAATCTCACGAACAAAAATAGCAGTAGCAAGGGGGGGGAACACAACTTTTTGGAACCCCGCCGGAGATGTCGTATAAACAAAAAATGAAAGCAAAAAAAAAAAAAAGAAGAAGAAGAAGAGAGAGAGCTGTGTGTGGGGAACCGGATTGGGACTCGGACGCATAAACACGCATACAGGCACAGCAGAAGAGAAATGCAACGGCAGTCAGGTCGAAAGAGACAGAGAAACGAAGCAGCAAAAACAATAGAAATGGCGATCGATCAGAGAAAGAAAGCCACAGTTCAAGGATCCGTCGGTCTGTCTCCGGAATTTTGATATTTAACCCCCCCCTTCCCCCCACCGGCTATCCCGCTCTACCGTGCTCGAAACGATGGCATGGCAATTGCACTTTGGGTATTCAAGTGGAATATTAATTAGCCGCCAAACGTTGATATACCAAGCAGCCCAAGCATATGTGTGTGCGTATCTGCTTGCGTGTTTTTGCACTGCCGTCTCCACACAAGACGGACCTGATAGGTTTTGATATTCCCGGCCTTATCATCGAATAGGCCGTGTGGCTCAATGGCAGAGCGTCTGACTACGATTTAGTATATCAGGAGGTTGCAGGTTCGACCCCTGTCTCGGTCAATTTTTTTCTATTCTTTCCTCATTGTGAGGCTTCTTTTTTTGCTTGACAGTTGTGATATCGTCAGATCATGATATTTCTTTTTTTGAGGAGGTTGTTGACCTTTACTTTTATTAGCAAGGGTCTCACAGGCCATGGAAGCAAGCTCTGCTAACGTTCAGTTTTTAGGCACAAACGCTTGGGCTCTGTCTTGTCCAGCCCCGATTCGCACTCTACCGCCGTTCAGAGTTTCGATGCTTCGCGATGCGCACGGGCGAAAGTATCACAGCCGTACGAGGCGATCATAAGGGACGGCTATAATGCCGAACCAATGGGGAAATACCTGACGGGGAAGGATCTCTGCAAATAGATCAACACTGGTAAGCACCCCAAAATAGCAACTCGATCTTGCTTCCTTCTCTATCCTGGCTCCATCATACGACGATCTCACCTACTCACCGTATATATGGGCTTTGGACATCATTTGTAAGGAAACTTCCAATTGAGCCATTCGAAACTCCAGTCGAGGAGGTAGCAAAGTTGCGAGACCAATACAAAAAAAAAAGGTCAAGGCCGTCCATCGTGCTGGCGTTGGCGCATGATTTCGGCAGCAAGAGTTACAGCCGGATATATCTCAGCGTATTTAGCCTTTTCGGTCAGCCTTGCTTGACTCTGTGGCGACAGCGGAAACAGCCGAGTGATCTCCGGCTAGCTTTGAAAGGCGATGGGATCGATTGCCGTCTGGGGTTTACTCCTTGTCGTGCCCCTTTCGACGCCATTTCCTCGTATTTCGAGACTGCATTCGAAGTGATCACTAATCTGATGGACTATACGAGACACTGATTGGGGAGGTGCAAATTGGGATCATCACTACGCCTGGGGTCATCACTATGCTTACATCTATAAGCATAGGCATGAAAGAGCGGAAAGGATGTACACCTCGATGGTATATATAAACCAGTGAGACCACCGCCATTTTGAACATCTTGGAACGCCCATTAACAGCTTACAGCAGCCGAACAGAATCTCTGCTCAAACCGAAAAAGTCCACCACATCTCGCCGCAGGCCCATTCCTCCATAATCTGCCAACATGAAGCTCTCCACGTCGTTCCTCGCCATCGGTCTCTTCACCGGCGTGTCCATCGCCCAAAACAGCACCGTCCAAGTCGCCCACGTCACTCTCCGCTCCGAGGGCGACGACCATTCTTTCCCCATGAGCGTCCCGGCCGACGGCAAGCCCGTCTTCACATACAGCACGCTCCCCGTACAGAAGATTGACGCCCCCGACTTTGACGTGCTCCAGGCATGTGTGATTGACACCGTCGGCCCGGCGAATCTGAGCAGCACCATTGCGTCGGACGGGGTGACGCAGCAAGTCGTGATTGATCCGCCGCAGACGGTCACGAGCATTACCTGTCAGGGCACCTGTGTCGAGACTTGGAGTGAGTTTACCTTTTGCTTTGACGACATGTAAGGACGAGATGCTAAGATTGATACGAATTAGGTGCTTGTTTTGATGATGCAACGGGCCAGTCACTTGGGCCTTGCTGTAATGGTCTTTGCATTGCCAATCGCTGCAGACCTTTTAATCAGCCATAAGAAGTCGGGCTGAGGCAATTGACATGGACTTTTGATTGTCACGATTACCATTTCGCACATCAGAAGTAGTTGGAATTTATGGGGGAAAAGCAAACATTTACAAAACGTTTAGTCTTTGCGTGGAGTATGGAGATAGTAGCACAGCATCAAGATTCGAGTTTTACCAGAATTGAAGCAACACTTAATATACTTGTACTGAACAACAAAAAAGAACAAAGAAAAGAGAACAAAGAGGTACTCTCAAAACAATCGCCAAAAAAAATCAATTCATGTTATATGACACCTGAGGGATTCGAACCCTCGCCTATTTCTAGACCGCGAATAGATTGCTTGGCAGATCCAAGCTAAACCTGAACACGGCGCCTTAGACCGCTCGGCCAAAGTGCCTTGCCGAATTGAATGTTTCATCTAGGACGAGTTGTGGCTCAAGAACTCTGAGAGGCGCCAATGGCCGAGATGGCAGAACAACTTGAGTTTAGGATCAATGCCCAGCATACATGAATACTATCTACCTACTACTATCTACTGCAGTGTCGTGAAATACGCAATGTCGTCTTTGCACAAATCCGGAAACAGCCAATTGTCTGTCGTTGCAAAACGAAAATTGCGGGAGAAATATCGTGTGAGAGAGGAAGCACCCCCAAAATGTGTGCCGTCATTATCCAACTCTATCGCTGTATCCAAAAGCAAAGGTCCATCCCAGTCTGCTGTCTTCTCCAACGCCAGAAGCTCGCCGAATCATACAAGTAAGGTGCACACAGCTGAATCCAATCCGCCGTTTCCGTAAAACCAAAAGAAAAAAACAGCAAAAGAAAAGCAAGAAAACAGCAGCTGTAAAACAGGGTAATCCGCACGTTCCGTAATTTCAAAACCAAGCCAGGAGTGCCGTCATATCATCATCGTATCTAATAAAAAAAAAGAGAGAGAGAGAGAGAAAGAAGGAGAAGAGAGGGGAAGATGACAATAGAAAGAAGAAAATGGCTGCCCATCATCGAATCTCCATCATTCCACAGCGGCTTCAGCGTCTCTTCTTGTTTTTATTGTTAAGTTGTTCGGTCAAAGCAGTACCTAGAGCGCGGAAACCTATTTTGGCTCCCTTTGCTCCCACCAAGTTACCCTTCTCATGGCGATTTTCCATATAGGCTTGCGCGGTGGCCATCGCTATCGATTTCCCTATAGCTTGAAACTGGGGATTCTTCCAAAAGGGAGTTTTTTCTCGGGTGCTTGAACTTTTGACGTTTGGCATCGTGTTTCGGCGCTTTAGGTGGCCGCCGTCAACAGGTGCACGATCCCGGTCACGGTGTCGGTCTTGGTCACGACTTCGGTCTTGGTCACGATGTCGGTCTCGGTCACGACTTCGGTCTTGGTCGCGCCTCCGATCTTGGTCGCGCCTTCGATCATAGCTGTCGTCTGCTTCGCGAGGCTGTGAGCGATGGCTTGGACGTCGTCTATCCCTCTCATCGTCGCTTGCATAAGTTGGGGCGCCGCGGGATCGATGAGAGCCGTAACGGTCCCGGTCTCGGTCCCGATCACGGTCTCGGTCCCAGTCGCGGTCCCGATCACGATCGCGGTTACCAGATGGGATGCTTCGTGAAGATCTATATTTGGGGTCTGGAGAGGCGTTTCGGGAGCGTGAATACTGTCCTCCGGATGGTTCTCGATTTGAAGACTTGTGACGGCGCTCACGTGGCTCTGGAGCGTACTCATAGTCCCGTGGGCGCCGCTCATCGTCTCGTTGGTGCGAGTTTCTCGGCGCGTCTCTTTGCGAGCTTCTCCGGGAGTCTCTCGGCGCATCTCTGGGCGGATGTCTGTCATAATAAGGGTCATAATCTCGATGCTTGTTGTTAGGCATGTTGCCGTGGCCTGGAGAAGGATCACGACGGCTGCTGCGAGATTTGTTGTCGCCGCCGGGAGATTGGTCTCGCCGACTCTTTCCAGGTTTTGACCGGCGAGACGAGGCAGAAGATTGTTGAGAGTTGATATCGGGCGGTTCCTCTGGGTTGTAGTAGGAGTGGTTGAGGCCCTGCGGCGCATCAGGTTCGGAGCGTCCAGGCATGATGGCTACGCCGTGGGGAACTTGAAGGAATTTATAGGGCGAGGTCGTGGCCAGCAAGTGCTTGATCGACAAGTCGAAAACAAGAATAGGAGACGAAACGGCAAGAAAACAACATTAGAGCGTTGAACACACAGCGAACGGCGTATCAGAGGCGAGAGAAGAGCGTTCAGGACAGTGTTTGCGGCACGTTCAGAGTTTATGTATAAGCCGCGCTGCTGGGCGAAGCAGCGAGTCCATCCCCATCATTGGACGCCCCGCTGACGCCTGGAGAGGGGCCGCATCTGCAAGTCAGGAGGGGCGGCCTCTGACTTACAGCGATCCGCCAGAGGCCTACAGCGTGCGCAGCGCCCTAATCTTGCAGCGATCCCAGCGCATGGCAGCGATCCGGAAAGCGTTCGGCGCGCTGCAGGGTTTCCGCGGTCTCCTGACGTCACACCAGCCAATAGGCGGTTCCGCCCGGGCATCTGGTGAGAGCAGCTCTGGCCTGGAGAGTCGCCTGACGTCAAACAGAGGCATCAAGTGGCGGTGCTGCCAGTTGAACAATCAGCAGCCACTTGTTGGACAGAGAGAGAAAAGGCTGTTGTGAAAAATCTTTACATTGTACAGGGATTCGGGCTTGGGGGGTGTTGATCATCAGGGCTTGCGGCAGATGCGCTCAGTCAGCAGGCAGCGATGCTGTTGGACGTTATGACTGTCCATCACCTCTAAATGTTGGTCGAGTTCAACGGTAAAGTGGAAAAAAGTCAGGGCACTGCTGCTGCCTACAGTATCTGCACATCGTGTCCTAACATTGATTTTGCACGCAGACAATTCGCGAGAAGCCGCCGAAGAGACTCCAAAAGACGTCGGTCCACAGCGAGCTGACTGTGTACATGTATCACCCTCCAGGGGATCTTCAGGAGTCGCCGAGTCGCGGAAGAAAATCCTACGGAGCTTTTTCGATGCTACGAATTCAAACTGTGCAAGTCTGTGTGACGGCGTCCGGCTATAGACGATCCCGGCCAAGCCATGCCGAGCCTTAAAAGGACGCCGCCACCCGCGATCCGCGATCCGAGCCGTTTCTTCGGGGGTCGAAAAATACACATTGATGTTGGTCGTCGACTGGGAAATGGGAAAAAAGGTTGGTTTGAATTGATGGCACAGCATCTGCTCCGCCACTTGGTAATGCAGAAGAAGTCACCAATACGGAGTGACACAGACGGAAATATGCTGTGAGAGGAATACTACTAGGTACATATACATACCTACATGTTGCAGCATGCCTCCGATATATCCTCGTTTGCCGCTTTGCCCTCGAGCTTTCAGTAACGCCATCGCATATCGCTCCTGGTACCGGCAACTCTTTCTTCACCGGTATGCCTGGATGTCGCTGGCAGTCTGCACTGACGTGTGGCAAGACTTTCCACGTCGCAATGCGGGTCCTGTTGGCAGCTACCCGGTATTTTCTTGGTATCCTGCGAGACTGTTTCACAGCGCGGATGCATTATTACGTCGCCTTTTGTACAATTTCCAACATTGCCAACAGCTCACCTGAAACTTGAATAATCTTGAATGATGGAAATCTCGATTAGCTAGAGGAGCTTTTCGTCGTGGTGGTCGATCATCCAAGCTACTACTGCCTCCTCTTGGAAGAGTTGGATCTTGCATGCTTCTTATTGGAGAGAGTCATGGGGCATGATGCTTATGCGCATCAACGGATTATATTTGCTGAGTAAACCAAGACAGAACGGCATCTAGCCTGCACAGGCTGGCTTGTATGCATACAATCAGTCTAAAGCAGGATTGACGCTGTGCTGTATTATGACATCTGCAATGACAGAGCCGTTCAATCATTGCTGGCAGCTCCAATCGCAGGTGCCAGCAAAGATCGTGGAGCGATGCGTCTCCGCAAGATCCACACCTCTTTCGAGCTGTGCGCAAGGGCTTAAAGCCTTGTCAAGGCATCCCTGTCATTACTTGATATCTCGGGTGATGCGGGCTTAGCGATGGCTAGATCCCGATGCTCGGTCTGAGGCCGGCAAGTGTCTGTGCTTTGGTTTTCAGCATAGGCTTGGCTGGCCTTATTTGCCTCTTCATCAGTTGTATCAATCATGATACCGTATTTCGTGTTACATGTGCGCTGAACTGGCAATCACAGGCAATCGGCTGCTATCGTTGACCAATCTATCTACTAGAATCTACAAATGATATGCCCATTATTCAATCACCAAATCTCGCAACACCCATCAATAACGAGTCCTAGACTCAATCACAAGTCCGCACGTCAACCCTCATGTGCCGGATAATCAGTGTACCCAACAACCGGGTCCTCAAACGGCCCGTAGAAGCGAGACCGATCGTACTTTGCCAGCGGCCAGCCATTTCGCAGTCTCTCCACCAAGTCTGGATTGCTCACAAAATACCGTCCGTACAGCAAAGCGTCATATTTCCCACTCTCGACAACTCCCCACGAGTTTGTGTCGTCGAATCCGCCGGCAGAAAAGAATGGCGTGTCTCCCCAAATCTTGCGGAAGACGGACAAGTCGACGTGGGGGAGGCCCCATGATTTAAGGAACTTTGCCTTTTCGGCCTCGGAAAAGATTTGCTCGTATCTCGGCTCGATGAAGCTCACATACGACAGCCTGGGTTGACGACTCTTGAGCTCGCGGCAGAGGTGGCCCCAAGTCTCGACGCGCTGCTCGCCACGGGTCTGGTTGAAAAGGCCAAAGGGGCTCAGTCGGATAGCCAAGTTTTCTTCTCCCACGGTCTTGGCCAGCTCGTCCATCAGCTCAAGCACAAATCTACAGCGCTTCTCTGGCGTGCCTCCGTACTCGTCTGTCCGCTTGTTGATGTTGGAGCTCAAGAACTGCTCTGGGAGGTAACCGTTTGCTCCATGGATTTCTATACCGTCAAAGCCAATATTCATGGCTGCTTTCGCAGCAGTACAGTAATCCCGAATCGTTCTTTTGATGTGCTCGGCCGTCAATTCGATGGGCGGGTGCTCACTCAGCTTGACTGGCGTTGTCGAGTGCGGCGGAGGATATGCATAGCATTCGTTTGGGTCGTCAAAGGGTATATTTGACGGCGCAACGGTTGCGGTCCCGGTAATCTGTGGAAGAGTGACACGGCCAGCGTGCCATAGTTGAGCGTATATATACGCGCCTTTTGCATGGACTGCGTCGACAACCTTTTTCCAACTCTTTACTTGCTCTTCTAAGAAGAGCCCCGGAGCCCCGGGCAGACCGTTCGCCTAAGGAGGACTGCGTTAGTGATTTCACATGCTATACTCTCAACTGGCTCAAGAGAGGTTCTTTACCTCAAATGAAGGCGGAATTGCTTCTGTGATGAGCAGTCCACCCTCTGTTGCTCGCTGAGCATAGTAATCGGCAATAAGATCATTGGCAATCCAGTCACGGTTTGGATTCTCGGCTGTGGAATCGGCACGAAGCGGTGTACCGCGGTTTCTGGTCATGGGAGCATGGATAATGCGGTGCTGGAGGGTGATTTTGCCGTCCGCGATGGCCAGTGGCTCGAATAAATCGGAATCAGCTCCGACCTTGATTTGAGAACCCATTTTGACTGGATACAAGATGAAGGGTTATGATACAGCAATAATTGCACTCTCACACGCTGACGGAAGAATCCGGAAGCTATTTCCAAATGGAAGAGACAGAGAAAGAGAGGCTCTTTTATATCAAAACAAGAGTGAACAATTGCGAATTGAATTACAGCATTGCGACAGACAACTACGACGCGGCTTTACTGCATCAACCGCCCCCGCTGAGTGTTGAAGAAAACGTGGATCCGCGAGAATTTTACTCCAGAGACACTCCACTCAACTGCGCACGCATGCCTGTGATGACTCCACAGCGGTAGCATTGAAAGTCAGTGCCTTTCCCAGAATACTGATTCTTGATTCTAGTGGGAAGGTGATCTTCATGATGGCGGTTTTAGGCTATATGTGTTTCTATACCGGCGTTGCGGTCAAGCGGTGTAGCTCAGCAATAAATGGACTCTGTTGGTCTATCTATGCCACGAGACCGAAATCTGTCAAAGCGGCTTTGGTTTGAGCAGATACTACCTGGAGAGAGCCTGCTGTTAATCCTGGCATTGGCATGTCATGCCACATGCTGTTGACTCAGTCCCCGGCAAGCTGCGGATTTGTATGGGGAACGCTTTCTTCACTGTTGGTCGGATCGCTTGGCGTTTTTTAGCAGCTCCATTCTTATCCCTGCTCGGGCTTGATTTGGCGGACGGGTCCATAATAGCTCGAATCCTTGGCCTGGCCCACTTGGACATTATGTTCAGCAAGCTCTGAGTGGATGATCTTGAGAGAATCTTGATGCTGTGAGGCTGAATGTTGGCTAGAGAATGGAAAGTGAGGTCTGATCTAGCAGGTACATGTGCCCAGCTGGAATTTCCAAACGAGCATAGTTTGTAATCTCTTGCCCGGTTGGAATCTGCTCCGGGTCAAACGAGACTTGATGCCTCCAGGTAGGCCTTTCGCCCGGCGGTTCTACTTCTAGAACATTGAGAATAACCAAAACTTTCCAGCAGGTCATCCAGAAGCAGGAAGGAATTTTGAATTCATGTTGCCGGTTTGATTAAAAACTTGTTATTTCCAGAGAAGCACCGTTTTTGGGACCGGCATGGGTTGACGATGTGGAGAAACAAAGAGCAGGTCGTTATACCCCGGCACCTTTTTAGCTACAAAACGATAGACATCATGACGGACCATCATGCATCATAGTCAAAGAAGGAGATCAGAGCAATGTGGAGATACTGGCCGAAACTCCACGGAGAGGTACAAAGCAGGAAACACAGAACAAGCGCCAGATGTAACACCCAAGGACAAATAGCAAGTTTCCGCTTGCCATGCGCTGCTTGAAATCCGTGGGGAATGCTCTGTTCCAGTCTCTGGTGCTGCACTGTTTTACTGTAAGTGTATATGCATCAATTCAGAGGTAAGTGAGCTTTATGTTTTCTTCTTCTTAGCCTTTTTAAAATACTAATGCTTTGTTTCAAGGTCTTGACGCGAGCATGCATACCAGCAACCGCGCAGAACAGGATATCGATACGATCATTGCGTCAGCGCGACCATCAGTTCATTCTGCTTCTGCTCGCATTTAGTACATTACTGCTCTACGCTGCTCAGCTAAAGAGATTCAGCTTTATAAGAATGCTGTTTGTCAAAAGATATCGCCACAAGGCTTGACTTGAAGAGATACAACGGGACCAAAGAAACGATCCCAAGAATACACAAGCATCGATAAAGCAAACGTGATGGAGGATCCTGGTACTATTCCTTCGACGCCACGAAGAATACGGGTATGCAAAGACTGAGTTGATCTACGATTCAGCCAAGGCATCCTTACCACGAAGCAGAACACCGCTTATTGGCCCATACCATCTGAATCTCCGGCCTTGGCCTTCTAAGAGACATGCTGTGCCGAATGGTTGCCATTGTACTCGTCTATTGGCAGGATTCCTGATGCCAGCAGTTGATTTGATGACGGTCGAGAACAGGCAGGCTGACTACTTTCCAGCTTGAATAAGCGGCGAATAAGCAGCGCTGTTTATACCATCACTGCCCTATTTGCCCTCCTGGGCAACAGTGCAAGCAAACCGTTGGAACACTGGCTGCATCACCAGCGAGCGCCGCACGTGAGAGTCCAATAATGCATGTGCACCATTCTGTGTCACCATCCCTTTGTTAACGGGTTGATTAGATGCCTGGCCAGACATCGTTTCCTTTGGCTAAAAGCGAGTTGCATCTGCGCTTGGACCTGGAATTGTTACAAAGCTGATACACGACGTGAGCACACGGCATTAGCTGTCCAAGTTGTTTACGAATGCTGAGTAACTCGGCGTCGAAGCACCACCTCGGGCCAAAGACCTATTTCAGAACAACTAATTGTCAATAGCGCCCGTTGATGGAGGTCGCCGATCTCACGTCTTCAGCGGCACGACTGCCTACAGTGCAGTATTTTGTAGGAATGGTGTGTCGTGTAAATACACGGGCCAAACGTTCCTTTTGCAAGGATAAGTAAGCATTTATGCTTATGGCCACGGACTTGGAAAGCGCGAGTTTGCCGTCGATAGTGTGCCGATCTGAAATCGCGGGGGTGAAGCTCGTGGGACGGCGTTTCACAGATTTCCGTTGACCGTACTCGTACGTAAGAGGGCATCTGATAAGCTATCGCGGCCGGCAGTTGGCGACATGATCCCCGAACAGGTTCAATATCACAACAAGCATCTCTCCACGCAACGGGACATGCGGGAGTCGCCGCCTTCCATCTCGCAGGTTTCCGGGGAACTGGGCGACGGCGATCGTTTATGCTGCGGAGGATGATGCTAGCGAGATGTAAGTTGCGATAACGATGCAGGTACGACAAGCGTTATCACGACTGAGTTGCACAAGCTTGGGGGAAGAAGATACAAAGCAAGCTATCTGTATGTATGTATGGAGACTGATAAGAACCGAGCGTTACGACGGCGACCCCGGACAAGCTGGAGCGGAATCAAAGAAGCGCGGAATCGAAGCAAAGGGCTGCCCTGGGGCCTTGCTTATCTATGTGGAGCGATTGGTTGGACAGCTGCTGTCTGAAATTTTCCTTGGCTCGTGGCGGCGCCGTTTTTAGTTGATGGAATTGTTCGAGCAGCAGCATGGACCTTTCCTGATGGGGTAAATGAGACGGGTATTGTGCCTTTTTGAGGCTTGACTCGCGTGGGCTGATGGCAGAAAATTGGAAAATGTGTGTTCCCGCAGAACAAAGATAAGGAATGGAATTAAGGGTCTGGCATGCCGAGATATATTCTAGGGTCTTTTTTTTATGGACTCAGAGCTGAGTGACTTGTGGATTTTGAAGATGCTACTGATGGGAGTCATGCTTGCCTTGCCGTACAGCTTGTGTGCAACATCCATCGTCTCAGCCAGCCTTTGGGTAACCGTGATGAGTCGTGCAGAAACAACAACCAGGATCTGTAAAAATAGAAACACGAGCATTCCATCCAGAACAAAACAGCATTCCATTCCCGTCGACAACGTGGCGGTCAAGACAAACATCCATCTCAAGCTCGGGTCGCATAAAGTTCTACACATGCTTAGCTGCGACAAAAATCTGTGCGTTGCGCTAGCCGACGGTCCGAGGGAAATTGACGAACCTCCATCTTCAGCAAATTGATAGGCAGCCCGTCTTTTTTTGGGGGTCCAAGACCAAATGCTCCAGAGAAATGCCCGCTAATGTCTTGTAGCCCGCCAACCCGCATCCGCCGAGAGAAGCAGCTCCGGCGATGCGCTTCGTTGCATTGCGTTGCACTGCATTGGGTCTATGTTGGCAAAAGAACTTCAACTCCACAGATACCGATGTTAGCGGCAGCAGCTGGGAAGTGGGAGAGTGACGACAGTTGCAGAAACGAAGAATTGGACATGGTGAATGCAACGGAAGATGCTGCTCTGGTTGATTAAATATCTTGACATTTTCAGTGTAATACTTGGTCCAGCAACCTGCCTTTCCAACGAGCCGCTACACAAATAGGCCTTACCTGCATACAATTCCATCAAATGCACGCACGCGATGCTCCAGCCCAGGTCGCAACAAGAGCAAGGCACGCGAGATAAAGGATCAAAGCCGGCGCCTCTTCCGCCCACAAGCCACAAAATCAGCACCGTAATGGATCTCATCCAATGGCCTATAACGTGCCTAGGCCAAAATAGACATAATATAACTCTCTTTTTTTCTTTCAACCCTCTTCCCACCCCCGCGGCCCTCGCCCCTGGTTCCATTTCCAATCCTCTGGACCGCCACCGACCATCAATTAGCCCAGAGCCCCACCACATTAGGTACGCGAAAGAAAAAAAAAAAAATCAAGTCGTCGATGTAGAGGTGCTTTAAAAGCGCGAGCTCTCCCGCAGATCAGCCTCTCCCCTCTTTTCTCTTCCAGAGGACGTATTCGTTCCCTTCAGTTCGTTTGCGTGCCCTCTCGAAAACAAAAACTCCAAGATCCAAACAGCCGCAGCCATGGGTTGGATGGACACAATCAACGGCAAGGTCGCCCGCAGTCCTGTGGGTCGATGGTTCCGGCTGGAGGGCTCTGGTCATGTAAGTCGCCAAAAACCTGCTTGCGTTTGAGTCACATCACGAGAACCTCTTTTTGCTGTAGAGCGAGAGTCTCGAGCTGCACAGAAGAAGCAAAGCCCTCAAAGCTTCAACAAATGTCTTGTCCCAGTACTCATCATGTCGTGTCTTTAGCCCAAGGAACGAAAGGGATCGCTGTTCTTCACCGAGATCCGCGGCGGCATGGCCACCTTCTTCGCCATGGCCTACATCCTCGCCGTCAACGCCTCCATCGTCTCTGATACCGGCGGAACCTGCGTCTGCAACGGAGGCCCGTCCGATCCCACCTGCAACAACAACGACGAGTACGCCCTGTGTGTCCAGGCCATCAAGCGCGACGCCGTCACTGCCACCGCCGCCATCTCGGCCTTTGCCAGCTTCTTCATGGGCCTCTTGGCCAACCTGCCCGTCGGCCTCGCTCCTGGAATGGGTCTGAATGCCTACTTCACTTACACCGTTGTTGGCTTCCACGGCACCGGCCCCGTTCCGTACCAGGTTGCCCTGACTGCCATCTTCGTCGAGGGCTTCATCTTCCTGGGCCTCGCCCTGTTCGGTATGCGACAGTGGCTTGCGCGAGCGATCCCGCACTCCATCAAGCTGGCTACCGGTGTCGGCATCGGTCTCTTCTTGACTCTCATCGGCCTCACCTACAGCGAGGGTCTTGGAATCATCGTTGGCGCCACCGACACTCCCCTCGAGCTTGCCGGTTGCTCGCCCGCCAACCAGCTGGAAGACGGCACATGCCCCAGCTGGGATAAGATGCGTCACCCGGCCATGTGGATTGGCATCTTCTGCGGCGGCATCCTGACCGTCCTCCTCATGATGTACCGCGTCAAGGGCGCCGTCATTGCCGGCATCATCCTCGTCAGCATCATCTCCTGGCCCCGAACCACGCCCATCACCTACTTCCCCCACACTCCCGTGGGCGACGACAGCTTCAACTTCTTCAAAAAGGTCGTCGACTTCCACCGCATCGAGCACACCCTCAACGTGCAGCAGTGGGACGTTAGCGAGTACGGCGGCCAGTTTGGTCTTGCCCTCATCACCTTCCTCTATGTCGACATCCTGGACTGCACTGGTACCCTCTATGGTATGGCTCGCTTTGCCAATCTCATCGATCCCGTCACTCAGGATTTCGAGGGCTCTGCTGTAGCCTACATGGTCGACGCCATTAGCATTTCCATCGGTGCTCTCTTCGGCCTTCCGCCCGTCACAGCTTTCGTCGAGTCTGGTGCCGGTATTTCTGAAGGTGGCAAGACCGGTCTCACATCCGTCGTCACCGGAATCTGCTTCTTCATCAGCATCTTCTTCGCGCCCATCTTCGCCTCCATCCCTCCCTGGGCCACTGGCAGTGTCCTCATCATCGTCGGATCCATGATGGCCACCTCCGTCACCGAGATCAACTGGAGATACATGGGCGACGCCGTCCCCGCTTTCCTCGCTATTGCCATCATGCCCTTCACATACTCTATTGCCTACGGCCTGATTGCCGGTGTCATGTCATACATTATCATCAACTCCACCGTCGGCCTCCTGAGGTACGTCTCTGGTGGCCGCATCGTGCCCCCCAACCACGACGAAAAGGAGCCCTGGACTTGGCGCATTCCTGGCGGCTTCTTCCCGCCTTGGCTTGTTCGTTTGTTCCATGGCAAGAAGGACTTTTGGCGCGGCGAGGAGACGGTCGTTGTCGAGGAGCACGTCATGGAGAAGGAGCGAGATGCCAACTCTGAGGATCACGATGCCACCGATGTGAGCCGCACCACCGAGACCCCCGAGGTCAAGTTATAGAAGAAGAAAGGAATCTGCGTCCTGTAGAGAAGCAGATTTCTTTCTTTTTTTTTTCTTGTCCTTTGCTTTTTCCCAGCTTGCCCATGTGCATATAGAAAAGTCGTTCGGACGTTGTCGTGATGTGTCGATATTGGTGTTTTTTTTTTTCCAAGTTCTTGAGATTTCAAAGTTTCAACATGATAATGTCCCGGTATAATAAAGAGATGGATGGTATAGAGGTTTTTGGAAGGGATCAATCGAGTGGGTATAAACACCTAAACAGAGGGAAAAGAGGTTGGAGTTAGCATTTTTTGTTGTTGTACATTTGCCATGATACCTATATCCTGCATCATAGCAGGAGGAAAATAAAGTAAAAACCTTTTCTGAATATTTGATCGACTCAGCTGGAAAACGTGCTGTGTAACAATGAGTGTGACGCACATCACAAATGATAGAGATCAGACTGGCTTCTTCATCATTCATGTATATAGTCATATCTTCATAATCTTCTGGCGGGTATATATCGTAGATCCCAAACATGCCAATTCGCTTTTCAAGCGCTCAAGCCATCGTTTTATGCCATCAAAGCAATGTGTTTAAGCTCACTAGTAGCCGTGTCAGTATATCGGAAGTCAAAAACATCCAGGCAGCACTCACTCTTGAACCTGGTATCCAACCTTTGTAGGAGGATACCTTGCCGGCTCGCCCTCATCTCGTCCCAGCCTAGCCTGCTCCTCGCGCACCTTGTCCGCCCTCTCCGCCAACTTGGGCACAGGCACCAAGTCAAAGTCCGAGTTGAGATGCCAAAACAGCGTGCTCGAGATCCTCACCAGCGGCCTATCGGGGAACTCGACCTTGCGCCTCTCAATGGTCTCAATGGTGCGCTCGTTGACGACAACCTCGTGGTATCCGGCCTTGATGAGCCCGCCGGTGATGTACTCAATCTGCTTGCCGGCCTGGACGAGGAGGTAGTTGCCCTGGGGGATCTTGACGGGGATGCGGGATCCCGTGTTGCGGGCCCAGATGTTGAGGCCGGGATAGCGAGAACGGCCGTGGATGGTGAGGAAGTTGAGGTCGGTGTGGAAGCCGGCGAGGATAGTGTCGAGGGAGGAGTATTTGTTGAGGTCGGAGGCAGTCGGGGCGAGGAGATGGGGGCTGTTTTATAAATAGAATCAGTATTGAGAACAGAGTCAGGAAAAGAGGAGACGAGAGATTAACGAACCCGTAACGGCCGGCGTTGCTGAAGTAGTCGGCTTCGAGACCGAGGCCGAGTGCTGCCATTTCGGATAGTTTGGAGACACTGTGTTTTGTTATTTTGGTCAGATTATTGAGTCCAGCTGACTGGGACATGTACGCAACGTCCAAGACAGAGAGACTCACGCATTCTTCATGGAGCTTCCCCACTGATTCATTGTCGGCGCCCATCGCTCCTTGATATGCGCCGCATCAGGCGTGATGTTGTCCGCGTTCAAGCCGGGAAACTGCGTCTCATACGGCGGCAGCTCCACCATCCTCCAAAAGAAGCGAGCTTTGGGATCTGGCGAATGCGCAGAAATGTCCAGCGGCCGCTGGCTCGGGTCCAGTCGCTGGATGACGTCCAGGCACGGCTCGTCGACGGCACATTTCGGCTTCTCGGTGTTTTCAAGCGTGACGCCAATCTGGTAGCTCAGCTCCGGCCGTTCATCGCGCTTCAGGTCTTCTTCAGGCTGGGCAAAGTAGTCTTCGAGGAGGTCGAGGAAGGTGTCGTTGTCGGCCTCGGAGACGCGCGAGTCGTGGAGGAGGAGGGCGCCGTAGGTGATGAGGGCGGAGGCGGCGCGGGAGCATTCGGCTTGGACGAGGGGAGAGGTGGGAGGGTTGTTGAGGTAGACGTCGAGGTCGATGATGGGGAGATCCATCGAGGGCTGGGATTGTTGCGATTCGGATGTCATGATGGATGGTGATTGTGTTGTGGAGGATGATCTACAGCAGGTAGACAAAGGAGGAGGAGAAAAGACAAAAGACAAAGGACAAGGGTAAGACAGTATTGAACAAGGCAAGGAGAATTTTTTATTTATCTAAGCGAGGCTCGACTCAGTTCCTCGTCTAAAAAATCTAGAGATCCAAATCTGCAAGCTATTAGACAAAAAGATGAAAGATCCATGCTTCTTCACCAAAAATGGCATGAGGGGGAGGGGCTCCAACGGGCAGCCGTCGACGCCAAAACTTTTTCAGTGGACCTCAGGCTTCGGAGCCGGCCGAAGCTCGCACGGAGGACGCCTCGAGATCCACGTTGAAGCATCTGGGGAGGATTTCGAGACGTAAAAGAAATCCACTATTGGTAATTCTACGATTTCAGATGGTGGAGATTTTGGAAATTACCTGCTGAAGAACAAGAGAATGCTTGTGATTTCGAGCTGAAGAGGAAAAAAGCAACGAAAATTTAACAACAAGGGTCCTTTCAGCCTCGCTTGTGGTTTGTGTGTGCCGATCCTAGGCGAATGCCACCACTTACATGCATACAAGGGGTCTTTGCGTGCTTCGGTGCAGCAAGGAGATTTTCCGTACATCACATGCATATCCGACCAGCATCTTCATGCAAAGGCCAGGGAACATCACTGCCAACCCTTGCTGAATACTGCTTTTTCATCCGGAATCGCGGGCCGACATTCCGGAGAGCTCTCTCCAACCGGATGTCGTTCCTGTGCATTGCATGAAGATGAATTCTTTGTGTAACGCGAAAGAGGAGGTTCTATTCAGGGTTTTGCGTCTTTGGATTGGCAGAAGCCCTGCAGATTCTATCGAGGGTGGCGACGGGGAAGAGAGGTGATGCATCCGGTGGCGGTGAGCGACACAGAAAATCCAGGTTTGGTGAAACTGAGTGTGGAAGAAGTACATGTACCTACGAGTGAAGTACTGGGGATTTGAGTGAAACAAATGCGTTGTGCGTTGGAGCTGTTGGAGATGCAGCGCTTTCTGTCGTGCGACCATACATGACGATGAGCATCAAGGCCAGCTGCGAATATATGCACATCACCTTGGGTAAGGTAACAAATAGAAAAACAAATCATCATAGGATTAAAAATTCAGCATCTATAGGAAGCAGGCAGCGTGTCAATGGAACGATACAGCGGATGTGAAGGGTGCATGCGATGAGTGAGATCAAGTTCATCTACAGCTGACTGGATGCATCGCCAATTCACCACAGCTGAGACATGCCACTCCATTGTGTTTGCCACAATAATAAAAGACAATAGCTTCATTCATCTCCATTATATCATCAATAGAGCTTCTCTTGTATTACTTGCTATAAATATCCCTTACTTTCCCTGCTATAGATGGCCGTAACCGTGTTTTCTTCTTTTACAACCACCCAGCTTCGAGTCCAAAATCGCAAATCCAGATTCTTCAAGCGAGGCTCGCAATTTTTATACCGGGATTTTCATGCAGTTATGCACTATAAGACTTCCTAATATCGGGGACCCAGCTTCTTATATCGGGGAATCAGCTTCTTATATCGGAGCTCTGGACGCTTTCACTGGGCTGCAACGCTCAAATTCGAGCGATGTCGGGGCAAAACCTTGAGAAATTGCAGTCTCGTCAGGGTCAAATCGGAGCATCTTGCTCTCAATTCAGGATTATTCGGCGCCAAATCATCACAACCCCAGGGTTACGCAGAGGTTTTGTCAAGATTTTGTTGTTGTAACCCTGAGGCGCCGTCAGATTTGACATCAGAAATGCCATAAACGGCCGCCGTAACCCTGGCGGCGGTCCAAATTGGCGTCCTCTTCAGGGTTAAATCGGAGCATCTTGGTCTCGATTCAGGGTTATTTGACGCTGAATTATCGCCATCTTCAGGGTTACGCAGAGATTTTGTCAAGATTTTGGCGTTGTAACCCTGAATCTTGATGTTGTAACCCTGAATCTCGGTGTTGTAACCCTGGGGCGCCCTCGGATTTGAGATTAGAAATGCCATAAATAGGCGCCGTAACCCTGGTGGCACTTTCAATTTGGCATCCTCTTCAGGGTTATTTTGCTTGATCATGACCTTTTAGATCTCAAATCTGGATGATTTCTGGGTTGTAACCCTGGGGAAGACGTCTTGACCATGGGATTTTGGTGTTTTCATCCAGCGATTTGCATCTTTTCAGAAGATGTTCCTTCCAAATCATCACCAACTTGAGCCGTGATGATGCGATATCGGCCACCTCATCCAGCATGTTTGCCTTTATATCGTTTCTTTTTGACTCCTAATTATCATGCATGGTGATACCAATCCATATCTTCTTGGTGTTTTCATCTGGCAAGTCTCGTCTTCTTAGAGACGATTTCGTCCATATCATCACCAACTTGACTTGGTAATGCGATCGTGACTTTCTCGTCAGGTAGTTTTGTCTTCATCTTGATCCTTTGTGGCTCTTCATTATCGCCAATTGTCACCAATGGTGAGACCAATCTTTTCATTCTTGGTGTTTTCCGTCATGTTTTCCGTGATGCATCTAATCACTTCATCCAGCGTTCAGATCTCCATCATCATCAACTCGGATCTCATCAGCTCAACTTTGGTGGTTTCGTCAGACGCTTTTCACATCATGTTGAACTTGATTTGACTCTTACATCACCAATGGCGATACCAATCGCTCTCTTCTTGGTGTTTTCTGCGATCGATTCCATCATGTCACCCAGCGTTCAGATCCTCATCATCGTGAATCTGTATCTCGTCAGCTCAAACTTGGTGGTTTCATCCAGCGCCTTTCGCATAATCATTAATACAATAATCCTCGTCATTATCGCCAAATCAATCTTGACATCCCATTATTTGGTGTTTTCCTCTTTTCTTCTGGCGGTTGCGGCCGGTTCCTAATCCCAGCCGCCACCGCGTTTTGGCCTGCCAGCTGGATTTTTGGTGTTTACCACCACCCGATTGCTGCCACTCCATCCAGCTGCAACAGCCTGATGAGGCCCAAACTCGACCGTTTGATCCCATTTCTTGGTGCTTCTTTTAATTTTTTCCATTGCAGCTGTCGGTTGCATCGTCGCGCGCGCCCCCCAAGTTTTTGGTGTTTTCATTCGCACTCTGCGCACACCACCAGAGCGCCACCCCAGCTGACAATCCAACAACTCCAGGAGCTCTTCAATGCCGATGCACAAAAGAAAGCTTTTATTCTGCTGTTTTTCTTTTTTCTTGTTTTCTATTTTCTCTTCATTTTTTTCGTTTCAAATCTGCCCAAAAAGCTAGATTTCGCGATTGACTGAAATCATTCGGAACGATGCATTGTTGATACGAGCGACTGGGAAAATCAATTGCGCATGGCATTACGAAGCATGAGGATGTACAGTTAGATATACTGTATTATATGTTATATTCTATGCACGCTATAGATTCTAAAAAACAGGCCGTTACGAACATGGCTTCTCTACCTGATGCGCCATTGGGGTCCAAGTGATATGCAGGCAGACATTAATGGCCCAAATGCATCGCGCATTCTTAAGCATACTCTCAATATCAAAAATAAGAAGCGTGTCTGAAATATCTACTGAAGATAGCATAAGTTTATACCAATATTCATGGACAGACGCTCGTCACCGACTAGAAGAGGGCGTGAAACGTTGCACCGGCAGAGAGCCTGTTTACGCCTCTGTTCCAAGAATGTAAGAATGACTGACGGAGACAGCCAATGCGCTGTTCATCGCTTCAAAGAACATCAGAAATGGTCCATGTTGAATCTGATCCGTATTCGCAGCACTGCTGTGATATAGTACCTAGTCCTGCGCCAAGGCATAGAGACATTCGCTTCTGAATCGCGCCGTCATATGGCTGAAGCACGACCAAATTGTCTGCCGGGGAAGAGCCTAGACTCATCTTCAGTTGAGCAGCAGTGGCAATCAACTTCCACCTGCTGGCCGTAAGGGCATGACGCTGCTTGAGGGCTGGCGAGCTATCCCAATGTCGCATGTATGCTTCAGAGCGTTGTGTGTTGCATATTCGTGGCGGTAAACAGTGTTCTTCAATATATAGTCCATCGTGTAATTGGCTCAAGTTTGTATCGCAGTCCAATGAATCTAATCCTCCAAGCATATCGTGGGTATCATGTGTATCTCTAGAGCGCAGCTTCAATTAGCTTCTCCGCGAACTGGAGACTCTGTACAATGCCAATCTCACATTTACCAGCAAGATCCTCCAACTCAGATTTATCCCATCATCTTGTCCCTTGATTCCTCCAACCAAATTGCTTTATAGCCGTGACTGCAACCCACGCAACGGCAACAATGGCTACCGTGATGCGAACCTCTCGTGCCAGCTCTGCGGCCGACTGCGGAAGCTGAAAGATGTGGGCGTGGCTAATGGACCCGGAGTGCTGGGCCGAAAGGAGAAATTGCTCCATTGCGCCGAGATTGACTGAGATGGCAGTGGATGGAAGATTTCAACAGGCTTGAAGATGGGAGCTCAGGTTCGAGAATGGAAGTTGGAGCACATGCATTTTTGGGAGCAGCTTTTTAGGGATCGGCGCCGGTAGGAAGAATTGGATTGAGGATAAGCACGGAGCTAAGCCTATCGTGGGAGTTTAGCTTGGGATGGCGTCTGTCACTTTGAAATCCATCGCTTCTAGAAAATAGTTCATTCGGGGTTCAATTCGGCTGTGGGTGTCTGAATGCTGTCAGATTCTGATAAGCAAGATGCGATACAAAAGACATGCAGTGATTCAGAGGCGAAATCTGGCTGAGAGATGAACTTCAATGGCTGCTTATTCCAACCAACTGCTCGTCGTACCTGGATTCTACAAGTACGGCTACCGTTGTTCGAGACAGGCGCACAGCCCGAGCTGCGGCATCTGGCAGCAAAAAGGTGCTTTGGCTTCGGCCTCTAATACAAGTGCGGAAGTTTGATACGCCACTGTCATTTCTACGACGAGGGTAGCCGCGTGTGGATCTCATCCCCTGAAAATCAGAGAGCTAGGCGCACAAAATATGCGCACACTCTACCCGATTATAGTAAGCTAGGTCGATGAAGCAATTGCTCGTCCTATTTCCTGAATCAGGAAATGATGGCAAGAGCTAACAGCTTAGAGTAGCGGTAAAGTAGATCGAAATAGTAGCACTATGATGGGGGCTGAGCACACGAGCAGTCATCACAATTAGCAAAGAGAACAATAGCGAAAGGACGTTTGACCACTCCAAGGTATTTGTCCGGGTCCTTGTATACAATCATCGTTTGCGACCGCAACCATCGCTAAGCTCGCCTATCAGTGCCACCAAAGAGACGTTCCATCGTCATTGTAAGACCACTGGCGGCTAATTTATGCCAGATATAACACATTAGTTCGAGCCACTCTGTCGGACCCGACAGCCTGCTAACGGAATCCGGGCATAGGTCATCCCAGTAACACTCCGCATTTCTGATATGTGGACTTGTTTTTACGCCTATGACCGGTTACAAATGTTTGAGTAAGGCAACATAGTCGGCGCGAAGGATAAGCACTTGTCCTAGCGAGGTGCCACATAGTCAGGGCCCTCCTTTTGACAGCAAGGCGTCAACTATCGATCAGTCATGGCTAATAGAGACATGTCTATCAGGCATTCTGCTGGCTCAAGTTATATTGATTATTCCGCAATGACATCTATCACAGGTTCCCCTGGCACGTTGATAAGTCGTCAGTAACAGTAATAGGCTTGCCCCCATCGCTATTTACCATTTCAACTCTGGCGTTGTGCTGTATGCAAGTCAAAGTTCAATTCCAATCTCTGTAAGAGTGAAACTTGAGAATGGTCGTAGAGGTAAGAATGTCACGTTTCTGTGGAAAGGATTTTGTATGTCAAGGACGCAATTGCAATACAGTAACACAAATCGTATCCAGCTCTGTGAAGAGTTGTAGCTTGTAAATGCTCTTCTTCGTATACTTCATGTATCATCTTCGGCGCATCCACAATTGTGTTGCAAACCTGGACGCAGCCCTACCCGTTATGCAGTGAGCGAGACTAGTTCATTCAAGGAGTTTTGACATCAATAAAAAGGAGAATTCAAAAGGAAAAAGTCATGTCCGAACACGGTGCAAGGGTAAAATATTCCAAAGCAAATTGGCATAATAAATGGCAGAACAAAAGTACATATAAGAGGGTTTCGTCTCTTTGTGGTATCTCAGCTACATAACATGAAACTTGTCTTCCAACTCCTTCTCCCCATCATCATAACATCATCATATCTGTTGCATCTGCATATTTCAATTTAAACCTTGGCCGCCGCAATAATCGGTCCTCCAAGGCCTCCCTCCGTGAGGATAACCGCCGCGCCCTGGTCCGGACCCAGCGCACTTCTCGGCGCAGGCAGAGACCAAGTTGCGTTCCCGCCGATCCAGTCGCCAATCTTGGTGACCGATTCCACCACGTTGCGGTGGGGGATCTTCTTGCCCTTGTTGATACCCTTGGTAGGCTTGACGACCTGCTCCTTTTGCGTGTAGACAATGTACGACACTTCGTGCGGGGGAGCTTCTTGCTTGTCCGTGTCGATACGGACTTCGGTATCGTTTGCGTCCAGGTAGACGTGGAAGTCGCGAGCCTTGGAGGCTTCTCGGGCCTGTTGAATAAGGGCCTGAATCTCTTCCTTCTGTCGGCCACTGCCATCGACGATGCCGTTGACGACGACCTGAGGAGTGAAGAGATTGTTTCGAGCCCACCTCTTGGCATAGGCTCGCTGGCGGGAATCGTTGGAGAGGCTGGAGAAGGTATCCTTCCAGCCCGTGTGGTCAAAGATGGTGACGGGATAGGTCAAGAGCAGCACGTTGGGGTCTGCGGTACCGGCATGGATGCCGGGCAGGGCTGGAGGGCACGACTGGCACGATTGCGACTGGAACAGCTCCGCAATTGCAAGAGGCTCAAAGTTGACGAAGCAGGCATCCGTGTGAACATGGTCGGCATGGTCACCAACAGGGTTTCCTTCGTCATCTAGAGCCACAGAGCAGACCAGCGGGGCCGGCTCCTTGCGGCGGAAGAGCTTGCGGATAAGAGAAGCCATTGTGCGGTATTGAAAGATGATTATTGGTTCTTGGATATAGAGACTGAGAACCAGCTTTGAGTGTAAAAGCACTTGAGATTTGCGAATAGGCTTGCGACGCCAGATTAATGAGAAGCACAATGAGACTGAGTCTTCTCCTTCCGAAGAGGGGATGGGCATCCCTTATTTATGCATGCCCTCCTGTCATAGCCGGCCAGTCTTCCCTTGGCATATTTCGTAGGGATTCCCAATATCCAAAACAAATCATGCCAAATATCCCAACTCCTGATTCCAGGCTATCTGGTTCGCGCGCCGTACTATGCGCTGCAGCCCCCCATGACAGGTCTATTAGCCCCCAATCATTAGCCCGCTGCGAGGCGCCAAAATAAGCACACAAAATAGACGGACCAGGGGGGAAGAAGCAAGCATGGAATCGCACGCGATAGGGCGTAGAGCTGGCTTCGGATGATCGCGGGTAAGATGTGCAGGCCCGTGGGGCGTGGTTCAGCTGTAAGCGCTTGCAGTTCATGGGGTTTGGAATCATGCACACATTCTTGTTGGGTGGGGACGGCGATGCTAAAACGAAGCAAGTTCTCACTTTGCGCTGCTGGCAGAGGAACTCCTGTAATGCTTTATGATGCTTGTATACTTTAGCATGTGTCTCCGTCAAGACTATTTGACCATGTGCCTTGGTTGCTCACGCCTCCACAAGGCTGAACCAGCGTCATTGAAGAAATATGAAGCCTACACAACTCGACGTGTGTAATCAGCACGTCTCGTGCGAACACGATGGCCCAAATGACCTATAGATGAGGTCCCCAAACGCCTTCGTCCTGGAGCCAATCAAGCACTTCTCCATCGCCAAATTCATTGTTGCTGGTAATCAGCCCCTTTCTGGGATCTCGGTCTGGGCCTGGGTCGTTGAATGCATCGACTTTTCTAGTGTTGCCAGCGCCAACCTCCAAAACTGTTCCTCCGACATTCTCATTGTCCTCGATGCATCTGAGCATTGCCTGCGCCACTTCCTGCGGAGTCACCCATGCGTCTTGGGACAGATTAATGTTGATCAGCTTTTCTGGATGCTCCGTCCAGAGAGGAGTCTGAACGATTCCAGGCGCGACGGCGTTGACTCGCACGCCAAACAGAGGCTCTAGCCGCGCGACGCTGCGAACAAAGCCCGAAAGACCAAACTTGGATGCGGCGTACAGCGGAGCTCTCCAGACGGGTATCTGGGCGGCAACTGACGAAATGTGGATGACCCTCTTGGGGTTGCTGGGAGACGCCTTGGGCGGCGCTGTGGTGAACTTGGAGCCTTCAGTTGGCGGTCGAGGATACAGCCAGTGCGATATCGCCATTTGCGTTACGCGAATAGGATGCGTCAGGTTGATGTCCAGCAGCCCATAGTGACCTTTGTCGACCGCATCTCGACTTTCGCTAGAGCCAGGCGGATGCCAGAAATTCGACCAGTGAGGCTCGTACACACCTGCGCCCGGGCAAACAATGTCGATGTCTCCATGCTTCTCAAGCGCAAAACTAAACATGTTGGAAAGATCAGTCCACGAGGTTACGTCCGTTTTGATAAACGAGGCTTGAGCTTTGTCCTCGCTCTGGTGTTTCGAGACGACATCTTTTGCTTCTGGCCGCAGCTCCAAATCTGCAAATACGACATTGCATTTGTGGGAGAGAAGAAGTTGGGCAAATGCGAGGTTTATGCCTGATAAAAATCATCTTAGATTGAAGCTCAACTTTGACACCCTAGGCCCATGTCCAGAAATACAGACCTGAGCCGGCGCCAGTTACGATGGCAGTTTTTCCAGAGACCGAAAACGACTTGGTCAATGTCATGATGTCGAACAGCCGCAAGCTATGAATCCGCTAATAAGGAGAGCGTATCGATCCTGTCAAGCCGTGAGCGAGCCGATAGAGAAGCGAAAGCGAGCCGATAGAGAAGCGAAAGCGAGCGTCTCAAGGATTGGAGTCCATACATGCATGGTCAAGTGCGGGGATGGAATCGGCGCGAATGATGTGGTTGTGCATAATCACAGAGACCATCCCCGCATGCACGCCATTAACGATGCTGTACGAGTGGATAACTGAGTAATCGCGACATGGGGCCTCACATCTTGGGTAGGGAAGCGTCTCGTTTGAAGATGTCAAGAGGACATTATCGATTAGTCTTTTGTTGGTGCACAGTTGTGTCTTGTCAAGTTTGCGATTGTCCAATATACAGGTGCAAGCACAGCGATAAGATAAGCAGTTGATCCCTGCGGCGCAATAGAGCTCAAGCTGGCAATGGACGCCATGCTACGTATGCCATACGTTTGAGACAAATTCTGAATATTGTAAAGAAGAAACATGTACTGCCAAATAGTACGAGATATTACGGATTTTTGAGAGTATCAACGAGTGGCTTACTTTGATATTAGACACTCTATTCTAGCTCTAAGGCCTGCAAGATATGTGTCCAATATTCAACATATTTCACTCTATTTTGTGACCAGACAAACTTCCAAAAGCGATTGAAATCAAGAAACGGGACAATGTTTCTTCACACAATATGCCAATTCTCACTAATTCGCTGCTGCGCACAAACCCAACCGCGGCCATAAACGCGCTTCATCCGGAGCTCCAGCTTCGCCGCCCTCCGAAAAATTCTGCCAGGCCCCACCACACACCGCTCTCGCCTGCCTATATATTCCTCGCCCGCCCGCCGAAGCGAAGCTTTCCTTTTCTTTTCTTCTTTAGCTCTCTTTGCCTTTTGGCTTAGATCAAGTGTAGTATCTGTTCTTTTCAGTTTAATCTCTGAAAGGTCTCTAAGGAGACCAATCGTGATTATTCTTATTTTTGTCTTCAGGGTGGTTTCCTCTGTGCTTGCACACGATTCTGCCCACAGTGTCCCTGGTATTACACTGCCTCCAGGCGACGCGAACATTCTTTTCATTGCTTTGCTGGGGCTTGCCCTGGCAGCGAAGAAGAGGTTTTCTTTCAGTAGTTCTGTAGTCGTAGCAACTAGTTGGACTCGTACGCGTACGTGCTCATGGAAATTGAAATCTTGTGATGAAGCTGGAAATCAACATGTTTGTCGAAATGCTTGCTAACGTCTTGGATACAATACACAATCTATTTACCGCGACAAAGACATTCGATATCAATACGTAGATGTCGTGATGCTCAACCGTCCTCCGTCTGTCAACAGCACGCTCCCATCCACGTATCCTCCCGCCTTGCTCGTCAGAAACAGCATCGCGCCCGCAAACTCTTCCTCCCTGCCAAACCGCTCCAGCGGCACAAAAGACGCAGGAAAGCTCCCCTCTCGCCGAACATCCGCGGACGAAGCTTTGATATCGCGCTCAGTCATCTCGCTGGGGTATATTCCTGGCACGATGGAGTTGACTCTGATCTTGTGCGGCGCCAGCAGCGTCGCGAGCTGCTTGGCCACCTGCACCGCCGCTGCCTTGCTGCCGCCGTAGGCAAATCCCGCCTTGGGTAGGCGTGAATAGGATGCTACAGAGCCCGTGATGATGGCCTGGGACTTTTGCGGCACGACGGCCCTCTTGTTTCCCTCGTCGAGGAGATCCAGGAATGCAAGGACAGTGTAGAAGGCCGCGGTGACGTTGACGTGAAAAGACTGCGTGAAATCCTCCATGTCGTACGCCCAGAGTCCCTCTTGGATGGACTTGAGATCGAGGTTGTTGAGATTGCTCATGATGCTCGAGTTGTCCGCCGTGATCGCTCCGCTATTTGCAAAGACGACATCGCAGTAGCCCAGCTCTTCACGGACTCGATCCGCGGCCGCTTTCAGAGAGTCTTTGGAAGTGACGTCGCAAACAAGAGGTCTGATAACCTCTGGACTGGGACTCGTGTCTTTTGTTGCCGCCAGGGCATCTTCTCGCCGTCCAAGAACGTAGACCGCTTTCGCTCCGTTGGCAGCGAGGGCATGGGCCGTGATTCTGCCCAGACCAGAGCCTCCGCCAGTGATGACGGCAACGAGGCCATCGACCCGGAAGAGGGACTCGGCGCTGTATGAATTCGAAGCCATGGTTTCAAGATTCAATTGGAGGAAGTTACATGTGCTACGTTGAGGCCATCAGCCTCTGTGACAACGCTTATATCTACGCAGCGGACGCGATTACTCATAAAAGACGGCAGAAGCAGCAGAAGACGAGCTATTTCAAAGTAGTATTACACTCAAGATGACAACATTTCAGACTAAACAAGCGTTGTAGCATCATTTTATGGGCAGTCTTTTTCTCTAGATGCCGCTGGCAGTTCGTCCAGAGACGGCTAAATTCAACAAAGGGCGCTGAAATGAAACTTGGGGACAACTTTCAGAGGCGATGAGGTACCGTAGTGGGCATCTGTAGCGGGCACAGGCGCTGGGGCAGTTCGCTATTGCCTCCAAGGTGCAGTATCGGCATAAGCTGAGTCACCATTCAAGCACCGATAACGGTGACAACACAGCAACATGGCTGTTGTCCTCGGCTCTTGGATACGACCTGGAATTCAAAATCTTGTTGATGTCTTACTCTCTATCTTTGCATTTCAGCCGTATCTGGGCCACATCTTCATCACCTCATGTTGCCCCATTCCACTACATTCCAATCGTGCCTCGGCCAGCCTGTCTTGCATGAACAGCTTTGCCAAAAACTCGCCACAAATCGATGGCGTGTCGACACAACAGACCCCTGTCGAATGTGATGGCCTGCATCAATTCAATCTAAATTTGCTACGGGGCGTCGAATTGGACGTGGGATCCTCTCATTGGTGGCTGATATCGCCGTCCCAGGGGCCCAAGTGGCTGGAATCACATGTGAAACTCGATGGGCACCAAGTTGCAATCAATATTGACTTTTGGTAAGGATGCCCGCCTGCATTGCTTATGTTTACATGAACTCTAATAATCGGCTCGAGTCTCCCAAGCATTCGAACCGATGATTGATTCCTGTCGAGGCGGCACTTAAACATGCCGATATTCAGCAATTTGCATTATCCAATCTAGTTGAATCAGCATAACGAATCGCTTCGCAAACATACAATGACGACAAATGCCGTCACTGCCTCCAAGCAGGGGCCTCAGCATATGCAAGGCCCAACGCTTCTTCCGTCGCCTGTTGCTCAGGCCGTCAGCCTTGCCACTCGATCGACGTCGCTCGCCATTCGCATTGGATCCGTGGTGAGCAATGCTGGCCTCGATGCCGCAAGATTCACCACCCTCGGTGGCCTGGGGCTGGCCCGGGGCATGATTGAAGGCGTCATGAGCCGAGCCGCCAAAGATACCCTTGAGCAATCGCAAACCGAGCTGGCCGTCCAAGAAGCAGAGACGGTGCTAGAGCGCAGCCTCGAAAACTTGCATTATGCCGTCACTCAGGCGGTCTTTTGGACTTCCGTCAGCTTCCGGCTTACGGGCACAACCATCTCTACTGCTTCCGCAGGCTCACAACTACTTTTGACGTCTCTCGACCAGCTCCTCGGCTCAACAGATTCCTCTCGCGCAGTTGCCAGCATCGTCACTCTTATTCGCCGTGAATTCGAGAATCCCACAACAGGCCTTCAAGGAGAAAGGGTTGGTGTCATTGACCTGACTCTTGCTCTGAGCACGCTGGCCTATCTACAGCGGGCATGCCGAAAAACGACTGAAGAAGAGCGCCGAAGGCAGTCCTATGAAGAGATTATATGGGATGTGGTTGTCCTGGAGAACGGAGATCGGGTTGATATTGATGAAAAGGTGTATAGTGAGATCCGTGGGGGCTACAGCAGCCAAGAAAAAGACATCGTTTCATCGCCTCCCTCCAACGGTTCTTCCATGAACAACACTGAAGACGACGAAGCTGTCATATCCCGCCTCAAGAGCCAGATTATGGCCACTGTGGCTCCGGGCACCGCGGTATCAATCTCCAACTCTGTATCTTCAGTGCAAACAATCACTGTCGATGTTCAAGGATCAAGGCTTCTTTCTCTGCCAACTCCTCCAGGCGCCGAAATTGTTGAGGCACAGCCCCTCCTCACCTCTGGAAGCGCTCTTTCATACAAGCCATCAGATCAACAAGATCAATCTACATCATCCTATCGAGTGGTATACAAGATAAATCGAAATAAGAAGGAAACCACGTCTTTTCAAGGCGGAGAAGAGCCGAAAGAAGAAGTCGTCGAAGCCATTACCGATTATCAGAGTTCTGGGAGCGAAGAAACTCTGACAGAGATGCCTACAATCACCCTCCCCGAAGACGAATCACCTCCCGCATCTCCTATCACATCGCCGTCTGCCACTTTTGCTTTCCCACCGCCAGTTCCGGCAAAGGATAAGAGAAAAAGCCACAAATCACAGCCTCATGACTTCTCGAAACCAACTAAATCGAGTTCCCGCAAAAACAACATTGACTCCGCCAAAGTTGCTTCTCGAACATCTACACCTTCGAAAGAGCCAATGTATCTGGAAGATTTGCCTGCCCAAAACCAAAAGAAACAACGCACCCACAAGTCTCAAGATACCAGTAGAAGGAGCCATGGTGGGAAGAGGACCGAAGGGGCTTCTTCCAGGACACCCGACAAAAAGGCTGGATTAAAACATATCCTTAGAGGAAACGGCCCGTCCGTTTCCCATATCTGGACAAAGGAATCAGTCCCATTGGACTATACCGGTGGCAGAGACCTATACGCAAAACCTTCCCTAAGAGACGTAGCGAGGGAATTACGATCCGCGTCCCCTCCAGGCGATTTAGTGCCAAGGTCACCCACCGAACACTACAGCGTCTATCTTAAACCACCCGGTGGCCATCGTCGAAACCGGTCGTATGCTACTAGCATATATAGCGCGGGCACAAACGATTCAGTGTCATCGTTGGTATTGTCTTCATACTTTCAAAAGAGCGCCTACAACACCTCCGACGCGCTGCATTCTCTCCAAACGCAAGGCTTTGTCGATGGAACTTTCCCTGAAGGCCATCTGCTTCCCAATATTACTCGATACATGCGGTTTTCATCAGCGAGCTATGGCTCGCACTTCCTTAAGCTTACTGGCATCTCCAGTGACACACCGAGTCCCGGCGCTTGGGATGGAATCCATCACGACGTACGGCACTTTGCCCATCACACCGAGTCGCAGACTGACAATATTCTTCTCGCCTCCTTCGTTGACCCGCAAGGTGGCAGCGACGCCACTGGTTCTACCAGATCTGGCGTTCCTCTTGTCCATTACATCTCACTCGACCACGCAGCCAAGGCCGTTGTGCTTGCCTGCAGGGGTACGTTGGGATTTGAAGACGTGCTGGCGGATCTGACCTGCGAGTACGATAGACTGGTCTGGAGAGGCAAGGGGTATCGCGTTCACAAGGGCATTCATGCCTCTGCTAGGAGGCTACTATATGGCGATGACGGCCGTGTTTTGGTCACACTCCAAGAAGCTCTCCGCGAGTTCCCCGATTATGGGCTCGTGTTGTGCGGACACTCATTGGGAGCTGGCGTTACCTCGCTGCTGGGAATCATGTTGTCTGAGCCTAACCCCTGTGGCCCTGGTTTCGTCACATCCGCTGAGCCATACACAGTTAGGCCTCCACCGCATGAGGCTCTCATCAATGTGAGGCTCAGCAAGATTCGCCCTCCGTCCGGTCGCCGCATACACGTATATGCATATGGCCCTCCAGGTGTCATGTCATCGTCTCTGCGTCAAATCACCCGCGGCCTCATTACCACTGTCGTACACGGCAACGATTTGGTGCCTCATCTATCCTTGGGCCTGCTCCATGACTTTCAAGGCGTTGCCCTAGCGTTCAAAAACGACGAAAACAACACAAAGTCTGAAATCCGCCAGCGTATCTGGAATGCCCTCCAAGACAATGTCTCAGAGAGGTGGTACTTTAATCGCAGCGCCAGCAAAGTCGCCAGCAGCGGAGGCGTGAGCGATGAAGAGAGGTGGATGCTTCCTGCGCTGGAGAATATGAGGGCGAGCATGAAGGGCAAGAAACTCCTCCCGCCGGGCGAGGTGTTTACCCTTGAGACGCAGCGTGTGCTGAGGAGAGATGCTTTTCTACTCTTGGACGAGGAGCATATTGGACGGCCAGCGCAGCGGATTGTGCTCAAGTATGTGAAGGATGTGGAGGGTCGCTTTGGAGAGGTGCGGTTCGGGACGAGCATGTTGACGGATCATAGTCCGGCAAAATATGAGGATGCTCTGAATAAGCTGAGGGTTGGAGTTTCAACATGATACACCTAAATTGTAAAATGAGCTTTGAGAGGCCTTGAAACTTCTTTTTCCAGCTGCAGGGATACGCAAGATGTTATAGAGACTGCAAATTTCATGAAATAGTGTCGTTTCTACTTAAATATTACTTCCCACGCTGATACTTCACATTCGTTGTCCTATTCCACAGCGAATCTCACACTCACAGCGAATTAGACGTATTCACTGTGCTTCTAGCATCATAGCTCGCTGAACGAGTCCGTAGAGCCTATCTCGGACATCTTTATAATAACTGTCGCCTGGACCGAACTTGACGATATCAGAGTGCGATCGTGCGATAGGGCGTATGTGAATGTTATCATTTTCCCATGAGCGACAATGAACCGCTGAAGATTCGGTAACAAGGATGGTTGGAGGGCCGCTCATGCTCCATCTGCCCTTTTCATCCTATTTGACTCGGGTATCAGTGTTTGTACCCTATATCAATTCTCATCAACAAACTTACCTGCCGCGCGGTCGGCGATTGCTCTGTCTCGTAGAAGCAAGTGACTTCTTTCTCTCCCTGACCACCCAAAGACGGGTGGAAATTCACTTCCAAATCATCTAGAATAGAAGACGACGCTCCAATCGACTCGACAAGGGGACGGTTAGGCCCATCACCGACCATGGGTATAAGAGACGCAATGTCCATACCGCCATGTGGAACACCGAAAAAGACGATCCCATAAATCGCTCGGAAAAGGGTTTGGTCGCCCTGGCTGGGAGACTTGGACAGATTGATCAATGCCTGCTGAAATGTTAGATCGGGAAGAATAAGCTTGACTCAAGTAAAATAGACTTACCTTCTTGATGATCAAGCCGCCCAAGCTATGACCCATAAGAATAATAGGCTTTGGCTGTGGAGCCTGAACAAGAGATAAGAGGCTTGAGTGTAATGCGGAGGACAAGTCGTCAATATCTTGCACACTGTTACTTCTTGGAACAGCCGAATTATGGCCGTATATCATGATACGGGCCATTGGATGATGGTTATCATCATCAGTGATATCAAATGGAAGGGCATCTTGCAACCACATGTAGTTCCCATTCTTGTCTTTGAAGGACCCGTAAGCATGTCCACCAAGGCCAGAGACAGCGACGATACTGATAACCAAGTCAATATGATGGGGTCTCTTAGAAATTTTGCACTTACTCAACACCATGATCTTCTACAGGAGGCGCAAACAGAGTAGTAATGCCGAGAAAGGCCCCATCTACTCTCAAAGGTAGGGCTGAGACAGATAAGTCGTCATCATGGTTGTCTGATTCCGGCAGTGAGATATTCCAAGGCCTGCTGGTTTTCTCCGCAGGCAATGGGCTCTGGAAAATTACGGTAGCGGTTTTAGAGTAGCCATCCACTTCAGACGCAAGAGATTTGACAAGTGGCTGCGAATCGGGCTCTTGGTGCTCTAGATAGACTTGCAATTGTTTTTTATCCCAGCTTAGAGGTACACCTCGTATCCGGAAAGTTAACCCGCCTTTCGGGCTCCTCCTGCTTTGCGAAGCGGAGGTTGATTCATATTGAAGGCTGGAAACAGAAGGTGCCATTGTAAGAATTAGATGAACAAATGCAGTAGTAGAGCCGTATTGAGAGGGCGTCCATAGTTTCTATAGAGAAACCAGCAGATGTGCCATCATCGACAGCGGACAATTCCACAAATAGACATTCATTAAGCGCGATGGGCTTAATCTATCTTGTTTCAGGCTATTATGATCGCGGCTTGATTTGGCGATACTGATGGTCGAATATCCGCCACCCCGCTCCCGATGGAACCATCGCGATGGAGCGAAATTAGGGTGGGCGGCTATTCGGACGCTGCCGCGAAGCTCATCTGTGAAGGCACTACGCGATTCATGTAAGACGCTGAGCAAGAAGACCGTGAATTTGAAGACTGATTGGGAAATGTCAGGACATATTTGCGGTGGGTCCATTCTCTGCATCTATAAGATTAGCGAAAATGGTCAAATCATAAGTAATAGGTATAATATAAAGATATTTCCTGCCAAGAGATGAGTGGAGATTCATGTTTGAACCACCGAAACGAACAGCTCACACAGAGACATGTCTATGAGTAGGTACAAACGTATTAAAGATTTTATGAAACAGATATTTGCGACTCAGTGAGACATGCTGAGCCACGCGCCGAGAAAGCATGAGCCCAACAGAGGGTATCATCGGCGCCAATATCTACCACTGGCCAACCTCTATTAACCGCGGTAGACCAACTATATTCTTTTTAGGCCACCATCAAAATCTAGTCTTCGATTCTGCTCTTCCAATTTGTCGCGGCCCCGCTCTTGATGGAACCGTATGCGTAGATGAAACGAGGTTCGGCCGCTATTGGCGCGCTGCTGTGAAGCTGCCTTCTAAAAATGTACATTCTCAGTTCTATTGGTGATAAAGTATCGACACGGAAGTCGTGAAGAGGGGAGATCCTTTATAGAAAAGGCTTCGATGCTGGTATCCTAATACGCTTGTTAGTGTCAAAGGGGGTCGAAAGGTTATTGAGCATCTGACATACTTTAGGTTCAACATAAATATAGCGGACCTATACGATGAGCTTGTCTTTGGAGAACGCAAATCTGGCACAGGTGAGAAACACAGCTCCGGCCATGAGGACAGCTCCACTGAAAATGATGCCTTGAGAGTAGCCATGGTATCTCTCAATCAGAGCTCCAGTGATTGGTGTGCCAGCCAGACCGCCGAATCCAATGAGAAAGGTAGACATTCCTAGATACGTTCCAATCTATCATATGTTAGACAGCACTCTGGCATATTGTCGAAAGCAAGCAGCGGCTTACCTTGCTCGGGTGGTCTGCCGTTTGCGCAAGAGTGGACATCATCATCGCAATGACAATACCGCTTGAAGCGCCAAATAGTATAGACAAGACAATTAACCCTGCCGATGAAGTGATCTTGAGCCAGCAGAATAGCAATATGGCTGAGGCGTAAGCAGCAACAGCAATGACGTTGAACTGGCCGAGTTTCCGAGCAACGGTGCCGGCAAAGATTCGACCCCCAAACGAACCTGCATTAATTATGGCGAATAAATATGATGCAAGATTTTCGGACATCCCATGGGCCGAACCATAATCTGCTAGGTAAAAGTACGGCGTCCAGAGCCCCAGGATGACCATGAACATGCCTGCAACTTGTAGAGAGAAAGCAGGAATCTTGAATGCCTCTGGAAGAATCAGAGGCCCCTTTCTCCTTAATGATGTTGGTCGGATGGCGACTGCTGCAATAGCGAGCAAAAACAAAGTCAAGAAACCACACACGCGCTGACCCCATGGGAATCCAACATTTTTGTTTTTCAGCAGGTTTGTCATGATGACCGGATAGATGAGTCCTCCAAGAGGAGAGCCAGTGGTGGCAAAAGCGATGGCTATAGGACGTCTCTTGTGGAAATAATGTCCAACGACTGATATTGCGGGAGTGAATATCAGGCCGGATGAGAAGCCTAGAAAGATTCCTTGACACAGGATGAACTGGTAGAATTCGGTGCAGAGGCTCGTAAGCATCATGGCTACAACGAGGAGAACGGAGCATGGCCAGATGACAACCTATAGTATTCCAAACGTTAGACAATTCAAACTCCCCAGTCGCAATTCAAATTCAAATAAACACTGGTTCTTACCATAGGCCCGTGTCGATCAGCGATTGGGCCGCTAACCATGGCCGCCGAGAACTGCGCAAACGCTTGAATCGCGCCGATCCAGGCAACGTCTGACGGAGAACGGTCAGACAGAAATGTCTGCAGATAGTACGTTTCGTAGACTCTATCAAGAGAACATCTGATTAGCCATAGTCTTGACCCAAATTGATCGGTTGGCACTCACCCAAAAGAATTGACATAGCCAAAAGATGCAAACGATGTGCACCAGCATCCCAGAACAACCAGCCAGGCCTTGAGGCCCCCCTCTGGGAACTCATGATGGACTGGCTGGTCTTTGTTTTCGATAGGAGTTCCAATGGCCTTTTCATTGGCTCCTTCACCCCCTTCTCCCCCTGAGAAGATTGCCGACTCGATCTCGGTAGTGCTACCCGAAGACATGGTCACAAGATAAAGTTAGCTCTTCAAGTAGAACCGCCTCGATCAAAAAGGGATGCCACACCAGCAAGATAGCCGAGCGTAGATTGAGCTTGGAAAATTAGATTATATCCAGCAGCCGTCGGTGTATTTATTTAGCCATGACTGACATGGTAGCGAGTCATCTCCGTATTCACCGACTTGACGATCCACAAAGCTGACGCGAAGAAAGCATGGAAGGGTCCATTTCTTATCAGGCCATGTACCCAAGCTCGATTTACGAGATGCTTTGGCGGTGTTTTCGGTGTAAAGGCGAGGGAGGATCGATTGATAGACTCTTCTAGGCATAGCTTCGGAGAGTGGTGTTGAGAATTTTGCCACAATTAGCGATGGTGGAGCAGCGCACGTTCGGAGATGATCGGATCGATTCCCAAGCCACCCAATCATAGCGCGCCAGCAATTGGCTGCCGCATCTGCTGCGCATCCTGGCAACTCTCTTTTCGACTTTAATATGAAGATCGAACGTGAATTTGAATGCAGGGACAGACTCTTGATCCATTGACGATGACTGATGATCCGGAAAGGGTGTACCCGGCTCCGACAATAGCCGATAACGGGTCAGATAAAGGAAGTGGCAGTTTGGAAGCTCCAGCTCCAGCTCCAGCTGCCAGCTCCAGGGCCATAGCCGAGGATGGACGCACCAGGAAGAAGCGTCTCCAACTGAGCTGCGGCGAATGCAGACGAAAAAAGGTACGCAACCCCAAGACGAGAGAAATGCTCAAATTCTCAATTATGACGGCGACGTGAATGTTTCTCTAATCATTGAGTCAACTGCAGCTTTCCTGTGATCGAAACCGGCCTTGCCGCAGGTGCTTGAGGACGGGAAGGGCAGACCAATGCGAGTTTGAAACCAAGCCAAGGCTCGGTCTGCCGCCGGTTGACAACAGCGCGCAGCTGGAGCAGATCAAATCCAACCATTCCGAGATTCTGAATCTTCGGAGTGAGCTTTTCCAGCTGAGAGAGCTGCTCTCACGGCCTAGCCCTCAGCAGGGACGGGATGCCATCGTCGGAAATGTCCAAGTCGATGAAGTCTCCAAGAGAAGCGACGAGATTGAGGCCAAAGAAGCCATATCGAGCAGCCGGAACATCATTAGTACTAACAATGACAGCCCACCTGATCCAAGAGACAAGTCCCCGCGGGGATACTATAGACGGCATACTCTCTTGCGATTCTTCTCAGAGGTAATCTCTAGCTAGCCCAATCGTTTTCTAGGCAATGTAGGATGGCGGCTAACATGATGGAATAGATCCCACAGCTGTTCCCATTTATCAAGGAGACGGCTGATCAATGGCTTAAACCCTATGGAATCTACATCAAGAAGAACAAATCAGCCAGAGATGATGGCTGGAGAATGAAGATGGCGTCCCAGGAGCAGCCTCTGTTGGCCAATCACTTACCGCCAAAAGGCGACACGGATGCACTCGTCGCGATATATCTCAACAATTTCGAACAGCTCCATCGTATAGTGCATGTTCCAACTTTCAGCAGGGAGTATATGAATTTCTGGACGCCTGGCAGAACGCGGTATCCAACAATGGCAGCCATGATTCTCTCCATACTTGCTGTATCAATCAGTGCCGCCCCTCAAATTGCTGGTTCTTCGCCAATTCCAGCCGTCTATCGACACATGTCTGAGCAATGGATTGCCGCGGTTGACGATTGGCTAAGGCTACAGAGCTCGAAGCATCGCAAGTTGGTGCACTATCAAGTTTCTTGTTTGATATACATTGCTAGGAGGATGCATGTGGTTAACAAGAAGAGGTTTTGGAAAGATACCGGGTCTCTCATTCAAGATGCCATCACGGATGGGCTACACCGCAATCCTCCTTTGACGGATACGCTTTTTATAAGGGAGATGAAGAAGCGGATATGGTTTACCGTTCGCGAACTGGAGCTCCAAAACTCGTTTGAATGTGGCCTGCTTACCCTTCTCCATAACATTGAGTGCGACGTCGAGGCACCTGTCAATCTTGCAGACGAGGATTTTGACGATGCAACCGTGCACTCGCCCATTGAAAGGCTGCCAAACTACTACACAGAATCTTCCTATCAGTTTCACAGCTTTCGAAGTTGGTCACTTCGCCTCGAGATATCCCGGCGGCTTTTTGGATCAGGGGCTTTTAGGATTCCCGAGTATGACGAAGTCCTGCGCTATACTCATGAGATAACAAAGGCAATCAATGATCTCCCGCCTTGGGGGAGTTGCAGGGCTGGCGATAAAAGGGACCCATATCTCTTTTTGACGTTTTCCATGTTGGAGTTTCAGCTCAAGGAGTGTCTTTTGGCTCTACATCGGCCGTACATCGATAGGGATGATGGGAAATATCCACTGTCAGAGAACATTTGCTATCAAACGTCCCGCGAGATACTTTTTTCGAATATCGGACTGGCGAATTTGGGAGTGCAAAGCCTAGCACAGCTTCGAGAAGATTTGTCTCTTTCGTCGCTGCATATGACTCGCATCACCCTGCTACAGCCAGAAGGTTCGTTGTATTATTGCATTCTTCGTCCATCGATATCTCAAGCGTTGCGTGGTTGCAACAAAGCTAACTCCCAGGCAGGCTCAGCTAGTATCATCATGTCAAATGCAATGTCGACTGTCGATCTGCTCGAGCAATGTCTCCCCATAATAGAGGACAAATACCTCCGCGTCGCTGATCCCTGGATATTTTTCATCATGTGCACAGCCATCATGCTTATTAAAATGCATCTTGGGAAAGAGTCTCGACAGACAGCCAAGTCGTCTTGCGCACGCAGATTCCTCGATCTGTACTACAAGAATGTGTGGATGCGGCAGCCCACGGATCTTGCTCAGCAGCAGGCGATTACTCAAGAGATTGTCAACCAAACAAATGTGAGCTCTACAACATACATGCTTCATCTTTATACTCTTCCCCGAGCTTGTTCTTCTCCCTCCTCCCGCTCGCAATATTTGCTCATCAAATCCATTTAGGCTGCCGCCTGTCCGCCATCTTCCGCAGATGGAAGTGCTCTCCCTACGTCAGTGTGGCTCGACAGTAGCTATCCCGATGTAAGTGTAGAAGATGGTATCTGGTACTGACGCTGTGCTAATCTTGCAACAGATTGGAAATGATCCGTTCGATCTCGCTGTCGGGCTGGACGATGTATGGGACGAATCGGGATTTCCACTGCCGGGGTTCCCAAACTGCTAAGCCGGTGGACTTATATAACGGGTAGCTGGAGAGAGAAAGCAGGAAATTAGAGTTGCTTGTACAGTACAAACCTGTCTCTACACATACAAAAACAACAGCCGGTCCCGCATATGGTGCTCTTCTTGGCTGTTTGTGTACGGGCCAATCTCATCGTGCGGTTCGTTCTACTCTTTCTCTTTCGCTCCACACGGTAGTCCTGATCTTATAGAATTCTCCGCCGACCACCTCCGCCTAGCATCGCCAAGATAGTGAGTTCAGTGGCGTCGCCCAAAATCCCTTCTCCGGATATTCACAAACAAGCAATCGGCATGACTCCCTAGTTCCGCGTGTTGCAGCATATCCAACATTTCCTATTTAGCTCGCATAGTTCGATACCACAATGTTCATGCCAAATTGTGTGTGCATTTTGCTTCCAGTTTGCCGATCCCTGTCATAGTGCGGGCTTGTTATCCGTATACACCAGTCGCCGACAAACTAGCATATCTGCATCTGTACGGAAAAGGGCACAAGTGTCGAGACTTATTACAATCGCTGGAGGCTCGCGAGGCAAATTGGACCGAATTGAAGACATCCATCACATATAACAGCTCTGCCAGGCGACACGATCAATAATATACACGATCAGCTCGGGATTCTAGCCATTTGCAGGCTAGCGAGATCCGCCAGATCGTGAACCCAGCGCTTGTAAGACAGTTTTGCTTGCAGTAGTTTGATGCATTATGAGTTTCATAGCAAGACTTATTATTTCGGCGTGGACTCGGAGGAGCTCTCGGTATCCAGATTAATAATATTATCTTGAGCTCTCATCATTATGCCTGATAAGCCATGTCAAGATTTACAAAAAGTCTGGTTGGATCGGATGACATTCTTTGTTCTACTGGGCTGCTTCTGTAACGGGAATTACATTTCGGTATGCTGATGCAAAATACGACCCCATAAATTCCCCAAACAGGGCACCTCGGTAGTCTAGACATTTACAGCAGTAGCGCAATGTATCTTGTCATGGAATCTGTCCCTCGAAATAGATGTGAATGCCTCGAAGAGATGAACCATATCAAGTATGTCAGGTATATAAAGGCCCGAAAAGACCATGTCAGTCGTTGTATCCATCATTCAATTTAAGACTGCCATCTTTTTCTCGTCGTCAATATCTACATCCATCATGACAGGCACATTTCGACATGTAGCCAAGGCTACATTTCTAGTTTCCAAGAAAGAGGGACTGAGCGATGAAGAGTTTCGGAAGTATTATACCGAGGTTCACGCTCCCATGGCTCTCGACTTCTGTAAGCGATACGGTGTGCTCGATTACTCTATTGTACGTCTCAGGTTAACCTCTCTAAAAGAAAATACGGCTGACCACTGACCATGAAATAGCATTTCAATACCGAGGCTGAAAGAGCAGTTACCCGAGCCGCCTTTGGTAACAAGACCTCATTCATCAATTGCGACGCCATCACTACCTTTGTCTTCCCGAACATGGAATCGCTGCTTGCGTCATTCTCAGATCCAGAATATGAGACGAAGCTGGGCCCCGACGAGAAAAACTTCGCCAATGACCAAAAGTTACAGTTTGCCGTAAGCGACGAATTCGTGCTGCTGGCAGGCGGACAGGAGCAAACGAATTGAAAGTTTCTTTTTGGGAGACACTATCTAATAGCGCCTAAGCTTCGTATCCATGATTTGCCGTATTAGGCCGCTGAGATGGTGGGGGGCTGCCTTCAATTATCTAAGAGGTGGTCAGAATTATGAAACTCTGTATAGACACAGGCCACGTTGATTTGACAGCACTAACCAAGTGCTGATCGACGTATTATATAATGCCGATACTATATCATTTATCTTTCCAGCCTTGAGATGATGGCAGTGCTGATTGTGTGCGTAGTCTTTTCTCAAAGTTGAACCCAGTTCAATGTCTCTCAGCTTGTCTCTCGTACCAGGTTTTCTCCAGCTTGACTAGCTGTCGTCGTTGACAAAGCAGCCATGGTTATCAACGGCAAACAAATCGGGAAGAAAGGGATCAAATAAGGCATCGGTGTAGTTACGGCGGTGTTTGTGCCTTTCTTTGTCAACAGCCAAACAAAGTTCAGACAACTGGTATACGCGAAAACTGTCGTCATCATTCCTACTGATAACTGCTTAGTATACACAGTCGACTTGTCCATTCGGTGGCTGAACACTAACACGCAATCTTACCCTGCCGTTTTCTGAACTTGCCGCTGCCAAACTAGTAATCTTAGATCAGACTCGCGGATCTTGAACCGACTCCTACCGGCAATAACAACAAATGCATGTGCTCCACGCCCTTGGGACCCGAATTAATCAGAAAGCTGTGTAAAGGGCGTTTTTGAACCCCGGAAATAACCAAATAATCGCGCGATTCAAGACTATAAAGTGTCTTATTTAAGCCCGGAGTGATCGGTGTGATGGCGATGCGTCGGTATAAGGTGGGGAGGAGGGAGAGGAGGTGTTTCGCTGACCCGACTATCCGTCAAGTGAGCAGAGACATTTCGAAGAGCGAAAAGTATAATAGGAGCGTTGGACAATGTTTGGAAAATGGATTTGATTCTGAAAATCTGTGCGTGGACTATATTGCCAGGCGGTGTATGCTATAGCGATTGCAGCTGCCACGTGAATTGTGCTTGACACCTGCTCACCTCAGACTCTATTCTCTCTGCGCGTCGACAATATCAGCTTCTTTTCTTCCTTTTCTTTTTCTTCTTCTTATTTTCTACCAAGGTTCCCCAACAACCAAAGAAAATACAGTTCCGACATCATGGCGAATCCGGATTCAGAAGGCCAGGAGCAGATTGACCTGTGCGAGTACATCTTCAAAAGGCTGGTCCAGCTCGGCCTTGGATCTGTTCACGGAGTCCCTGGAGATTACAATCTTACCATCCTCGATTACGTCAAGCCAGCAGGTCTCAATTGGGTCGGAAATGCAAACGAGCTCAACTCGGGCTACGCCTCTGACGGTTATGGAAGAATCAAGGGAATATCGGCCATGGTCACTTCTTACGGCGTTGGCGATCTCTCTGCCATCAACGCCATTGGAGGCGCGTATGGCGAAAGAGCACCCCTTGTGCACCTTGTTGGGACTCCTCCCACGGCTGCGCAAGAAGCCGGCGCTTGTTTGCACCATTCTTTGGGCGACGGCAGGCTTAGAATCTTTGCAGACATGAACAAGTTTGTGACCGCGGCTCAGGCTAATCTGACAGATGTTGACAAGGCACCGGCTTTGGTCGACGCAACTCTGAAAACTTGCGTCTTGGAGAGCCGTCCCGTCTACATCGAGCTTCCCACCAACTTGGTCCATGCCAAGGTGCCCGCCCCTACATCGCCCATCGATCTTTCAGTGCCCGGATACGATGAAGAGCACGAGACCAAAGTCGCCTCTTCAATCGTAGAGGCAATCCAGAAGTCCAAAAAGCCAATGATTTTCGTGGGAGGAATAGCCGCTCGTTTCCGAGTGACTGAAGAAATCAATGAGTTTGTAAGGCTGACTGGCATCCCTACGGTTACTATGACTTTTGGCAAGAGCATCGTCAACGAAAGTCTACCCAACTACCAAGGCGTTTACATGGGAGCTATTGGAGACACAGTTCTCAAACAGCAAGTCGACGACGCTGATCTCGTACTGGATTTTGGTCCTATGCATTCCGATGTCAATACCTTTGGTTTCACGGCTGTGCCCAAGGCAGACGTCACCATAACAATCGACCAGTACTCGGCCAAATTTTTTGGCAAGTCCGACACCTCCGGTCGCGCCTATTTACCAAAGTCGTTCATGGCCAAGCTCCTGAAAGGCATCGGCGCAACAAAGCTGCCTGAATATCCATTCAATCGGGGCTCGACTTACCCGCCTCATCTGCTTCAAAATCTCAAGCCATCCCCCAACAAGGAGAGAATAGAGCACGATGAGTTTTGGTTATCCATGTCCAATTTTCTTCGATCTGGAGATGTTGTCCTTGTGGAAGCCGGAACAGCCATTGCTGGCGCTTGTTCAATGGTATTGCCAGACAATGTTGTTTTTATAAACTCAGGCCTATGGCTTTCCATTGGATATACGCTCCCAGCGTTACAAGGAGTCGCTCTAGCTCGTCGAGAGCAGCTCAAGGAGGGTTCTAAAGAGGCTGCCGGGTTTTCAGGCCGTTCCATCCTGTTCATTGGTGATGGAAGCCTCCAAATGTCAGTTCAAGCTATCAGCGATATCATCAGGAACAAACTTGACGTCACCATCATCGTCATCAACAACGATGGCTACACGGTCGAGCGATATATTCACGGATTTGACCAAAGCTACAACGACATCCAGCCATGGAGAAACACACAGGCGCCGAACTTGTTCGGAGCGATAATCAACGATTTCGATTACCCCGTTGAAACTGAGCAGGTTCGGAACTGGGGTGAGCTGCGAAGTCTTTTGGCGCGCCCGGATGTGAAAAAGGGCAAAGGCTTGGCTATCATAGAGATCTTTATGGACATGAAGGATGCTCCCCTCCCTCTTAAGAATTTTGCTGGCTTTATGGCTAACAGGAACAAGACGAACGGGAAGAGTTAGTTATTTTGTTCAATGTTATAGCTATCAAGATTATAGCTTGTTTGATCGCACAAATGATAGTTGATGACTCGGTAATACAAATGATACAATCTTGAAACTCTTCGCATCTCGCCAGTAACAGTTTGTGAAAAAAAAAGTCGCTTTGCTTATGCTGTCTATAATTCCCAAATTCATTGCTCGTCGCCTTCAACCACCCCTGCCACTTCCATAATCAGACGGTTAAACAAATCAGAGGGTATCTCATCCATATTCTTCTTTGTATAGTCGCAGCTCAAAACAACCTCAATGTCGATATCCGGATGCGAGATGAGCATGTCGAATATGTCTTTGTGCCCCTTGACGGCTGCTGCGGCTAGAGGCGGCTGACCATCTTCAGGGTTCACGTTGATATTGACCTTGCCGGTCTCGAGGAGCAGGCGGACCATGTCTGTATGACCCCGAGCTGCTGCAAAATTGAGCGGTGACCAGCCGCAGTGAGTTCGAGCATCTGGATCGGCGCCTCTCTCGAGCAGAGTTTTTGCTTCGGAAACCATATTATTCATTGAGGCATAATGGAGAGCTGTGTGTCTTTCCCACCCAGTCTTCTCATCTATCGACACATCCTTGCAAGTCAACAGCAGCTTCGTGATTTCCGTCGGACACGCCATGGCCACATGCAGTGGTGCCATGCCATGATGTGTGCTTGTTCGGTTCCAGTCGACTTCGGGAAGAGTCAACAGATAGCGCACAATATCGGTGCTGCTAAATGTCACCGCGGTCATTGCAGGAGTCCGATCGGTAACTACCATATTGACCGATGCTCCGCCTTCCACAAATCGCTTGAATACATCGACTCTATCCTTCCTAGCCGCCCAGAAGAGACCAGTACAGCTGCCGTGCCGGATGCTCCACCTGTAGAGAATCGGGTTGGCAACAGAGTATAGACGCCTACAAGTGCGAGCAATGCGTGAGATTGTCCGAACATTGGCCAAGGTAGCATAAATGTCGAACGGATTATTGATCGCTTTATATACAATCAACCCTAGGAGTTCGTTGGGCAAAGCATCGAGATGGTTGTTGGCCTGGACTTTGTGGAAATCAAGAGGGGCAGGCAGTTTGGTACAGAGACCAAGCGTTGGAAGTATATCATCGCGATGGTGGCAGATTTGAGTTCCGTGAGAATCGGAAGAAAGCATCTTTGCGAGCAGGCATCAAGAACTGAAAAGACGGTCAAATTGAAGCGAAAAGTAATGGAAGGGGTATCGACCAAGCCTTGTAAGTTTACCATGGATGCTGCAGCTCCATGAAGGACAGCGTGCTTTATATACGTATGTTTCTGCTGCTCCAAAGACTTTAGCCGAAAAAAAGAGAGTTGGAAGCATGGAGGGAAAGAAAGGAACAAAGAAAAGGGAAGGAGAAAGGAGGAGGAGAAGGAGGATTCACGTCGTGAAAGAACGTAGAATTTAGGTTTGGCGCACGGCTGCGCAGCAGACATGTGACGTTTATTCACCTACTATCCACAAAGACAAGCAGGTAGATACATGTATATATAAGTACTAAAATAAAATAAAATAAAATAAAAGAGCCACACGAAATATATTAACAACTTCAACATAAAAGAAGGAAAAGAAGATTATCCGCAAAAAGTCATTCTGCTGCAACAAAGGAAATAGCCTCGCCTTGCTATCTGTGATGCATCACAAGATATTCAAGTATGAGAGAATTGACCAGGCTTTATATCACCCACTAGATAATGTCATTGCCCTCCTCGTCATTGTTCTCAATCCACTCCATTGGGTCTGTAAAATCTTCCGAAAGGTATTGCTGCTCTACAGGCTGGTCATGAAGAGAGTCCAATATCTCTTGCATCGCGTCCTGATGCGAATGCTCTAGTCGATAGACACTTTGCAGTGCATCACTATGATTGGGAGCAACCAAAGATTCACTGCAGTTGGCGGTGGCAGATTCCGCGGTGTCGTCACCAGGCTCCGCTGGCGAAGGAGTGGCTTGAACGGCGGGCATATCGGCAGGCATATCGGCAGGCAAATCGATCTGATGCACCTCCGCCTGGCACTCACCAAGAATGGGCAATACAGCGTTGCCTTGGGCAAGCTGAACTTCTCTGCAGGGGCCGGATCCCAATGCAATGGCATTGCGCATCAAGTCAATCGGGCTGCCGAGGTGTCTTGTCTCTAGAAGCTTTTGAAGCACGCTGCTTGACCGTGCATCCCAGTTTAGCTGCTGATTTTCGTCGTATGTAGGTGATAGATGCCGCCAAATATTGGACAAAGCACTTTGACGAAGCAAGTTGCGCATCCTACATGTGAAGGACCATGCTCTGGGCTTATCCAGGATACTCTGCAAATGGGTGACGACGTGGGCGATGTATGTGTCTCTTGCTGGGCTCACTTCAAACTCCGATGGTGCCTCGTAGACTTGGCTGCAGCCTTCAAAGCCGCACGCAAAGACAGTCTGGGGACAAAGCGTGATAACCTCGGCATCGTAAATCCTAACGCGTACCTTGTGATAACATCTGGCGTGCTCTTTGAAGGCTCCCAGCCACTGAAAGACCCTCCGGCAGTTGGCTTTGGGGCAGACCCACAGATTGTTGGTATGGTGCGTGCTTTCCAAGTGACGCTTCAGGTCGCTCGGCCTCGACAGCCTTTTATAGATTCCGTATTCGCTACAGAAGCCACAGATGTACTCCTTCTTCTTTGGAGGTTTCTCTATTCTTAAATCGCCCGTGTTTTCTTCGCCCACGATCTCTGCGACGCTGTCATTTGCCAAGTTCAAAAGCGCTTTTTCTGCCGTGAGCATTTCTCGTCTTTGTTGGGTAGCAGCAAGCGTTGCAAAGAATGTCTCCTTGATAGGCTTGAAGGCTGTTCCAAGAGTATCTAAAGATGGCGCTATTGTAAAAAGTGAACCCGTAGGTATCGGGCTCGGCTCGAATTCGGGTGATGTAGAATCTACATCATCCCCAGCATCGTCTTCTTTTGGTATAATGTATTAGCCATGTCGCTTTGACGATATCTCCTCGCATCTCGTTGGCTTATAGAAAAGATGTATCCCTATGTAACGAAGAGCGTAGGGGGAGTACCTACCTTGTAAAGGCGATGACCGGGATGGCAATAATGGCAGCGCACATGCTTCTTCTTCGAGCAGCTTTTGAATCTGCTCCATGGAATATGTATCCAAGAGATATCGGACCATGGGGCGGCCTACACGGTCTTCATGCGACGGGCCATTGCCAGGGGGGCTGTGTATGAGACTCGACATGGCTCCTCGAGGCCTGGCTTTGGTGGATATGTCGATGCCAAACTAGCACCCCAGTCGTTGGTAAAGAAGAGCAAAGCTCCAGGAGGAGTATTTTGTAAGCTGTGGTGGGCAGAAAATACCCTTCTAGAGGCTAGCTGCCGCTTTTCGAAAGCAAAATCTTGTGATCGGGGACGTGATGGGAATCCAGTGATGCCGCAACTGAATTGCCAAGGTGCTTAGCGAATAGCCTCAAAGATGGCAAAAGGATGGCCACAAAACGAAAGGAACAGCGCTCGAATACATACCGGCTATCTTGACATATCAAGTCGCAAGGGGGCGAGACGGCTGGAGACACTGGGAGCCAGGTTGGCCGATTGGGCGGCGATGCAAGACTGAACAAAATCTGATGTCTCAGGAGAATGTAAGGGAATAAACTGCCTCAGGTCTCGGGAGCCAACTGAGCTGAACTGAAGCCTGCTGGAAGGAGCGAAAGGAAATTCAATATTGGAAGCAGGGCGCGGCGAGAAGGTGGAGGAGCGATCAAGTGTAAGCAGCTGAACTGACCGAATCCCTGCACTTGACCAAGCCGAGCAAACAAAACGAAATTACCGTATGCTGCTTGGGTGTTTGTCTGAACTGGACATGACGCACAGTTTGCTGCTTTTCCCCGGCATGGTTTATTGAATCAAGAAGAGAATTGCCGAGAGCTGAAAATGAAATGTCAATTTTATTTCACCTGCGCTAAATACGCCATGCATGAGCGCTTGCCAGTAATATTATGTAGACGAGCGTTACACCAGGAGTCAAGATGTCATCCGAGAAAAAGCAAATATGCATTATTCTGGCCATCTTAGTAATATCGCTGCATAGCCACGTAATAGCACTTGTACCCAGCATGCATAAATCACCGAAATAATGGTCCAATAAAGTCATTGGCTCGACTCTGCCACTGTGCTCGATACACCACGACGCTGCAATCTGCGGAATAGAGCGAAACAACACATCCGCAGCATACCAGTCAATCTCGAGCAAAGAGCCAGATTAGGCATCTGCTTCCGTGATCTTGTCTGACGGTCTGATCCACCTTTGATCTACGGATACGGCCCGAGATCCAACACTCCGAGGCTTGTGGGGACGGGCCGCTTCCCGTCAAAATCAAGGGCTAACGCACATATATAGGTAAGCAAAAGCAGTTTGACCAATGTTGAGAATCCGTCAACCAGAAGGATCGTTACATGGCATCAGCTCGAGCCAAACGGATGTGGGAGTACTGCATTTTCTAACATCAACTATTGTAGATCTCGCTGCGGATGAAGGAACACGACTGCAGATCTCTCTAGGCGCGCGCGTGTAGAACTTCGATCGACGCGAGATCCGACCGGCGTTTGTGTAATGAATTGCGGCATATCAACCATACGAGCTAATTTCGACGAGATTATACTTTCAAATATCCATGTACCTGTGTCTTCATATATTACACGTCCGTTTACCCAATCCAGAGCATATATGCGTGAAACCGGCCCCTCACGCGCTTCAATCGCTGCAGTAGTCCATCATACTATTTCTCTGCCTCCCCATCTTTCCTTGTAGTACTGCACAGATGTGCAATCATCGGAATACTCTGTGGACTTTGATGAAGTCTGGATTTTTCTGTATTCATCCGACTTTCCAATCACCACGATTCAGCCTAGTATCTGCACACAGTGACATCTTCGTTGGACTTTGTAATCATGAGAATCGAGACGATGACTCCATAGAGGCCCAGGACTTCGGCAAAAATAAGGATGAGAACCATTCCAACATACAGTCGAGGCTGTTGGGAACTCGCTCGCACTGCATCAGTCAGTCAGCCAGAATCCGTTGACTTATCGCAGCTACGTAAAACACGAGGTGACACACAACTGTCTCTTCAACAGAGGGTTGCAATTTTGATTGCTCAAGACTTACCACCGGCATCTCCAATGATACCAATCGCAAAGCCAGCGGCCAACCCACACAGTCCAACAGCCATTCCGGCACCAAGCTGCATAAAACCTGTGTGGGCGGCCATTTTCTCTTTAACACTGTTGGACATGATGACTGCGGCAACGAGTCCATATATGGACAGGATTTGAGCCATGATTGAGCATAGACTGAGTTTGTTAGTCTCGCCCATGCCATCTGCCACTGCATTATCTACTCCTCTCGTATCTCGATCGGCCTCGTAAGAAGACGTACGTATTCTGCATCAATCGATCGGGATGAAGGACACCAGCGGAGAAGATGGCAATGGACGACTTGGCAGTGCCATAGGCTGCGCCAAATGTTGTGAAAATGATTGCGAATGCGATTCCCATCGCTGCGAAGAAGGACTGCAGATTATCAGCTGCTGTAGTTTTTGACGCTCGGAAAACACGAACAGAATACATGGGACTGTGCTCATTAGCAATCAGTAGGAGCTATTCCGGACAAGAGATACATACCACCGCTCCACCGAGGCAAATACATCTTGGTCGTACATGCTGTAATGAGACTGCGCTTCACGTTGGCGGTCCTTGACCAAAGCAAGAGTTAGCACAAGAAGGAGGAGAGCCTGCAAAGCGGAGATTTATAGTGAGGCGCCAGAAGGATTTCTGGAGTATAAGCACCACATTGTTAGTAGCCTGAGGGATTGTTGGAGGCAGCCAGACGAAAGCGCAAAGGGTACTCGACCCGTTTGGCACTAAATGGCTGCTTGTTGGGGGTGTCAGATGAGCACCGTTGGAGTTTCCACGTCATTTCAGGCTCCATGTACAGAATCTTTTTCCCCCATGCTGCATATCTGCCATTTGCAATAGGCAATTCGAGGAAACTATACGTGCGTCGGCATGTACTGCACCTATTCCCATCGGCAGCGCTAGGCTTTTTTCTCGCATTCACAACAATTCGCCAAGATCGCGTATTCTTCGTATCGACGCGTTTGCCTGGCAGGGCCACGCATGCGGGAGGGCTACCCCGGTTTGCTTATCGTGCCGGCTATTTGAAGCAGGCTTAGCGCTCCAGCCTCACATGAATCCAATGACTGGTCTGGACGCACAAATACCTAGAAATGAGGAGGATCGCTCTCCCGGTGTACCTGTCTGGGTCTCAAAGGTGCTCTACTACTAGGTTGCGGAGGCAGGTGGCAAGTACACGCTGGCAGGAATCTCGATTCTAAAACGCGGAAAGAAGTTACCAGCCCTGAGAGGCTCGGCCTCTAGAAGAGCAAGCTTCAGGTTCATGCAACAGTTCTTCTACAATTCCCACTCGAGTCAAACTACCGCCCACATTGTTCACTTGAACCGCAGCTCCGTGGCTGGGAGCTCGTACTTTCTCAACCAAAGCAAATTCTACTCCAGCACCTCGGCAACAGTTGGATAACTCTAGACAGCCGCTCCTTCAACGCTTGCAGACATTGTCATTTTATTCATCATGGAGTCTGAGCTGAGCCCTAAGTTCGCTCCCTTCATAGGGATGGTAAGCCACTCGCACATTGCTCCCAAATCATGATCGATGGGGTGCTAACACGACAACATAGACTGGTATCGCTGCAGCCATGATCTTCGGATGTAAGGCGAACAAGAACTCTTCCTCTCCCCGAAATGCATTTGATCGTTCTGACGTGGACTCCAGCTATCGGCGCTGCGTACGGCACCGTCAAGTCTGGTATTGGCATTGCTAGTGTTGCAGCTTTCCGACCAGATCTTATCATCAGGGTTGAGTCATCGCCTGCTTGTTTATATCTGTTCAATATACTGATCCATCTTTCGGATAGTGTCTGATTCCAGTTGTCATGTCTGGTATCATTGCCGTTTACTCGCTCGTCATAGCAGTTCTCATCGCTCAGGACATTCAACCTCCTTCCGCAAACAACGAAGCCTATACTTTATTCGCGTATGTGAATATCGTCAAATTCTCGTTGGGTAGAAACATGCAGCTAATCCGTGTGCACAGTAGCTTTATGCATTTTACGTGCGGCCTGGTGGTTGGCTTGACCGGCCTGGCTGCGGGCTATTGCATCGGAATCGTGGGCGATAACGGTGTCCGCGCATACATGAAGCAATCGAGAGTCTACATTGGCATGATTCTCATTCTGATTTTTGGAGAAGTCCTTGGTCTATACGGGTACGCAAATTATGGCCTGATACTTTTCCCTGGGCGTCAAAAACTAAGCATCATGTTGGAACAGACTGATTGTCGCCCTATTGCTCAACTCTCGAAGCAGGGGGTAATCAACTGCCCTTTTTCCATTCTACTCTATAACAGCCATGGCACATTTCGTGTCGCAACTTGGATATGCACAATAATACCTAGAAATACAGCTACACATACGGATAGAAAGCCGCAGACGGACAGCGTGGGGGAGAAGGGGAAGCGTTGGCCATTTCAGCAACATCAGGGGGCACTTGCACTTTGATTTCTCGCTTGAAGAGCTCGGAATTGAAACAATATACATCCTGGCAGTCAAAAAATGGCTAGTGATGATGTCGGGCAAAACATCACCAAACACAAGATGCCTGCGAAACAGCAAAACCATAAAAACCATGGACAAAAAAAGAACGGTTAGGTTCTAGAGGGAATCGAACCCTCGCTGGCGGAATCAGAATCCGCAGTCATAACCATTAGACCATAGAACCGTCGGAGGCGGTGATCCGCTTCCTATGGGCGATGGAGGCCGACAATGTTATTAGCGGTTATGAAGGCTGACGATGTGGGCCGCGTCTCCATATTCTCGACTTGCTTCATCTACGGGGCAGATAGAAGTCTTGTATCAGAGTTTCCACGTTGGCGAGCCGTTTGAAATAGCAAACAGCTTTCGTGATTCATATTCGCTTTGCCAGTTGATCCTACAACGGTTGATCACGATACCAACTGGGTAGCAGTACTCCAATCCCATCTTGCTGCCCGTCAGCCTCAGCTTAAAAGCACTTCACTAATTGGACGGCACTAACTCCACTAGCTCTCTCCCTTGCCTCAAGAGTCCACCGAACCCCGGGAATGCGACGAGTACGAGAGATACGGTGGCGCCAGCTTGTATGGGCCACGAGTCAAGCTGAGCTGCGCGGCGCGGCCCCCAAAAGCCACGATGAAACAGTCGAAGCTGTTTGGCCTCAGCTATTGCAAGGCGCATATAAAAGAAAGGGCAGCCGGCCACGAAAATGGGCGCAATGCTTCTTACAGCAGCGGCCATAGTATCATGTTATAACAAACAAACAAATAGACAGACAAACAAGAAATCGTCGCCATCAAATACCTACAATGTCTCGGCTATTCCAGATTGTGCGACCCGCCTTCAAGCTCTCCTACCAGATAGTCCCCGACGGCGAGGAGCCTCTCTACAAGGTCAAGAACCTGCCGCTGCCCGGGAACCGCCCGGATCTCGCGCTTCACAGCGGGCCTGACCTGGCCACGCCCATCCTAGTTTCGTGCTACATGCCCAAGTTCTCGCGGCACTGCAAGATTGGCTTTGGCGATCCCACCAGCGGCGAGCCCATCGTCTGGGAAGACTTTTTCAAGCCCAAGAAGAGCAGCTGCGAGCGCAACATCTCCGTCTCCTTCTCGAGCGGCGACGTCGTCTCCGAGACGGGCAAAGGCGAGCGAGAGCAGTTCACCTGGAAACGCACCAATCACGTCTGTGTGCCTGGCAAGAAGTTCCACGCCGCCACTAAGCGGAATAGAAAGCTCATTGACGAGCGCGGCGAAGTGGTCGCTATTTTCACACACGATTTGAAGGTTGGAGTCGAGGGGTGGCTGCAGATTAATGTTGACCGCGGCCGCGACTTTGACGTGCTAGTTATGATTACGGTGTTGGCGATTTGTGAAAAGATACGACGGCAATGACCGGCCTAGACAAAGAAGTGGTGATGATGGGCGGCAATGATACCCTGGTTGCGATGTTCTGCGATGACTCTGTTTTCGTTTTCGTTTTCTTTTCTTTCTAGGCAGATTGGCAAATAACATGTGTTTATTATCGTTTTAGCGTTACATGTCCGTCAAAAGCGGCTGTGTTTCGAAACCAGCAAGACAATTTCGTTTCGTTTCTTGTTTCATACCTCCTCTGTAAACACCTAACCTATACCATATTCTAATGCCAACGTTCTTTACCTTTGCTATGGACACTCTTATCTCTAATTACCTTTTCGATAAACAATAGCATTATTTTGCCTTGGATACCCGCAGTGGGAAATGGCAAGGATGCAATTTGCCCGAGTGCCGTAGATGACTGATAACGAAAGCTCATGGGCGTATATACCTAGGTATATAGACACATATGTATATCTTTTTTGCGGTTGAGCTGAACTTACACGTGCTAGCTGGATAGCTGGTAGTAGGTAGTCACCGCCTTTTCTTGTTCTTTCTTCTGAAATCTCTAGACTCGTGGTTCAGAAGTTCCCATCTTCTGCGCTCTGTCATTAATGCAATCCAAACTTCCAAAGTTCCCCTCGTCTGCAAGCTTGTGAAAGTGTCCCCACGCTGCCCCTCTACAAACCCCTGTCATATGGCATCGTTCACGGCTAGCATCAGTTATGTCAGCTCCAAAGTTCCAAATTAGACGGTCTCATATGGATAAGAGGGAAAAAAAAAACAAAACCCTTCCAGCCCCAGTCCAACCATCTACTAATACTCCGGATTTCGATGGCGGCAATCCTACCTTGGACGAGTAAAGCGCAGCCATTCGGGAATATCCACAGCTGGATAATTTACGCCATCCCTGAACGAGGACCAGATTACCTTCTCGTTATGGTTATCGCCCGGTAGCGGCAGACTAGCCATCGCTCGGAGAATGGCACCCAATGATACCATCAGAAGACTTGCCTGGCCTTCCTGATATGAAACCACAGAAACACCTGAATAGATGCCTTTCCCTCCCCTCCATCAGCTCTCTTATATCTCTTATTGGATCGGCTCTTTTGCACTTTTCGATAGCAACCATCTTGTACTTGCAGCATCATCTAATTTATGCCCATCCTTGCGGAGACCTCCGTGCGGCATATCGGCAGGTACCGATTTACGAATCCCGTAGACTGGTGATCGTCGCCTTCGCGCGCACGCTTGAGCCCCTCGTTCCACAACGGCAGCCAAATACTAAAATGGAACCTTTGCTGTGCCGTCTTTCCGTCCACTGAGCGCGCTTCCCGCCCAGCCGGCTTCACGGCGCGCAACCGTGCTTCGGTCTCCCAATCAGGGTACCGAGCTCGCTTCAGCATGTAATTCACCCCGGGGGACATTTGCCCAATGCTGGATCACGGCCACTGATGTCTTCACGTGGAGGGCGAGCGATGGAATGCTGGAACGTGGCTGAGAGACCACGAGGGCCAATCGAAGGGCATGATTGTGCGCAATAGGGCATGTGGATGAATAAGACTGCATCTTGTCGGGAGAGCTGGAGCCGTGGAGGAGAATGCCCGAGGTGGGAGCTTCGAGCTTCGACCTGCCCAACAAGGGAGGTCCCGGGCCTGATATGGAAAACACTGTTTATCAGCAAACTTGTAATGGTAATGGGGCCGGATAGATAGAGGAGCATATAAAGGTAGAAGAGAGTCCATGCAAGTCATGGTATTGTTCATCATCCTCGTGCAATCAAGCCTGTTCTCTTTCTCAGTCTCCTCCTCTCCAGACTCTTCCATCTTTCAAAATGGTCAGCGCCAAGGTACGTTGCGAAGATTCGGACCGAGTTCATTACAAAAAAGCCCATCATTGACGCTTAAACACAGATCATCGCCGCCGTTGCCGGCCTCGCTGTCAGCGTCTCTGCTGCCGCTATCGAGAAGCGTGCTTCTTCTTGTGTTTACACTTGCGGTAGCACCTGCTACTGGCAGTCCGACATCACCGCTGCCCTGAACAAAGGATACAGCCTGTACTCTTCCGGTAGCGAGGAGGGTGAGTCTTGTTTGAACCATCATTGGTCTCGTCATAGAGCGATCGCAAGTTGTGCTGTATGCTGACATGTAGTTTTCAAGACTCCTACCCCCACCAGTACAATGACTACGAGGGCTTCAGCTTCCCTACCTCTGGTCCCTGGTACGAGTTCCCCATCCTGAACAGCTTCGACGTCTACACTGGCGGCAGCCCCGGCGCCGACCGTGTCATCTTCGACTCCGATGGCAACTTTGACTCCGTCATCACCCACACTGGTGCTAGCGGCGACGACTTTGTTGCTTGCAAGAAGGACTAAGGGGATCGTTTCTGAGGAAGAGGATCAGCTATTTGAAGAGAAGAGAGAAGAGGTAAAAAAAAATAAAAAGGAAGGGATCAAAATGGATGATTCATGACACCGCACTTTTGTGTGTTGGCAATGTTGTACATTAAAATTGCCTGAGCATGTTATGTACGTACTGCATTTTAGCAAGCCTGTCTTAGCGGTGCTTTTTATACCAAGAAAAAAAATCGTATTGGACCAAAGGTTGCCGCCTCGATCATGAGTCATCCGCTCCTATGGCTTTCATTGTGAAAAGGTAACTGCCGTTACAAGACAGCTCATGGCACACCTTGAATGCAAAACGAGATCAAGCGACGGATTTAGATGCTCCGTAGACCGCTCTATTGAATAAGATCTCAATCGATAACAATCAGCGGTTACGAATGCCTTGTAAAGACATTGAGATGATTTGGCCAAGCATGGTGATGAATCTGAGTAGAAGGGAAGGGCAAAGATGAGGTTGGCTTGGTATCTCGTACCTAAAATTCGCCAAGTCGGCACGTGAGAAGTGTACATGTACATACATCGATAACATACTCCCGCTTACGAAGCATTGAACTCGATCACTGTTCAAGCTTCTATTTTGCAGGTGCCAGACTGCACGGCCTCACAAATTGATGAATTACACAATGCACCAAGCAAATGCTCGATGTAATCTGAAGAGAGATTCAGCTGACAAGGGAGGCCCTGGCATTCAGATCGAAAATCACCGGATGAATCCCCCACCAGTACTCCACTGCTGTGGGGTGACTAACAGTATAAAGCCATTGCCAAGTTTGCCAAGTCAGGTCGAGCACCAACACAAGGCAGGGATAATTTATGGGAAAGGTTATCCAACACTCTAGCTGTAGCTGAATACAGCAGTAATTCTATACATAGAATGATCCAAGTACTCTATGACTACAGAATTCAAGGTAGCAGTAGTAGCGTTGTGGCGATGGTAGCCTGGGCTATAGCTGAAGTGTCGAATAACAGAACTGGGAGGCCGGATAACTTTGTCTGTTGGTGGTGAGACTTGGCGAAAATAGCTCGATAGGTGGATACAAATCAGATTACATTTTATTAAGAATAAAAGGAACTAGACGCTTTAACTACCTTCATCGCACAACTCCAACGTTTTGCAAACCAATATGTACATGTATGTTAGAACACTGTCCAGATTTATAATCCGCTCGTGTATCCCTTTTATAAATCGAGTATAGAAGTGAGGCCTTCCATCGGTGCATATATACTTTCCCTTCGTATCCTCAAGCCACTGGGGAAAAAAAATTCGGCATCAATTAATCAAGGTAGGGTGTTCCGCCAAGCTGGCCCAAAAGTCCATCTCAAGTTCCCAAGATTGAGAATTAATATACGGATCCCAGTTACTGTCCGCTCCATCGGCATTTATCAACTGCTGGGAATCACTTGTCTTGGAAGTTTGCTCCTTTGCCGCAGTCAGCGAGTCGAGTAGGCTCTGTATCGTCCTCGTCGCCTGCGCGAAGAGAGCGTAGTTGGGCTCTCCGGGCTGGATCCATGCGCCGATTGTAATCTCTGCAACGAGGACGCTGAGGTCTTGAATCATCTTTGATCGGGAGAATTGATGCGAGTCGGGGTTTGTCGAGCTCAAAAGCGCAAGACATATGAAGCCTGCGGCCGGCAGTCCGTATTGGGCAACCTATTTAGTCTGGTTAGAGGAACTCGAAAGCCTGCTGGGAAGAACACATTAGGATTATAAGGAACACCTTACCTTCCAAATAAGGCATGTCCCTGAATTTGCCATCCGATCCCGCAGGATAATGATCTCGACCACAATCGAAAGCATCTCGCTCGCAGTCTTCAGAAGTGCCTCGTCAGGTTCAGCTACCTTGCGCTGCGATAGGAATCCAAGTAGAAAGTGTGTGTGAAGATATTCTAGCCGAGCCCCCGCTAAGAAATCTCTCGAAAAAGGCCCTAGGGGGCAGTCTTTAAGGCCGGTGGTGAGACGATAATGCGCAGGCAAATCCTGCCATTGCTGATCAATCCTCTGGCGAAGGTCACTAGTACGAAGTAAAAACAAAGTGATTAGCAACGAAAATAGTCCGAGTATCTTATAAAGGAGAGACTTGGACTCACTTGACAATGCCTGTCTCGCAGAACGCATGGCGCTTGCGAAACAGTTGAAGAACTTCCTCCTTGAGGAGCGCAAAAACGGCTGAACAAACAGTGTCTGACGTATAGTTTAAAGTCTGCTCGTCGTTTGGTTCCCGGCCACTTATTATTTGGTAGGACAAAGGACTGTTGCTGTCTCTTTTTATTGTACCATCAGCGTCGTTCCAAGCACTCGCCATCGTCAATGGGACCTGGAAATAGCAAAATTCTTTGGTAACCCGCGGGGGCCGGCCCAGGAATACAGCCAAGCTCTTGTCCGCAGCAAAGACGCGCGCAAAGCAAGACCTCCGCAGCTCAGCGACAAATAACGGAACGTCTGAAGAGTCTGCTTCAATCTTTTCATGGTAGCCGAGTGCGAATAACGAGCTGGCCACATCGCCCATCCGTCGCCAAGAGTGGTAGCCTAAATGCCAGCATGTCAGCACATTTCGCCTTTCTACCATCTCTCGCCGATGCTGGAATATATTGGATCCAGAAAAAAGAAGAAGAGAAGAGAAGAGAAAAAGCAAGACTTACTCTGATCCCCGTCGACTTGCGAGTGTACAATGAGATTTTCATACTGCAACACTAGCTGCAAATCATTGAGACAGTCCAAAGCAAGGCATGTTTCCAAGCAGCAGTCTCCAAGGTACATTAATGCCTTGATCAGTCCGCGACGCCGCTCATCGCTGTTGTAAAGTGGAGCAAACGAGGAGGTGTCCAACGCAGCTCTACTCGCTGCTGTAAGGAAGATTCCGAGACTTTCCCATCGAAGGTTCTTTCCGGTCATCTGTTGCAGATATTCAGATGGTGTGGAGTGCTGATGGAAAGTAAGCGGCCTGTGCGAGTTTTCCAACAAGTCCCTCGCTCTTTGAGTAGTAGCATTGCTACCCGCAGGAAGAGTCGACAGATCTCTCCAGTCGACAGCAGCATCGACGCACGTCTCGACGAATGGCTCTGCCAAAGCTAGGTTGACCCCCTTTTTAAGCCAAAAGCGCACTAGAGACGCCAGCGCGGAAACTTGCAGCTGGTCCAACAGACTCAAAGCATGGTTTGCTTTATCAAGCGTTGTCTGATCAATCATGAACGCGTCTGATGGAGAACTGGACATGGGTGAAAGTGTTGCTTCCTCTTGCTGAGCAACGACCATGCCGGTGGGAGCACGGGAAGACACGTGGTTGAAAATGGTGGCATGGCTAGGCACCCCGAGAAAGCCCGGATTTGGATACCGTCGTGGCTGGGACGAAGACGTGCACAACACGCCTGAGATTGGAGACGCCTCCAAGGGTGGAGTGGTCAGAGCATCTACACATATCGACCCTCCAATGCTGGAAGCATCAAACGCAAAGTCAGCGGATACATGAATAGGGGTCGACTGGATACCGGGCCACAAGAACCAGCCTTTGACACCGGAATCTTACCTCTGCTTTCTAATTCGATCGCTGTGTATCTTCCTCCTAAACGGCCGATCCCGGTATACACAATGGTCCATCTGGTTGCGGCTGCGGCATCGGGTGCAAGGCCTTTCATGGCCGCAGGCCAGCTTTGCCCGTCGGCAGGGCTCACAGGCAGCATGTCGGACTCTCATTACTCTGATAATTTGGGCAACATTATATTGGAGAAAATATCGTAAGACGGAGCAAGATGCGACTTCGCTCATCTATCAGATGCGTTGACTCCGTTGAGTCTACTCCGAAGACACTACTACTGTACCGGAACGCCGATTTCTCCGAAAATCCACTACACGCCGAAGCCTTCCGTCCGACGCTTTACCCCAGCACCCCAGTTCTATTATCGGACTACTGCTACTCCGTACTTCTGCTCCTACTGCTCCTACTGCTGTTTTTGCTCTCATTCGATTACTTTTAAAAGTTCATGTAGATCAATTGCCTTATTAAGCTTTGAGTGCTTGATTACCCTTTCCAATCTTGTCGTATTGTTGGCTACAGACACTCTGCGCCACAACTGATTCGAATCGGGACTGCATTCATGGCTTAGCCCATCAATTCACCTTCGACACAGATCCATTGTGTGTACCAGAGCACGAATCATAACTCACAGCCACCAGGTGTTGGCTGCAAAACTGAACATTAGTTAGTGTGTGGAGAAAAGGGCCCAGGCGCATTGACAATGGGAGAATAGCAATTGTTGATTCATAGCTCTTCGTTAGTGCATGCTAGCACTCTCAACTTCAATAGTTTCACTCGACGCTCGATGCCTTCAACTTGGGCGATTGATCAAACTCCAGCGCCGAGTCTTGGTACTATGCGACCTAACAACAACTATCACTGGTGTACAATATGCTAGTCCAATGTTGAAAGGGGCCTTTTTACGCCTATAAACTTTCAGCCACTCCCCTAAATCGAAATCAACGTACGAAACATTCCTACAACTTGGGACTTTTGTCTTGATCCTTTAAAAACAGCAACAAAAATCTAACAAGATGGGCAGTCTACCGGTAGAGCTCGACCAATGCACCGCGGCACCCAGTCTGTATCCCAATAGAAAGCCTGTGCCCCCTGCCCAGCGAGGGATAGCTGCACCATGCAGCACCGAGCAGTTCAAGACGAAGAGCTACAAGCATAAGCCGCTTGCAAAACGATGGCATCGTAAGTTTGTTGATCCTTTGCCAAGAAGCAATTCTTGAGACGCGCTCATTCCATGATGCTGATGGCTCTTGCAACCGTTCAGCCTATATGAGCACCGAATCAGCCAATCGAACAGGATCATCTCTCAAGGCATCCATGAAACATCTCGCGAATCCAAACGTCATTTCCCTGGGAGGTGGGACTCCTCTCAGCGACTTTATTCCCTTCGATGAGGTAGTTATTCGACCTCCTTCGCTGGAGAATCTCAAAACGGATAAAAAGAGAAATTCGACATCGGTAACGACGCTACATGCCACAAAGCACGATATAGCTGATGGCACCAGCATCTACGACCTCTCTGTGGCGTTAAACTATGGTCAAGGCTACGGGTCGGCGCAGTTCATGCGTTGGATCACGGAGCATACGGAAATCTTTCATGACCCCCCATACTCTGACTGGCAATGCTCCTTGACCATTGGTAACACATCGGCGTTTGACATGTGCTTGAGGATGTTGACAGAGCCTGGCGACTGTGTCTTGGCTGACAAGTACACATTCTCAACTGCCATTGAAACCGCCCAGCCTCTGGGTATCAGCTTTGTTGGGATTGACATGGACCGTGAAGGCATGCTCCCAGACAGCCTTGGCGAAGTGCTCGAGAATTGGGATCCTGCAGCACACAAGAATGCTCGCAAGCCATCTGTGCTTTACGCCATTCCGACAGGCCAAAACCCGACTGGCACCACTCAGAGCCTTGAGCGCCGCAAAGAGATTTACAAGGTAGCCCAGCAGCACGATTTGATCATCTTGGAAGATGATCCATATTACTTCTTGCAGATGGATCCCTATACCTCTTCCTCTGCCGATAAAAGCTCTGATGCCGAGATTCGATCTTCTGCCGATTTTCTGAAAAAGCTCATTCCGTCATATCTTAGTCTAGACGTGGACGGTCGTGTTATCCGTATGGATTCCTTCAGCAAGGTGATCAGCCCCGGGGCTCGTCTCGGCTGGGTCACGGCTCCCGCGCAACTTATCGAGCGATACAAGCATCACACAGACGTTTCAACCCAGAGCCCTGCTGGCCTGAGCCAGTTGGCCGTCTTCAAGCTCGTAGACGAACATTGGGGACATGCAGGCTATGCGGAGTGGTTGATGCACTTGCGCTCAGAATACACAAAGAGACGAGACGTTATCATATCCGCCTGCGAGAGATATTTACCTAGGAAAATTGTTAGTTGGGAGCCAACAGAGGCAGGCATGTTTGTAAGTAAAACGCATCATTCATACCCTTCTTCCTACCATTTAGCTAACAACGTGTTGCAGCAATGGCTCAAAGTAGACTGGAAACAACACCCCGATGCCAAAACCAAGTCGGCTGACGTTCTCGAAGAAGAGATTTGGCTGGAAAGCATCTCGACGGGAGCGCTGGTTGGTCGCGGAAGCTGGTTCCGTGCATCGGTAGACGTGGCGCACGACGAGGTCTTTTATCGGACGACTTTTGCTGCGGCACCGCTGCCCAAGATTGAAGAAGCAGTAAAGCGGTTTGGCGAGACAATCGAAAAGGTTTTTGAAATTGGGCTCGTGAAGATAGAGGAGAGTTGAGTCGAGAGAATACAGTGGCGGTTTGGCCGTGGCTAGGGAGCTTCAAAAGTGTATGACTAGCATAATAAGAAAGTATCTGCGAAGCTGACAAATGAAATATTTTTCATACAGAACCTAGACACTATCGAATGACTATAGGTTCGTGTTTGTAACATCGAGATGTTAATTGCTTTCCGACTTATTCGCGTTCTGATTCTTTGGGCCGGCATGTATTTCTCCGTTGCCCGGCGCAGAGCTGCGCCTGAGATCCATTCGCTAGATCGCCCCTACTCAGCGACGCTTTAATCTTTCCTTCCAACAAAGAATTGTCCAAAACTGATACCAACGCTTCTCGATTTCCTTCCTTCTTCCTTCTTTTCTCTTCATTTCTTTGTTCAACTACTGAAATTTGAGACAACAAGCATTCAAGCAACAATTGCCGCCGTCACAGCATCAGCGTCATATCGATCGCGAAATCTTTGAAATGTCTTGATAAAGAAATCTGCAGAAATCTATCGCCCATATGTCGCCCATTAATCATACATCATGAGAATTATTTGCCAATCGCCTTCTTCGCCTTCTACTCCATGACAACAACGTACTTCTCGTCCGTCGTTCGCTTCATCAGCTTCTCGTACGCCTCCGCTGCCTGGTCAATTGGCACTTGCGTCCACTTGCTCTCCACGTTTAGCTCTCCAGCCTCAAACAGATCCTTGATGCCCTTTAGCCGCTGGGCCATCTCCTTGGGCGATGGATTCAGCGAGTTGCATCCCAGCAAGCTCAAGTCTGCTCGGTAAAAGTCTCGCATATCGAAGCTGATGTCCCTCGCGCCAGACTTGGGTGCTGAAATGAAAGCAAGACGGCCGTTCTTTGCCAGCTTCTTGAGCGCGTTGACCGTCAGAATGGGCGATCCAACGGTGTCAAGGACAACATCGACTCCGCGGCCTTTGGTCAGCGTGTCTACGGCCTTGAGCTCTACATCCTTGTCGGTGTTGATGTCGTCTCCTTCGTCTCGCGTGGCCTTGATGATGCTCGCGCCAATGTTTCTGATGAGCTGGACGGCAGACGATCCAACGGCACCGTTGGCCCCTATCACGAGAACCGTGTCGGATTCTGTGATGGATGCCCTCTCCACCATCTGCGCAGCCGTCGTGAAGGGAACGCCGAGCGTTGCTGCCTGGACAAAGGAAATGTTCTTCGGCTTCAGCACCACTTCGTCCTCGTGGATGAGGCAGTATTCTGCCTGAAACCCGTCCTTTGTAAAGGCATATGCGTGTCCGCTGGTGCCATACACCTCCTTTCCGACAAGCTCCTCAGGGCCTTCTTCAATGACGCCCGCATAGTCCCTCCCAACGACTCGGGGGTACTGAGTGTATGAAAAGAACCCCATAGCGTTGCCGACGTCACTGGGATGGATAGCCGAGGCATGGACTTTGACCAGCACATGGTTCGGAACAAGAGCTGGCTTTGGAACCTGGGTGAAAACCAAACGAGGAGACTCCGCAGCAGAGTCGCGAAGGAGGCGAAGAGCCTTCATTGTTGTTGAGGTACGTGACGGCATTTTCTCGGCTTCCTTTATTTTTCCTTCTCTTCTTTTGCCCAAGTCTCTTTGATCTTTTGCCACTTTTATCTCGCTTCTTGTTTCTCTGCTCAGTTGCCGCTTCTGATCTTTGTCAGATCTTCTTTCTGTCTCTACAAGATCCTGATTCAAATGCTGCAGTCGCTGATCCGAATAATATATGCTGATTGTTTGCAAACGCTCTTTATTAGTGTGTATTCATGTGATGGCTGATCAACTCATTCCCCAGGGGCCATTCCCGGGTTTTATATCCATCCATAGCTCGACCTTCATGGCAGATCCCGCGTGCCTAATCCACAAAAAAGCTATAGCGAAGATCAAACAGCCGCAACAAGCTCTGGCTAACTGCCAAAAAACCACTTGTTGGAGCTAAAACACACGCCGGTGAAGCCGCCATTCGGAATCATCGCCCTAATTCCCCAGTTCCCACGTTGTGTCCGGAATGGCTTTTGCGGCCCTGGCGGTCCCTGCGGTCCTTGCGGCACTTGCGGCTGCTGCGTGTATTGCGGCTGTTGCGGGAAAGATCTGAGTGTTGAGCAGATTACTGAGACTGGGTCTGATGTTGGTAAGCTGCATCTCAGCAATATAGCCAGGCACTGTCCCCGTTAAAAAATGGGAATGCAAAGAAAAAGACAACAAAAGGGATAACAAAACGATTCAACAAGACATTGCTGCAAGTTTTGGCTTGGAATTCACAATCTAATCAATGGCAATTTCACAATTACACCAACTCTTATCTCATCTTTGTTAATTCACCTATAACTGACTGTTTTGACGGTATTAGCCACCAACGGCTTACACCGCGAGGATGGCCTCCCAATCACAGTCGTTGAATGACACTGATACCATCAATTGGAACAACAACAGCAGCGGCAGAAACAATGTCCCAATATCAGAGTATGAAGAAAAGCAGCGATTACCAGATCTCGAGAACAACCAACCTTCTCATCGCCATGAGCCAGAACTGCCAATTGAAGACGGCAAATATTCCACCCAAGGACAACGCGACGAGGAAGAGGAAGAAAGTGGCGGTAACGGCGACTTGACGGCATCGACCTCACGAACCGCCACGGAAAGGCATCTCTCCCTCGAGCTCACTCCCAGCAGCATCCCGCCTCCCCAGTCTCTGGCCTTTGAGATTCCCTTTATATTCACTCTATGCATGGCTCAGCTCTTGGCCCAGGCCGGGTTAGGCCAGTGCATTGCTCCGTTACACATCATTGGAAACAGCTTTGGCACTCAAGATGCTGGCCAGCTCAGCTGGATGCCCGCTGCTTACAGTCTGACGGTTGGAACTTTCATCCTCATCGCGGGCCGCATGGGCGATCTCTTTGGCCACAAGATCATCTTCATCATTGGCTTCTGCTGGTATGCCCTCTGGAGTCTCCTGGCCGGCGTCAGCGTCTGGTCCCGGTCCATCATCTTCTTCGACGTCTGCAGAGCCTTCCAGGGCATGGGGCCTGCCTTTGCCGTGCCTTCTGCCGTGGCCATCATCGGCCGCACGTATCCCCCCGGCAGGAAGAAGTCTATGATTTTCAGCATGTTTGGCGCTACTGCTCCGGGTGGCTTCGTCGTTGGCGCTGTCTTTTCATCCATCTTTGCAGAACTGGTTTGGTGGCCCTGGGCATATTTTGTCATGGCCATGGTATGTGCTTTGGTCGCGTTTGCTGGCACCATCACCATCCCAGCAACCCCTGGCGCCGTGAAACTGCGATCTGAAGCACCGCTATGGAAGATCATTGATGTCCCAGGAGCTGCGGCAGGCGTTACCGGCCTAATCCTCATCAATTTTGCCTGGAATCAAGGTCCTGTCGTGGGCTGGCCGACTGTATATGTCTATGTGCTTCTGATTGTTGGGTTCCTCTTCCTGGGCCTGTTTGGCTGGATCGAGGTGCGCTCCGAATTTCCTCTGCTGCCGACAAAACTGTTTAGCGGCTCCTTGGGATTCGTCTTGGCTTGCGTGGGCCTCGGATGGTCCAGCTTTGGTATTTGGCTGCTCTACCTATGGCAAATCCTTGAGCAGATCAGGGGTTATAGTCCTCTCGAAGCCAGCGCGCAGTTCAGCACGGCCGCCATCTCTGGAGCGTGCGCAGCTTTCACTACCGGTCTCATCCTGGGCAGAGTGAGGCCCAGCATGGTGATGATGGCGGCGATGACGGCTTTTACCGTCGGAGGAATCCTGGTAGCAACAATGCCTCCTCATCAGATTTACTGGGCTCAGACATTTGTTGCAATCATTGTCATGCCTTGGGGAATGTGAGTATACATCATAATCAAGTATTCTAATCTTTCGTCGTCTTGCTAACTCGCTCTTGTTGCAGGGATATGTCGTTTCCCGCCGCCACGATTATCCTCAGCGAGGCTTTGCCAAAGGAACACCAGGGCCTTGCTGCCTCCCTCGTCAACACCGTCATCAACTACTCCATCTCCATCGGCCTCGGCATCGCAGGCACGGTGCAATCTCAGATCAGCCCCGGGACCACAGAACAAGAAATACTGAAGGGCTGCAGAAGTGCGTTTTATGTGGGCATTGGCCTCAGCGGGCTTGGAGTTGCGGTAGCCGCGCTGTTTGTCCTTGACGAAAACAGGAAACATGTCAAGGAGCGTCGTGGGGGAAGGGAGTGAAAGAAAACAAGAAAACAAGAATCCCATTGAGTGTTGGCCTCTTGTTTTTAATGTATAATCTCAACTTTGCATTTTGTAAGATGGCGTTTTCACGGTTGGATTTACGGAAATATACGCATTGGGGGTGAGCAATGGATGCTCACCGCATACCATCAAAAGCATTTTGAATTCGAATAGACATTAATAACTAGTAAGCATATAGACATAAAAACATATATACAAAACTTGATGTACCGTTAGGTATATCAATTACACCCACCAATGCATTACGTCGTTAAATGAACTGATACCAAGCATTAGCCGTAAAGGAGTTTCCATGTACTGCAGCATCGATGAAAGATGTCCTCTACCTGCAACGCAATCAAGGAATCAAAACATGGGCGCTCTGTTTACCAATGGCATCTTTTGGTTTACAGAGCCAGAAACAAAACGGCGCCAAAGATGGCTGTGAAGCCAGTCCAATACATCAAGCCCACGGCGTCGTGCCGTCCAACCGCCGCGGATGAAGTCGTCGCAGCAGCCGCTGTTTGCGAATTTGCGCTCGTGGCGTGATCAACCTTTGTTCTCGTCCCCGTCATTGTAGGACTACTAGAAGAGCTGCCATCCGATGTCGGTGCTGCCATTACACCTCCAGCAGTTGCTGTCGCACCTTCATCATCATCACCACCACCACCAGTAGCAGTTGCAGTTGCAGTTGCAGACGCACCGCTACCCAATGGGGGACATCCAACCGGCTTCGTCGTAGTCGGCGATGGACCGGGAAACGTGCTCGCAAAAGAAATCACCGACCGCACAGGCGCCTTGAACTCGCCGCACGACAGCGCAAACATGAGATACTCGCCGCCCCAGAGCGCATTGCACGAGCCGTTGCCGTAGTCGCCGTAGAGCGCGTCGGGGATGTAGTTTGCGATGCCGTCCGTGCAAGCACAGTCCTGGAAGAAGAGCAGCGACGGCCTGGTGGTGCCGTCGGCGCAGTAGGGCTTCTGGGAGACGCGGAAGCTCCTCGACAAGGAGCCCAGCGGCGAGGCGGGCATGCAGACGTCGAGGGGGATGGGCGCGGCCTCGGCCTGGATGCGGTCTTGGCATTTGTCGTCGGAGTAGAAGTCGAGATTGCCGCCGTGGGAGCCGCTCGCGGAGACGTGGAGGCTAAAGCCAAGGCTAAAGGCCAAGACGGCGAGAGTCTTGGCGATGGAAGCCATTGTGAAGTAACTCCAGAGAAGCTGACTCGAGATTTCAAAAGGAGCGTCAGGGGTCAACTGAGTTGGGTCTTTTGGGTTTGTGGAAATTAGCGTGGGACAGAATAGCAGAGAAACGAGCGTGTTATGATTGCTAAACTATCAAAAGAGCAAGAAAGGCGTCACTCTCATCGTGAACTGAAAAGGCAAAAATTCATCGTCAGTCGACATCCATTAACACGGGACCGTGGTCTGGACGCAACTGGGAGTGGGGCGACTGAATAGAGAAGTGGCCGAGCTAGGAAACACTCTCGGCTTACCATGGCATTATGGCAACAGGTCCGGTTTGAGATTAAAATAGACTAGCTATTGGACGACTCAAAAACTGGTTGGAGGGGAAACTTGCTTGGATCTGAGCAAGGCATTTTGAGAAAGGCGCCGCAACAAAACTCCTGCAGACGACGAGAATTAGTTCCCAATCACACAACGTCAACACAAAGGTTTCAATCAGCCTTGGAGCTTGCCTGCAACTTTCCAACGGCCTGAAAACCACTCCAAGTTTTCTCGTAGCTGATTAGCGTCTTCAGGAGACGCTCCATCGGGGCACATCTCATCCAGGTCTACTGCGGCACGGTAGAGGCAGCCCAGACCGGCGAAGCACAGTCTCTCAAGGCCTTTGTCCCGCGTCCTCATTATGCTGCCCTCAACTCGGCACATTTCAAAGGCAATGTTGTAGGCAAATTTGATGTCGATGTTGAGCTTCGCGTCAGCGGTAGACCCGATGCGTTGGACTCGTTTCTTATAAGCGGATACAACGGCGCTGCTCTCTGAATTAGTTTTCTCGTCCCAAAAAGAGACAACGCAGGTGTAATAAAGAACAATGTAGAAAGGGTATAATTACCTTAGAGCCATGGAAATGCCTTCGCACACAGGATACGACTGCTCCTTTGAAGCCGCATGCTTCCGGACAAGCTCGTGGAGAAGTTTCTCGGCTTCAATACAGTTTGCCGACGCTGGATCCCCATTAACGGCTTTTATTGCTTCACCGACCAATAGAGCTGAGCGGGTTCGCATTCGAAACATGTGCACTCTATCCATGTACGATAGTCCGTCTGTTTCCAAATAGGAAATTGCCTCGGGTGGCAATATTTCCTTTGTCGGGATGAGAAGAGTGGCAGAGCTATCAGCACAAGAGAGTACAATGGAACTATCATTCCAGTTAGAATTGTAAACCTTCGCTAAGAAATGGGAGGTGGGAGACTCAACCGATCTAGAGAAACTATACCCGCCCAGCATCTTTTAAGAACCGGTGCAAGAACATCTTCTCGGCGATGTTCCAGCTGCCTGATGATGCCAAAACATGCCCCCAACGTGGTTGTAGCCTTCTCGCTCATACCATGTCCGCATTCATAGGCAGTTAGCAGCAGGCCGGCTTGCAGCTTTGTGGCGTGCGAGAAGACATCGCCAGATGCCTCGACCAGGGAAAAGATCCGGCTCGTGGTCTTGTGAAGCGAGCTGTTGGATGTGTGGTTGGGGTGGTAGCAGGGTGCCTGGTTCAGCAAGTACATGCATAATAATAGCAATGCAAGAACATCCTTGTGGATGTCGGACTCTTGCATGACCAGAAGGTTGAAATTGACGTTTGACTCCTCCAGGACGGGCAGCCAGGAGTAGCCTGTAGCAAAGTGTCTATCCCAGACCTGCTGCGCGGAAGTACCGCCATAGGCGAAGATGTCTTCTGTCAAGTTCATCAAACGCTTTGTGTCAGTCTGTTTTGGGTATGACTCCTGACTTTGGCAAGCAGCCCATAAAAGTTGCCTTTCTCCTACTGGGGTAAGCTCGAGGCCGCAGGACTCGCGCTGGATGGCCAGAGGTTCGCTCCATCTGAGCTTAGTAACCGGCTCTGCTTCAAGCGGCCTGTTGTCGCCATATTCGCACCTGGACAGTTTTCTGTTCGGGTCAGTTTCTAGCCTCAATCGTGACAGGCAAAAGACGGGTCAGACTTACAAGGCGCATCGCGAGCACCTGGGCAGCCGCTTGTCACATTTGCGCTTGTGGAGCTGGCAATGGCGACAGGCTTTAGGGGCTTTAATCTCCATTGGCGTATCAGGTAGCATGCCGGTCGATTGAACATCGGTTTCTTTGTAATGTGAAGGTGAAGATGGGACTTGGGGCACGCTCAACTGATTTCTTGCAGTTGGATAAACTTGCAGCTGACGAGACAGACAGGGGGCGGCAGCTTGACTCGCGGATTTCTAAGCCTCAGATCGAATCTGACAGGGGGGCGGCCGCATCCCGGTCGTGGAACTATTCCTCATCTAGAGAGGTTGCTCGCAGCGGATTGGCCAGCAAGGCGACAAGATGGCGGCCGCTCCCATGAAGGGTGCCACTCACTAGTCCAAGCCAAACTCGCATCCGTATAATCACGGACGTTTGAAGATGGCTAGTATGAATCGTAGGAATTGTATGAACTGTATAGACGAGCGATGTGGAAGAGCAGAATGAAACGGATTACAACTCTGTGATTTCTAAGCTTTGGTTGTCCGTTCTCCTATATAAGTATGTAGTTGAATGCTGGTGAATGCTTCAGTTGAAAGCACAGAAACATCAATCAATCAATCAACACTTCATCCTATACACTTGTCAGCAGTTCCATCCCTGGACTTTCAAAATGTCAGAGTTTGCCGAAGTCCCTACATACACCAAAGTGTTCCATCACGAACCTTATGCGGCAATCTTGCCCACTCGCCCAGAATTGTCTACCAAGGGAAAGCATGTTGTCATCACCGGTGCCGGAACTGGTATCGGAGTGGCAATAGCACTGTCGTTTGCTCAATCTGGTGCTTCAAGCATTGCTCTGCTGGGACGAACTGAGGGTACGCTGCTCAAGACCAAACAGGCCGTCAACGCCACATACCCCGAGACGGCCGTCCACGTCGTCACTGCAGACGTTGCCAACGAAGCATCTGTGCGGGTCGCGCTGGAGAAGTATGCTTTGAGCGCTGGGAAAAAGCTGGATATTCTCGTGGCCAATGCTGGAGTCTTTCCCGGCCCGGGAACGCTGCTGGGCACTGATGCGTCGTTATGGTGGTCGGGATATGAGATCAACGTCAGGGGCAACTTTAACCTCGTTCGAGCCTTCGTGCCTCTGGCAGAGAAGAAGGCAACTGTCATCAACGTGACGACTTCAGTGGCCCAGTTCCCCTTTGTGCCGGGATCCAGCGCCTACCACGGATCAAAGCTAGCAGGCACCAAGCTTTTCGACTATCTGCATTTTGAAAATCCCGAATTGAGGGTGTTGCAGTTCCACCCCGGCGTGGTGCAGACGAGCATGTCTCAAAAGTCGTTTGACGCCGGAATTCCGAGGCCTGTGATGGACGATGGTAAGTAACAATGAAAATGAACTTTACTGAGATCGAATTATTTACTAACATTGTGTCAAAAACAGCATCTCTACCCGGCGCATTTGCGGTTTGGTGCGCGAGTGCAGAGTCAGAGAGTCTCCGAGGCAAGTTTCTGTGGGCGAACTGGGACGTGGACGAGCTCAAGGCGAGGGAATCGCAGGGCACTCAGCAGCTGACGATGGGGCTTCTTGGGTGGCCGTGAATGGATGAGGAGTTATCGAAAGAGATGTAATTGGGAGCGTAGATGAGAACTGGTGGCTATTTGTGGCAATTGACTGTGATGGACATTTTATTTTACACTGGTCTCGGTCAATGTGAAGTTGAAGTCTCGCCGTTGCTCTAGCTGGCTCTTGCTGGCCCTTGCTGGCTCAAAAGTCCCTGTTCTCAATCAATGGCTGACATAACCCACAGCAAGCTTCAGCGCATTTAGCGATGGCGCCTCGCCCAATCACGCCATACTCCAGCGCACCACCAGCAACTATAGCGCCTTTCAGCTGCCAAATGCCCCGCACCGCGCGATGGGCGCGCTGTAGCTCTTACACAGCAGTAAGCCGGAAGGCGCCAAGATGCTGTCAAAGTAATGCCTTGTGTCGATCAATTCGGCATCATCTGGCCATATTTGCACGCCAAAGTCGATGATACCAATGGCAGGTTATTTCTGCATCACAATTGAGGCCTGGCAGCTTATCAAAACCAAAGAGCATGTTCAAGGTACGTGCCTGCAGAACAGACTACCGGGGCCTGTAAAAGGGCCATGCTCGGTTCGTGCCGGATTCTCTCGTCTTATTCAAAACGACGCCGTGTTGCCATCTGTCCTCTATTAGACATGCATCTAGGCCTCGTGATTCAGTTGCATTGGGCTACTATGCATATGCATGCCCATCACAGATCCTTCTTTCCCATTTCATGTGTCTTCTCCTTTTGATAGTTGTGCATTACACACAACACTGCACTGAATATCAACACCTTCTCTACCGCCTCACAACTTCAGTACACAGGCACATGTATTCTTCTACTTATGCCACTCAGCAACGATCAAACTTTCCTTCTCCCCCTGCACCCAAAAGATCCTCTCGCTCCTATTTTTACCACCTATCAGAAACCACACAACTCCAATCCGGCAACGCGAGTGCCGAACGATGAACGAAACAAACGCCTTGCACCGAATTGGATCCGAACAAGAGAAAAGCGGGGGCCGTCAACTCAGCTAATAAATTGCTTGTGCTCCCGAATCCAATCAATCAATCATCATTGAACCCTCCAAAACCAAAACCTCGTACCGCATCTTCAACTCAGCCACAACTCGTTTCCGACTCTCCTCTTCTCGTACACTCATTCGAAAAGTCTCGCTCTCTTCTTTCAAACAGCAACTCTGTCTTTTCTCTCTTTTCTCTCGTCTCGTTTCTCCCAGTTACTCTCCTCGGCCATGGAGCCAGACCCTATCTCCGAGCTGCCGCGCCCCAAAGGCCGTCAACGCGCCAAAAAGGCCTGCACCGAGTGCCGTCGCCGCAAGCGCAAGTGTGACGGCCACTCGCCCTGTCTCATGTGCTCCCAGTACGACTACGTCTGCCGCTACGAGGAAGAGGCCGGCCTCGTGCACAGCCTGCCAAAGCGGCCCTTTGAGGCAGATTCCAGGCGCGGCGATGCCTCCAACGCCTTCCGGGTCTCGTCGCCGTCGCCTGAAGACTCCAGCCGGCAGGATCCGAAGACCCCCACAACGCCCGTCTCGCCTCTCAACCGCGGCGTCATCGAGCCCGCCAAGCGCCGGTACATGAGCCAGAGCTCGGCCGTGGCGTTTCCCAACCAGCTGGGCGTCGAGCTCAAGTCGCCGCATCCGCCGCGGCTTCACTCGTTTGGCTGGAACTGCGGCATCCGGTCCGAGGAGCAGGGCTCCGTCCACACGCCGTTGACCGAGTTTGTCTCGTGGGATGAGTGCCGGCGCTATGCAGAGGTTTACTTTGCCAATGTCGATGCGCCCTTTCACCTCTTTGACAAGGCCAAGTTCCTGCAGCAGTGCGAGGTCTATTACAGCGGGCCGAACCAGCATCTGGTCCTTGGGGCCGTCATTGGCGGCGTCGTTGCTCTCGGCTCGCTCTTTTCCTTTCGCCAGGGTCATGCGCTCGAGTCCGAGATTGTCAAGCATGTCAAGGATGTTTTAGAGGACTCGGTTTTCAGCCGTCTGCCCTCCGTCGACCAGGTCAATGCCTGGATTCTGCGGACGCTCTATCTGCGCGCAACTACACGGCCGCATCTCACGTGGCTTGCGTCTTGCAACGTCATGCATCTGGTCGAAGCTGTTGGTCTTCACCGTGACATTGACTCTGATCTCGTCACTCAGACCGTCGAGGCACCGGCTGTGGAGGACGAAGGGCACAAGAGAACCTTTTGGATTGCGTGGTCCGTCAACACTCTGATCGCCTACGAATACGGCCGCTCAAAGATTCACTTTGACGGCGTTGAATCTCGACTGGTCCCATTCGCCGACGACAGCGATGCTGGCCTCCAGGTTCGCATGGCTAGAGCCTTACCAAACGAGGGCTCTGGCGGCGATGTTGTCAGCGTCAGTAGGTCGCTTGAAAACGCCATCTTCAAACTGAGCGAATTGGGAGACATCAAGGGCTTTCCAGCTCTCACTCGAGGCGATATTTGCTTTTGCCTCTACCGGCGCCTCCGCCTCCTCAAGATCAGCGTCAGCAGAGACACCGTGTCCCATATCCTGACCATTGGCCATACTGCCGTTGAAGCAGCCTCTGAATTTGCGCAGCGAGAGATTCCCTGGTGGAATGTACTCGGCACAACCTTTCAGTTCTTCTGCGTGCTTCTCGCCATTGACAACTACGAGAGTCTGGCTCAGGTTTCGTGGGTTCACGCCAAGCTTCGAGAGGTCTATCACAGGTTCGAGACACGCATGGGCTTGGAAGCACTCGAGGCGGCTGCGACGCTGAGGAAAGCGCTGCTGACCAAGAAGCAGCAAGAAATCAACCTGTTGACACCGGAAGATCAAGTCTTTGCTCCCTTTCCAGAGAGGGAGTTTACTCCGGATTGGGACGTTGTGTTGAATCCATACTACACCACGGGGGCCTTTAACTTTACCGATTTCGGTGGAGTGTGATTGGCAATATCTGATATGAGTTTATCCATTCCAAAGTCCGTCTGAGGTTCGACATCAGACTCAGCAAGACAAAGACAGTACTCAAGCTCCCCCCATCAGGCTTCGATCTGCCAGTGGTTGGCGTGAGCTCTACACTGTTGGCAATGACGAGAAGGATTTATCAAATGCCTGATTCACGGAGGATCCAAGAGAGGAGATGCCTCGAACGTTCGATTCATGGAGGATTCATGATAGGAGATGTCTCAAACGTCCGATTCGCGGAGATTCATCACAGAGTTAGTCATTCCTGCTCGAGCCATTTCCCCCTATTATCATCTCATGGTACGCTGTACTAACTCGGAACAGATGCAATCATCGAGCACTCCGTCACCAGGCCAAATCATCACCCGTCATGCCTATCCAATGGGCTCTCTTCGAGGCATGGAAACCCAAAGATGGTTCTGTAGACATTCACTGTTTCCTGATGGTGCCGGAGGTAGCCGAGAACCCACAAACTGCCGGTCAGCCTTAACGGGAGAGAAAAAAGAAAGGAATCTAGGCAGCGTCTGGGACAGTCACGATATAGCAACTCCACGCCCTTTGGCCGGCCATGCCCATGTCACGGTGGCTGTCGTCAAAAAAAGTGACTGATGAAACCACAGCATCTTGAAACAAATTTGCCAAAAAAGACTGTTTCCTGCATTCGGCATGTCGCTTACTGCGGCAGGGGGGTAGAGTGTTTCAATCCCAATTTGATCAATCATGGTTTTCCTTTTCTATGGCACCGGCTTTGACTTCCGAAGGCGCGCCTACAAGTTGGTCACCATGACCATGCGACCCAATATTCCAGATCTTCTCCAAAATATCCCCAGAAAAGGCAATAGATTCCCTTCTATTCTCACTCCCCCCCGTTCCCTTGAAATAAAAATAAATATATGCAAAAAAACATAATGGGAACAAAAACAGGTGGATCTAGCCCGCTAGGCAACTCCAACCAACCAATCCACAAATTTGTCTAGCAGAATAGAGAGGTATTCCTTGCAGAGAGTAAGCAGTTCCTGTAAGTAAGATCACTAAACCATACGAAAACCACCAACCACAGTCTTCCCACCATGGGGAGAGGGGTTCGGTCTGTCTCACTAGAAAGAGATTAGACAAAAGTCAAAAAGGGCGATTTTAAGAGCCATTTCCTTTTCCCGATGAGTCTTTTCCGAAACTCGGAAAAATAAAATAAGAGAGAAAAGCAAGAAGCGAGAAGCAAGAAGCCAGAAAAGGGAATGAGGCATCGCCGCGCTAAGAATGGCTGCCTTGCCGGTGCAGTAGCGCAAACCGTGTTACTCACACACCGCGACAAGGCAGCGAATGGAGCGTTTTGAAACGAACCGTAGAGTGTTTGCCTAATGTTCCAAGTCAGGTGCCTGGTATGATGATTCAAATGTCATGCATGGGCGCAATTGAGCGTGATGGAATGGACGATGCACATTATCTGTGGGCATACATGTGACAGAAACGATATCGACGTTCAATTCACGCTTTTTGAAGGATGAATGTTGATGCAATAGTCCACAAGTAATGGGCATAATGGGTCACGGCACTGCAAAGGTATGCAAAGATGATGTTTTTAATAAGGTGAATGTGAATTCGTGCAATCTAAAAGTATGGCTGCCCAATCTAGTAATCTAAGTGGTGATGTTTCTAATGCTGGAAATAACAAGATATGCTTCTCATTCTGAAAACAATGTCCAACGCTTTGCCCTTGACTCGTTCGTAAAAATGAATTGCCAGAAAATGTCAAAACGCCCTTTGCTCTTGTAGAATGTGAATTCCCAGCAAAGTATGTGTTGTTGCCTTTGTCTAATAAAAAAAAAGAAGTCGCGCTCCCCCCAAAAGTCCAAGTTGCGAAACAAGGTTACAAATCGTCGTAAAGCTCACAGTTGGCGGTCTGTAAGGCTGTTGATCATCCGTAGCTGAGGCATCAGAGGATAAAGAAGCCAGATCAGAGAGACATCTATGACATGGAGTAGCGGCAGTTGTCGCATCGCCAGGCGTGGCACATTGGGCAAGAAGCGTTGATGTCGTAGTTGTACCATCCGCCAGAGCACTTGCACTATATGATACAAGTCAGCCATCGTAATAGATCGAGAAAGGGGATGAGTTGGTTAAACGTACGCACTGCCACAGCTGTGGCCTTCCGGACGAGGCGTACATCGGTCGAGAAGACGATGAGCTGTGCGAGCTTTGTCCAGAGCTGCGGTGGCTGCCAGAGCATTCGGTGCTAGAGACACGAGTCAGTGTTGGTTCGGCCCTGTTGGAAGTGTATATGGCGGGCACTAACTGCCGGCAAGAAGGCATGGTTGCAAAGTAGATAGTCGAGAAGACGAATAGATGGATAGTCAAGCAGTAGATGGGACGACTGTTGGTTGTCTGAGCGAGTCTTGTATGAAGATGAAACGGCCAGGAGAACTGATGAGTGAAGCTCTCTTCTGAAACACGTCCAGACCTTTATATATACTCAGGATCTCTTCATGGCGCAGTGACACTCATGATACTCCAAAGCCCAAAAACAATATCGAAGCCCACGATTCTCTCCTGAGTCACAAGTCCTAGGCCACCAAAATGAGTGGGAACACCTTCGCCCTGGGGTTGAAGATGCCTAGGAAGGAGAGACAAGAAACACTGCCCTCCATCGAAGGCTACCATCAGCCAATATCAAACATTGCAGCCAATAGGAGCACGAGGACAGCCTCTTCTTCTGTTTCCCAGACGGCAATGTGGCATTCTGATTATTCCTTAGAACCACGGCAATGACGTGCAGAGGAAACTGGGCATCATTTTGAATCGGCACACCGGGAGTCCAGACCCGCTGATAGGGCGAAACATGGGAAAACGCCTGCAAGGTTGGCCCGCTGATAGGGCGAAAAAGAGACGCTCGACTTTCAAGGGTCCCGTCCTTGGGTCCGGCGAGGCATAGAAGCGGTTCTGCGCAGGTCAGTGCGCTCGCCGGGGAGTTCCTGTGAGCTTCCATGGACGTTCGTCCGGGGCGCCATTAGCACTCGCTTGGCATGTGTGGCCTGTCAGCAGACCGAGCACTAATGCTGCTAGCACTACTAGCAGTAATTGCAACAGCCGGAATCCCTAGTATAGAACTCTCAGCAGTTAGTGTTGGCGGTTCAGTGCATGTATGTGGGTGATGGCTCGTTTCTCAGCGAGGCCTCACCTCTCTCGCCTCGAGTCGCTCGCCTCACACCTCGACTTTCAACACACCATCGCACACCCGGGAAGTCGGTGCGGCGCCCCGCTCTGGAACCGGTCCTTCCAAGAGAAAAAAAAATACATGTCCACAATCCTCCTCATTTCTCCAGCCAGCCAGTCAAGTCTCGGGGAACGCAAAAGAAAGATCGAGAGCGCTCGTCGGTAGGCAGCCGAGCAAGACTCATTGCGCACGGACAAAGTCGCAATCTTGGACTTTCTGGTACGGGGATGATGCTGATGATGCTCTTCGTAACATGATCCCACAATAGGCGTCTTTAGCCGTGAGAAGGAGAGAATAAACGTAAGAGGGAAAAAAGTATCAAAATGGAATCCCTGTAAAAATGGGCTCCGTTTAGCGTTGACGAACCCGTAACGAATCTCATTGCAAAGTGTCGAGTTGAAGGCGAGTTGAAAGCCAGAACTGCTGGGGCTGTGTATTGGACCTTACCGCTGGAAACCACAGGCAACTAAAATCAACTCCCAAAACCCAAAGTCACGAGCCTTCCTCAGCGCCCCAGGCCAAAGAAATGGGCAGTGCCCCAGGCCATGACCGAAGCTCTTCCAAACGCAGCTCCAGAGCCCCAAAGCCCCAGAGCCTCAGAGCCTCAGAGCCCCAGGCAAGCTTCCAGGCCACAGCAAGGCAGCAGCAGCAGCTCCATTTTCCCACGCAGAGAAAGCCCCGGCTCTGGATATAGAGCGAGACCAAAGTGGACCCGTCGGAGGTGGCCGCTGGTCCTATAAGCAGCAGCGCTTACTCTGTACTCTGTATGGTGAGCAGCAGGTAGCCTTGCGGTTGGCTTTGCCCTGGTAAAGTCCTAGTCGACCAGTTGCGTCAGGCAAATAACGGCCAGACGAGGCAGATCGCAGAGTCAATAGTGTCGCTTGATTTCAACTAAGAGATGGGACCCAGCAGCTTGCAGTTGCACTGCTAGCAAAGACAGGGCAGTTCCCAGTTTCGCTTCTAGAGCGTCCCCACAGCAAGTGGCTCCCAAATCCCGCATTCCACGGCCCGCGGCTTGGTGGCTCGATTTGGCTGGGCGGTACCTTGCTTTTTGTATTTTTTTTTTATTTTTGTTTATTTTGTTTCACTTGACGTCATGCACGAAGCGCATCATCGCCAAAATGCAGGTGCAAAGTGGAAGTCGCGTTGCGATGCGGCTGCAGAAACCAGCAAGAGCCAGGGAGGACTGCAACTATTCGCTGCCGCTCTCCCTCGTCACGCCCTCTCGTTCTCCCCTCCTCTCACTTCTTCTTCACCCACTCACTACGCTCTCACTTTGTGATCAACTGAGACCGCAACAAGACGCTCCCCCCGACTACCTGGTTCTCTGCGCTCACTCCCTCCTGAGAAAGTCAAGGCTGCATCGCCCAAAACTTTGCCCAGACTTTGTTTTCTGTGAAAAGTAAGAGAGTCAAAACACCCCGTGGGTCCAAGCTCGCTCGATCCTCGCCCTGCTTTCTTCTTCTTCACCCTTCGAAGGATTCAAGCCTCGATTTCTCAGTTTTATAACCCAAAAACGCAAGTCGCCGAGCAAAGAAAAGCCTGCACTATGACTCGCTCCAACCTCTCCGTGAGCTATTTCGCCTTCACGGCGCTTCACCTTGTCTGCTTTGCGCTTGCACTCGCCGTCTGTGGCCTTTACGGCACCGACCTGCAGCGTGCGAAGCATTTTGACGAGTATACCAACTCCAAATGGGTAAGCAAAATCAATGGCGTCACACGCAAGGAAGAAGAATGTGATGGAGGAGCAATGCACGAAGCACGCTGTGTTCCCATGTAGCTCCATCAAAGGGTCATTGCCGAGAACAGAAGCACAGAAAAGTCGAAGGAAGAAATCAAACTAACGCCCGTCTCCATCACAGGTCTATGCCGTCGTAGTTGGCGCCTTGTCGGCAGCCACATGCGCCCTCTACTTCATTCCCTTCATCATTGAGGTCGGCGCCATCATTGTTGCCGCCTGGGATATCGTTCTCTTCATTCTGTGGATCACTCTCTTCGGTGTCTTTGGCAAGGTACGTCCTCATTCCGTCCAGCCTCCAAGTAGATATGTGTTGCACAGAAGCATTCCCAAGAGGAGGAAAAGAAGACAGAAGACAACAGACTGCTGTGCTACCATCTTTTCTTTTCTTTTCTTGTCCAATACTGACATGTCAACTCGCACCAGATGTACATTGACGAGAATGCCCACGGCGACGGCAACATCGAGCGCATGAAGCATGCCGTCTGGGTCGACCTCACCAGTGCTCTGCTCTGGCTGGTTGCGGCCGTTGCCTCGTTCACCTACTGGTGGAAGCATCGCAACAATCGCAGCGTCTTTACTGGCCGTGCCAAAGTCTAGAGGCCCTTTGGTGACCAGGGTCGCCCCTTTCGCACAGTTCGCCCCGTTCGCCCAGTTCGCCCTATCCGCCCTGCTCGCTCTCTTAGGCGTGACGGGTGGTGAGCACACCTATATCATGTCCAATCTTGCCCGCAAACGGCATGAGGGGCGTCCATCTGCGGCAATTTTAGCGATTTTCTCGAGACGGGATATCTGATGTGTTGACGATGATGCGGGAAAATGGAAAAAAGAAAAAAAAATTTACTGTACTAATAGTATGATACCCTGATACCCTGATACCCTGATACCCCTCTGATTCGTTTGGGAGAGTAGATAGGATGTGGGGAAGGGAAATGGGATATTGAGACAAGGAAGATTTACGAGAGCAACTTTGGCCCCATCGGTTGTGCGAGGGGAGATACAATATGGACGGACAGATGAAAAGAGAACAAAGCCTCATTATGGGCTCCTTGCCCTGTCCGTAGAATAATCAATCTGTTTTCTCAGCTTGAGACTTTTGACCACATCTCACGAGTGTCTCCATACCTAAGTAGTAGGATGTTCATGGCATGTTACCATCGGCAGTACTAGCATGTCCAGGCTGTGGATGGCTGGAGTGGGGAGATGTATCGGCATCAGCAGCATATACAGTACCCATCACCAATCATCCATCGTCTCTATCCAGCATTGTTCAAATACGCGCGACGGGGATGGCAACGTGGACGCACGATATGCCGCCAAGAGTCAAACAGGCAAGATACAATGGCAGACTTTCGGCTCTGTTTGGCCCAGCCAGCTCCAGTCCACGGACAAGGTTGCCGAAGGGGCCCCCCCCCATCTCCGGGATTTCCCCAGACCGCGGAGGGACCAAAGCAGCCCTCTGACTCGACCGCTGAGGAAGCACGAGATCCGGTGATGGCGTTGCACCCAAAGTGGTGCCCGACCATGTCCCTCGGATTATCACTGCGTTGTGGTGTCGTCGACGACTCGCAGTCGAACATAATTTGTAAACATGGCAATACATGGTGGCTTTATCGAAAAAGGGAGAAAAGAGCATCCTGACGGCGCTTACGAATCCAATCAACAATTGCAATTACTCGAGTAAGAAAAGACAAAGAGGCGTTTCCCTTTCGGAGAAGATGTTCCACACGGGCTTGGGGGCTTATCCCCCCTTTGGACGTGATAGCTTGGCCATGATCGGCAGCGGCAACACGCTACTGCGGTTTTATCGGAAGAAGGAAAATAAGAGACGAGAGACAAGAAAGGGAGAAGAGAACCAAAAGAAGAGGGAGAAGAAACAATTCCAGATTGGTTGACAAGGAAAAATAACAAGATCGTCGTGACGTCAAAAGCTGCCCAACATGTTGACCTCATTTTTTTTTTCTTTCATGTCCATCTCTCATCTTTTTGCTGGCACCCTATTCGCTCGGGTCGATTCTCCAGCATGCACTCGTTCATTTGTCAATTTCAACCTTGTCTGTTCTGATAAAGCAATGAAAGTTGGGATCGAATCCCTATTCCCCTTGTTCAGCGAATCGACAACCGAGCAAAATCTCCACATCCCGGCATAAATCACTGACACTGTTTTCCTGTTGGGTGACGTGGTTGGCGTTTTGGCGTCACTGGTGCAGCTGCTAGCATCGGCCTACGAGTACCGCGAAGGTGTTCTTTCAGGACCAAAAAGCCCAGACTGCTCTTTTTTGGATCATGGCTGGGCGTTTATCTACTTGGAGACTAAGGAGCGAGCAAAATGTTTGCCGTCCCAGCAGAGCGGAGCCCGAATACCATCTAGTACAGAGTAGCCCGTCCATCTTGGTATTTTATGTTTGGAAAGTCTGGATAGTAGCTACTAGCTGCTGTGGCGCAAAACAAGTTGCAACAGGTCTTAGGGGCTTGCATGGAGTCGTAAACAGCCCCCCCGATCCTTATGGAGCATTGCAAGTCTATCCATGTCAGCGGGGATTTTGAAGAGACCGATGGCTTTTTTTTTTTTTATCAGGGGCAAAGATGTGTGTCGAACAAGGCTGTCCAAACGGCCATATGCCTACTGTACATAGGTAGGTAGGTAAGGTTAGGTAGCAGATATGGCATGATGCAAAGGCTGGCTCACTGGTCATACGCAGACTTGGGCTAGTAAGAGAGAGAAAAAGCACCCCCGGCCAGCATGATGGCGGACTCTGTACTCGTACTTTCGAGTCAGCGGACTTGTGTGATGGGTGTGCATCTGGTCTCTACCTGTCACACCACCCATGAGGAGAGACAATAACAATTAGGGCAGTAGTACGGGTACGTTTTCGTCGTGCGTATCGAGGAGCCGGCGTGTGTTGGGTACATGTAGTTGTAGAAGATGGCAAAAGATGGGCACAACCACCAGCAAAGCAAGCTAGTAGCTAGTAGCTAGCTATGCACAAGAAAATCGAAGAGGAAAAGAAGAAGAAGATGTGAGTTTGAGACATGGAGCCGATCATTCGTGACTAGTATCTTTGTTTTGTTGCGTGTGCCTCAATGTCTCGCCCATCCCATCCCATGCCATGCCATCTTTGCGACCGCGGCCAGCCGAATCTCGTATGTGCATGCATACTGTGCATATTACTTGAGCGAGTCTCTTGGGAAAGGGAACGAGATCCACAGCTGATCCGTACTTGGGGCCCCTCAATTGGGATCTAAGCTATACGAATAGATATCAAAGCACATCATAACCATCTGAAAGCGTGATACGGAGAGCAAAGGGCTAGGAAACTCTGCGTTGTCCTGGGCTTGGCAGCATCACGAGTCGCCGCCGAGTGGCCTGCGGCGATTGCACTGGGTACGGCCTGCATGCGTTGTACCACGCTGTACGCCCGAGATTTTTGCGTCGAATACCAATATGGAAACAGCAACGGGATATCAAGCCGTCAAGCAGCAATTCTCGCCACCAATCACCGAGTCCATGAAACGGGGCCTGCGGTGTTGAAACTTTCCAATTCTCGACTTGCAAGGCGGTGGAGAGAGGATGGGAATCAGCCTTTCTCCGTGCATCCTGATCAAAGCAAATCCAATTACAAAGGGGATCAGGCAAGAAAGTGGATGAGAACAGACGTGTTCAACGAGCTGAGGACAACAAAAGCGAGCCACTCGTTGTCCTGTTATCGTGCAATGTGCTCTGTACGCAGTGGGGGGGACAAGAGACGCAGTCATTCGCGGTGTAAGCATACACGCAATCCAAGGACGGGTTTCGTACTCGTACTTGGCCGCCGGTGGGTTTGTACATCGTGATCATCAAACGAAAACAGCGTGCCGAGATGGAAGAGGCACAGGCAGGCGCAAAGGCAAGGTACGGTGCTGTACTCGGGAGAGAAATGGCCTCATCTGCGCCATCTTCTGTGCCATTCTCGCATCACAAACTCCACCTCGGAATTCACAGCTGGTGCTCCCTTCCGTGCCCCATTGCAGAGCAAGTACGGCAGCAAAACTTGCCGTGAGTATTATTAATTTGCAGCCATTGTTTTGGGTAAATACCTATATTTATGTCGAGTGCGGTTGACCGTGAGCGCCGTCGTACTGCCTACTCCTGGTTGAAAGTAGCTTCCTGTACATCATCGTCAGCGGGCTTGTCTTGCGATAAGGCTGCGAGGACAGGCACCAGGATGGTACGAGGAGACGCACAACCACGCATGTACCTGTACAGGGGCTATCCCCGTTGCATGGATTGAGCATCAAGGTGTCTGCCGCTTGTCACTTTTTGGGTTCCATCTACAGGTACCGAAACTTTGCAATCGCTCAGGAGAAACTGGGCGCCTCGTCCATGACAGCTCGGCAGCCAGCGCCAGATTGGCTTTTTGATTTTTTTAAACTGGATCGCGCTCGGAAAGTCTCTTTGGCTTTGCCGACACCAGGCAAGGGACTTGCTCTGCCTCCAGCCCACAGAGAGTGCAGCACAGTAGGCCTAGATGCTGGAGAATCAAGGGACCTCGATCCCTGAGCCATTGTCAGCTCGCTTAGCCCAAGGGTCCCCGAATTCGTCGTATCTGTACATAACCAACGCAGATGCCGCAGGATTGCCGATCAGCAGCCGCTCTGTCACTTTTTGTTGAGACCGGGCATCCTCTCGGTGAGGTGAGAAAAGCAACGGCCGTGGAAAATAAAAATAAAATCAAAGTGCAGCCAATGGCTTTTCCTTTTCCTCTTCCGTTCTTCAAAGGAAATCCGTTTGCCGCGGCCCCCTGGTCAGCCAATGACGACGAGGCCATCCGCAGTGCCCGCCACGTCCATCAGAGGCAGAGGCGGTGGACAAACGGGTGCTTGGCAAGGTGTACCTCCTGTTCAATCTGCACTGCGAACAGTGCCAGAGGACATCAATTGAAACACAAAAAGAGAGCGGCATCAGTAGGAATGAACTGCTGGACAGGCAGGGATGCAGATGAGACTGGGTCCGGGAGGCCGGCTTGGCGATCCAACGCTGGCCGCCCGCAACTAGCAAATAACGGAATTTGATGCATCAAAAAAAAATGATACCATGGCATTCTGTTTAGCCGTCTAGCGGTGCACCTTTGGGGGGCTCGTCTGTACCTTGTGCCACCTTTTTCTAACTTTGCCTTGGGGCCAAGGAATAAAAGTACAGCCACCTACACACACCGCACTGGCAAGAAACAAACTCAGGCCCACGGGGCTTTTTCCTTTTCGTTTCCTCCCTACAATCTGCTCGCTTACTAGTATAGCAGCCGAGCCCATGGCCAAAAAGAACCGAGGAGAAGAAGAAGACGACGAAGGAAAGAAACCCAATCCGCCAGAGCCCAAACGCCAGATACCCTCTTTTCCATTCGGCCCCGGGACCCGAACAGCAAAAACGAAGCTGCAAGTAGCCACAGCGAGAAGCTCCACCGCGCGCAACTCGACTGGCAAACATTTAGTGGCCCTTTTTTTCTGCTCACCTCCCAGCAAATGGCACCTTGAGGGGAGCCATTCTGTACGTTTCACAGCAGCAAGGCCCCTCCCCCCCTGTTCGGCTTGTACTGTGTGCTGCTGAGAGTTTGAATTCGTCAACGGCCAGCAGTAAAAGAGGCGTGTGTGAGTGCGTCCGAGTACATGTACGGTGCGGTGGCTTGTCTCTAGCCGTACTGCTGGCCGTTCTCTCTCTCTCGCTCTCTCTTCTCTCTCATATTCCCTCCTCTCCCTCCCCCCCTCTCTCCTCGCTCTGTCGTAGTAGTAGTACGGAGTACAAGTGTGCTACTTTGCTCTCCAAGGAGGCGTCAGGTCGAATTGCCAGCATCACACCTTATTGCTCCTGTACTGTACCCAGTGGGCTCATTTTTCCTGGCTGAGCCGCGGGCTCCTGATACATACATACTACCTACCTTTTGTTTTGTTCTGGCCTTTTTTTCCCATCGCTCTAGTTCACCCTATTTATCCCCTCCCCCCCAGGGCCTCAGGACCTTTTCCGCGCGGTGCAACAACAACAGGCTCACTGCCCTTTTCCCAGCATTTCTCATCCTGGCATCCTTACCTTGCCTAGGACTTTTCCCTCGTCCCTCAATTCAAAACAAACGACAAGTCCGCCATATCCCGAAATCTCGAGTCTTTTCATCCTTGCTCTCTCTTTCTCTCTCTTTCTTTTCTCTGTCGCTTGCTCATCATCTGCTTCGCCACTCATCATCTGGCATCCGGCAGTCTATATCCTCATCTTACTAAAGCTGCTTCTGACCGTCATTTACATCCGCAGCCACAGCCAAAGCCATTCTCCTGGCTGCCTGCCCCGTGTGACTCTCTTGACATCTTCTACCGAGTCAATTGCTCATCCGTCCTCTCATCTATTGCTTCGTTTCTGCCGACGACTCTATTTCTTCAATCACATTTCCTACAATTGCCGGGTTTGGCCCGCCAAGAGTGCATACCCATCAAAGTGCTTCCCTTCTCTAGCGACAAGACAAAACCTCGCAAGCTTACGGGGCTTGATCCGTGTGTCTTGCCCTCTCTAGCGACAAGAGACAAAACCTCGCAAGCTGGCTTGGGGGCTTCCATCTTCTCCAAGCCATCCGCCGTCTGAATGGGAAGCTTGGACAATTGGAGCTCCGACGAGGGCGACGGCCCCAGAGACAAAACTCCCCGGTCCCACAGGCCCAGCTTCCAGACGCCGCGGCGTAGCATGAACCGCTCAAAGTCCATACTATCCAATCTCTCGGAGATGTCTGCGTCGGTCGCCTTTGGCGCTCCTTGGTACCCAAACGACTCGGACAGGTACGGCCACTGGTCATCTGACCGCCGAGCGCCGAGGACGAAGACTTCCTCTCGCGACATTGACGACGACTGGTCCGACGAGCCTTACGACGACCGAGACCGCTCTGAAGAGGCCTCGGGCTCCGACAATGACGAGAGCAAGCAAAAGGTCAAGCGGCGACAGCCCACGAGTAAGTGAAAAGACATGACGATTGTTTTGCCCCATCTCTTTTAGTCCTTCTCTCTGTTCCTGAACATCCACTCCCTTTTGAAGCCTTTCGTCATCCATTGATACACATCTCTTTTGATCACGCTTTCTTGTTTTCGTCCGATTGTTGTCGTGATCTCTCCTCGATCCTTTTTTCCACTGTGTTGCCATACCACGGACTATTCGGAGATTTTTATCTTCCCCCTTCTTCTAGTCATGTCTCGGCTGGCTATACCCGGAACCGACCCAGCACTGGGAGACAAAAATGACGCCAGCTCAGTCCACAAAAACCATTGCCATAGTCGGCGCTTAGACCCGTCTGTCAAAAATCCCCACAGGAACCACAGAAGAACCATCGCGGGGTACCCGGAGCAAGTCCATCATCTTGCATGAGGCGGCTCCAGCTAGGCGGTTTCCACCAGCACGCGACCGTCCCAGCCCGGCTTTATGTGGACTTTTCAGTTGCCACTATTCCCGTTGTCATATCAGATCTTCTTATAAATTCATGTGAATGGTTTCATGGGGGCTCTACAAGTGTCGATCTCCCTTTCTTTCCTTCTCCTACTACCATCACAATTTACCTCTCTCCGCTTTTATCAAGCCCTCCCGCTATTTATACCGTCCTTCTTCTTTTCCTCTTCTCTTCTCTTTCTAACAGCTTCCTCGATAGATGTCGATGTAGATACTAGTGCTGGATCCAGCTCTTCCGCATCGACTAGGAGCCGCCCTATCGCCATTCCTCGGTCGAGACAAAACAGCGTTGCCTCTACCGTCACGATACCTGAAGCCCTATCTGCTAGGGGCGAAAGGCAAGGGTGCGTATGACAGGAAGACTATTGTCACTCTTTCTTCTAGATCCTAACGTCTTCTTCCGTTGCAGTGGCTACTTTCCCTTTCACGAAGATCCCAAAACTCGTGTGCGACACACTCATCCTTTCTACTACGAAATGAAGAATCAAGATATTGCTGCTCCTACGCTGGAGGATGTGGACACGGGCGCGGACGCAGATGTGGATATGCCCAAGCCCAAGTCTCGATACGAGCTGTCCAGCTCCACGCAGGACGATTCCTACGGGTTCCTTAGCGACGATGAAGACAGCGATCCCTTCATCCCAGCGTCCATGGGCAAATATTACCCTCAAGTCTACGAAAGACGCCAGGCCCTGAAGAAGGGAATTACCCTGCCGGCTCTGCCCACGTCGAGCAGCAGCAAGCCCCCTGGAAGCAAATCTACGACTTCCAAGCCTCACAAGCGGCGGCCAAGGCCTCGGACGCCCGTCATTGTCCCCCGACCTACAGCCACCACCGAATTCATTCCACCTTTTCAGCTGGAGTCGGCAGAGTAGCGACATTCAAAAGCCCACCTTGAGGCTGGTTGAAACAACCAAAGGTTATCGTTGAATCCGCCTGCTCCGGGTTAGGGTATGGCAGCTACAGACATAGAATCTTTTGGACAATTTTTGGATCTTTTTTTTTTTTTTTGGATTTCTTTGGAATTTTTCTTTCTTTTCATGGGATACTTTTGGATAGAGCCTCTAGCATTGCGGGGAGTGTTTGGGTTTGGACATTAAGGATTGAATATGGGCAATGACACGACTTTACCTACTTATACACCCAGCTTACTCGGGATTGAACCCGCTGATGAAGTAGCTGAATGATGAATAAATACTTTTGAATAAACTTTTTTTCCTTTCCATCAAGACTGCAGCATTGCTTGCTTAATTACAAGGTACCCACCACTAGCACCACCAGCATCAGCAGCACCAGTAGCACCAGTAGCACCAGTAGCACCAGTAGCACCAGTAGCATCAGTAGCATCAGTGGCATCAGCAGCACCAGTAGCAGCAGAAACCCCAGTAGGGTAATTTACTAGTAGCACTATCTGACACTATGCCTGGAATCTCAGCACCGCCCTATATTTAGCACCTATCAAAGGATCACGTGACCTCGCGTCGGGGTCGCGCCTGTGAACTTCTATACCTCCGAGAATATCTGATCTACCAACCCTTCTTCAAACCCTTATTCAAACTGCTCGAGCTCCTCAAGCTGGGCCTGGAAATCGCACAATGCGGAGCTCTATGCCACGCGAGAGACAAACTACATCATCATTGCCATCTGCGCCAACCGCTCAACCTGCTCAGCATCTTGTACCTCACTCATACAGAAGCGTTGGAGTACAAGCCAGTTTAATCCCTGCCCCACCGCTTCGAGCAGCCTCTCCGCCGGCCCCTCCACCAGTCCCTCGGTCAGCGACGAGAGAAGGCAGAACGGCCGGTCCAGCAACATCCACGCGTGCTCCATGGCGTCCCCCGAGACCAAGTTCTCCCTTTCGTCTAGCGAACAAAAGTTCTCCATCGGGTCATACCCCTGATACAGCGATAAACAAACCAAAAACAACAATAACTTCAGCTGCTACAGCAACCGGTCCAGATCCCACTATCCATGTGTTTGTATGCCTTTACAGCCATGATGTCCGCCGCAAGCACAAGAGATGGAAAGATGGCATGCTGAGATTCTACGCATACAACAAAAAATATGTGGTTCATGATAAAGATGGGGTCTGTGTGGGGGACGGACGCTGGGAGGGGCATGTAGAAGACTTCCAAGAGGGCCTTGAGATTATGCTAGATTACCCTGCTACGGCATGTATCCAAGTTATAGAGCGCTCAGGGACTAATATAACAGACCTTTCTCAGGTCGTGGGCAAGCGTAAAAGGGAGGTCGAGGAGAGGCGAGCTGCAAGGAGGGAGGTTAAGGAGAGGAGGGAGGAGGAGGAGAGGAGGGAGGAGGAGGAGAGGAGGGAAGAAGAGAAGAAGAGAGAAGAAGAGAAGAAGAGAGAAGAGGAGAAGAAGAGAGGAGAAGAGAAGAGAAGGGAGGAGGAGGAGAGGAGGGAGGAGAGGAGGGAGGAGATTACGGGAGCATGGAGTAAACATGCGCAGGAATTATTGGGAAGAGGCCGGCCAATACATATATAATTTTTATACCAATAATATTCATATATTATTGTATTTGCTTACTCTCAGTTCCGACTTTCTTCTCACAACTTATCCTTTTCCAAGGTTCTTATCTATAACATTAAATAACTCGGTTGGTTGGATCTTGAAACATTAGTTGACCAGTATGTTAGAGTTCTACCCCCCATCCATCTGTTGGTAAGCTTGCTTGCAGTTTTTCTTTCTTGCCTCGGTCTTGGAGCTTTTTCTTCAATTTCTCCAATTCCGCCTTTTCTTATTTCGTTTGATTGTTTGGGCGTCTATCGGTTGTGGTTATTGGGCCGCTCGTTGGTTCCATTCATATAGTACATCCGTCGGGATATATGCGAGATTAGGCTTGTAGTTGTCTATGGCCATTCCCAAGTATTTTATCTGAGATGAGTTTTCTAATCCGATGGCCATGTTATCCTTCCCTTTTGTTGCTACACTTTGAAAATATTTCACAATCATGGTAGCAATAAGACTGGGCGCCGGCAGGACATGCAGTCTGCCTTCATATTCAAATATTTCATCAATTTCTGCTATTTTGGTTTTTATATCTCTTCCGCCTCCCCATTCCAACTATTATTTTGCATCAAGGACTCTAGTTAGATTGCCCTTATTAACTGCTGCTTTAAAGCAGTTCTCGAAATTCTTCTAGTCCCTGTTTGCTGTTGCAAAGCTGCTTGGGTCAGTTTCATCACCCACTTTTTCTTATCCCCTTCAGTCATTCCTTCGATCTTCACCTCCACCATAGTATTTTCATTAACATATGTGTATAACTACATGTACTCAAAAGCACCAGCAGCACCAGCAGCAGAAATCCCAGCAGGGTAATTTACTAGTAGCACTATCTGACACTATGCCTAGAATTTCACCCCCTGCCAGCACCGCCCTATACCTAGCACAGCGCCATAGGTGCCAGGCCACTCACTATAAGCCACCATGAAAAATGGTAACACCCACTGTTGCAATCTCGGCGATTACAACACCTATTACACCACCTCTTATTTTCCTTTTATTATGGAACAGCGCGTATTCGAACAGGAGTCAACACTTCAAGTTTTTCTTCACCTATAATACTACGCTGTTCCATTTGAATTGTAGCAGGTGTTGCCGCAAGTGTAACCTATATACCTTCTGTCTCGCGAAGTGGCGCAGTGGTGGTGCTGCAGGCGGTGGTTCTATAGGCAGTGGTGGGCGCTGCAGGCGCTGTAGACGCTATAGGCACCGGGCACCAGCTGGGCACTTGCGCGACACCTGTGTGGCACCTTGCAACCGTGCCGGCACGGTACCACCTAACTCGATCTCCGACCACTGCGCAAACAAACAGAGTGCTGGATAACTCTATCGTTACTGTATGCTGTAAAGTCGAGAAATGTGTCCTGAAAGCTTGAATGCCCTCTTTTTCTTCATGGGCTTTAGTTGCATACTCGTAATGCGCCAGTTGCTAGCGCTGTCGGTCTTTGGTGGGCCGATCTAAGCCATCTCGAGCTCGCCGAAAGAAAAAAAACGGAGCCTCAGACCATCTTTGATTAGACTCAGCCGCGTGCCGGGATGATTTGGATATGCAACATATGGTTCCTTTCTACTCTAGACGTCTGAATGGTGTCTGAGGTGAGATTTGCCCCTTTGATTCTCTCTACGCACTGACGGCGATAACAGGGCAAATGGGATTCATTGATAGACATGCAAGAAAATATAGATGAGTTGATCTCACTTTCAGAGAATGCTGCGAAAGTGGGGTCCAATGAAGGAATTCGATTGCGGTTCATGAAGCAATGCATCATAACTTTGACCTCCTCATAATATTCAATTAATTCTAAGAGTGAAATGAAAATTTCAAAAACGATCAATTGACATTTGAACATTTTTTCTCAATCGGAATGCACCTTGAAGCTAGAGCGGTGAGATTCGCTGAATTTCAAAGACCCCAATCTGTTGCAGGGTAGCACGTATGGCATCTCACCACCAATCAGTGCTGTGCCCGATGAAACAGGATCCTGCGGTGCATCCTTGCCGTTGTCACGAGGGACATGTAGTAATTATACCGCCGAGCCCAAGACAAAAGAGGACTGTGAAGCCAATCTAATAACTCACATGTGTGTGTGGGTGTATCTAAAGATGTGTTGCCCAACAATCCAACAGCCAGAGTCCGAGAGGAAATGTGACAAAGCATACTGAAAAACACAATCCCAGAGGAGCGGGAGCCAAGTCAACTCTATCTGCTCGCCTACCAGATCTCGAAAGTCACTTGGCTCCAGCAATTGGTTGGGTCTGCGCCTGGAGGCCGGAGCTGTCCCTTGTCTGGCTGCATGAGCGTCGCGAATCTCGATAGCAGTTACGGAGTATTTATCCAGACACTACCACTTAGCATCGCCAGCACCGCCCACCTGCACAGACTAAAATGACTCTTATCTTTTCAATGGTTTCGTGGAGTACCTACAATCTGGGGTACCTGTGACTCTACAGACCGGAGGCCGTCGCAGACAAGCCATGGAGGTGCAGAGACGGCTCGTAGCGAGTGGGAAAATATAAAAGTTTGCGTGCCCCGTGGGTGTTTCCCCAAGCCCCTCGTGGGATGTCCGCAACCCATTTGCCTTGGACGATACGTTAGTAGAGCTCGACTCGGGCAATTCCATAGATGGTCGGTTCCTGGGACTGAAACGCCTCCGCCACAAGCCCAGTCCCTTGCCCGAAAAGGGAACTTTTTCAAAGCCCCCAGGTTGAGTCACCCGCATCGTTGCAGGCCTCGCCATTGGCCAATCACGGCTGCTAAGCTCTCGCCGAGGCTCCATCGGCGACGGTGCATCAGGTGGGGAGCGGCAGCCAATCAGCAGCCGCAGTCGCTGGATCCCAGCACCTATCGCGCCGCCTGATTGGCCCGTCGCGCCCCCAAAGGCGCCTTGCGCTATTCCTGTTCCAGCACGCCGAAAGAGTCAGGATTCGACCATCCCGCAAGGGCTGAGCGGCGGCCACGGGCGCTGCTGGACTCACTGAAATACCGTCATGACTCCCGCGGCGACGCCTGAGGAGCTCGTTTTTCCCATCTCGCTCTTCATTTCTCTCTCTCTCTGCCTGGCGCTCTGATATCGCGGAATAGCCTTGGGCTACCAAGAATCAATCAATCAATTAATCAATCAAAGAATCAACCAGAGAAACCCGCTGAAGAATAGGCAGACTGGCATTTTGTCTGATTTTCCTGCCTTCAAAGCCTCCAGCGCGCCGGGACCCTCCTCCTCTCTCTCGCACCCTTGGCGCTGCTGCGAACTCAGTTTTTAGCCTCAATCAACTCATCTCACACCTCACATCTCACATCTCACCACTGTGCTCCTCACTCATTCGTTCAGAACAAAAAAAAAAAAAAAAGAACGAATTGGATTTTAATCAATCAAACACTCTCTCAAACCTGGCCCTGCAATTAATTCAGTAAGTCCCTAAGCAGAGTCTCCCCAGCATATCCGTGAGCTTACACTCCAATGGCTGGCCAAACAACAACAACGTCCGACTTTCGCGGTAGAGCACTATAGCGATCCTCACGACGTCCTCTTTGCGTCTGTTTCATGACTCCCTACAACTTGTCTAATTCATCATTCACTCAATCCTCTCTAATGGCTCAATTCCGATCTTCTGCCCCTCTCCCCCAGGGCTTCTCAGTCTATCAGCCTCAACTCGGCGCTCAGCTGCAGTTCTTCCCTGCCCTCGGCTCGCAGGAACTCGATGACATGATCAACGCCTACATTCCTGGATCTGCTGCTCTCAAGGAAAAGCGGGCAACCATCTCGCTCGACTTTTTGGAGCACACACAGCTTACGGGCCAGACATTCAAGTTCTACCCCGTCTACTCATCCAGCCCCGTCGCTGCCTCTCCCGCCATTTCCACATCCTCCTTCAGCAACACATCTCCCGTCAACTCAACGTGGGATTGGAGTCAAGCCTCCGCATCTCCCGCAGTGTCTTCTCGATCTTCCGGTTCCAAGAGCCGCAAGGCCTCTCAGTACTCCACGCCTGATCTTTCGCACCTCCCTGGCATGAAGATCATGACCAAGGACGGCCAGGATGTCACAGATTCCGCCTCTCGAGGATCAAAGACAAAGGAGCAGCGCGACCACGCACACCTGATGCGCATCATCAAGGCCTGCGATAGCTGCAAGAGAAAGAAGATTCGATGTGACCCGAGCCACAAGAAGCGAACAGCCGCTCAGGCTCAGCCTCAGTCTGCCGCAAAGCAGGCAAAGAAGGCACGCACGGCGGCGGCAGCGGCAGTCGCGGCAGTGGCAGCGGCACCACCACAGAAATCAACTTCTGCAGTGGCCTTATCCAGAGGACAACACGACAATCCAGACATACCAATGTCCATGTTTGGCATAGATCCCACCTTTACATTTGCTGGCTTGGACAGCGTCGAGTCCACTGATCAGACATACGAGTCATGGGAAGAGTTTATCCAATACCCCGTGGACGTCGCCGATGAGAATTACGACTTCTTCCTTGATCCCGAAGGCTACCTCTCCTCCCAGTCTTCTGCTTCCTCTTCTTCTGCGTCGCCCCCCAAGGCCTTTACGCCGGCGTCGCAGCAAGATCTGCAGGCGTCATTTGGCCTGGAGGAACGCGAGGGATTCTCGTCCGAATCGACATCACCAGAGCTACCATTCCTGCAAGACAATCACACTGGCCTCAACAACTACACCGACTTTAGCCTATTCTCGCCCTCGTCGAGCTTCTCCGAGGATGACCGCATGCTTTCGATTTCGTCTTCGCGCACTCTAAGCCCGGCCCAGCCTTCTGCATCAGAATCTGATTCATTCGTCTACGGCAGCTTCGATGGTGATGGCCAAGGCCTTGCCACTGGCGGTAGCGGCGCAAGCGAGGTGGTCTCTCCCGCTGGGGAGACGGGCTTAGTCGCGGCTGCTGACACGAGCCTGTCGTGGTATGATCCGGGCCCCAGCCCGAGTGACTCTCGTGCACAAGACTCGCGAGCCGGCATAAGTATAACACGGCCCGCAGGATGGGTGGGTGATGTACGCATAGCGTACTCGCCCGGTGGCTCGGTACTCGTTACGGCATCATCCGCAAGCGGTACAGAAGTAATTGCGAACAGTGCAATTGCGAATAGCGTACGTCTTCTGATTCTCCCCCTTTTGCTTTCTCTCATCTATGGCTGGACGTCGACTAATTTCCTCGGAAGGCACCACTTGCTCAACTAGATACTTCTCGATCTGGATCAATTGCAATTGCTATTACTGGAAGGGTACGTTGCCATTGCCATCAGCTCGGATGCAGAGCCACAACTGACATTCGAAAAAAGGATACATCAGCCGAATTTACTACGAGCCAAGCGACAAGCACTGCACTGCAGTTCGGCGGCGTACGTCTCCTCTCTCTTCCCATTCTGCTAGCTTGCGACTAACTTTGGAAAAAAGGAAACTCAAGATGAGCTCAAATCATACGGCCATTCGCCAACTGAGCGTGGCAGACTCCGAAGTGTACGTCCCCGCTGCACAAAGCACAACCCCCTCAGGCTAGATTGCAAGAATCCGCGACTAACTTTTGAAAAAAGGAAACACCAGTTGGTGATTCAGCTAGATTGTTCGGCGAACAAGCCGGCTTCCAAACCGTATGTCCAGACGCAGCCACACTCGCCGCCGCTCTCTTGTCGACTGACATGAAGAAACAGGAAACCTCGAGCGACCAAGCAAACGCCTCGGCCCCTGCGCTGGCGACCGCCGCGAACCATTCAGTCCAGCTCTCGACGGGCTCGGTAGAGTCCTTCTCGATGGTACGCTGCGCTGCTGCATCTGCCAATTGCCTCACATCCCAGCTAACACAATTACTCTTCAAGGCCCAGACCGAGAATTTGGTTGTCGACAGCGGCATCAACCCCGAGGATCCCCCCGGCGGCTTACAGTTATTCTATGGCACTACGCCCGATGCTCTTCTGCTTGGCTCAGCTGCATTTGCAAACGCCGGCGAGGATGCTACGGCGGATAGCCCACAAGCTTCGTTTGCCACCATTCTTGAAGAATCGCGTATACCTGCCACAGAAACCAATGGCAGTGGAAGCGGCCAAGCTGCTCCGCAGAGCGGTGAAGCCCAGAGCCAGCAACAAGCAGCAACACCTATTGCCGTGAATATTCAACCAACCTCGCTGCTGCTCCTCCAGACGTCGCCCAAGCGCTATGCTGCAGGCGACGATGGTGCCGACTTTGGCACAGAGAGGAGCTTCAACAGGTGGCTTGGTGTTGAAGCGCTTGCTCAGGCCACCTTGGTCATTCTGATTGGCATACTGACTGCAACGATGCTTGCCGGCATTACGGCATCTTCAACAGCGTTCTGCTTGGCCTCGCTGGCTTCCGCCATGGGAGCTTGCTGCCAACGTTTTGCGGTTCTCGACAGCGACTCCAAGCCTGTTGGAACGATGCCATTGGCAACGTCAAGTCCAAGATCCCAACCTTCAGCACTACGACGAGATTTTTCTCGCTTCTCCTCCCAATTCTTCTCTTCTTCTTCTGTCTCTTCCCTGAGTAGGGGGATGACTTTGCGCTTCAGCGGTGCCCCTTTGATGGGCTAGAACGATTGTTGCATCCAGTTGACGAATGTTTCGAGCGAAGATGCATGCTTCTAGATCTAGGTCCACGCATTTTTTTCTATAAGCCGGTTTGGCTAACGATACCCCTTTTGCGTGGAATGTGGTTTGATACAATATTGGAGCAGGATTTTGATTTTTCTTTTACCGATATGGTGTTGTTATAGGATAGAGCGTGCGAAGAAGCAGACTTGCCGTTTTGGCAGAGTCACGAAGAATACAATACCAGGTCAAATACGACCTGGAATTTTTTAATATCTCTTTCTGTCCTTGCCCTTCCTGATGGCCTCGGAATTATTCTGAATCTTGTTGATCCTGTCATTCAATGGATGCTGTAACTTTGATTTGCTCTGATTTTTTGTTATCGTGACTACTGCTGGAATCTAGCATTTTTTATCTAAAGTTCATCATCTCCTGATTAGCATCATTGTTGGATTCTTCATTCATTCATACACCTTTGCTCTGATTCCTTGTCATCGCGACTGCTGCTGGCATTGAGCATTTTTATCCGAAGTGCGGTATCGTGATTCACGGCACCTTCAACGTCCTACAGCGCATAGACCGCCCTAGAATGGGGTTCCTGACTAGTGGCGCACAGCGGAGACAAACGCTTAGTCATCGCATCTGGTGGGGCGCTAGCGCATGATTAGTGACAAGGGTGCTGTAGAAATTCGAACCTCTTCTCTTAACTTTTGCTGCAAGGAACCTCGACTATCCACTCCTTCAGACTTTTCTACAATTTCTCATCCGTCTTCGGGGTAATGAAGTTCGAACCTACCCTCCCAGATATTGAGGAAGAGTCTAAGGTCCTCTCTCTTGATCTTGAAGAGTCAGAGGAGAAACTTTTGGTTGCCATCCTGCTCCTCTCTGTGCTCGAACTTTCAAGCTCCAACGAGAAGAAGTCATCTTGATTTCCTTTTCGCTCCCTTCTATTCCCTCTCCTTTCAACTCTTTTTGAGCGGTTAGGAGAGATAGACTAGAGGCTGCGAATTCGGCTACGACTGAAGCGAGCGAGAGCATTCACGGTAAGCTGAGGCATCATCGCAATCTTTGATTCTTGCTAACTCTGACTAGTTTTGATTTATCTTATTTCACACTTTATCGCCACTCTTTTTTCCATTTCCAAACACAATCTCCATAGGACGAGATATTTTTTGAGGGTTTACTGGTGAGCAAAGCTGCCCATCTCCGTTCCCAAACTCCCCCCCAGAAGAGAATGCAGCCCTTCTAACCACTGCTCATCTCTAGATTTCACCTCATTCCATCTTTGCACAACTTGCGGCTACACGGCAACTTTCTGTCGTCATAGATACGCGCACTTTACGCTTTTCGCCGCGTAATCCACTGCTCCTTCTCTCTTTTTAGGCGAGCGAGCGGTCTAGCTGCGAGTGTTGTGAGGATTAAGGAAGGAGCGTTCCTTTAGCCTCCTCAGTCACGCACCACCACCTATTCCCCCTCCAGAACAGCTACATTTCTGTTCCTTTTCTTTTTTCTTTATTACCTTGCCCTTCATCTTTTCCAAAAAAACGAAGAGCATTATTTTCCTTCCTTCAATCAGTTTCAAAAGGGAAGAAGCAATTCCCTTTGCAACAAACGAGTCTCCAGCGGCCAATTCACCATCCGCTCACCATGCCTCGTGCTGCACCCAGAGGCGGCGGCCAGTTACTGCGCCTGGCAGGTGCCAGACAGGCCCTCCGCCGGCTGTTCCCCTTCCGCCGCACCAGGCGGTCTCGCATTGAAGCGGTGCCTGAGGAAGCGGTGCCTGTAGCGGTACCTGAAGCGGTGCCTGAGGACGCAGTGCCGGAGCACGCGGTGCCCGAGGACGCGGTGCCTGAGGAAGCCGTCTCTGACGCTTCTGAAACTGACGGATTAAATGTCCCCTCCGTGCCGCCGAACACGCCAAGCTCTGAGTACGCGTCGCTCGCTGCTGTCCAACATCCCATCGAACTTCCCACCGAACTTCCCACGCTGCAAATTGGATCGGATAACAGCCTCACCTACAGCCACTTTGGTGACGACGAAGAATTTGAGACGGAGGAATTCAACGACTCGTCTACCCTTAGTGACGGAAACGCAGTCATGGCCCCCCGTTCTGGCCCTGCCCCTGGCCCTTCCTCTGGCCCTTCCTCTGGCCCTGCTTCGGGCCCCTCGTCTGCTGCTCGCGAGAACAAGGCCAAGGAGAAGCGCGGCGGCAAGCAGAGACGCGGTGGCAGAGAGAGGCGCGCCGCCCGTGAGCAGAATGCTGGCGACATGATGGACATTGATCAGGACGACGATGCCGTCGTCGTGGAGAGAGTCACCGCCACCAGAGTCACCAACTTTGCTGCGGCTGCCATCGCCATCACCCTCGGCAAGGAGAAGCAAAAGGAGAACCAGCAGCCGCGTGCCAACCAGGGCAACGCTTTCGCTGCCGTCGATGGCCGTGCCGACAAGGACAAGCCAAAGGAGAACGTGAAGCCTCGTGGCAACCAGATCGAGGAGCTTTCTCGCAGATTGGCTGGCATCGCCGTCGCCCCAGCTGCCCCCTCTGTCTCCAAGAAGCTCGAAACCCCATCTGAGGAGATTGACGCCGAGGTTGTCACCGACCCGAGCACTGTCGACCCGGCCGTGCTCGCTGAGCGTGCCGAGCACCAAAAGTTCATGAACGCAGCTTTGGACATGGTGAGCATTGCCTTTGTTTTCTCTCTTTGGTACAGTTGCTAACATTCACTCCTAGGCTCGTCTTGCCCTTGTGACCAACGAGACTCCCGTCGGCTGCGTCCTCGTCCACAAAGGTGAGATCATCTCCAAAGGCATGAACGCAACAAACGTCACTCGCAATGGCACTCGCCACGCCGAGTTCATGGCCATCTCTGCCCTCTTCTCCGTCCCTCGCAGCGATGGACCTCGCACCACTTGTCTCAAGCCAAAGGTGCCCCCCAAGGTGCCCGAGGGCAAGGAAAACGACCCGGCCTACTCGCAGGAGTGGCGCTGCCCCGACGAAGGCAACGAGGATGGCAGCAAGGGCCACCTCTATCCTTATGGCCAGAAGATGATCCTTCTCGAGCGTGTCCCCACCGACATCATGAAGGAGTGCATTCTCTATGTCACCGTTGAGCCGTGCGTCATGTGTGCTTCGCTCCTTCGCCAGCTTTGCATCAAGAAGGTCTATTACGGCGCCGTCAATGACAAATTCGGTGGCTGCGGTGGAGTCTTCAACATCCACGCCAATGGTCTCCCCCCTGGCAGCACGGATCGTGTTCACCCTGAGCCCAAGCGCTACCTATTCCCTGATGGAGGCGGCAGTCTGGGCGTCTCTTACCCTCTTGGCGGTGGCCACGGCAGCAATGTCGAGCCAGGCTTTGAGATTGAGGGTGGCTGGAGCCGTGACGAGGCGGTTGGACTTCTCCGACGTTTCTACGTGCAGGAGAATGGCCGAGGTATGTTCTTTCTATACTGTTTCTCCTCACTTCTATCCCCATCCGCTCCCTCTAGACAAACTCTTCATCACAGGGGTCACTGACATGTACTTTTTCTAGCCCCTGTTCCTCGCAAGAAAGAAGGCCGAGCTGCACGCTTGGCTGCCATGATGGAACAACAGACTACTGGTGCGGCTACCTCTGGTGGCGAGGTTGGCGCTGAAAACACCACCAACAACGGCTCTGCCGATGCCATGGATGTGGATATGGATGCGGACAACACCCAGTCCACCCCCATGGGCGACGCCATGGACGAGGACGCTACCTAAGTCTTTACCTGAGTCGGCCTCATACGCATTTTTTCTTTTGTTTTGGAGCATGCCGACGCCCATGTTTGCCTTTTACTGGCAATGGTTTTCATCTTCTGTTTTTAATCTGCATTTCGGTTGCATTTCGGTTGCATTTGCATTCGCGCGCGAAACAGAACAGGGCTCGGATACATACATTGGCGTTTTACACTACATTGACGGCAGGAAAAGCCGCTCAAGGACACGGTTTGGGATCGATACCAAGGCCAGCTACCGAGATGGCTATGGCATATAGTGCGATTATTTCACAGTTCATCTGTTGTTTCTTTTTACCGTCTTTGGTCGAATTTCTGCGCAGGTTGAGTCTTTTGCGGAGGACATGGGTTCATGAGTAGCAAGCACTGCACACTTTATCTAGCCTTGCATTCTACGTAGAAATCAAAAAGACAATTTAGATGAACTGATTTGCGTGCCCCAGTAGAGCGTAACCAATGTGCAAGACACAAAAAAGATGGCAGTCGTGACGTTTCTGTGATACTGGAGTAGATGCAATTCACCACATCTTGGCGATGGATGGATGGCACTCGAAACTGCAAAAAGATGTGTCACTGCGTAATCTGGGAATCGAACCCAGGGCTCCCCGACGTTGCGGATGGCAACGGAGAATTTTACCACTAAACCAATTACGCTTTTGATTGGTGTCTGGCGATGATGTGGAAGTCAAGAAGCCTGCCGAGAGATGGTGTCGTATCCTCGGGTCATTGCACCTACCTACTCCAAACTTTCCCATCCCTCATGTTTCCCTTTCCTCTGTTGCTGCCCCCGATTTTCGATTCAAGAAATTGAAATGCTACACTTTGCCCCCCTACAATAAAACGCTTCTCGCTCAGCCGCAACACGCTAATGGTCGAATCACCATGGCGCCTCAGCCGCGAGACGCTTGAATCGCTAGTTGGCCGTCTTAGCTTCACATAACGCGGTATGGCACGGCACGGCACGAATGGCGGAATTTCCTCGATGGTTTTCTAGAAAAAGGGGACCGGTTCAAGGGATACAAGTCTTTATGTTGTTTGTTTTGATACTCGCTAATCTTTGAGCAAGCGTTGAGATTTGGTTCACCTTTCTTGGTTATTGGAAAGACATCATGGGCCGTCGTCCTCCTGTCGCAAAGTTCTCGCTCGCAGTTCGCAAGAACAGTTTGTAACTTGTCCCGTTATTCTCTCTGCTTGGGACTAATTTCACTCTCCTAGTTCGCGATGAGTGGGAAAACAGAAAACCAGACTATGAAGATAGGATTTCCGCCGTGCTGGGTGCGCCGTGGAAAATCGACATTGATCTGCGCCAAGTCTGCGCGTATGCTGAGGATGGATATGCGGCCGAGGCTCCTGGTTCCATGATTTCAGGGTATGTTTACTCATGTATTGGAAGATTTGATCTAACATCATCGTTTGCTTTAGGTACATTGACGGCGTCTTGTATCAGCTCGATCGCTTCATCACCAAACATGGCGACAAGGGCAAAGAGGAGCTCAACACCATTGCTGCGGCGCGAACAATCACCATGGACCTGGACGAAGGCCAAAAATTCTCCTACTGCGGCTGCGCCGTCTCTGGTACAGGATCCCTCGTCATTCTCTTCAGAGAGGGATATCTGGGCACCAACATCGACGATGCCTGCTCGCTCGACAACTTGGAGAATGCCCTCAACGCCGCCCCCAGCACTGCGTCGGCCCGTCACCAGCCCATGAGCTTCATCGCGCGCGCAGCCATTAGAAGCGACTGGGATGCGCAGACAGACGCAATCAAGCGGCAGCTCGGCGAGATTCTGGGCAGGGACATTGCCCTGGAGCCGCGGTTCGAGCAGGCCTTTGACAGGCTGAGCGCCGCCGCCGGAGATGGAGATGCATCGTGGCAGCGACACCTGGGCGCGTACCACAGGATGTACTACGAGAGTCTGGCGTCGTACCTCGTGCACCAGAAATTCGGCGAGGATGACATGCTGCGCGAGGCTTTCCACGAGGGCATCGACAAGGCGACGGTGGTGTTTCGCATTGTTGGCAGGGAGCAGCTGAAGCGCTCGGCTTACAACGAGTGCGTCATTGAGGATGGGACGTTGATCCTGCAGGTACGTGCAAGTCTGGATCTCGAATGGGCTTGAAAGGCCCGCTGATTAATGCCTTTCTCATTGTTAGACCACCGCCGAGTATTACGGCACAAACATTGCTGAAGTTGCCAACACGCTGATGGAGCAGCTGTAGACAAGAGCAGTGAGTCACGCTCCATTGTCGCCGGTGTGCTGGCGCTGCCCCCGGCCATCAAAATCCATCCGCTGGCAGACAACTCCCTAGACCGAAAGCGAGTGGAGGCATCGCTGTTCACCTACAGACGGGCTACACGTGTTGATGCAGGGCGAGGCGGCAGGGCCCTGGCGATTGTGGTTGGCTGGATGGTGGGCACCTGGTACGCAGTGCAGGGCCCACCGCCTTTGAGGCAAGAGATTTGATGCGTGACCGGCCGGTTTGCGTTGCAGGGGAGTAAATGGCTGCGATTAGGAGTATAAGACACGATAGAAGGCTGCAGATGTCTTATTGACTTGTTGTTTGCATATGCACATGCAGTCTTTGATTGCTTTTGATTGCTTGATTGATCGGCCTGAGCATCTGCAAGGCATAGTCGCCCAACTGGTGCACTCCAGGCATACCCCGCGAACATACCCAAGACTCGACTCGGCGTGCCAGCGTTTGCCGTTGGGAAACTGCATCATCTTCAAACTGTTTAATACCATTTTTTCACCCTCGTTGAATACTCTATTTTTTATTTTGTTCTCAATCACTCAAATCCCTGGCATAGAGGTATGTGAGCCATTGCTGGCGGTATCCAATCTCTGATACCGATAGCCGCTAATCTCACTAAACGCAGCGCACTCACCGTCCATCGCTCACTGGAGCCATGCCCGCGCCCAACGCAAAGCCCCTCGCAGACCGGGCCGCTGCAAAGCGCCAGGCCGTCACCACCGTCTCGGCCATCGCCCTCGTCTTCATCCTATGGCCAGAGCGCTTCATCATCTGGCGCAATCTCTGCTTCGTGCCCGTCGCGGCCTGGCTGACTGCGCTGGTCTTTGACCTAAAGCATGGCGCGCTCGACGCCTGGGATGACAGAGTCCCGGCCTGGATGAAGAGATTCATTGGCGCAGATGACAGCAGCAGCAGCTACAACAACAGCAGAAGCAGTGGAGCTGGAGCTGGAGCTCGCTATGGCTCAAGTCGAGCCAAATCCACGACAATGCCCGAGTATGTGCTCATGCATCTTGGGGATACCGTGTCTCTCGTCAAGAAAGAAGCTGCACGGATCTGGGAAACTGTTAGCCCAATTCTGACCGAATGGTTTCGCCAAGTCATCCATTTCCTCACCCCTCAAAGTCCGTACAAGCCCATTCGCCTACTTCTGGTGCTTCGTTTCTAACTGTTTTGATCCCTGTAGCATCAGCAAACCGGATGCCATCACCAACATCCTCGCCTCGCAAGCCAAGCCCAGAGTTCACCCAGTACTACGGCATCTTGGTCAAGCTTCCCCGCGGTCCCAACGTCACAGCTCCTTTCGCGCCCCCATTTCGGATGCGAGAAGCCTCGGACAGGATCATTCCGCGAGAAAGCAAGGATGCCTCGGCCGTTCCGTCAGTGCTCAGCTCTTGGGACGTTGATTCTCGCATCTCGTTTCTTCTTGTCGAGAAGACGACCTGGGATGACCGAGACCTGACGCTTCGAAGCAAGTTGGCGGCTGGAACCTACTGGAACATGTCGGCTCAGGGCCGCGGCAACCTTCGCAGGGAAATGGACAGGACAGAAGTTGCACAGATTAGCGGCATCGAAGTGATTGGCCTTGGAGACGGGGAATACGATGCGTTGAAGAAATGTCGTCAGTGTAAGTGCTCTATAACTCAAGCAGTACAGTTTTGTCGACAATGGCTGAATAGTCTTGCATATAGGTTTCCGCGTCTTGTGTCAGGACTGGAAGTACATGCGGATGCTCTGGGACGACGTCGACTTCGCCGCCATCCTAGCATTCCTGGTGATGGGACCATCCACAGCCACAAAATCAGCCCAGATCTATCGAGCACTCTGCATGCTCAGAGCAGATCAGGCCGAGGTCCCAAAACGAGGCGGGCCAACCATTGACTCGTTCCTGATAGCAGCAGCAACAGGCGGGCTTGCAGCACCCTTTGTGCTACCGCTCATGGCAGGCGGCTTAGCGGCTGCTGCCATGAGGAATCGCAATGGTGCACTGCCGGAGCAGAGGAGAAAGGCATACAAGAGCCTGATGATGCAATTCCCAGAGCTCAAGGCGCTGTTTGACGCAGAAGAGAGGGAACACAAAGAAGAGGCCATCAGGAAGGACTGCGCCGATGAAGACGAAGAGTGGAAGGACGAGGGCGAGGATTACTACAACGACGCTTTGAATCCATTTGATTGGTGACAGGCGCAATCATGAATATGCGCGAAAGAGTCTGAAGACCCGCGCTTGCAAGCATATAGACTGAATTTGTTTTTCTCTTCTATTCTCCCCTAGATATGACGGACAGCATGTCAAAGTACAGAACAGCATCGAGTCATCACCTTCCACGTGCATACACGTATCCTACGCGACTTATAGAGCGTACATGGCTTATGACGACGCTTGCTCCATTCCAACTTGAACCGGCTTACAATCCATCCAGAATGTTTCCCGACCAGCCTAAAAAGCCAGCCCCAGCTCCATCAGCACGGACTTATTTTTCCTTGGCCAGAATCCGGGCTGTGGCGCCCTCCCCCACGCAGCCAAAAGTTCAAAAGCCGCGCCGCCATTTAAGCCAGCCGAGAGCTTGGCCTGCGAAACGCCGCCGTCGACAGCCTATTTGGGAAGCGAGATCGGGGCGGGAGGAGCGTCTGTTGTTCTCTGGGGGGAGGATTTTGAACAAGGGGATGCGACGCTGGAGGGGTTTGCATGTGCTATAAATTGTTAAACGGGCGGAGGAATTGACTTGCTTGTCGACCAACTACTTTGTAGCGGACAACGGAATATTCTCGCACATACAAACCGTTTGACTCGACGTGATTGCGAAGAGCAGAAGAATACAAAATCGTCACAATGGTTACGACTTCGTTCAAACTCAACAATGGCCTGCAGATGCCAGCTCTTGGTCTCGGTATGTCTCTCATTACCCGCTTCACCCAGTAATTCGAAGAGGGGCCAATTTCTTCCATGGCGGGGGAGGGGCAATCTGAGCCAGCGCGACAAAAAAAAAGAGAGAAGAAGAGAAGCAGAGGACAAAAAACGCTAATGGCCATTTCAAATTCTTGTAGGAACATGGCAATCTCAAGCTGGCGAGGTCAAGACGGCCGTTTCGTACGCGCTGCAAAACGGCTACAAGCTCGTCGACGGCGCCTACTGCTACGGCAACGAGGACGAGGTTGGCGAGGGCCTCAAGGAGGCTTTCGCCGCGGGAGTCAAGCGCGAGGACGTCTTTGTCGTGACCAAGGTGTGGGCGACGTACAACACCCGCGTTGCGGAGGCGCTGGACAAGAGCTTGAAGAGCCTGGGGCTGGAGTATGTTGATTTGCTGCTGGTGGTGAGTAATGGTTTCACTTGTCACTGCTGCATGTTTGCTAACCAATTCATCAGCACTGGCCTCTTCTGCTAAACCCCAATGGTGAGAGCGAAAACTTGAATTCTGAAGGAAGCGAGGATTCAAATGGTCTAATTTCAATATACAGGCAACCACGACAAGTTCCCTACTCTGCCCGGCGGCAAGCGAGATGTCATCCACGACTACAACCACGTCGACGGCTGGAAACAAATGGAGGCCGCTCTCGCGTCTGGCAAGACAAAGTCCATCGGCGTCAGCAACGTATGTTTCTCTTCCCCTTTTCTCAAACTCACGTCTAATAACAATGAAAAACAGTACAGCAAGCGATATCTCGAGCAGCTCCTCCCCAGCGCCACCGTGGTCCCCGCCGTCAACCAGATTGAGAACCACCCCAGCCTCCCCCAGCAGGAGATTGTCGACTTTTGCAAGGAAAAGGGCATCCACGTCATGGCCTACAGCCCTCTGGGCAGCACGGGCAGCCCTCTGATGACGGCAGAGCCGGTAGTCAAGATTTCCGAGAAGAAGGGCGTTTCCGCAGGAACAGTCTTGCTAAGCTACCACGGTATGTTTATTCGTTTTGTGCCCCAAGGCTACTATGCTAACCCATAACACAGTCAACCGTGGTAGCACAGTCCTCGCAAAGTCTGTTACGCCGTCGCGCATCAAGTCCAATCTGGACATTGTCACTCTTGATGACGAGGACATGAAGCTGTTGAACGACTATTCAGACGACCTGACCAAGAAGGGCGAGCTGAAACGCTACGTCTACCCACCATTTGGCGTTGACTTTGGCTTCCCCGATAAATCATAAAATAGAGCAGAGTAATAAATGAAACGAGTATGTTTACAGTATTAGAATTAGCTACCAATCAACCAATCGCCATGATATATTCCCAACCACAACTTTCTACCCCTTCTTCATTCCAGTGTTCTTTTCTTTCAGTCGTAATGTCATCTCATAGCCTCTTTATCTGAATTTTGAACTATTTATCCAATCATTTCTTTGTGTCAATCACAACCTTGAGAACCAGTTTACCCTCACCATCCTTGACTTTTCCCGCCAATTTAAACGCCTCTTGCACTGCGTCAAGGCCCTTGACTCGATGTGTGATGAGCTTTTCCAGGTCGGGGAAAACGGGGTCCTTCTTGTGCAGCATTTCAATGGCGTCGGCATACGTGTTGGCGTATCTGAACACGCCAACAATGTCGACCTCGCGAAGGGCAGCCGCAGACAAGGGCAGAGTGAGAATGGGGGTGCCCATGCCGATGATGAGGACCTTCCCGCCTGGTCTTGTAGCCTATTACAGTTTCATAGTTGGTCAGAATGAAGAATAGATAGAAGAAGAAGAGGAAGAATCAACTTACGTAGATGGCACTCTGCACGCAAGATTCCACACCGGTGCACTCAAACACGGCTCCAACCTGGCCGACCGGCACGCCTCCAACTTCGACATTGCCCGCCAAATCCGCGACTTGCTGCGCATACGCCAGCTTCTCGTCAATCGTCTGCGGCCTTGCCATCGGCACGACAAAGCCCGCATCGGCAAACCCGTTGTTGACGGCAAAGTCCACGCGGTCTTTCTGGATGTCGGCGATGATGACTGCTGGTGAGCCCATGGCCTTGCTGACGGCCGCGGAGAGAAGGCCGACGGCTCCTGCGCCAAAGACGAGGACGGGAGTTGAGGCCGGGAGAGCAGCGCGGCGATAGGCGTGTAAGGCGACGGAGAGAGGCTCAATCAGGGCGCCGAGGTCACTGGAAACGCCGTCGGGGAGCCTGTTGTTCATTCAACATGCCATTGTCAGCTCATCATTTCACGCTTTTTATTCACATAGACAAAGACAACAGGGCACATACTTGTGAACCCATCGCGCAGGGTGGTTGATCCTCTCCTGCAGCGTCCCCTGCATGTGCGGAAACGCCTTGGCCGAGCTGCGAAACTTCATGCCTTTGCAGATGTTGTATCTGCCGCTCTCGCAGTAGTCGCAAGACTCGCATGGCAGGCCAACCTCGAGCGCGACACGATCGCCCGGCTGGAGGTTCGTGACGGCGGACCCAACCGCGACGACTGTGCCGCTGGACTCGTGGCCCAGCGTCAGCGGCTCGCGGACGAGGATGTCGCCATTGCGGTAGTGGTTGTAATAGTGCAGGTCTGAGCCGCAGAGGCCAGTTGAGTCGATGGAGACTTGGACCTCGTCTGCGCTGGGAGATTCTAGAGAGCGCTCAATCTGTGATGTGGAAGCTGTCAGCTGAGGGGAAGCTCTCTTTTGAACTCGAGGGTTTTCTCTTCTGAAGGCTTTTCTTTCATACAAACTGAAGATCTTTCTCGCCGAATAAGACGGAGGCTTTGACTGATTCAACAGACATGGTGACGAAAAGAAAAGAAGTATAGAAGACGGCAGAGTGGTATCCAGCAGCTGAGAAGAGACGGATGTGGTGATGAGATGATGAACCGACTGCCTGTCCTCACTATGCTCTCTATAGACAATTTATGTACCACTCAAAGATGATTTTTGAGAATCAAGATGAGAGAGAAGATGCCCAAGCAAATCCAATGACACAACAAAATGGTTCCCAAGCTCCGATATCGAACTCAAGTAAGCAAACCAGATTCTCCGTCTTGACTGACATCAAACGATGCAGCCTGAACCAATTGCCTCGCTCCGCCCACAGACCCAAAGCAAGCCCGCCGAACCCACCAGTCTAAGCCGCAATGACCCGAGCCGAAGCCTAGAGCGAGAGACACAGGCCTGGAAAACACGCAGAGACGTGGAGATTGCTTGGCCTAGGCGCTCTAATGGCAGCTAATCGTAATGGCAAGTGGCCTGTGGCACATCGGCACCAGTTGCCGGAATAGGTGGTGCGCTTATTCAACTTCTCCAAATCGCGGGGCAATAGCCGATGCCCCTCCATACTCCATCCCAGGAGACGTTGATCTAAGACGGATTTATTCATCCCGTTGGTTGTTTTCGGGATTTGATTTTCTTCAAACATTTATTCAAATACCAATCGCCCTAAGTTTTTTGGCCTCTTTTGGATTGATCTTCCCCCCCTGATTTCATAAACAAGGAAACAACACAATGGCATCCTTCTTCTCCCTCGAGGGCTCTACAGCCGTTGTCACCGGTGCCACGAGGGGCATTGGCCAGGCCGTTGCCATTGGGCTTGCCGAAGCCGGCGCAGACATTATTCTCATCCAGGTAGGGTTCAATTGCCGACTTGCTTGGTTGCTGGGCTGACATGGGAGTGTTTTCGCTGGGAATTAGAGAGACACCACGTCGACGGCGACAAAGGAGGCCGTTGAAAAGACTGGCCGCAAAGCATGGGTCTTCACGGCTGATCTCGCGGTCCAGGAGCAAGTCGCAAACATTGCCAAGGATGTCACCGCCGCCGGCCACAAGGTGGACATTCTCGTCAATTGCGCCGGCATCCAGAGGAGACACCCTTGCGAAGAGTTTCCCGACAGTGATTGGAACGATGTGCGTATATGCCCATGTCTATATATATATATATACATATATATATACATGTCTGGTCCTACGTGTAAAGCATTATGGCTAACATGGGGCAAAATCTCAGGTCATCCAAGTCAACCTCAACACCGTCTTCACGCTCTGCCGCGACTTTGGTCGCGAGATGCTCTCCCTGCCCGTCTCCCCCGTCACCGGCCGTCGCGGCAGCATCATCAACTTCGCCTCGCTGCTCACCTTCCAGGGCGGCATCACAGTCCCCGCCTACGCCGCGTCCAAGGGCGCCGTGGGCCAGGTCACCAAGTCGTTTGCCAACGAGTGGACGGCTAAGGGCATCACGGTCAACGCCATTGCGCCGGGATACATTGAGACGGACATGAACACGGCGCTGCTGAACAACCCGGAGCGGCTGGCGGGCATCAGCGCGAGGATTCCCGCCGGCAGATGGGGGTCGCCTGAGGACTTTAAGGGTACGTCGGTGTATCTGGCCAGCAAGGCCAGTGGGTATGTAAGTGGGCATACGCTGGTGGTGGACGGTGGATGGATGGGACGGTAAAGAGCCTGTCTTTTTGGATGTTGGAAACTGGGTTGTATATAGACATAATGATACCTAGGATGATGGAGATGTTTGCTTCTTAATAACGACCAAGACATAATGCGGTCTTGGCAAACTGGCACTTTAATGGGACTATTTAGCAAAGGTGTCCATGGCAAGATAGTCGTGCTTTGAAAATTAAAGAATTTCTATTACATGTCCAGCGAATTCATCCCACCCATCCATCTCTTTATCGTGTCGGTGACGTCTAATATGTAGTCATCTAGAACCGTTCTAGATTTTACTGCCTGCGCCGGAGGAAAAAAACAACAAAAAAACAATCAGCTGCTATGCAACGTAAAAACAAAAACAGAATAAAAGGCATGAAATCTCTACCCCAGAGAGGAAAAAAAAAAAGCCACATCATTATTACACATGTCCCATATCGTGATTGTGGAAAAAAAGGGGGTTGGGGGTCTTAGTGTTTACTTTTGCCTCCCTCGTAGTAGTGGGCCATCTGAAGGCCAGCTCGTCGGAATCCGCACTTGACGTAGAAGCCCTCGTTGGCGTCGCTGCAGTCGAGGATGCTCTTGTAGCAGCCAATCTTCTCGGCGACGTGGTCGAGGGCCTGGATCAGGCGGAGGCCGAGCTTCTTGCCCTGCTGATCCTTGGCGACGGCGATGTCTTCGATGTGGCCGACCTTGCCCAGGCTGTGGATGCTGTACAACAATAAGGTTAGCTGCTGGCTGTCTTGGATGCGAGGAGCCAGAAGCCTCAGGGGTCAGGGGTACACGCAGTTCCCCCGAGGATTCTTTTTCGCCTTTCCGACTTACAATTTGTGCTCGACAATCAGGGCACCGGTAGCCACGACAGAATTCTTCTCTCGGGCAGTGTCCTCAATGCAAATGATGTAGTAGCTGTCCTGGGCCAGCATGTTGTCGAACTGCTTCTGGAACTTCTCCTCGCTGACTTCGCCAACCGTGGTCAGCACGCGGAGGCAGTCGAGGAAACCAGAGCTGTAGTCGGTGCGACGAAGGGCTCGCAGCTTGTAGCCGTCTGGTAGGGTGGCCGAGACAACCTCGGAGATGAGGTCTTGAGAGAAGAGGCCATCCTGGTCGGCGTCGGTGATGGTGATGGGAGGGATTGTGGCGGCGGGAGACATTGTGAGGTTGGATTGATTTTTTTTTTTGTATGAACGAATGGACGAAACGAGCGAGCGAGCGATCGGAAGAGCTTCAGAGACGAAAAGGAGGAGGAGCGCAGCTGTTGTCGATCTTGGAGAGTTGGCCCTGTGGCTTTGTGCTAGCGTCGGACAAGGAGAGAGACGGTTTCAGTTGAAAATCAATCAGTCAATGACGCGGATTGAGATTGCTGTATAGGAGAGAGAGAAGAAGAGAGAGACGCGTAAGAAACGAGCGAGACGACGTTGTGACAGAGGGCTGACGGGAGAAGAGGCGAGAAGCGACAAGGAGAGTCGAAAAGCAAGAGAGGGATTTAGGGTGACGATTCTGGCTTTGGAATTTAAAACAGGTCAAAAACCAGAGCGGCACAAGGCCCCAAAAGCTAGACTGTGGACAGGGCGAGGCTGACACTGACGCCGCTTTCGGGGTGTGCGAATAGGATCCCCAAGATGAGATACGAATGGCATAAAAATAGCAGACGCTAGGCTGGTTGTAGAATCCTCTTACTCGTGCTTGTAGTATCTGATGATTTCCATCTTTGCGTCTTGCCTTTGAAGCTGTATCTTCCTACTTATCCTGCATTCCCCTTGTATGTTACATGCCATGTAATATAGAAATCAAGACGCTTCCCCTACATTAAGACCTCATCATGCCGATGAAACCAGCCAAAAAGCCAGAGCCATGCGAGTTTCCATCTCATTCATTGATCCTGCATCAGCACTTTAGCAGCATCGGTGGTGCTATCAGCTCAGCCCAATCCCAGCCAATGCCCTGGAACTGTGCCCTGATGGCCCGCTGCTAGTGGCTGTCGCGGGACCTTGGCCAAGGCGGAGGCGCAGCGGCACACCAGCAAAGACTGGACGACACAAGGTGCTGAGAAAATGAAATAGAAAGATGATGCTCCATGGAGAGCAAAATTGCGTATCGTACAGGTGATGTGCAAATGCTCAGATGATATTCATGCAATACTCAGTGTAATAGTTTCAAACGCATCGTGAGCATCACCCTGAGCCCAAGATCCGCATCCCCTATTCTTGGCTGCAGGAGCTGTGGTAGAGATGGAGCCCCACCGCGCTGGCAGCACTAAATACAGCGGTTGAGCGCCCCAAGCACAGCAGCCGCAGCGCTCCTAGCAGCTCAGCTCAGGGGCATCTACCCCGAAGCCCCTCCCCGAAGCGTCAGTTGGACCTCGCACCTGCGCATTTTATCCCCACCCCCGTGCTTATGGTTTTGGCGCAGCCGCATCCAGATCAGACGGAATATGTGCGACATCCATCATGTGAAAATCGCTGAGAGCGTGTGGCAGCAAAATACATACATGTTCCTTCAGGCTGACGGTAGTCTGCCAATTGCAGAAAATTCAAACAAGCAACGTTAAAAGTGACATGAAGGATGACATAAAACTTGAAAAATTCCCAATGCCAACAACGCCGTCCTTTATTCTTTGCCCCATCTTCCTTGATTAATGCCTCTGCTCCACCTAATTGTACAACACCAACTTCAATTGATAGAAATGAAATGGACAGCAAGACCGTCCTGAATGATATCCGTACAGCCGCGTCTATGAGAAGCAATCATATTGGCCATCTTCTTAGCCCGAAACCAGAACCCATAGCCTGTTTCCCCAAGTTAGCAAATGTATGGAAAAGGCATAGATAGCAGCCCGACTTACAAGAAGAAAATCATCAAAACTCCAAACATCTTGGCAATCAGCCATCGGTTGCTCGATACTCGCGACCAGTACTTCATCAGCTCGCGCTGCGCTCCGTCCACATTGTCCACAATGTCGTCCGTGTTGGCGTCGATTCTCTCAATCATCTCGCTCTGCTCGGCAACCATCGTGGCCAGCTGGCCAAAGATGCCGCCCAGCTCGTTGATTGTCCTCTCAATGGCCTCAATGGCTTCGCCTCGCTGCTGGATATACGAGTTGGCCGGGTTCGCCTCTTCCATCATCATCAGCTGCTGATCGCCCATGGGGCCGGGGTTTAGCGATAGGGTGTCGTTGCCAGGCGCAGGCGATGCTCGGTTCGGGGTCCCGTATAGCGGCGATGCGGATTGCTGCAGGGACGGCTGAGAGTGCTGCGCATGCTGAGACACTGAAGATATAAAGTTCTCGGTGCGCGACCGCGACGCTTGAATGTTCTTTGTTCGGGCTTCCAGCACGTCCTTGAAGTTGACTGAGACATCCGTCAACTTGCCCTGCAGTAGATAGACGACGTTTTTGTTGTGTTCGCCTTCCTGGTCTGCCTTTGGGTGCTGCTGTTTCGACATTGTCTGCAGGGCGCCGATCTGCTGGTTCAGGGAAGACAAATCTTGCTTGATGACGAATGTGAGCTCGTTGATTTCCACAGGCCGGTCGTCAAAGAGGGTGCGGCGCTTTGCGACTGCTCATATTGTCAGCTTGTTTTGGTCTTTTTGAATTCAAGACGTCGCAACTTTTTCCAATTCCGTCCAATCATTCGAAATCCCACCCAGCGAAACATCAATCCTTCGATATACAAGTACTTACGTTGCGCCAGCTTTTCCAACTTGCCCATGGTGGCCGAGATGCCTCTTCCAATCTCCGCCGCCTTCCTGGCAAAGTCTGATCTCCTCACTCGCCCATCTCCATTTGCGGCCGACTTTTGCGCGTCGTTGAGCAGCGATTTCCGCTGCGCGCTCGCCTTGTTTGCATTCTGGCGGCGCTGCGCCTGGGCGAGGACCGATTTGAACTCGGCGGTCCGGTCTTGGATCGATGCGACGGCCATTTTGCGATGGTCTGCTGTGCTGTATCCCGGACTGCGACCCGCGCGTCTGGTGTATTCGAGGCCCTATCTGTTTTCCCTGCTGCTGGGTAGCCTCGTGGCCGAAATATCAAAGCCGCTAGCCGGGGGTAGGCTGATGGATGGAGCAGCGGCCTCTCGTCGATTGCTAGTCGCTGTAGAGTATGGAGAATAGAGCGTGATATTAAGAACGGAGTTGAGCTCTCTGCCGGCAGCCGAGGAACCAGGAGTCGAGGCTGAACTGGAGTAGGTAATCTGAGAAGATGGTCGTGCTGTCGCGGTCGCTTCGGAAATGGCAGATTCAGGCGGGCTGATGGCGCGGCAAGGATAGGTTAATTAAAAACAAAAACTAAGTAAGACGTAAACTCGAAAAAGGTATAAGGAGCGAAGTCCCTGCTGAGGGTCGAAATGATGGGGTTGAAGACAAGACGATGGTTTCGTTCGTAACGGCGGCTCTAGCGTACAGGGAGATTTGATGAATCCACGTTGTTCGAATTGCAAGGTCGCCACACGTGCGTCCTGATTGGACCAAAGGCCGACAAAGTACCGGCATAGAGCCTGCAGTAGGACGAGGTACTTGGGCAAATCGTATTCTACCTACCTAGGTACTTATTCAACCAAGGCCCAGGCCGGTAGTGGATAGCGGGCGCCGGGGTGGGCATAGCCACCAGAGGACTCGTAAGGAGGATCCCGTCTAGTTCACGGCCTGGGCTGAGTAGCCTCTACCTTGTTTGATTATGGTTCATGGGGGACACTTCTCGATCGACTCCGGTACCCAGTACCTGGCATGATGCGGTTCTAGGCCGTCCCTCCAGGCCTTGGAGCCTGTGCCGTGCCATCATCGATCCCGTCACCAGCCACAGGCGCTGCAACGCGCCAGCCTTTTTGCTTCCCCCCAGCATTTTGCACCGCATAACGCTGGGCAAGTGGCCAAGTGCCAGTGCAAGAGCACCCATCTCCTGCCTCAAAAGTGCCACCACCGGGTTCGCGCCTTCCTCCTCTCCGCATCCTCGCCAGATCGTCACAAATCTCTGATCGCGGCGCTTGTGTTTGATTTTCTGTAAAACATCAATATTATTTGTCGGCGTCTTTTATTATTTCCTCGGCTGTCTTCTCCCGTGTAGCCCCTGCCGACGACTTACTCCGCTCCAACTGATAATTTTCGCAAAATCGCAAATAAACCATCTTACTCGTTCTGGTTTCTGTATCATCTGCGGGCTTCAAAAGGACGGCGAGCAGCTGGCCACAACATCACTCCTACCAGCTATACGCCTGGAGGAGGGAGCAATTCCCATCTGACGGCCCTCTGCAGCTCTTTTTCAAGCTCGAAGAAGCATGCTTAGAGCTTAGGTCCAGACAGTAGGAACGCTTTCGCATCCTGTCCACAGACACAATGGACGGCTCGCACAACCAAGTGCGGCGAGCTCAGACTTCTCTGTACGGCCAAGCTCCCAATCCCCTCGCATTGCAGCCTCCAAACTAACCACTCGTCTTGTTCTAGAAACCAGGACTCTGCGTCAACTAGCTACCAGGTCAATGTTAAGCGCAACAAGACGCGGAAATGGGTCGAGGCCAAGGTCCAAAACTATGACGGCGACGACTGGGGGGCTGACGAGTACGACGAAGAGTCTGATCACGACTCGGCCACGCCTCCGCCCATCAACCCCCAGCTGCGCACCTTTACCGGCACCGACCTGCTACACTCTCGCCACAACACGCCCAGCCCGGCCTCGAGCCTGAGTGCGCTGCCGTCGCTGCGATCCCACGTTCCGCAGCCTCCCGTGCCGGCCAGCGAGTCTCCGCGCATTGCCGTTGCGTCGCCTGACGTGTCGGACCTCTCGATCCGCAGCGCCTCGGACTCGATTGCCAACGACCATGTGGTATCACCCCAGTCTGTGCCGGTGCGCGACGGCGACGGCAGCAGCTACGGCAACAGCTACGGCAACGGCAGTGGCAACGGCAGCAATCCGTCGTTGGCCGGCATAGCTCAGCTGCCCTCGCAGGCCCAACAGCTCCAGGGCCCAAGCGGCTTCAACGTGTCGCGCACTCCCAGCTTTGAACAGGCCGTGAAGCCCTCGTCCACTCCTCCCGTTGCTGGCGATCGTTTCATGACGCCGCCTCAGAATCCCGCCACATCCCCCCCGCCCGCGGACCAACCGCCTCCCGTCATCTACTCTCCCGATAACTACAGTCGTCTTGCGGATGACAATGAAGACTACGCGGCTCTAGCGCTAGGTCCGACTGCCACCGCTGGAAGCGATCAAGGTGCATTTGTGCCGGCACCTTTGGCTAGGGAGGATACACGTGATACGTGGGAAAGGGACGAGGAGCCTTCGTCTCATAGTGGCCAGCCGGGCAGCCTGGGAACTCATCCAGACGCTGTTGAGTCTCAAATCGACCGTGGGCGAATGTCTGTCAGCCCCAAGCTGCCGGACCTTTCACGTATGTCTGCCTTTGGAACAGACCTCTTCTCATCGTCTGCAAGCAACACTATTCCAAAAGAACCCATCATTAACGAAGTTCATGGGGACACAGGTGAAGAGCCGACTGCCAGCCCAGCAGCTGCCCCTCCAGCCATTGACTACAATCAAACCAGTCCATCGGCTGCAGGCCAAGACCATCCAGAGATACCGGGCGGTGCGCCCTTTTCTCAATCCGCCGATCTATTTCCTGGCAGAAACATGCCTTCTGTCCCCCCCTTGAGAACGCCCAGCCCCCACGAACCACGAACTGCCGTTGCCATGTTTGACTCACAAGGCACGAAAATCACGCCAACAGAGCCTCTTCAGCCGGGCAGGACGGCGTCTTTGGCAGAGATTGAGAATCCCCAGCTGTTCCAAACAATGCAGACTTACAGCACCAGCACATCGTCTCCCATCAAAGATAGCCCCCTGAAAGAGAACGACGTGCTCAGTGATGAGATCATGCGGACTCTCAGCCCTTCGGGTGTAATTGCTGCTGAAGTAAAGCCTCTCAGCGATGGCCCTCAGTTGCCTCCAGCGGGAGATGGAAGTGCCGTCAGAGAGAGCAGCTACACTCTTGGAGATTACGACAATTACTGGGCAGATGCTACAGGAAGCCTAGACGATGCGCCGGCACCGCCATCTGAGAATCTCGCCACTCCACAGCCGCCTCAGCAATCGGCACAGGAACAGCAGCAAGGAGAGGGAATAGAGGAAACACTGGATCCGCATTCTTCACTCAGACGGAGATTTTCTTGGGAGGACGAGCAGCGCACTCCAACAGCAGGCCAGGCGCAGACTCCTACTCCCACTCCTCATGCAGCCCCGCCAACAGACGATGGCTCCTCTGCTCCCGCACTTCATCTTATTGCACCATCTGGCCAGGCACTTGAGCCATCCGTGACGAACCTGACTAACGAATCTCGTAGCCATAGCCCTGTATCCCAGCTGTCGCAGGCACCACCGGCGGCATCTGGCGTGGGTGCACCCCTGGCGCTTCACACATCCGTCCCGGGGCAGGATTCGTCACTCCCGGAGCCTCCCTCTCCGGTGTCTGTGTCTGTTCTCAGCGACAAGCCTTCCACCACTGCCCATGAACAGGCACGCCAATCCATTGTGGATGAAAAGCCGTTGGCTGACCGGGGATCCGTCAGTCTGGAGACGGGAACTCCACCTCGTGCAGAATCTCACCCGGCTGTGTCCTCACCGACTTCTGCAGCGTCTGTACCCGCTCCACAGACCCCTGTTCACAATGCGGCACTCCCCCAGGCCAAGGCAATGAACTTCAAGGACATCATGGCATTGTCGACGCCGGTGGAGAGGATAGGCAAGTATGGCGAGGCGCGCCAGATCCTGGCTGCCAGAGACTCTGGCCTGGACACTTGGCTGGTGCACATGACGGCCGAGCACCCCGATCTGCCGGCCTCCAAGTCTGCTCCGGGCCAGACATTGCAACTGACTACTACTAACAATGCTGCTCTGCCGGCGGGATCCCAGGCCTCCGGTCAACAGCCCCATTACCAGCAATCGCCGAGCACGGCCGGGCCCCAGAGCGGCGGCGGAGGTGTCGGCGCTCGCTCCAGGTTGGGTGGATTGTCGATGCCATCTCAGATGTCCGGCAGCGCGCTGAGCCACTCGGGCAAAGAGATTGGCAACAAGAGCAAGGAGTTCATGCATTCAGCTGGAAAGATGGGCAAGGGACTGTTGAGCAAGGGCAAAAGCAAACTGCGCGGAAGCGGGGACAAGGTATTTCATTGATTGATTTTTCTCTCTTAAGCCCCTACTCGCAGTGAGTGGGCCCGATCTATCGTCTTTCCTCTTTCATTTTCTTCCCTTGACAGGAATAATATTTCTTCTCTCACTCTCACTCACGTCTGTCACTCTCTCTTACTGCTTTCTGGATACAATGTCGGCCATCTTGAATGATGCTCTGAGATTAGAATTCTTTGTACCCGCCCTTCCCTTTATATATGGGGCTAAAAAAAGACAAAACAATTGGAGCATCATGATGTGTGAATCGTGGGCAAATGAGATAGGAATTACACGGCAAATGATCATTTGCCTCCTTTTTTTTTTCTTACACCGAAAGCAGCTTCTTCCTCTTCCTCTTCTTCTTCACGCCAACATTCCCCATATAATTCTCCTCTCCGTCACACCCTCCTCCGCCACTCCCCACATGAACTGCCCTTTCCCGACTTCTCATAATGTGGTGAATGGAATATTAATGTCTTCTCTTCTTCTCTGCAGGTCGATACAGCTCCTCCGGACCATCCCGTCCCCCACAAACCGCATCGACGCTCGACATGGCGCTTCAGCCTCGAGCCAAGGCCGCAGGACGATCCCGCCCCACATGCCAGCAGCGTCGAGATTGTTGAGACGACTCCGCCACAGCTGCCCGACCCGTCTCCGATCTCACCCTTGAACGCCGCATCGGGACCTGGATCGGCCTTTCCGTGGGCCGTCGACAACGACATCCAGCACCAGGACGTGTCGCCGGTCAAAGAGTCCATCGACGACGACGACCACGTCAGACTGGGCGAATTAGTAATCGCCAGTTCCTTCCTGCCCGGGGCTTATGCGTCAGCAGAGCACGAGGCAGGCGCAGGCTTCTTCCCCGCCGGCCAGCCGGGGTCGGACAACTTGGACAACTTGGACATGGTGACACCGGACGACTGGGTCATGGTGCAACACCAAGGCGAGCAGAGCCAGGCCCAGCGAATGTCCATGTCGCACCGGGCAATGGCGATGCAGGAAACCGCGGGGCCTGGAGCTGTCGGATCTGCTGGAGCTGTCGGAGCTGCAGCCGGAGCTAATGCGCCCCAACATCAGGCCTGGCAGCCACCAACCCAAACCCAAACTCAAATCCAGCCCCAGAGCGCCCAGAGCGGCCCGGAGATGCCCCAGCGCAACTCGTCCTTCATCGGCCTGCCGCCCATCAGGAGAGGCTCGACGTTTGGCCCCAAGGCCAAG